AAACTGGAATGCTTTTGCTGTCAGATGAAGACATGGATGTTGTCGAGGAGTCTTGGGAAAAACCCTCTAAGACAACTCGCCCAAGCTATTTCCAATCTAAGTACTTGCAAAATCATGTTCAAAAACCTTACGTTATGACACATGAACACCAATTAACGATAACAAATCTGATTTTAGATAATGGCTTGATTTCTGACCCTAACTATTATACTCAATTACCACAGAGGAAAAATTACATTGTTTGTTCCATCGAAGGTCGGAACAACTCAAAGTGTTGCTTGTACATTAATGATATTGAACTGTTACGGGGCAAATCTTGGCTTGACAACTCTGTCATAGAGGCTGTAGGGCTTATACTCATGGGAAAAGACAACCATAACAGTTCAATAGTTCATGACAATGTTGCAACATTAAGTCTTGTCCAAGGAGAAGATATCAAACCTAACCACTGGTTGCTTACAAAATCAATTGCAGATATTTCTGTTGCAGAACAGCTATTTTTCCCATTGAACATTGATAACGTGCACTGGGTTTTAGGCTATGCAAACGTGAAGGACCATACATTTTACCTTATTGATCCTTCATCAGATTTTGTCAATCCTAACAGAAAAAAGTATATATTTAACAACTTTCTAAAATTTTACTCAAACATAACCAACACTGACTTTGATGACATAGTCAAATCATGGCAACATGGCCATTTAAGACATCCTGTTCAAACTGACAGTTACAATTGTGGTGTATTCATTTTGTATTTCATAGAACAATTAAAAACAAATGGTTCAATAGACTTGATGTTTGATGCAGATCAACATAGAATATTGTTATTCAAAAAGCTCCTTAGCTATTCAGGCTATATGGTTAATACATGTTACATTTGCAATGGACAATTTCCCGACTCACCAAGAAACCAAAATGACTTTTGCGTTGAATGTACTGCTTGTAAAAGGTGGTTTCACACTAGTAAGAAAGGTGGTGGAAATTGCTTACCACCTGATGTGCCAAGTTCTACTCAAGTGTTAGAACACATAGATTTCTTTTGTATTTTATGCAGGTACTACCAAACTAAATATTTACAACAACAAAAATAAGAGTAATATGTTGCCTTCATTCACTGTCTCTAATAGTCTTTAAAAAGTATAGGCTGTAAAATTTATATTTAAATAAAACAGTGATTACCATTATTACATTACAAACCACATGAGAACACTGTTAAGTTCTTACTAATATTTACTAAAATCATCCTCAAGGTTTTCACATCTAACATTGGCCTACAGTCTAAATGAAACAGTGGTAAGGGTATAAACTATGGCGAGGTAAGGAGCAGCTATAAGGGGAGGAGGAGGCTGCAATAACAAAAAATTAAAATTGACAATGTAACATATAATTAAAAGCCTAAACAAAATGATACACCATTCTTAAAAATATATTACCTTACTTAAGATAAAATGACCCAGTGGTAAAAATTATGGCGAGGTAAGGAGCAGCTATAAGGGGAGGAGGAGGCTGCAATAAAAAAAAATAATATTGTCAATGTAACATATAAGTAAAAGCCTAAACAAATTGATACACCATTCTTAAAAATATATTACCTTACTTAAGATAAAATGACCCAGTGGTAAAAATTGTGGCGAGGTAAGGAGCAGCTATAAGGGGAGGAGGAGGCTGCAATAAAAAAAAATAATATTGTCAATGTAACATATAAGTAAAAGCCTAAACAAATTGATACACCATTCTTAAAAATATATTACCTTACTTAAGATAAAATGACCCAGTGGTAAAAATTGTGGCGAGGTAAGGAGCAGCTATAAGGGGAGGAGGAGGCTGCAATAAAAAAAAATAATATTGTCAATGTAACATATAAGTAAAAGCCTAAACAAATTGATACACCATTCTTAAAAATATATTACCTTACTTAAGATAAAATGACCCAGTGGTAAAAATTGTGGCGAGGTAAGGAGCAGCTATAAGGGGAGGAGGAGGCTGCAATAAACCATTCTTAAAAATATATTACCTTACTTAAGATAAAATGACCCAGTGGTAAAAATTATGGCGAGGTAAGTAGCAGCTATAAGGGGAGGAGGAGGCTGCAATAAAACAAATAAATAGTCAATGTAACATTTAATGTAAAGCCTAAAGAAAAAGAAAGATAAAATGACCCAGTGGTAAAATTATGGCGAGGTAAGGAGCAACTATAAGGGGAGGAGGAGGCTGCAAAAAAAATTAATATTGTCAATGTAACATATAATTAATAGCCTAAACAAAATGATAAACAATTCTTAAAAATATATTACCTTACTTAAGATAAAATGACCCAGTGGTAAAAATTATGGCGAGGTAAGGAGCAGCTATAAGGGGAGGAGGAGGCTGCAATAAAAAAAATAAATAGTCAATGTAACATTTAATGTAAAGTCTAAAGAAAAAGAAAAAAAATGACCCAGTGGTAAAATTATGGTGCCAAATTTGAAATATATTTTTTTTATCTGAAAAATCGGTAGCACAGTAAGGTGCAGGCCTAACTTCTACCACATACAGAAACCAGCATTGAATGGGTTCTACCTGTTATAGAACCCATCATAATCATGGTATGGGAATGCAATTTATTTCACAGGTAGCTTATGACATTATGATCATACCACATAAGATTCATTAAAATCGTGTAAACGGTTTTTGAGATATAAATTTTTATCTTAATCGGTCAATCAGTAACCTAACAATGAACAGGCCAAACTTCTACCTCTTATACAAACCACCATAACCATGTTATGGGAATGCAATTTATTTCACAGGTAGCTTAAAACATTATGATCATACCACATAAGACTCATTAAAATAGTGTAAACTGTTTTTGAGATATAAATGTTCAACTGAATCGGCAAATCAGTAGCCTAGAAATGAACTAGCCCAACTTCTACCTGTTATAGAACCCATCATAACCATGGTATGGAAATGAAATTTATTTCACAAGTACTTTATGACATTATGATCATACCACATAAGATTAATTAAAATCGTGTAAACGGTTTTTGAGATATAAATTTTTAACTGATTCGTCAAATCAGTATAGCCTAGAAATGAACTAGCCCAACTTCTACCTGTTGTAGAACCCATCATAACCATGGTATGGTAATGCAATTTATTTCACAGGTAGCTTATGACAATATGATCATAATACATAACATTCATTAAAATCGTGTAAACGGTTTTTGAGATATAAATTTTTAACTGATTCGTCAAATCAGTAGCCTTGAAATGAACAGGCCCAACTTCTACCTGTTGTAGAACCCATCATAACCATGGTATGGAAATGCAATTTATTTCTCAGGTAGTTTATGACATTATGATCATACCACATAAGATTCATTAAAATCGTGTAAACGGTTTTTGAGATATAAATTTTTAACTGATTCGTCAAGTCAGTAGCCTAGAAATGAACAGGCCCAACTTCTACCTGTTGTAGAACCCATCATAACCATGGTATGGTAATGCAATTTATTTCACAGGTAGCTTAAGACATCATGATCATACTACATATAAATCATTAAAATCGTAAACGATTTTTGAGATATAATGTTTATACAAAATGTAAAAATAGTTGTCTTAAGTTATAAGTGACAGGTTCAAATTCTTCATCTAATAGATTCCATCATAACCATGGTATGGGATTGCAAATTATTTCTCAGGTTGCTTAAATACTTATAATCATACTACATAAAAATTACCAAAATCGTATAAACCGTTTTTGCAGAATATTGTTTTTACTAGCTCAGGTTTTTATACTATCTTTGCACGTGGGAGTACATTGCGAGATACAATTATGGTATAGAAACAAGTGTTATTAGTGGTTATTATACTTCATTTAATCACCTCAGTTATAAAAAATTTGTATTTTTGTATAAAAAACACTCTGAAACTGCCTAAAAGGTATATGTTTTACATTTTATAGTGAAAAACGCATTTTGAGGTTAGGAAGTTTTTCAGCCACGGCCTTCTTGATCTACTGATCTGACGCTGACGTCATAGCTTAATGGTGGTTTATTGGCAGTTTTACGTGCATACAATTTTCTACCAAGTTTTAAATAATAAAATTCTCCTTTAGCAAATAATTGTCAAACACTCATCGTACACCCACGCCTGAATACAAAACCTCACTATTGTGAATTTAACATTGAATCGTGTGTAATGTTACTGATGTATGTTGTTATTGTTGTTTATTTGTTTGTTAGTGTTTAGTTTAGTGTTTGTTTTCTAGCGTTTGTTTAGTTTTAGTTTGATTTTTGAAGTGACAGCGTGACACTCAGTTGACCAACCTCCCAACAATATTGAGTGAAAAAGACATTGTAATATAGGCCTGGTCATTGTGTTTTATATACATTTATAATAGTGCGTACATTTATAATAGACTTGTAACACTTCAATAAACCATTGATGAAAATACTCACAAGCCCCCATGGTTATAATAAATCCCCATGGGTTAAATGCTTGGTAAATTAATCTAAAGCTATACAAGGCCGCCTCGTGAGCTAGACCATAGATTAAATTTTCTCGTTTATGTTAAACCTTTCCAATCGCTTACTTGAAAACCAATGGTTATGAATCCCCTAAGGAGGTGGCCGTGCCCCAGGGCGAATTTAAATCAGCAATAATTTACAATAATATGCCAGAACTAAAACAAAATGTAATACAATATAAAACTATAAAGCTGTTCAGTTACTTTAGGACAGGGTATAGTAATGATACAAAACAGTATTAGTAATAATACAGTGACATTGACTGCCAAATTACAAAGAAGCATTATGCAGTGAGTAACGACAGTAGTAAAATGCACAAGAGCATGGTACATAAATAAAAACCTGCCTCTCTGGGAAATATAAACAGTGTCCGTCATTTTCGCCAGCTGTTGATGACAACTGTTATGTGTTATGTCAGTAAGTTGTCCTGCTGACATACAATTTTTTTAGTGTCTACAAAATTTGTAAACACATCAGTACAAAACAAAAGTGCATTGGAACATTACAAGTAATTTTTTGTGGTTTATTAATTTTAAAATGTCTGAGGGAAAAAGCCTTCTTCAATATGTACCATTTGAATCTTGTGTTGATCCTACGTTTTGGCACAAATTTGCTCAACTTAAACTCGATGTAGATAAGTTGGAAGAAAAGGTTAGACCAGTTTGGGGATATTATTCCTACAATTACAACAGAATGGTTAATGTTGACTGCACATCTTTTAACAAGTAAGAATTAAAATTTGGCCAGTAAGCTTATAACTTAAATCAAGGCAAATCGCTAGGCCTATCTGTTAAAATTTAAATTGCATAGGGCCTAGGCCTTAACTTATTTAAGTTATGTTAAAGTACAGTACTTAGCTCTTCAGCTCGTGATTGTTTGATTAGACCATTCAGAAACATCTGTTTATATTTGTAATTTTGTATTCCATCCCCTAATCAGAAATTACAATGGTCTGAACACTAGGCTACACCACGAAATTTAGGGCTACCGGGACCATGTGTGGATATCTTTTCGCTGACTGAATTTGTGACAAACTGGACAATATCCAAAACATCACAAGTTAATATACATATTAATTTATGTGTCTTAAAACCACACATATAAGTGTAAAATCAGTACAACTTAAATTACAGAAATACTGAACACTAATCAATGAAGAAATGTGGGTACACTTCCATTATCTGTTGGCACAAACAACCGAATGACAATATCGATCGATATAGCCTATCGATTATTCGAAATAGCATATAGATTATTCGATATATCGTTTGGTTAGTTAGATAAGGTTAACCTAACCTGCATAAGGTTCATGCACAATGCTTCGGTTGACGTGCTTGGACCATGAGTCCACCTTCTTACAACCTAACTAACCAAACGATATATCGAATTAAACAATTGAATAGCCTAGGCCTACTCAATATTACTCATTCAGTTGTTTGTGCCAACAGATATGGAAGTGTACCCAAAAATGCAGCAAAGACATAATAGGCCTAAGTTATGTAACAGATAGTGAGAAAGTATTAGTTTTAGGTATACTCTAATGTGTTAGAACTGTTACCTAAATCCACATGTACCTCAAGTAAATTCCACCCTTGCAAGCAAGAGCCTTACTTCAATAGTATAAATACCCCCGCCTACTATAAGTAGAAAAATAAAGGTAAAATTTACATTAGTGAAGCTAGGCCCTATATTCAACCTTTACCAAAACTTATACCCTTTAACTGATAACAAATTATTGTACTTTTTCAGGGAGTTTGGTGTACATTCAAACTTTTGGATAGCAAAAGGTTACCAATTGAATACAAACACATTGGAATCGTTCAAGAACCTGGATAAGGTTAAGTTTCTGGAAGATTATGGCAAAATTATCAAAGAAGATGTGAAATCTGGTGAAGCAGCAGCCAACCCTTCTACCCTTGCAACTTTCATTTTAATAACATTTGCTGTAAGTTTGTTAACTTTTGAACTACGGTATTTAATTTTAAAGTATGTTACTATGTTAGCTTGAGTTTTTTAAAACTTTTTTATTAATCAGTGGAACTTAGTTTGCAGACTATGCATACTATCCTAGATGTTAAGTTACATCATGAAAATAGTGCCCTAAGTTACTATACTCATATTTAAATCCAAATTCTGCTGGTTTGATTTAGGGAAGGGTTAATTAATTCTGGAACCTGGTCCCATTGTCATTGGACAGTCAATATTCCGAACTCCTACTCTATCCTGAACTCCTGCATCAATCTTTGCATGTTTCCAAACTTTCTATTTATTGCATTGTTATTTATTTTTGTTAATATAGTCTATCCTGTTGTTATTGTTATATCTTGTACTTGTACAGAGTTTATTATATTGTTATTTTTCTGCATGTTTTATCTGTTTTCTTGAAGTTTGTTCTGCCTCTTTACTGAAGTTTCACTCGGCTACTGCTTTGCATCATTGTATTGTTCCTATACTGGTTTTGTTTTTTGAATACTGTATCTCGTTTTGTCAACTTGCTCAGATAGTTTGTTATTTATAGTTGTTACTTATAGTTTGTTATTCATAGTTAGTTATTTATAGTTTGTTATTTAAAGTTGTTATTTATCTTTTTATGTCTTGTATTGAAGTTTTTTTTCCAGTTTTTTTTTTCACTACTTTTGTACTGACCTGTGATTTTTTTTCTGCTTCTGATGTAAGATTATTGTATTTACATGTAAAAATGGTGCATCCCTTAATAAATAAATAAATATTGATTTCCAAAACAACTGGCAGATGCAAAGACAGTGAGTTAGATTAGTGTTTGGGCCGTTTCCTTTTCACTTTCTCCCCCTTACATAGTATTATGGAGAAAGTATTGTTTTCGTCAAAACTTTTTTTGAGGGTTACGAAGAGGTGTGTCTGTATGTTTGGTTGTGTACAGAGCTACAGACGACACATGCGGTCCTATTTTGTGTTGACATTTTGTATGTAGCTGCAATAGGTATGTAGGCCTACCTATGTAGGTATGTACTGCAGGTATTTTTTTGTAATTTTGATTTTTAATGGGGATTTTCTCGAAAATGGCCTGACCGATTTGGATAATTTTTGTATGTTATAGTCCTTTAAATTCTGAACAAAAGGGTAGATCTCCCATTCCTGTAAAAATTGCAGTTCCAAAGTTATTATAACTTATATTATTTTCCCATTTAAAAACTCCAAAAATAAATAAAATAGGATTTTAGGAATAATCCGGTTTTGATTAAAATTAATGTGCTATGGTCCTTGTAATTCTAAACAAAATAGTGCAACCCATCATTGCTGTAACAACTACGGTTCAAAAGTTATTGCAACTGTAATTTTTCCTTATTATCATAGTTACTCACACCGCTTATACATGATAAAGGTTGTTGACAAGCTAATGGGAGAAAGTATGTGTCAGATTGCTGATACCGTTTATTTTTAAATCTATAAATTTGTCAATGTACAAAAAGGCAGTTTTGTTGTAAGATACTTTTACCTAGGCCTAGTTTTGGATTTTATTTGATCTTTTAATTTTTTATTCTGAGAAATTTAAAAAAATTTTGATTGTATCAATAAGATGTAGGAATCAGATCAGTTGAGTTAATCAATGCTGTATATTTGATCTTTTGATTCTGAAAATTAACTTTTTCAGGACCTAAAAAAATACCACTTTTACTATTGGTTTGGATTTCCAGCTTCTTCCAAACCAGTTTGTCATCTACAATCTGCGGCTGAAGAACTGAACAAAAGTCTCTCTGAAGAACAGGTAACATGTTCATGTTAAAGCCAAGCTTTAATTGTTTAAAGTGCTCAAACGTGTCTCGTGTGTAGCCTATCAAATGGCTGGAGAAGGATGTATCCTATCCTTCTCTCTTATCTGCTAAATACTGAATCTGATGTTATAGTTTCATTGTTGATGTTAGCCTCCGGATTACGTTGAATATAAAAATTGGTAAATATAATAAATTTGTAAATACCTGCTTCTTGTAATCCAAATTGTTGCTGTTATGACGCAACTAGTTTCGACTTATCACAAAGTCATCTTTGGGCGTCCAGGGGATGTCAATTCACTTTATCAGAAGGTCGTCAATACACACATACGTTCATACACGAACATGGTCACGGTTACGAACAAAAACACAGACACGAACATTGAAACGAAAAAAGTACGATTTAACGAGTAAAGCTAAAAATGGTAACACCGGTGAGGATTTTTTGATGTTATAGAGCTAACTAAGTAGAAGAAGATAATATTTTTTGGCTAAGGGTAAATTAAGAACTTTGTAAACTGAAATAAAGTACTATTTAGATTGGATTGGACGTGGGATTCCTCAAGGTTCAATTTTGGGGCCTTTAGTGTTCCAAATTTAACTCAGTTGATTTTCAAATAGTCAATCTATTTCCTGCATCGTCCAGGATTGCTGTCTTGCTAGTCATACAAGTACTATAAGTTACTCATTATGGGTTTAGATAAAAAGGTTGTATTCCTTCCTGAAATAACAATAAGACTTTGAATTATTGGACTGGTTCCTTTAAACGCTTTTGATCTTGAAATGCCTCTGGGGCAAAAAAATGTTCATCATCGTAAAGTTACTTTAGTCTTTTATGTTATAAAAATCTGTCCAATTTCTCGTAGATAAACCTACTATATGAAAAACATGGAGAGCTGCCACTAGATCAACAAGGGTTTTTTGGTGTGTCCATCAAAGACTCTGTTTTGTCACTTCATTCATTAAAGGAAATGTTGGATATCATCAGAGCAGGTAAGATTTAATTTCTGAATAACTAATCAAACTTAAGTGAACCAAAAATATATCAAATCAAATCAATCTTTATTCATAATGTGTACATGAGTAATCATACAACAGAATAGTGTAATTTCCTTATAGCTAACAGGGCTTATAACGTATAATACATATTTACAAATTGTTATACTCCTCAATTGAATAAATAGGACTTGATGTATTGTCGGGACCACGTAAGTTTGCAGTTGGTGGCAGCCAATCACAAGACAAGGCTAGTGCGACGTTGCCACATCACCCATTGACATCACTAATAAAAATATACAAAGCTATATTTTCAAATCAGCTGGTATTGTTAGATTTGGCAACACCACACCGTTCTCATTGGTCCATTGAAAACCATATGGTAAATAGGCTCCTCCCTCAACTGCAAATTTATGTGGTCCTAGTAATAATAATTTTTTTTTACTTAATTTTAAATTTATTAACATTATTTTCTTTTTTTATTTCTTTAGGTAAAATTCTAAAAACTTTGCTCCTGCATATGATGGTTTTTTTGTGTAGAGTTTAGAGTTGCAATCTGTGATGAGTGGGTATGATTTCCGATTTATTTCTGGTATTGTATGGGTGAGTTGGATGGTTTATTAATGGCTTGCTTGAATTCAAAGTTTTGTAAACCATAATTATATTGTATATCAAAATTATATTGTTATCAATATATTGTCCATAAGCTGTAATAATTTGAAGATTTTTGAAATGCTCTCTACAGGATACTTCTTGATGAAGATTTTTAATGGTCTGAATTGCTTTTTTTGTAATTTTTGAATTTTATCAAGAGTTTCTTGTTTGGTAGAGCCATAAAGACAGATGCCAAATGATATATGGGAATGTATATAGGAATGGTATATTAGTTTGAGTGTTGATTGACTACATAAATCTGCCATTTTTCTCAAGGCACATAAACCTGAATTAATTTTTGATATGATTTTGTCCACGCTAAAGTAGAACTCCAACTATAACCAAATCACAGATTATCTAAATCGCTTAGGGCTACAGAAAGAATAAAAAATAAACTTAAAACCAAAGTAATAAGATTTGTTGTTAAAGAAGGCAGAAGATGTGATTATGGCAAAATCCAAAAACTCCCTCACGGTTGTGTGGGCCTCAAAATTTGTCTCCCACGGTCACAACAATTTAATCGTCTTCTACAATTCTGCGATCTCATTAGTAAAAGTTTGTTTCGACTAAGCCTATATTCTATCAAATACTCTGAATTTTGGTAAAAATTAAACTATCAAAATTTGTATGAGCTATATGAGAGTTCCACTGTACTCATTACAATTAGTCAGTGGTAGCAATTGACTATTAGAAGTAGGAGGGGGCATCTCCCCCCTCATGCTCCCCCTAATCGCAAACACTGATCTTAGTTAATTGTAAAATGTTTCTTAGTGGAAAGGTAGAAACAAGTCTGAAGTATTTTTCAAAAAGTTCAAAAATGAACACAGCTGTCTTATGAACCATTGGTTTACAGTTTTGTATGAAGAAACGTATCTCCAAATGTAGCTGTGTAGTGGGGTCGTATAGCTGCATATCATGGCAGAATATTTCAGTTCTGGCGGAGAGGCTGCAATTTTAGGTGGTTATAGTATACAAGTTTCTGAACCTAAAACCGCCCAGAACCCAATTTTTAAGGACCGCGGTCGTCCGTAATGACGTCATCAAAATGGCGGCCGTAAGAGGATGCTGGGTCCCCATGAATTGGCTATAACGATCAAGAGCCTGAACCGATTTTCATGAAATTTGGCACACAAGTGCTTGAATACATTATCTCGGCCTGGGTTGAAAATGGTCAAGTTTCATCAAGTCATTTCAAAATGGCGGCTGTTCAAAACTAAAAAAATATGAGGAAAATAATTGTGAATTGTTTTATACAGGGTGAGTTTTAAATGAGTTCCCCCCCCCCCTACTTTTTTATACATTTCTTAAGATTTCAACTCCGAACCACGTCAGATAATTGTAGAGTAGCGAGTACTTCATTTTGACTGGGTTTTATTTTATCCGTTTTATGTTATCAAGCTTTCTTGATAAAATATAACAATTATTTTGATTTAAAATGTCAATATTTCAAAAACCTAATATGACAATGAAAAACGGATTGCGGCTTTGAATTCAACATAAAAAAGTAGTTCAAAATGATGGGTCACAACACCACCTTCATATTTAAAATAATTTATCACATTTTAAAATGGCGGATCCAAGATGGCGGCTGAAAAAAATACATCCGTCATAACCGAGTGAAAATAGGTCAACAATGAATGGTGGTGTCCACTTATCTTTATCTAGCACTATTTTGAGATTATGGCCTTAGTTTGTAAATGCACAATGTTATAATGGACTAAAAATAAAGTTATAAAAAGTTATCATAACTTTAGAATGGATCAACATTTTTTTAAACGGATTGCAGCATCGTATTCAGCGTAAGAGTCTTGTTTGAAACGGTGGGTCACAACCCTACCTTTACATTTGGAAAAATAACTTTGTATCCAAAATGGCGGATCCAAGATGGCGGCTAAAAATTTAAACCCAGTCAAAATGAAGTACTTGCTACTCTACAATGATCTGACATAGTCCAAAGATGATATCTTAAGAAATGTATAAAAAAGTAGGAGGGGAACTCACTTAAACTCACCCTGTATAAAACAATTCACAATTATTTTCCTCATAATTTTTTTAGTTTTGAACAGCCACCATTTTGAAATGACTTTATGAAACTTGACCATTTTCAACCCAGGCCGAGATAATGTATTCAAGCACTTGTGTGCCAAATTTCATGAAAATCGGTTCAGGCTTTCGGTCGTTATAGCCAATTCATGGGGACCCAGCATCCTCTTACGGCCGCCATTTTGATGACCTCATTATGGACGACCGAGGTCCTTAAAAATTGGGGTCTGGGCGGTTTTAGGTTCAGAAACTTGTATACTATAATCACCTAAAATTGCAGCCTCTCCACCAGAACTGAAATATTTTCCTGCTACCCAACCTGACTAGTGGAGCTTTCTTCCATTTCAGTTAATTCTCATCTCCTTTTTACTCTAATCCATACACACTTACCCCTCCTAGACCATTTGGCTTGTATAAATTTCTAGAGAAACATTAGGTCTAACGACAATTACAAAGCTACAACCCCACCGCAGCAAACCTGCAGACTAAGTGAATTTCCATCTACACAGCTGGAATTCCACTAAATTATTCCCTTAAAATTGTCAGATTTATTTCCTATTTAAATATCATTAATATTAATGAGTACTTAGGTTTGCTGCTACAGGGAAGAAAATAGGGGGTTTTTATTGAAATATTAATAGCTTAGTATGAAGTAAACAAAATTTCATTAAAATATGTCCATAGACAAGCAAGCTACAACACTGTATTTATTCTCCATAAGAATAACATGGTAATTTTATATTTACACTATTTTGCAATTTTTCCGTAACCGTTAGGCATGCAACAATGCTTCAATATACTAAATTATTTGTTTTTTGAGCTCTACGAAATGGAAAGAAATTGCAAAATTTTATGTTTTCAGGGTGAAAACCCCTGTTCCCATAGTCCGATCATGCTGGTTCCCGAACTCGTTCGAATAAATGTAGGTTTACACGTTTATACCAAATTTCATCAAAATCAGATCATTTTTGCTCGAGTTATCGCGCTAACGGACACATATATAAATATATATGAATTTAACGGATGGTGTTTTTGGCCTCTGGGGACCTCAAAATGAAAAACTAAATTGGTCCCAGGTGGAGGTCTTACCATGAGCCCTACGGTAATAGCTTATTCCCTATATGGGAAATTCGCTAAAAGCATCTCACTCCTTTCTTTACTCATATTTCAGTCACAATAGGCCCAGATTAGTCTCCTCCATCTTAATTGGTGGATAAACCAGTAAGCCCAATAGGCCCATACAATATAGTGTTGACTTGACTTTAGGTTAAAATGTTTTAAAAGGCATTTTCGCTTTAAAATATTCATGAGCTGGGCAATTTTTTTCATGTTTACAGAAGATTCTGTTCATGAGTATCACTGGGGCTTCGTTGATCCGTGTGACGATCCTCAAAGACCTGGCTGGCCTTTGCGCAATTTACTTCTTCTTGTCTACTTGCAATGGTAATTAAATACTATTTACTTATCACATTAAAATCAGATTCTTTATGTATTGCAGGAACTACCCCTCCATTCCTTTGTTGTCGTCTGCAATTGACAATTTGTATGCTTGGTCAATTCCTAAATATTCAGAAGTGTTTTGGAAATCACTTGGTATAGTACCATACCAACAATACTGTTATTACAACAACTGTTGTACCTGTTATTACTGTTGTTACTGTTATTGGGTATATTGTTACTTCCTAACAATAGTTAGGTGGCATGACCATGTTTGTGGCAGATCACTGCAGGATCATTAGGATTGTCAATAATACCAACAGTAGAATTTCAAGGTGTAATTTGATCCACTCCCTAGATAGATAGTTAAAACAGAAAGGCTTACTTAATGGTAATTCACTTTAAATTTTCAAAATATATCGTTTGTCCTTCACAACCTCTGTGAATTTAACTATTTTTTCCTGAACATATTTTTTTGGTTCTTCTGTGTTTTACAGAAAAACTAATAATAAATTAGCCTAATTTGTTGGTCTGTGGTAACTTTCCCAAGCCTATTGGACATGTATTCTGCGTTCATATAGTTTTACCTCTGTATAGAAAGCTTTTTGATTTTAGTCCAAACTTACGAGAGGAAACGCTTTCAGTTATCTGTTTGCGGAAAAGAGGCAAAAGCATAGTCCTGAGGATCAACTTTGAAGGTATGTTTAATATTTTGACACATGCAAATTTACGTCAATATAAGTGATCTTGTATTGTTGATTTGTACAGGATTAGTAAAAAGTGTGGAGACCCCCTGTTATTTTTTCAACGGCCCTTACTAGAAAAACAATGGCATGTTATGATGTACTTTTTGGGCATAACCGCCACTTGGTGTTCATCCCCAAAATGGGGGATTTTGGGGAAACTAAAAAATTTCAAATACAAAGACCCATCGAGTGACCTCTCATTTTGAAGGTCCTGGTAAAAGAAAACCAACAACGCAAATTAGAGGTCTCTATCTCAGTTCAGTACAAAATGGCAGCCAATTGAAATTCTCATAAGTTCCCAATACCAAAATGGGGGATTTTGGGGAAACTCGAAAAATTTAAATGATAAGCCCCATCAAGTGACCCCTCATTTTTAAGGTCATAATAAAATAAAACGAACAATGCAAACAATAGGTCTCTACCTTAACACGCAGTAAAATATGGCAGCCAATTGAATATAAAACTGCAAATTATTTCCGGTTTTCTTTTACCAGGACCTTCAAAATGAGGGGTCACTCGATGGGTCTTTGTATTTGAAATTTTTGAGTTTCCCCCAAAATCCCCCATTTTGGGGATGTACACCAAGTGACGGTTATGTCCAAAAAGTACTTCATAACATGTCATAAAGGTGTGCCGAGTTTAGTTATTCTAGTATGGGCTGTTAAAAAAAAACAGGGGTTCTCCACACTTTTTACTAAACCTAAAAAATTGTTATCAGAAAACATGTTTAAGCTTTTCAATGCTTAGAATATAACTGTGAAGTGATTTAAATCTAATATCTGCTGTAGTACTAGTAAAATTTGAGCACTCTAATTTTTCTAGTCTTTGTAATTAACTCATTAACAACATATAGTTCTACAAATTTACTCTGCAGTGATTTGTTTTCAGGTGCTGAAGAAATAGTGGATGAAAAGTGGATAGGATGGGAGTTAAATACCCGCGCAAAGTTTGGCCCAAGATTTGTTGACTTAAGTTCTAATATGAACCCTGTTAAGTAAGTAGACCTATTGTTAAAATAAAATGTTATTACTTATTTAATATTTTCCTTTGATCAATATAAAAATTCCAGTATTGTAGACTCCCCCTTGTCCGAGTCCATTTGGCCCAGACATTGGATGGTTCTTCTCCCTGTCTGGGTATAACTGACACCCCTTCTACTTTGTGCAGCATCTAGCCTATTCAGTAGTTGCAGACGTTATTGCTGTATTTTTTTATTGCATGGTAGGCCTATATTAATGTAGTTTAATAATTTTACAAGTGAATACGTTAGTGTGATATTTTTAAAAAGTATGACCATTTCTTTGTAGCTTCCAGTGATTCAAACTGGGGTTAAGGAAGGGCATGTTTATCATATTTTCCATATGTTTTAGACTATTTACCAAATGTTTTTCTCCAAGTTTTTTTAAGCTTCAGTTGAATCTCAGTGACTAAATAGGCCTGCTCACTTCCGTCTGCACTTAAGAAAATGGTGCTGACTAGTTTGTTAAAAGCACAATACATCAAAACACCAAACGAAACACTAAAGTTATACCCAACAATTCCAGGGGCGGCAGTAGACTGGACATGAAGAAAAAGAATTGTTATAAATCTCTTTGCTGAATTAGATTGTGGCTTCGATTCAATTTTAAGAATTAAACCAATTTGGGTTTATTTATTATTGTCGAAAGGACCCTGATTGTTAACAACATTCCTTATCATTCTTAACAAGGACTTGTCTAGGCTCGCAGAGGAGAGTGTGGACTTGAACTTGCGGCTCATGAAGTGGCGTTTGGCCCCTGACCTTGACCTGGCCTCTGTCAAGACAACCTCTTGTCTACTACTCGGCTCTGGTACGCTGGGATGCTCGGTGGCACGAGCTCTTCTGGTCAGTCTTAGCCATGTACTTTATATATTTTATTCGTCTTTTTACGTCATTGGTATTTTTTAAGTTTTTGAAGGTAAACGGTTCAAGCCCTGGGTTTGTTACTACCTAATGCCGACCTTTTAAAAAAAATTGCCATGATTTACTTATAGCCTAATGACGAATTACATTTGGGTCGAGAAGTGATCCTGCTTAGAATCGAACCAGCGACCTTCAGATTTAAAGGCAAGCTCTATAACCACTCGGGTACCCTGATAATTTCTATATAGGCCAATCGTATTCTGTCTATGACCTGATAAGAGAAGTTTTCCCATAAAAACTTAACAATATCAGTAAATTCACATCCACTAGTTCATTGTTCCCTTTATGTTGAGACAGGGTTTTAACTGTTGTACATAAGTTAATTTGAAAATTCTTATTCTTACTTGAGAATGTGTAGTTTAAATTATCCTTTAAAACCAATCTTATGAATTAAACCTTTAAGGGCAAGAAATAACCTTGATTATTAATTATGTAGGTTTTTAAAAATACAAGGAATTAATTATCATGTAACTCTAGGGGTCAAGTTTTTTTTTTACTACCAGATTCATTTTGTATATCAAAGAGTAGGTTATTGTGGTCTGTATTGTTTGTAAATTTTAAGGTTTAGCTGTAATCAAATCAAATCATTTATTGCCGTAAAACATACAAAACATACGTATAGCATCGTCATATTTTACGATAAATTTCTATTTACATAACTGGACACCTTAAATAAGTGACAAATTCGTCAACATCATACACACTTAATTCTATCAAAAGAGATTTCAAATGCACTTTGAATTTTTTATCATCTAAGCATTTTACATTATGTGGCAGCAAATTAAAGATTTTCTTACCTAATTCAAAAGTAGATTTAATGGTAGTCTGATAATTACATTGGTGAATTATGATAAAATGGCTCTGTCTGGTAAAATAATAAAATATGAATGTACTGAATTGTTGGCAGGAATATTATTAAGATTTTCTTTAATGTACAACAAAGAATCCAGTTAGCACACCAAGTTTTCTAAACAAAGGTTTACAATGAGTTTTTCTTTTTACTTTACATATAATTCTTAAAGCTTTCTTCTGCAAAATCAGTAATTCTTTAACGCTACTGTCACATCCCCACACTACAATTCCATACTATGGGTGACTCTGAATGTGAGCAAAGTATATTGACATCAGAACATCAAAATCAACAATCAACCTGAGACGTCTAATCATAAAAATACCTTTACACACTTTTTTGCACACACTGACAACATGATTATTCCATTTAATGTTAGGTTGCATAACCATACCTAGGCCTATAATTAATGTAATACATATTTTTTTTTTGCAAACATTTATTTGTTTCTAGGCTTGGGGTGTTGAAACAATAACACTTGTTGATAACGGCACAGTGTCGTACAGCAACCCTGTACGTCAGTCTCTGTTTACGTTCGAGGACTGTCAGAGAGAAACCAACAAAGCCGAGGCAGCGGCTGCAGCCCTCAAGCAAATCTTCCCTGGAGTGGTGAGTTAATGCTGGTTTTCTAGCTGCCGAATTCGGCTGTTGAATACAACTGTGTTTTTTTGTGGACTAATCTAATACACAAGTCTAGTACAGTGTTTTCCCAGTTGCCGAATGTGGCAAAGAAAACTTATTTAAATTGATCAATATTTACAATAATTCTGCAGCCAGATTCGGCAGCTAGAAAAACCTGCCTTGAAAAACATAGCTTTGACATCCATATTAATATCTCAGAAAGAAACAATGATGTTTAGAGAACACTACAAACGGACTCAGCCTATGAGAATTGAACAATTGAATATAATTTATTATCATTATATTTCAATTTGGCAATCTAAGAAATTTGTAAACCAATTTTTATAGCTGATATAGTTTTTACGCATGAATTTAAAACTTTTAAGAAGTGTTCCTTGTTGTTCCAAACCTAACCGAATTGGTGATATTAGGGGTGAAAGAAAATGCAATACTTTGCTCAAGAGAAATACATGCTATGCTAATTTATTTTGCCACACACTACACTGTTTTAACAAACTTTCCACACAAGGATTTAGTCCGAAAAACAGCTGTTGGCCACCTGGTTAATCAAATGGGGTTTCATTGCGTACTACAATTGACTATACACAGATTGCACCAGGTTTTTTTTTGCTTCAAATTTTTACATTACATGGGAAGTCTATTCTGTGTATAGTCAATGGTACTACTGAACATAAGCACAGCCACTTTTAACTCCAGGCCGCGGCCTGGTAGAATTGGCAACGCTGCAAGTGGTGTTTTCTAGCGCTAGACTTCCCATAAGATAACATGGCAGACAGGTGATACTAGCTCATTAATTCACGTATTATTCATTTAAATTTAAATTTATGAACATAAATTTATTAAAAGATTAAAAATAAATTAAAAATAAAATATATAGAATTGAAAACCAAAACAATGTTTAAATTGAAAATCTATTTTTGTACCTACATTAAATTGTAATCAATATTTTTATAGTCCAGTAAACAAGCTTTTGTATTCTTAAAAAATACACAAATTACCATTAGCCGCCTCAAAACAAAGCAGCTGGGACAACCCTACTTGCGATGTTGCTACTTCGAAGGCCGTGGCCTGGAGTTAAAGGTGGCCGTGACATAAGACTGTAATGAGTTTTCACTAGACACTTATTGTGGTTACTACAAACAAAAACATTACCTGTCTTATCTTAGAAAAAATAATTTTAAATTACATAAACATGCCTTGATCACATGGAAAAACAACAGTCGTTTATATAAAAACAAAATAATTACTGTTTAAATAATAAACAGTTTTTTTTTCAAAAGTAGATGGAGTTTCCCTATTACCAATAATGGCACAGATAAGTTGAACCTATAAAGCAAAAAAAAAAAAAAAAAAAAAAAAAAACAATTGTTGCAATTGTACTGTTGGACGCCATAAATAAAATATTTGCCAATTTAAATTACAAACTCAGTTATTTAAATTTGTTTTCTTGATTATAAAAAAGTTAATGATTTTTCCTGTATTTATAGAAAAGCAGAGGGGTAAAGTTGACGATATCCATGCCGGGTCGAGGAGTAAACGATATAGACAGCGTGGCAGAACTGGAGAAACTGATATCGGAACATGACGTTGTGTTTCTACTGACAGACACTAGGGAAAGTCGATGGCTGCCTACTCTACTGGCCGCTAAACACAACAAGGTAAACTGAATGAAAATTTCTTCGATCCTATAAACGAGCTTGAAAGGAAACTGAACGAAAATTGAAAGAACACAAATTGCTAATTTTATTAGTTTTGCAACTCCGAAAGCCATTTGTGAGAATCACTGAGGGTGGATTTGACTGTACAGTATTCCAGATAAAACACATTACAAACCTGATCTGTTCACACTTGTTTGTTAAATCATTAATGTTCACACTTGTTCACCGGATTATAAAAGGTACTTGACACTTGTTCTGGTGAACTGTTCTGGAGATGGCTGTCCACAACAAGGCCAAAACATCAGCACTTGGTAAGACGAGAAGTTTTTGTATGTGACGCAGTTGTATCCAGAAGACCTAGTTTTTACCGTTACAAGACTTGAACGTAATGAACTCGTACATGAATAATAAACATGGCTAAATGTCACACATTCAAGATACAAATGGTTGTGACAACTGGAAAGGAACATGCTAATGATTTTCCTCGCTTCAGGTGGCAATTACAGCAGCTTTGGGGTTTGACACTTACCTTGTGCTACGTCATGGTATGGCTGCCAGCTCTCAAAGGCTCGGGTGCTATTTCTGCAATGATGTCACCGCCCCAGGAAATGTACGTAGTCTGTGCATTGCTCTTGAGCTTATATGTGTGAGAAGTACCTGTTAGACTCGTAACAATTATGTAACGTTTTTTACACTTTTTAGTAAGGCAATTGTTTAACTCCTCGTGTTAATGCCATGTACCATGGACCTTTTTTTTTATATATCACCATTAGTAGATCAAAATGCCAAAGTAAATTAAATCTTCAACTGTGTACTAAGTCATCTCACCACTGATACCAGGGTTACTTATGTTGCTGTCATATATTTGATTTTTATTAATAAGTTATGTGGAACTATTACTTAGACAATAAGCTTGGTAACCAATAATTTCCATTTGTTATCATTATCTGATATATTAAACCCCACAACACAGATTTAGCATCCTATTGTGAAATCTGAAGCCTTTCTACGGTTTTTTTCACGTTGGTAACTAAAGTCAACGATGTGTTTCACTCTTATTTCATAATATACTAGCTGTACCCGCGGGCTTTGCCCCGTTTAACTTCATATGTGAGCTCGTTCGCATGGCTCAATCACGTCCTGGTTGAAGTTCGATCGCTACGCTCACTCACCTTTAGGTTGGAGCTCGTTCGCTGCGCTCACACGTCATGGTTGAAGTAATCTGGGCAATGACTTGTCAAAGTTAGTGAACTTTAACTGTAAAGTTCACTAACTTTGACAAGTCGTTGCCCTTGATTGCGTAAGCATAGACATTTTTTAAAAAGCAAACTTAGTAGAACCACTCTTTATGTACAAAATGGTGTTTGGTTCACAATTTAAATGTTAAAACTAGAATCGATATATGATACCGCGCGAAGCGGTTTTCCAACGTTTTTCGGCGGGGGTAGGGAACCCTCTTAATCTTTAGTAAGAACAACAAGACTACCAAATATTTACTGCTAGATCATATTTGGTTGAAATTAAAAATTGTTGGTTAAAATTCGTGGTAAAAAACAAAATATACTATTCACTTACAAAAAAAATGGAAATAACCTAACATTATCTTCAGCTACAATACATAAGGACAATCCATAACGGTGTAAGTTCAATCAGTATTGTCACTAAAAGTCACTGTGTTGCACGGTATGTTATAGTCCACTCAGGATCGTACGCTAGACCAGCAATGCACTGTCACTAGGCCTGGTGTGTCTCACATAGCCGCGGCTTTGGCTGTAGAACTTATGGTGTCTCTCGTGCAGCACTCGGAAAGGTAAATCCATACATCAGTGTCCGATATTTAAAAAATATTAGTTTAGGTTTTGCGGAAAGTAAATAAAAGAAACGTCATCCAACACTTAGAACATATATTTACGCTTATACTGTTATTCACAAAACGGTAAATATACAAAAAGATGGTAAGTGGTGATCGATTTCGATTGGACACTCCAATCATCATCAGACCCAATGGGCAAATGACGTATGATGAATAATCCTTTAGTATTACCGTGTCATTCGCCTATTGGGTCTGATGATGATTGGAGTGTTCAATCGAAATCAATCACCACTTACCATCTTTGTTGTATATTTACCGTCTTGTGAGTAACAGTATAAGAGTAAATATATGTTTTAAGTCTTATAAGACGTTTCTTTTATATACTTTCCATAAATTTAACACATAAATTTAATTTAACACGTACAATGCTGATCAAGAAGTTATTTAGGTTTTGATCAACAGTAGTGATAGGCCGATTCTAAAATTTCTTGACTCTGGTTTTGATTCTAGAAAATTTTTGAAAAGGTTAATGTTTGTCATGAAAAGACAAAATATCTACTATTTATTTATTCAAAAGGTAACTCAAGCAATGAATGCAGCGATCAAAAAATTGTTCAAGACACTAAAATTTGGAAAATTTCTTTTTCTTGATTTTCTTAAGTAAAATTTGAATAGTTTGAGATTTTTTTCTGATCAGGATTATTAAATTTACTATGTCAGTCCAATTGTGCAAGATGAGGACTCTGATTTTTTTCAGTAACCTAGTAGAATCCAAACCCTTGACAAAATAATTATTTGCCAAAAATGAATAGTCATACTATTTATGCATTTGACATTTTTAACCGTGATTTCAAAAGAAATGAATTTCAGGATGTGGCATCAACTTCGACACAGTTTTATCCCTTGACAATCTTGTATCCATCTGTTTTGTTTGTGTTCTTGTCCCTTGTCAGGGGAGCGGCCGGATCTGACAGCTCCTCGTGCCTTGGACAGTTACCACACTCTATCCGAGGCTTCCTGTCGACGTACTCACAGATGATGCCTTCGACTCCAGCGTTCTCTCAGTGCACAGCGTGTTCGACAAAGGTGCGAAGAATTATTAACTTTGTCACAGTCGTCGTACAAATTGGTGTTTTGTTCACTGGGATTAGTTTGCAAAATAGCTGATTTCTCAATAGTTAAAACGGCTGATTTTTTCAACATTTTATACTTTTTCCGCTACTTTGTTTGCTTTGAATAGTAATTGAATTGAGTAATGATCATAAACAAATATAAAATTAAGGCCTATCACTGGAGGGACAATTATTTATGACTAAAACAATGCTATTTTCACCAATTGTCTTTCTTTTGTCAACCCAAGGCCTAAGCCTATTATAGAAAAATGTGGTTTAAACATTTAACCATTTCCAATTATTTGATTGAACATCATTGCATCAAATTAAATTACTAGACCTACAGAAATCAAATATTTCAAGTTGTTTATAGATTAACAACTGGATTGTGAGCAAATTGATTTTTTTACCTCAATATAATTTATGCACAAGGCTTGCCAAACTTTCTTGGCCTATCTTGTTTTAAAAAATGTAACTTTATTCTCTAGTCACTGCAATAGTTCTAAACTAGAACAGCTTATCTGTAGAGCTCGTGCGTTTCCTGGTGAAGCCTGGGGGTAGGGTTGAAGCCTATACAAAACCGGTTTTGAGCCACTCTAACCCCCTACCCCCCAGGCTTCACCAAGAAACGCACGAGCTCTACATATAATTACATATTTTCACTTTATTTAAGTAATGTTAACCTTTCCAGGTGGTCAAAGAATATGAAAACCGTGGTCTTGAATTTTTGAAAGATGTGTTTATGAGAACTGAATACCTTGAAGAGTTAACTGGACTTTCAGAGCTCCAAAAGGCTACAGACTTCTCAGAAGTAAGTATTATTACTCCAGATATTTCACTGTATCGCCACTAAGGTGGGAGCATTCAACCAGCTGAACTTATTGCATATGTAATTGTCAGAGGGTGTGTTCCTATTGGAAGCTTTGTTACTGACTGAGGCCAGATTTTCTTTGATCTTTAATTGAAAGTCCAATGATCAACAATTGCGACAAGTTTCAAACAATCAGAAAGCAAAACAAAATGTTGGTAAAAACTTATAAATAATTAGTGAACGTCCAAATCAAAAAAATAATTCTGAATTGTGTAATAATATTGAACTATACCTTTTCTTAAGTGCTGTTAAACATATTGTGAACATCATGCCATATTCCTATCAAATTTAGAAGCCTTCTTAAATGAGTATTATGCAATTTTGTTACAGATTCTGGAATTCAGTGATGACGAAGAAATGTGAATGTCTTTGCTTCCATTACCACCCTTTATCTGAGATCTCAGGTATGATGTCATAAATAATGAAGATCGGAAAGACATAAACCCACAAAAATCTATTATTTTCCTACAAATAAATGTGGTTATGAACCAGTACAGTACTCTGGGGTAATTTCTAGATCTCTCGTGTATATGTGGTTATTAGTGCCTCAGGGTTTTCACAGTCACATAAGTTTGTTGCTGGGAGTTGGGCGGATTGCAGCATGGATACATTAATTAGACAGCCAGAAATATGTGAAAAAAACTATATGGTTTGGTAATGAAAACGCCATTCAAGTTGTCAGTGTTAACAAAATAAAGAAAATAAATAAAAAATTGTTAATCGATAAGGCATGTTATAATGTAAACTGGTTAACTCTTTTATAAATGATGTGTTGACTTAATTTTAATAATTTTATGTGGTCTTTTTAGTCATGAGTTTTGTTTTAGCGAATTTCCCTATAGGGAAGTAGCTATTACCGTAGGTCTCGTGGTAAGACCTGGGCCCGGGACGGATTTATTTAGTTTTAGTACTGTACTTTATGACAATTTCACCTGTTATGATAGCTTAGCTGAATTTTGTAATGTAAATGAAAATAAATAATGTAAATGAAAATAAAGGATTGTCTATTGACTATTAAAAGTGGTTTGTAGTGTGAACACAAGAAGTGGCAAAGCCTGGTACTCCTTACTGCTTTAATTGCTGCTTAACTTGTTCTCAAACTAAAGCATTAGGCCTTAGTATATGATCAATGATTGTAGGTAAATTTCCTTTGAGGTACAGTAGAACCTTGCTAATCCGACCTCCGATGGTCCGACTCCTCGCTTGGTCCGACCCTCCTGCCAACACAATAGGCTTCCGCTAACATAACCTCATTGTCCAAGAAAAATACGTAGAAAACTATATAAATTGTTTTTTTTTTTTAGTCTAATGTGTTAGTTAAAACGTGTTGTATATTTAACCATGTCTGCCCATTATTAATATTTAGTAGGCTCCCACATTATTGTTTTTAAAAATTTTGAAAAATCACAGTTTATTTGACAAAAATAAAATGGAAGCAAAACAAAGGAATGTCGATCCAAGGTCAAGCTATTTGTACTGACAATCGTCTGCTCCTTAGGCCTACACATGACACATCTGTCGGCTGTGCGCTTGCTATGTCACAACATTTTGTGATTGGGTATTTGGTTATCATCACAACTTTGGTAGCCTGTGATTGGGTGATTAGTAACCATGGCAACTTGTTGAATGGGTGGATGAAGAGAAACTCAAGAAAGAATAGAAGAACAAAGAGAAAGAATAAGCAATGTTTTTATGTCATTGTTATCTTTATCGGTGTATTTTACAACTGTTGTTATGCTATAAGTATGAGGCTACTATTTTATACTTCTTTATGCGTTAAGTATCTAATGTTTTTATCGACATTCTTCTGTCCTGAAACAGCGTAGCAGTAGCCTATGACTAGCAGTAGTTTACTAGACTTTCTATTGTTCTGTTCTTTATGCAATTTGTTTGTTAGAGTAAAAGTTTGAAAAAGCTGTGATTTTAACGTTACATTTTTTATTACTGAACCAAGGTTAATGACATAACATAATTATCATGACTGCGGAATAGCCTACTAATTGTATTTTGATGATGTAATACGCAAATTATCACATTAAAGTCCATTTATACAGTAAGTATTAGGTGTTGTTTAAGAGTTGGAAATAACTGTTTTATGTCATGTTGGATTAACCGTATCCGTTGTCAGTTCAAAATACAGTTTTACCAGGTTTTTATGTCAATGCTCCCGGTCCCGTAGGTGACGGATTAGCGAGGTTCTACTGTATATAATTTCCCTGCAGGTGTAAAACATGTGGAGATGGAATGAGAGGGATCTTAACAGTTCTAAAAAGCTCTTCAGGGACATTTGTGGCTCTCAACGTCTGGAAATTGAAATAACACTTAAGCTTAAGACACCAAAAATATATCTATGAAAACATTTGTGTGTTCGGTTTTGTTTTGAGATAAGGTTAAATTGATGTTTTTCTTACAATGTTTCAGGTTGTATGAGTCATCCTGACCAAAGAAGATCAAGCATCAAACACATTGCAATGATAAAGAATGGCATATTTATTATTGCACTTCTTAGAATATATTTATACACTTTTTTGTCAAGACTGAAAATATAACCCCATAATTGCAAGAGAACCAATCAAATAATGTAATAATTGATTTATGACTCAGTACCTGAGGACCGAGCTTTGCTTGGGGAAAATCATTACGGCCCGACCCCTTAAGGCGCCTTGTGCGACTAGGTTTCTATTATTTCAAATGGAGGTGCCGCACACATCATCGGGCACAGCAAGGTAAAGCAGCGCAGAACAAACCAACTAAATTGTTACAAAATACTCTAAAACGAGGTTTGTAGTGATTGGTATAATTAATCTGGTTACAATCAATTTGTATTTATGTTATATTATTTTAAAGTATTGTTACTTGTACTTTTATGCTATTTTTGTTATTTATATATCAAGTTTGTATTAAATTAAATTTATTGTTTACTACATTGGTTTGTTTACTCTAACTTATCCTAGATCATAGACAAATATAATAAATACAGACCGACAGCAGTGCTGGGGTTAGCATATGTTCCGGCGTCCACCGCTAGTCGTGCCGTGTGGTTACAGCACATGCTGGTAGCATATACAACTCCTCGCCTGCAGCTGTGTGCACCGTAACTACACTGCACTTCGCGGAACCTTCCTTTGACAGTCTATATTTATTCTATTTGTCTATGCCTAGATTTAGATTTTTGAGTTAAATCAACTTAACTTCTAAATAAATGGTTAAACAAAATCAGTTTATAAGCTGTTTTTTATACTAAAATCCTGTGAATTTGATCACATTTCAAGTTTTTCATTTGGATTGTTTACGAAATGTATATGATTGGTAAACGATGCTTATTAACAACTGGATTAATTCAAAACTCAATCACTTCTAACAAGATATGTTTAATATACAAAAAATAGAAGCTTATAACTTAAAACGATTATAGTATAAAAAGAAATATGAATACAGCTTTGTAGAATGAAATAAAAATCACAGTCTATATTTGCTAGTCAGTTTTATGAGGACGTTTGTTCTACTTCATCTGAAGTAACCGAGCCTGTTCCGCTCTCTTCTGCTTGTTTCCTGAAATAATCAGACATAATTACAAATCTTGACCTCATGTTAAAGGTAAAATTTACTGGATACAAGTGTTTCCAGTACAGTTGCGAAATCAAAAATTTAGGGATGGACGAGATTGGATTTTTAGTTCGAGACGAGACAGGATTTTTTATTTCTCATAAAATGTCGAGACAGGATTTCCCTTTCTCATACATAACAAGAAATACACGTTCCACATTTTAACCTCATTTTTTTAACATTTTAAAATACCTACTGATTTATGATAGACTGGTTAAATAGAAAAAATAATAATAATAGACAAAAATATTTAAATCGTTTATTAAAAAACATTAATAAGAACATCAGTATTAAAAAATATTAATAAGTCCTAACTTATTAAAAATAACTCTTCGGCATAGGAAACATGGAGATATCAGTTAGTATAACTTTGAAAAAATAATATCAAATTTATAAGTCTAAAACAACAGTATTACTAGTTAAGTAACAATTTTTAAGTCTTGTGTTATTTTTAGAATGATTTTGGAGTGACTTATTTTGGCTATGTTTACAGTAGTAAAACATGTCTCACACTGCTTACTCAAACAAAACTTATGATTTGCTATGTCAAAAAAAATTATAAAATAATTGAAGCAATATTTCCATGTAAAGAATTAATCATTAAATAAAAACTCCTTCGCAAAGGAAACGCAACATCAACACGCTCCTGTATTGCGGGTATTGCATTGACTTTCTGCAGGTGTATTTTTTTTATTTTACATTTTTTTTCTTGAAAAAATCTAGACCAAAAAAGAATATTGTCTCGTCGAACGAGATTTAAAATTTCTCAAAATTTCGAGACCCGTCCATTCCTACAAAAATTTGTCTTGGCCTTCATTACTTAACCTATCTCATTCAAACATTTGAATGGTTTGAATATGACTTCAGTCCCCTTGTTGAATGAAATTACCCCCTTGAATAATTACCCAGTTCAATTTTAATTATTCACATTTCTTAATGATTCTTAAGAATACTTTTTGTTACTGACCAAAAAATATCTGCAATAAAAAACTCAGTAACTACACAAATCAGTTTTAACAGAGTTTAAGTTAAGAGCATTATGTTGCAAGGTAGATAATTGTTATGATATACCTTAGCTCCTGTTCCTGGAGATTTCGCCACCACTCCTGTCTAAGTTCACTCAGATTTGCCTCGAGACTAGCGACTTCATCATACCTGTGAGCTTTTCTAGAGGAAACGAAAAACACAATATTTAGTCAAACGGGTTACCTAACGTGGGCGTCCATCCATATGGGCAAGGGAACCCCAAACTACTCAGTGACTAAAAGTGAGACCCCACACTAACCAAATGTTTACAAATTTTAAAATTATTGAAAAATCCCATTCTTTACCATACATAAAGCAAATTTACATTTAATAACAAAATATTTTTAAATTGACCAATTTTGTATACATTTTCTGGGAGGATCCTTGAACTCCCCTTTTTACTGCAATTTCCACCGTGTAATGCGAACCCTCAAGTCCCCCTACCCCCCTTATGGAACGGTGAGATGGAGGACCTAAGACCTAACTAATTCAGCTCACATCAATCACAAAAGTAATGTATTTTATGGAGAAACAGTGATGGTTTCTGAGATAAGCAGTGATGCACACACAAAACAGCGACCCCCAAAATGTAAGGCTAGGACCGCCCTTGTATATTGAAAAGTATTGAGCTTCTTGGGCCAGTACTGACTCTTTTCCATTTGCCTGCTTTCCACGTTAAAAATACAGTAGATTATATTTTTAGAACACAGACACACCAGGCGCATTTTAAACCAGGCGCAAGATGTGAGGACAAAGTGTTGAATGAGACAGCTTGTTTGTTGACAGTTTTTTTACTGAGTAAGATCAGCTGATTCTTTTGTCAATACCATTAAAATCCAATGCTCAAAGACAGCTGGGTCCAGTTTCAAATCATTATAAAGATTTTGACTTTTTTGGAAGGTTACTTGATGAAAAGGAACTAAGAAACTGAACATTAGAAAGATGTTTATTACAACGTCTTACCTTGCTTCTTTGATGTAGTTTTGGATGATATTGATTTGTTGAATCAAAGGATCGTCTGTACGGAAATTTTGCATCTTCTCTGATGGCACCCAACCTTCTCCCACGCTAAAACTCTGAAAGGAGATTCAAATTGTCACCTCAAATCAGTCATATGCTAGCCAACTTGGCCCTTCAGGCCATGGGTAAATATTTCAAGCAGATTTGCATAGCTAAGGTTTCCATTAAAATTAGATTAGGTACTGTATTTTGTTCACAAAAAATTTTCAACCAATAAATAATACAGATTAATTAGGCCTATTCTTGTATGAAAAATTAGTGGGAGAGTAGTTTTTTTATAGTAAAGCCAATTTGCTGAGGAATTTTTATAAAAGGATTTTAGGCTAGCTTAATTGAGAAAGTTAAGAGTCCAGAAAATAATATACAATCAATAAAAGGTTGACAAAACATTACACTGGTATTTTGTTTAAACATCAGTCTTATGTTTTGTGAGCTTTTATTGTGCAAATATTAATCCCTGGACTCTAACTTTCTCAAAGCTAAAACAACTCTATCCCTTTTCAACAAATTCTATATGTATTTGTACTTGCTGACTACGAGGTTAAACTTAAAAGTGAAAACAAGAAAGATGAGTTAATAATAACCTACAAACACAGACTATCAAAGACTACAAAGACTAGATAAGGTAACTTACCTTATCAATATTTGAATCCCCGGACACCGACCGTCTATGATGGGGAGAACTCTGATTTACGACCTGATTGAATTGCGCTTCTCGCAATTTTTCTTCTTGAAGTCTGGCCATAACTTCTTGTCTAAAAAGATAAAACAGAAAACATAAATAAACATCATACTTAATGGCTTGCATATCCTTGAATCAGATCAAGGTTTCATGTGGTAATATATTTGTACTGCTTGCAACTTTCACAAAAGTCAAGCAGTTGATGGTTTGCATTTTGTGAGTTAATTGTCGAGTTCATAAGTAACATCTCCATGCTGGATCCATCAATTAACAGCATGTCTATAAAAAATCACAGACAACTGTAGGACAAGCCCATTTGGTCATTTACGATCAGACATCTGTGTTTGTAGACAACTGACAACATCCAAGTATTGGTGTGTGTGGGCAGAACTGTCAGTATAGTAATCTAAATGTTGCCACGTAAATGAGGAAGAATAAGGAAAGAGCTCTGTATTTAATAACAAGCCTTCCAGTCCTGGTTGATACAACACTTTGTAGATAAAAAAAATTCATTCCTACAGTTAGGGCCCTTTCACACGAGGCCACTGGTTGCCCGCCACAGCTTTAACATTATTTTAAATGCGACCTTTCACACGCAGCCACTCTAGTTGCCCGCCACTACACAGTGGCCGAGCAGTGTCTCCTCGCGCAACTGCTAGTCGGCAACCGCCGGCAACTGCAGTGGCGGCAACTTGTTGCGGGGCATTGAATTAAATGGGAGCTTTCACACGTAGCAACCAGTGGCCGCCACCGTGGATGAGCGCGCAGCTACTATTTTGAATCAGTTCACGTGCAGACTGCAAAGACAAACGCACTATGGTAGTTGTTGAGTGTTTTCGTGTTGACTTGTTTGTTTGTGAAAATTAGTGATTAGAAGAAAAATAAAGAGGACGTTGCTGAAAAAGAAAAAGACAAAGGAAATCAACAGAATAAGAGAATAAACAAAATAATAGAAGACAAAGTGGATACTGAAGATCTAATTTGGGAAATTGAAAAGTAACCGGCAATTTGGTATAGTACGCCTGTGTCTTTGCCTTATTTTCTTTATTATCAACGCGAGAAGAAGGAGATGTTCATTGTACAACAGCATTTTCACAACTACCATTGTACAGTGGCTGTAGTAAAGTGGCTTGTAAGTTGCCTGTATCATCCACTGCAGTTTCCCGGCCGGTAACTGGTGGCGGACACCGGTGTCCGCCACCAGTGGCCTCGTGTGAAAGGGCCCTTATAGTTACCTGACAAAGTGGCCTTCCATGAACTAATTATAGTATGCTAAGTAGCTAATTGCTTCATTTACTTACTTTACTTTTGCCACACTCATTTTTTTTTTACTGCACTCCAATATTCCAACCAAACAACACAAAACCGTGGGCTTTTTAATTAGGTACGTAATATGTGAACGCTTGAAAATAAGTTGGCAGCACTTAAAGATACTACAATTACGATCAGCTGGTTCAGCGGTTCCCATTTCGTTCAACGCTTGGATTTAACCTAACCCAAAAACTTGTTGCGGCTTGTGTGTAAACATTTCTCTCATGTGCTGCAAGGTGCCACTTCGCACACTAGGTACACAAATAACTATTACAACCCTTGAGGCCTTGGTTGTCCCACTACTTTTTGGGCTTAAAAAACTGTGTTAACATACAAAAGAGTTCCGCTAGTCTGAACAATCAGGATTGGACCCTGTTTGGCCTACCAAAATGTTTGGATTAGCAGGAAATGCAGTTAAATTGCGTTAAAAATAAAACAATGTATTTTAATAACTGTTAATGGCCCTATATTGTCTTCTTACTACACGAATACAATATTTCAAAAGTAGGGATGCACGGGTCCCGAAATTTCAGGAAATTTTCGGGGAAAAAATATTCATGTACCTACAATCCATGCCCTTTACCTGTCATCAGATTCACCTACAAATCGCAGGTTTCTCGGCTGACTCAACACTCTAGTCAGAATTTTACAACACACTTTTTAAAACATTAGGCTAGTTTTTTTCTCCCAAAAGGTCGTTCGGATTAGCCAGTCCTTATGATAACCAGAACTCTTGTTATATTCCATTGCCCTTCACTGATGCACAGACACCAATAGCATGGCTAATACCTACCTCTTTGTTTCTCTGATTTTCGCCAGTTCCTCCTCTGTAGGCAAGGTAGGAAGTGTAAGTAGTTTTGTCCGCAAGTAGCCTGTAGCAGCTGATCTGATGGCTTTTTGTAAAGCTAAAGCTTGACCTTGAGGCGGGTTTTCTGTGTCTTTGGTTCCTAAAACTGCAATCTTCCCACTAAAAGTAATTAGCAAAAAGTTACGACTATTTTCAGAATTGTGTGTTAAAATGTGGTTTAGAATGCTAACTATTCCTTACCAATATTTTTCTATGTTGACTTAACCAAGATCAAAGATCATTTGCTAAATTGAGACGTTCTTCTACTTCTTTGAACCGTTTCATGTATAAGATACAAAACTATTATAGTCTCTGACGGTCCTTAGGGGGTTTCAACAATAGATTTTAACACCTACGTAAAAAAATAATTAGTAGGTAACTTTCATGAAAATAGACTTTTTCATACCTAAGGCTGTCGATGTTCTCTGCAAGGCGTATTATTTTCATCCTTAATGTTTGAGCATCATTCATATTGTATGTGGATTCTCCTTCCCTAAAACAAAAGATAAATGAAGGCTGTTTGATTTGATGCTTTTATTGCACGACTCTTTGCCTAGTTACCATCTAACCTTTGAACCACAAAAAAATAGGCTAATCCATCTTATGTTTAATTTTTTAGAGGGGCGTATAGATTTTGACCGGTTAAATTTCTAAAAGTTTTCTGTTAAAATGCATGTTGTTACCACTTAGGCTTCTTGAATCCACATTGTAAATTGGTGATCTTGCCGTTGGAATAAATAAATAAATAAAACAATGAGCATACCATAGAGAAGAGGATAGCAATATGAGTATATACAGGGTTAGTAAAAAGTGTGGAGACCCCCTGTTATTTTTTTAACGGCCCATACTAGAAAAAATAAACTCGGCACACCTTTATGGCATGTTATGAAGTACTTTTTGGGCATAACCGTCACTTGGTGTACATCCCCAAAATGGGGGAGTTTGGGGGAAACTAAAAAATTTCAAATACAAAGACCTATCGAGTAACCCCTCATTTTGAAGTTCCTGGTAAAAGAAAACCAAAAACGCAAACTAGAGGTCTTTATCTCAATCTAGTAAAAAATGGCAGCCAATTGAAATTCTCAGAAGTTGAATTTAACTTGCAGCTTTCCAAGTCTGGAAACCCCCTGTAAATTTTGTAGCGGCTCACACTAGGAAAACTAAACTCTACACACCTTTTTGGCATGTTATGAAGTACTTTTTAAGCCTAATACCCACTTGCTTACTAAACCCAAAATGGGGGATTTTGGGGGAAACTCAAAAGTTTTAAATGATAAGCCCCATCAAGTGACCACTCATTTTTAAGGTCCTGGTAAAAGAAAACTAACAACGCAAACTAGAGGTTTCTATCTCAATCCAGTAAAAAATGGAAGCTGATTGAAATCTTTAGAAATCGGAAATAACTTGCAATTTTATATTCAATTGGCTGCCATATTTTACTGTGTTAAGATAGAGACCTATAGTTTGCGTTGTTAGTTTTATTTTATTATGACCTTCAAAATGAGGGGTCACTCGATGGGGCTTATCATTTAAAATTTTTGAGTTTCCCCCAAAATCCCCCATTTTGGGTTTGGGAACTTATGAGAATTTCAATTGGCTCCCATTTTGTACTGAACTGAGATAGAGACCTCTAGTTTGCGTTGTTGGTTTTCCTTTACCAGGACCTTCAAAATGAGAGGTCACTCGATGGGTCTTTGTATTTAAAATTTTTTAGTGTCCCCCAAAATCCCCCATTTTGGGGATTAACACCAAGTGGTGGTTATGCCCAAAAGGTACTTCATAACATGCCATAATGGTGTGCCGAGTTTAGTTTTTCTAGTATGGGCCGTTAAAAAAATAACAGGGGGTCTCCACACTTTTTACTAACCCTGTATACTATCCAAATAAAATGTTTGACAAGAGCTATTGGTTTATTACTAACCAAGTTTTTCAGTCGGCCTATAAACTAAGTTTGAAATTTTAACATGCATTTATTTCACAGCAGTCTTTACACCATAAAGGATTTTCAAAGCCTAACAAAATAGGGAATCAGTTTTGGTATAAAAACACTAATTTTAACCTTGATAGTTTACAACCAAATCTTACCTGAGGGAATTAGCCATTTTGAAATACATATCCAAATCCTGGTCCGCCTGTTTTCTGTGGTCTAAAAGTCTTTCATAAAACTGAGAAATTATTGGTTTTGATGTGATCATATCCTTTTGTTGTTGTCTACTTTCCAACAGCTGAAAAACACGAACAATGATAAATGCATCTACAGGACTGTGTGCTTAAAGGGCAGTATTGGTCATTATTTTCCCTTTTTGTCCATTCTGTGCATTTTCCAAGAGCCCAAAGCGAGTATACTTGCGCAGCCAGTAGTTGATTTTTGATTGTATGGCTAGTTGTTTAGCATTATTCACCTTTTGATACCTATTTGTGTTTGATTAGGTTTTAGTTTTTAGTATCAAGTTCATTTAAAACAAACATTGCTTTTTAACTACAAAAGTCAAAGCTTACCCCTGCTTTTAACATGGCATGCAAGTTTTATGTTTAAATGACATGTTTCTGTAAAGGCAAAAAGGCAACATAAATTAACCAACCTCTAGACAAATATTACAGATGCGCAGAGTTAAATCCGTTCCTTCTAAGTCCTGAGGTTGAGGTTTGTCAAGGAGTTTGTCTGAAAAAAAGTCAAGAAAATAACAAATATTAAAACTAAAACTTAAATTGATTAGGAGTACATCTTAATATTAATGCAACTCAAAAACTTTAAAAATATCACAAGTGTGAATTATTTACTGTTTCTTGTACCGGAATGGACTCTTTCCCATTCACTTAAGCTTGCTATCCTAACAAAAATAGGCCTAATTAATACATCAATGGATCAGAAAATCTTTAAGATCAGATCACTAATTCACTCACAGCCGGCTTGCAGAGGCAGGAAAGAGCTGCACTCGTCACACAAGATGGCTCCACACAATCTACAGTGGTGCTGTCTACGAGCCAGGTGGAACGACCGAGTACAGCTCGGGCACCGAGGCACAGCGCTGCCGTCCAACCAGGGGACTTTGTTCTGCTCGTGTGCTGAAACAGAGAGACACTATCACTCAGCACTAAGAATGAGCATGTGTCACAAAGCATTAAGGCTAGTGATGTAAAATACCCAGGTATTTAAAACTTGGGGTGAATACCCAAAATCCATAAATACCCGGGTATTTTGGGTATTTATGAAATCAATTGAAATTCATTTATATTTACCCCTAAATATGTTATTGTTATTACATGATAAATTAGGGTAGTCTATAACACCTTTTACATTTTACAGTAACTTGAAGCTTTGCTCGCTTAATGATTTAGCACTTTTTTTTTATAATACACAAAGTTTCTAAATAAGCATGGGGTTTCGTGTCTTAAATCGAGTAACATTAGTTAAATTTAACTCACTAAAAAATAGTATATATTAAAAAAGGCTGTGGCTATTTCAATTTTTATAATTTCATAAATTTATAACCAATTAAATAACATAAACAAAATTATTTTAATTTATAAATATCCAGGAATTGTAGGGTACTTATGATGCAAAATTTTTATTGTATAAATGGTTTGGAAGGCTAGACAGACCTAAGGCCTGATTGACATTAGGCAGAATGATAGAATACTTTTAAGTAATTAAACTTTTCTGTGTTACCGCTTAGTTGGAAACAATAATATATTTGGATAAACCTACTAAAGAAACGTATCTCCTGTTTTTTGGTCGAACCTAATATAATATTGAAAGATTTATTGTGCTATAGATTCAAATGTTTTGTATCACAAGTTTATGAAATTATTATTTTTTTTATACCATTGATACCAACAAAAGATCTGGAAACAAAAATATTATTAAATCCTGCCATCCTACAGATTGAATTTTAAAATTATTTTTTAAGTTGTTTATACATAGGCCACTACTAGGTTAAATTTTCCTGTCTTTCTAAATAATAATTAATTACTTTGCAATTTTTTTTTTTTCACTTTCAATAAAATAAATTCATCTATCTATCATAGAAAATAAAAAATCATGTCAGGACCAGTGCAACCATGCGACCAGGGTATTTATGCCGATTTTCCCAGAAGTAAAATGCCAGTAGTGACCATATGAAATTTTGTTTAACACATTTTATCATCATTTTACTATCCTTACAAGGTAATAATTGCAAAAAAACATCTAAATCTTCTCTAACTTAAATAAAAATTATAAATACCCAGTTTTTTTTTTGGGTAAAAACCCAATTTATATTTACCTACCCACTGGGTATTTACCCGGCCCACATCACTAATTAAGGCGTAGGTTTTATGGAATTATTAACCAGATCGCTGATATACTTTTGGAAATTTGCAATTTTCTATAAACATGTTATAACACCAAACACGAAACAATTAACTGATTAATTAATCAATTCAAATTAACAAATTTTACAAAATATTATGTACAATTAAGGCAAGTTATAAAATTGTAATAACTATAACTAAGGGCCCTCCTGGCAAGCCATCCAGCATTTGGGTTAAAGTAGAATCAGTAATAGCAGCAGGAACAGTAGGACAACTTGAAGAGTCTCGAGACTGATTTTCACATGAAGAACTTGTATCTGCAGATTCTAATTCAGAATTTAGGTAGTGGTGCTTGCATATAAGCTTAGCAAGATTCTCTGCCAGAATAGATTTACCATAGTTGTTCATGTGTAAGCCATGACGTGTGAAGTGTTCTCTTCTTTGCCAGTTTAGATGCAGCATATCTATGTTTTTCTCTTCTCTAAGCCGCTTTTGTAACACTCCATTAAAGAATTTTATATTTTTATGTGACAAAGTTGTGTCAAACCTTGTAGGAACTAAAACTACTGATACCTTGGTTGATTTGGCGATATGTTTCATGTCAGCAAGGTCGGGTATAGACTGCCTTTGCATGTCAGGCAAAATGTCATTCGTACCAGCAAAGATTATGACATGATCATAATGGGTGTAGCCTGTGGTAAGTTTCAGGATATCACTGGTGACAGTGACACTTGGTGACTGTGTCTGCCAAATGCACCTGGAGTACGTATTCAGAATTTTCAATAAAACTATCAGACAGGTACTTAAAGCACTAGTTTTAAAGAAGTAGAAAAAACAAACCTTTTTTCTTGGCAGGATCTCGAGGCATGCCTTCCAACAGTTTGTCCAATCTAATAAGCAACTGATTAACAGGAATTGAGAACCTTTGTAATCTAGCAGCTCTTATCTTCTCAAAAGAAGAGAAATGACTCATTGTAGTACCTAAAGAAAAATAATAATGTGAAAGATGTTTTGTACCGACAACATTTTATTGTTTTTCCACACACCTAATCTGCCTAATGCAGAAGAAACATTAGAATTGCTACCAGTTGTATTTCTAGGCATCTCAATTCTCCGAGCCATACCTAGTTTTAAATTGTGTTTAAGTGAGTGTAAGTGAAACGGGTTATCAGTATGTGATAGTAATTTAAACATTTAGATTCGGCTTATCTGGTGGTTTGAGCACAGGAATTTTGATCACAAATGGATTTTAGTTAAACAGTGATGCTGCGATCCTATGGTTCACAGAGAATAACTTAGGGTGGAGGTCCACAACATTTAGGTGTATATAACAAATTATCTAAATTATGGTTTCACTAACAAATTACAAAGAAAATTGTCAGACATAAGCATAGCTGTAGTTTCAAAGCATTTAAACAATACTTAGACATAAGATACCAAATATTACTGATTTAGGCATACAATACCTAGTTCTTGATCTTCCCATTCCACATTTCCAGTAGGTGACTGAAGTCTGCTAGTGAAATTATAATCGGCAAAATCATCTTGTTTCAATATTTTCTTCTTAGCTTTCCCAAAGAGCTCTGCAAACAAAATTACTGATAAATGAAATCAAATAACTGTATGGTTTTTAAATGTTAGCATATGGCGCAATCTAAAGCCAGCTCCGGACTTGCACCATTCGCAAAGCACGAAATATTTGACGTTCAGCGATCTATTTGTCTTGCTATTCGCCGATTTACGAGTAGACGTCTACCTTGTTTTCTGAGCAACTGTTCGATCGGGAATAGCAAAATATTTGTTCACTTTGATATTTGCAAAAATACTGACAATGAATGGAAAAACACAAGCACAAGCATTTGCTGCTTGCCAAATAGACAAACACCTATCCACACTACTACGCGATTCAGCGAGTCACTGCTCGGTGCTAGGCGCATGTCTGGAGGAAACTTAAGGTAAACTGCAATTCATTAGTGCAAATACTGCTTGATAAATCCCCTGATCTTGGCTAGCTATTGTTAAAAGACTTTTATAGCAAATTCTATCAACATGTTTTACTCAAGTTTTAAGTACAGTTTTTGGAGTAAGTTAATCCTTTCGGTGTAATGTAACAATATTCTGGAGATGAAAAGTGCTCTGTAAAGCTACGCGCGCACTACGGCGGCACGGCACGGACGGGCGGTGCGGCAGCTCGGAAATGTCCTGGAGTTCTGTCTCCCGGACTTTTTAACAAACGGCGGAAGCTGCCGAACGTCCTCATATGACATTCAATGTTATTAACTTTTAAAAATTGCCGTGTCGCCCGTCCGTCCGTGCCGTGCCTCCGTAGTGCGCGCGCAGCTTAAGTTTAATCAAGTTCAGCCAACATTTTTAATCTCGATCATATTCAATCCGAAATAAAACTTTGAAAACTTACCTTTAAATGACCTTAGTAAATCTTGTTCACCAGAATGCTCTTCTTGAAAATGAGTCATAAGTTTGATGGCTGTTCCAAAGTCACCTTTGCTGATGCACATGGGGCATAAAAACCCTTCAATCATGCCATCATTTCCTTCAGCCATTTTCCTTAAAGGTCTTGTAAAAATCTAAAATAAAATAAATTTAAATAGTTACATATACTCTTATTATGGCTCTAGGTTATACATTTCTGCATATTTAAACGTAAGTTAGTCCTTGCATAAATATTAATTGAAAAAAGTGTTGTTTTAAAAATTTTAGTTATTGTAGAAGTTTCAGAAAGTGGTAAATAGTAGGCCTAACGTGGTTTCAAGGAGTAAATTATTATAGTGTAAATTTATTTAACAAGATACGGTAGGCCTATGTCATGCTAAGTTATACCAGTAAAAATTCTTCCACTAGAGAGGTACCGGAACGCCATTCCACCGCTGTTAGAGCAGCAGTTAGAATGGCAAACACATTTGGATCCATGTGACGGTTAAAATAAAGTTTGGCTTAGTTATCTATTGGAGTATGTCAGCAAATTTCCCATATAGGGAATATTAGCAAATCAAATCAAATCAAATCTTTATTGCCAGAACATTTTACAATGCATAGCAGTGTCAACTAGTTACAATAAATATAACTATAAACAGTCCACAGTCCAAATTTATAAACAGTCCAAATTTCTCATATAGGGAATAAGCTATTACTGTAGGTCTCATGGTAAGACCTGGACCCGGGACCAATTTACTCTTTTGTTTTAAGGTCCCAGAGGCCAAATCACCATCCGTTCAAATTCATATATATGGCTATTTATCTATAGGCCCTATGTGCCCGCTAGCACGATAGCTCAAACAAAAATGATCCAATTTTGATGAAACAAACCTAAATTTAATCGAACTAGTTTGCGAACCAGCATGATTGTACTATGTGAAAAGGGGTTTATATGGGGTTTTACAGGGTAAAAGTGGGTTTTGTTCCATTAAAAAAAAATCCATTTAAAATTTTGCAATGTCTTTCCAAACCCTTTTGTAGAGCTCAAAAAAACAAATAATTTAGTATATTGAAGCGAAGAGTTGTTGTATGCCTAACAGTTAAGTTACAGAAAAGACTTCAAAAATGTGTAAATTTAAAATTATCATGTTATTCTTACGGAGAATATACACTTGCTTGTCTAAGGATATATTTTATTGCAATTTGGAAAATTTGTTTAGCCTATTTCATTCTAAGCAATCAAATTTTTAATAAAAAAACACACATTATACTGTCTCCCTTGTAGCAGCAAACCTAAGTACTCATTAATTAGGCTATATAAAGCTGACAATTTTAACGGAATAATTTAGTGGAATTCCAGCCAGGCAGATGGAAATTCGCTTAGTCTGCAGGTTTGCTGCAGCGGGGTTGTTTCACTTACAATAAAAAATAAAAAACATAATTATATGTTAAACTTGAACAGTATTTGAGTTTTGGAAAATGGTCGCATAAAATAGTTTATGTGTTTAGCGTGGAAAATGTGACTTGACTTGTCAACTTCAAGGTTAACCTACCGTACAGTTCATCTGCAGAGCCATTGTAACTGATATAACTGAAGGAGCTGAATAAAGAGCCCTTTGAAATCACTTAGGAAACCATATCTAAGCCCCTTCTTATTCTTTCTCATCTTAGACTAGTCACAAACCCCACTGTCAGATCCTTAAAAGGTATAATAAGAACTAACTTATTATTGCCTGAAGAGGTAACCCATAAACCTCATCAGGTATTGCGCCAAAATGAGCATAATCAGACTTTAAGGGTTAATTTGGGCGATGCTTTTTAACTTAACTCAGCTTAATTTAACCTTTTTTAAGTGATTTGTAGGCCTATCCAAAATTATCGGACACAGGCCCTCTTTTATAAACGGGCAGACTGGGCACATGCCCAGGGGCGTCCGTTGGGTGTCCCCAAACCACCGCCCGCCAGCACTAGAAAAAAAGGGGGGCCCTGCTCTTGGGTTTACCCAGGGCTCCACTTACCCTTAACGCGGTCCTGACCGGGCACTGATGAAGGAGACAAGTATCTAAACTTAGTAGTACCGGTAGGTAGACAATCAGTTTTTAAACTAGTACTGAATTTATAAAGGGGCTGCACTTTAGTTTACATCTTACACTAATTCGAATGAAAAATAGCGATATGTAGAATATTTGATATTTCAAATATTTCATTCAGTAAGCCTAGTTAGGTTAAGTTAACCTAACTTACCAAACTTGATGTATCAAATGAAATAATCGATAGGCTACATCGATCGATATATTCAATCGAGTGAGTGTAGGACGTTACTAAAGTGCAGCCGCTTCTGCCTTTTAACTTAGTAATTTAACCAAGTTAACCCACTTTAGCTAACTTAACTTATGATAGTTAGAAATCATATTTTATTAAGTAGAATATTAGAGCCAACCAACTAACAGATTACTATTGTAATTTTAATTTTAAGAAATTAATCGTAGGAAACACAAATGCTTACTCTACTACCAAACCAAATACCTTGAAAAATGAAATTAACAAATAAATAAGTTAATGTTTGTCAAGGAATGAATGAATGATAAGAAACGAAACAGAAACATCTACACACCTACTTAAAAAATAACAAGAGTGAATTGAAATCTTCTTTAAACAAATAATACTAGCCTATAACAGTACCAGAATATTAATAGAAACTAAGGATACTCCAATACTAAGTTATATACTGTTCTGTAGTGTAAAATTTAAAATAAAATAATTCATCAGTTCGCTAGTTCAGTCCAGCGTATCATCAATAAATTTGACGTTTGGTTTTTTTATGATTGCAGTTGCAGTTCCTCACTATTTAGTAGTGTGGCCTTGCGTGAGTTCGGGTCTGACTTACGGGAGGTATAAATGAGGCAACGATGACGTCATAAATTTAGTTCAAAATTCCTCCGTGAACAGCGTTGTAGTAGAGGGCTTCGCCCCGTTTGACTTCATAAGTATTCAAGCTATTGATTGCCGTACCGGATTGGGTGGCATTAAGAGTGGCTTTTCACATATTGGATTAGTAAACCCTGAAACTTTATAATGCTATTGAACCAACTTGTTTAATTGAAACAGCTGTTAAGATTCATTAATTATTTTTAAATATGAAAAATCATAAGGTTAACATGGGAAACTCCAGAGCCACTGGGGCGGAGCCCGACAGTCCGATCAGAATAAAAACAACTTAGTTTTCCTACTTAATGCCTAAAGAATCGGTGTACCAAATTTCAGCCTCCTAGGTAAATGGGAGAATTAGTGATGAGTGAGTGAGTGAGTGTGTCAGTGAGGGCTTTGCCTTTTATAAGTATAGATTATGCTATGTTTATAAAGTGATTTAATCCTATTTAATGTATATTTGAATGTAAATGGTGTTACCGTTGAAAGAATAAATAAATAAATAAACACAACATCTAAAACAGATTAGAGTTTTTAATGTGATCATATATTCAGTGATAGAGGACATGAAAGAATGGACTCGGTCACCCTGGGTTCAATACGATGAAAATGTGCGAATTTTTCTTCTTAAACCAACTAAAATAATTTAATCCTTAGAATTTACTTTTTCTGCTTAACCAGATCGGTAATTCTGAGCAATTACTTGGTCAACCCCAGTTTTATTCATACTTTACTACGGTCATCAGGATGTTTTTAGAAAACAATAAACATATAATTTAAGCCCCGCAAGGTTAAGTTAGGTTAGGTTAAGTTAGGTTATGAACTAACCTAACCTAACCAAACATAACGGTACTGTCGCAACTGGCTTTAGAGATGTATGTGAAACTAAAAAAACATAATTCAGCCCGGGAAAGTTAATATATGTTATATACAAATAGAAATTACCTCAGTAATCGCCGGGTTCTTCGTCCTCATCCGACATCCGAGTCTCCTGGCCTTCCGCGCGTCTCCTGCAAGCCACTGTTATCGCTTGGAATTTGAAAGTTCTTATCACTCTGCAACCTGTACGATGGTCTTGTGGGGCTTAAATTATATGTTTCTTGCTTTATAAGAACATCCTGATGACCGTAGTAAAGTATGAAAAAAATTGGGTTTGACCAAGTAATTGCTCAGAATTACCAACAGATCGAATCTACAAGCAATTACAGCAGAAAGTGTTTAATGATGGAAAATAACTATTGTGCAATTTTGAAATAGCTTTCATTACGACACGACGCCCACGACGTCGTATATTATTCTAGATATTGCATGTTAAAATATCAGCTATTTAGCTATTATTTGTATTAGTATGATATCCATCCCAAGTTAAATTCTTACTTAAGCTCTGAGTCTGTATATTATGTGCTTCTTCATCTCTCTGCACTGCGCTAACAGCTGCGCAACAGTACTGATTTCGTCAACTGAAGTTTCCTGGTTAGTTATTCTGCTATACAAGAAAATTCTTAATTATTAGCCCTTTTGTAATATTTGGAGTACATTTTCCAACTCTAATATCACAAAGCTAGGCGCTGAGTATAAGGTAAGCATTCCACATCAAAATATTGACCTATCTGATCTCTTTGTGACGTAGGTTGAAACTGAGTTTTCGGATAGCATACGTTGACTACAATACAAGCTGCCAAGTATTCCAGACCAGGTAGTCATTTATTAACATCATATACCTTTTTTAGTTTCAATACATTCTTGCGAATTTTGTTGTATCAATTGGTTATTATCTTCCCAGAATCATATTTTTGGTATACGGCTTTTTTAATGTTCATAAAACTTGTATGCCAACAGCTGTAAACAAAAGGCCCACTTAAACCCAAGCTTGTAGACAAAACTCATTAGAAAACAAATAGTTAATTTTTATGTTCAAGCAAATTTACCGCGTAGTGTACCTATATTTTTTCTCTCTCAATTTTACTAGACCTAATAGCCTACCTTTTACCTTTAAAGTTTAGGCCCAGCCTTAATTTGGCCAGCCTTACAAGGCTGTAAACCCAAGAGTGACCTAATGCAGCAATTTTAAGTATTTAAGTATATGCTGATGATGTGTCCCCAAGACACTTTTGGTGATTTAACCAATCCTTTGTATCATGGTTTACAAATACCGTACACTTAACTAACTAAATTTACACCCCATAATTTTAGAGGTATTTTTTGGCCTGTTAGCCTGAATATTTCATTCCACCCTTAAACTTAGAATATGATATTTACTTTTGGGAGTTGCTTGATTAGCCTTGTTTAAGTTAACTCAATTCAACCCGCCATCAGTCAACTTGTCTTCAGTTGCGCAAGCGGTTACATCTTATGCTTAGAACCTAAACTTAAGTTTATATGCGCTCCCCACTACTGTTCAATTCCAATTGTTTTCTTTGATTACAAGCTGTAAATGAGTGTTTGTATAGGCTATGCTAACTTACATAGGTACTCATTTTTTAGGCCTATGGTAACTTAGTGTTGCTACACACCCTATTAACCAAGATAAAGGGGGAGAGAGTGTTTAAGATTTTTAAAACTTTTTCAATTAACTTATCAATGGTTGGAGTTCAAAGAATATTTAAGTTCAAAGAGATCTGGTAACAGGTGCTAAACTTTAGAAATTTTAAGTCACTAATTCTAAGTCTAACTGTCATTCTGAAATGTTCAACCTTTGTAGCCTTCATAAAATGTGTAAGTTAGGCCTAAGTTAGTTATAAAGTTGCTTAGATAGTGATAATTAAGAGATTCGTGTTGTTATGTACTCCTTCATAGCCTTCATCCTGTTGGCCAAGCTGATTTAACAACTTCGGCACACGATAACTCAGGGAATTTGTACAGCAGAGTCTAGCCTATATCAAGTACTGGCACCTAACTTAATGAGTACAGTTCTGCAGAGAAGCTAAGCCTATAGGATGTAATATTAGTTGAATATTAATAGTCTTTTGATTAAAATATTTAATTTAGACTAGGCTTAATGTAAATATTGAATGTTAGTAAGCTTTTTAATTTCTGTTATGGTTCTTTAAAAAAAGAGGGCTGCCTGCCACTCTCTTACACTGCACTGCGTTGTTTATGTCTGGTTAGGTTATATTTTTAGTTTATAATAATCACAAACAAGGTAGGTAGGCTTATCTTTTAAAAAAATGAACCTTTTCCCAAACTCTTGACAAAATAAATTACGAATGGGTCCTAATAATTAGGTAACGTCTTTGTAATTTGGCCTCTTTAAAAATAACACATACATCCACATTTTACGTTTTAAATGCTATTTTATTTTTTTGTTATTTTTTTATAAATGGTTGCACCATTTTTTACAAGAAAATACAGTAAATCTTAACAGAAAGAAGAAACAGAGAAAAAACATAGGGCTAGGCCTAGTGTATTTGGGATAATCACAGGCCAGAGTACAAAAGTAGTGAAAAAACTGGAAAACAAGGTACCCAAGATAACCTCAAAAATGACTTATCTATAAATAACAAACTATCTGAACAAGTTAACAAAACAAGAGATTCACAAAAACAAAACCAGTAGGCTATAACACCATATAACAATAATGATAGCAATGCAGTAAAACCGAGTAAAAATTTAGTAAATAGAGGCAGAAGAATGTTGATGAAAAACAGATCAAACTTGCAGAAAAATGTTTATATTATAAAATAGTTCAAGCTATAAACTAACATAAACTAAAATAACCTGACCAACGCATCACAGTGTGAAAGAGTCTTAAAAGACCCCATAGCTTAAAATAGGATAATCCTGTTCAATAGATAAGTCAATACTTAAGTCTATATTGCATGAAAACTATTTCCGATACGATTAATCAAACTAATTGTCATCTTGATAATATTTCTTAGGCTATAGTTTCTGCGGAACTGTACCTCAAGTATGTATAACGACACCACTGTAACTTCAGTTCAAGAAAAGTGTCTACAAAGGATTTCAATGGTCTGCCAGGGGTTGAATAGCTTCTTTTTGTACTACCTTTTTTAAGTGTGAAGAGTGACCCCAATTCACTGTAGCCTACGCTTTGTTGTAGGCAAGATGTCCGTTCTCAACCAGAGTGGGGAGGAGCAAGTGGAGTGTCCACTGTGTATGGAGCCGCTAGAAGTCGACGATCTTAACTTCTTCCCATGCACTTGTGGATACCAGGTAAGATCAGCAGCTTTTTCAGCAAGGACCATTTATTTGAAGGTGTCATACTGTTGTAAGCAGTGCTCGATTTACAGTGGAATTGTGTTCCGGTACCTCTCTTGTGGAAAGATAAAAATATTGGCATTTAAATAGGTAATAATCACATTAAATAGGTTACAGTTCCAGCATCTCATTTTACAAATCGAGCACTGGTTATTTAAGTTAACACTAGGAACTGAAAGTCTGTAAAGTGTATGTAATAATGTAAGAGTGATACTTAATTATAATCACCAGGAGGCTAAATCAGATGTATTTAATCTCCTAGTAGGCTAGTAGAGCTAGTAGAGGCTAGTAGGTGTATGTTTAATCTTCTTACTGTACTGTTAAATTGCTTTTGTCCATCCGACTTTGTTATGGAATGAGCTACAGTACCGCGTGTATACTTCTTTTACTTACTCACTAGTTATTATATTTATGTGTTGGCTTTGGATTGAATGTTTTTTAAACATTAAATTTGCTTAAATTGTATAGTCCCAATAATACGAACCCCGCTAAACCATATATCTGCCTAACTCAGTAGAGTGACAATAATACGCTACCTGTAAACTGAATATGGTAGTCCTAAAGATTAAAACTAGTAGACAAACTACCCAAGTACTTCCTGTTAATATTGATTTTGTTGTGATCACAGTGACATTACTGTAGGCCTAGGCTAATGTTTGAATTGTATAAGCCATTTAGAGTACTAGAATATGCCTACCAAAAATATTGTCTCTAAAATGTGGCATATCATATATGCTTAATACACATACCTATAGTGTTGGATGATGAAACTATACCTAATGTGAATTATACTAATCTGAATTATTGGCTATTAGCCTATATTTATTGTGAAAATAATATTGAATGAAGTTATCTTAGCTAATCCGAACAGGGCTCAGTTGCAATTAGTTTGGATTAGCATCCTGCTAATCGCGTCCTTTCTAGACAATTCATGAAAGTTATGGGAGTTATTATTAACAAGAATAGAAATATAGTTTTTAATTTTTTTTTTATCTGCGTCTTCTAGTAATAATTTGATTTATTTTAAAGACTCTAAACAGAGTGGGTTATTTATGTTCATGTTTCTTGTGTTTCCAAAGGGTGCTTTGGCCCAAACAAATTTTTGTTCTCCAAAAATTATAGGCTTTGTTGATTTTCTCTCTCTCTACTTTAATGGACAGTATTTCTGTTGTTCATCATTCTACGGATTCTGATTTGTTTTACGATCAAATTTAGTGAACTATTCCTACCTCAAAGAAAATTACCCTTAGCTAGGATTTTAAATGAATTAACATTAATTGTTGCCTTTTTGTTGCCATTGGTTGTTGATGTTGCCTTTTTTAACTCCGTGATGTATTATTAGCCAATGAAATGTCCCACAACTGTTTTTCATTATTTTTGCCTTGCTTATTTCAGATTTGCCGATTTTGCTGGCACAGAATCAGGACTGATGAAAACGGTCTGTGTCCGGCGTGTCGCAAAGCTTACCCCGAGGACCCGGCAGACTTTAAGCCTCTGTCGCAGGAGGAGGTGGCAAGACTGAAGGCGGAGAAGCGACAGAAGGACCAGCAACGGAAGCAGAAAATCACGGAGAACCGGAAACATCTGGCCAACGTGAGAGTAGTGCAGAAGAACCTGGTGTTTGTGGTGGGACTGCCTATGCGCCTAGCGGACGCGGAGGTAATTCTTGTTGTAGGCCTATAGCTTTACTAGATAACAATCTTCAGAATATATGATTTAAAAAAATATCTTTTTGGTTAAATACCTTATGGGATATGTGTCACTATTATGTAACGCTGACACACTATTATAAAATATTAAAGTATGAATCAAATAAAGTAGCCTACACCTGCTCACCAAACCTGAATACAAAGTGATTTTCCATTTGCCTGATCGGATTTCCACTCAAATATATCCAGAAACATGTCAGATTTGTTTCCCTATGTAAATAGTATTAGGTTAACAAGAACTTAGATCTGCTGCTACAACTCAAAAGATACAGTTTTTTTCAATTTCATTGTAAACTGTTTAGTAGGACTAAAAAATAAAACAATATTGTACTTTGTTGTAGTTATTATTTAGGTACCGGACTGAGAAAAGTTAAAAAAAAACTGTAAGTTTTAAAATTTTTATGTTATTGTTTTGAAGAATAAGTATAAAAACTGTTTAGGGTAGTTTGTTTATGGATATATTCTGAATCAAATTTATTGAATCTCCTCATTTCATCCTATACTATTATCAATTTCACTATAAACAACCTCCCTATAGCAGAAAACCTTAGTTTGTTTGTTTAAAATAATTTTTTTTAAATAAGTAATGAATCTGGTATGTTTAAAATATTTGATATTTAAGGAAATATTTAAGTACGGTAAAATCCAATCTGGCAATAGGAAATACACTTAGTCTGCAGGTTTGCTGTGGCAAGGATATTTATATAAAAGGTTGGTTTATCTGGCCAGGGGCAGGGTCCCATAGTAGTATATGAGGGGTTGTTCTAGAAAAATAAATTAAAATCTCAGATTTGTATTTGTTATTTCCACATTTATAATGGATCTGTAACTTATCCCCACCTTGTTCTTACTTGAATGAAGGTTTTTTTCTCAACTTATTTTGCTTAGAGGTAAATTTAACTGACTAAATGTGTACAAAGAGCCTATTAGATTACGGATTGTTTAAGTGACATGAATAACAAACTATAATGTTAATGTAATTAATTCTAATTGTTTCCCTGTTAATTTCTTATCTTATCATTCTGTAAATGTAATGTGAGTTACCAGGAGAAATCGATTTCAATTTTAGTCTTGAATAAAACAATTTGCTATCACTATTTAGAAATTTAAAAATCATGACTTCTGAGTAAAATTGTTTAGTGCAATAATTACTAACTTATTGGATTTTAAAGTTTGGCCTTTATTATTTTTGTACTTCAATGTACCAAATTTTTTCCTAAACCATCAAGGTAAAGGAAAATCTCTTATTTAGACAGTTCGGCCACAGTGACTAGAATTAATTGCTTTTTGAGTAGTGCAATGTTGTAATGTTTTATCGAGGGTGACAAAATCTTTAAGAACTAAAAAAGCTAACATTTCCTTTTGACTCACAAATACAAGTCTGAGCAATATTAGGCCTATAATTAAATCACAATGTTAGTTGAAGTAGCTTATTATGCAGAACGTTGTGTACTTATTTATCAGTCTAGTTGTACTGTATCCAACTTATGCTTTCTTTTAGCCCATTAAAATAAATATTTTCTTTGAACTTGTCAATAATCTTGGTTTATATTTCAGATACTGAAAAAGCATGAATATTTTGGAAAATATGGCAAAATTCACAAAGTAGTAATTAATCAAAGTACATCCTACGCCGGTTCACAGGTAAGAGAAGGGGTATTGATTAATTATTCATACTTTTTGTATTTCAGTTATTCCCAGGTTTGAGTGTCTACCATCTTTTATCCCCCTACAATTCCTCTTCTTCCACCATCCATGTTTCTTCTAAGTATTCTTCTCAGTCTGCTTCCTTCTACTGTAGACTCCCTCCTCTCCGGATACCATTTAATCGGACATCGTTTTGTTTTAACCCTTTTTCTTATGTAGGCTTTTGTGGCCGGTGTCATGAGAGTTCATGGTAGTGATGTAAAACGCCCGGGCATTTATAACTCGGGGCAAATGCAAAGGATAAATGCCCATTTTTCATAAGTGCTCGGGCATTTATGGGTTTTGAGACAATAATTCAATTGCGGCCTTTTTTATGCAAAAAAACCTTTTATTAAAATAAATTATCCTACCGGTAGTTATTTGATACAAACTAAAAAAATACAGGCCTTGTACTTTATTTCATAATGTCTAAATTTGTGGTCATCTCAAACTTTGTTGAATGTAGTCTAGTTTGAAATATTTAATTAATTTGATGCAGGCCTACCCCTCCATATTATTGACAGTAATAATTCTTTAACATAAATGCCCAGAACTTATGAAGATTTTGATGTTTAAAAAATGCCAAGATATAGGAATAACTTTTATATTCTCACAATGTCCTCAATATACTTTGGTACGATAAATAATGTGGTTTTTTTTTATAATTAAAAGGTTGAAAATAGGCTTTTCAAAAATATTCATGGCTTAGGCGTTATTAAATGTATTTAGAGTTAGGGTAAATAAATAGTTATTTTTTCCCACTTAAAATATCATTTAAAATATTAAATTAAATATTTATTCTCTATTTTAAATAGGGATGGACGAGATTGGATTTTTAGTTCGAGACGAGACGAGATTTTTTATTTCTCATAAAATTTCGAGACGAGATCGAGACGGGATTTCCCTTCTCATACACAACGGGAAATGCACGTTCAAAATTTTTACCTGATTTTGTAACATTGTTAGATGACTGTTTAAATACAAAAATAATGATATTAGGCAAGAATATTTACAATCTTTTATTAAAAAACATGTTTTTATTAATCACGCCAACTTATTAAAAATTCCTACGATTAGGAAACATAGTGATATCAGTTAGGATAGAGTTCAACTTATCCTAAAATAAAATAAATCATAAAATAAAAGCAATATTAATTTTTATAAAATAGTTAGGCCTACTTGTTTTGGCTTTTTATAGTAATAAAACATTCCTCACACTGCTTACACTTAACAAAACTTCTCAAATGTTATTAAAGTAATATTATTAAAATAATTAAAGCAATATTTACATGCAAAGAATTAATTAAATAAGAACGCCTTCGCAAAGGAAACGCAACTACAACACGCTCCTGTATTGCGGGTATTGCATTAACTTTTTGCAGGCGTTTTTAATTTTTTAAATTTGTTTTTATATTTTTTATTCTCGTCTCGATAAAAATCTCGGCCAAAAAGAAATCTCGTCTCACGTAACAAGATTTAAAATTTCCCGAAATTTCGAGACTTGACCATCCCTAAAGCAAGGACAAGCAGAAAAATCACTTAGTTTTAACTGCTGCGGGCAAATGCCCTCATAACGCCCACTGGCATTTGCTTTGTTGGTGGTATTTTTTTGTATCAACATTTTCGATTTAACTGTACTACACACAGCAGAAGTGACTCTTGTAACTGGACAATTTTTATCAGCACGTCGGTTTAAGCAAACTGGATGGCAGGAAGTGGGCACTACTGAAACGACTTTTCTTGTAGAAATGATTTGAGACCAGTTATCACGTGTCTAAATACAACGCTCACTTAAAATTTAAGTAAAATATTTGTATTATTTTTCAAATGATTTACGTGGTGTGCACATGTATCGCAAGGATTGAAAAGGTACAAAGCCTTGAAATGAAATCAAAAGTTCTTTATTTATTTCATGAACATTAGTTCATAGTGCCAATTAATCACAGTAAAAATACATCAATATTTAAACCTTAACTATTTAACTATTGTCCTTATACTTTTAGTTCTGTTGTGAACAAAGGTCAAAAAACTCATATAAAGAATAAATAATTAATTCTTTTATAAACAACCAATTATTGGTTTGTTTATTATGAATTCTTTGAGGTTGTTTTTAATATTTTCAATATTATTTTCAAACTTTTTTTCAAACAAAAAATATCTTTCCCAAATATATTGCTTTTTCTCATAAAATTTTAATCTCTGTTGAGTTGATTTTTTAATTTTTATGTCTAGTATTATACTTGTGGCATGGAAGATTTAGGACTTACTTCCTCATTTTAGCGAATTTCTCTATAGGGAAAGTAGCTATACCGTAGGTCTCATGGTAAGACTTGAGCCCGGGACCGATTTACTTTTTACTTTCACAAATTTGAACCGATAGTGTTTTTGGCCTCTAGGGACATCCTAGAGGCCAAAAACACTATCGGTTCAAATTTGTATATATGTATATCTATATACAGAGAGATATATATGTGTCCGTGAACTTGAGTAATTTTTGTTTGATTTTGATGAAATTTGGTTTGAAGGTGTAAGGCGGGATAAACTTGAATGAGTTTGTGAACCAGCAGTATCGAACGATGCTGTACAGTACATTACTGTACAGTCATTAATTCCATTTCCTTAGAAAGTTTTTCTCACATTAACCTCATGTGTTCAAACCAACTTAACTTATGAGTAATTGATTGAATTCCTATAATGTATGAGTAGGCCAAAATTAGGTTGTCTGCTTGAAGTAAACTTAGATTTGGCTACACTTGCATAATATGGCTTTGGAGACTGGTTTATCTTTACAATTTTTGTTAATCATTTTTTAAACACATTAGACTTGTCTTGATGAGATACACAATCACAATTATCAATATTTGATTGGACAATAATGTTTGTGAATTAGCCAATCCTTGTACAGGGTCCAAGTGCAAGTGCTTATGTGACGTATCAGAAAGCGGACGACGCATTACGAGCCATACAGGCAGTGAATAACATAGTTGTAGACGGAAGGACTGTGAAAACATCGCTAGGGACCACAAAGTACTGCTCACATTTCATGAAAAACCAGACGTGCCCCAAAGGGGACTGCATGTACCTCCATGACTTGGGTGAGTAAGAATTAATTGTTTGTGTTTTCTTTGTCTGTAAGTAAACTTGCTGGAAGCATGCACATTTTTAACACTAACAGAGTTACCTTCTGGCACTCTGCGAATACTTCTGCCAAAGTCAAAAGTTGACCCTCTACTCTCTAGTGTTTTATCAATTGACGTTCTAGTAGTACTAAATGAATTCTGTAATTTCAATTTTTATTACAAAATAGCAATTTTGATTGATTGTTTTAGTGAAAGAAAAAATTATTAATAATCTATTTCATCTTAAATTTTTTAAAGGAAACATTGTTGTGTTTTCTTTTTGTTAGAATAGATTTCAGGTTTTGAACATTATATTATTGAAATTTTTGCGTTGACTCCCAAAATTATCTCGCTTTTTGTGATATTTAAAATAACTTAATGTTATAAATAATCATCTCTGAATTTTGGAAGCTAATGTGTTAAATACCTAGGCTATTTCTTGAAATGTTTTACTTACTGGCAGTTTTTGAGGGACGTCAAATAGTGAAGTAGAATACTAAATAGGCACAAGTTTATTTTCTTGAGTTTATTTAAGATTGGAGGTATTCATTTGAATTGTTTTTGTTAAACAGGGGATTCTGAAGCAAGTTTTACTAAAGAAGAAATGCAGCAAGGGAAACATCAGGAGTACGAAAAGAAATTACACGATCAACTAATCAATGCTACAATAAATAGGTAAAGACCATTTAAATTTTAAAATAAAAACAGAACTTTTAATTTAGGGTTTTCTTGATTCAGAACCACACTCTCTAAATTTTAAGTTTTCAGTAGCAATATTCGTTTTGGGTCCCCCTGAACCCCAAAAGTTGGTTTTGAAGCAATGTCTGTGTGTGTGTTTGTGGATGTGTATAGAGCTGTAGACTAAACCTGTGGTCATTTTTTAAAATTTTGATTTTTAATGATGATGTTTGCATAAAATCACGGTAAAATCAGACTTTCACAAAAATGGCCTAAAAGATTTTGATTTACATTTAGTATGTTGTAGCCCTTTGTTTTTTAAACAAAACGGTACAACATCCATTGCTGTAAAAATTGTGGTTTAAAAGTTATTGCAATTGTAGTGATTTTCCCTAAAATCGGCTATTAAAATATGCGGCTCTACCAGTTTTTATTAAAATTTAGTAAGTTACAGTAACCCAACAAAGTGGTACAAACCCCTAGCTGTAAATCATAAAAAAAATCATGAAATAAGCCTATAAATAGCAATGTAAATCTATATAAATAAAATTAGAGTTTTGTCTGTACATTGCTTAGAATAATGAACTTTTTGGTTATTTTTACATTTCATAGGTCAGAGAAACCGAATCAAACCTTATCTCAATTTCTGTCTGTCTGTCTGTCTGTCTGTCTGTCTGTCTATCTGTCATTCTCTTGGTAACGCTAAAATACGCACTTTATTACAACTACTCCTCAATAACTATAGCACTGTCCCGCCTGAAACTTATTTTCCAAATACTATACATATATGAGATGGTTTTAGACGTATTTCATCGAATATGAGACAGTTAGATATTTAACAGTAAACCCTTGAAAATCAAGTTTTTGTCGATTTTTGACGTGGAATTTCTGGAAGCCCATGTTAACCTTATGAGAAATGAAATTATTGAATCTTAACAGCTGTTTCAATTAAACAAGTTGGTTCTGTTCTGTGATGTTCAATAGCATTAAAGTTACAAGGATTACCAACAGGGTGCAGCACTAGCACTATTATTTCTTTTACATTTATGACAACAGCTAATTTGCAACCTGGAGGCGAGTGAGCGTAGCGAACGAGCTAACCTGAAGGCAAGTGAGCGTAGCGAACGAGCTAACCTGAAGGAAAGTGAGCGCAGCGAACGAGCTCCAACATACAGGTGAGTGAGCGTAGCGAACGAACTTCAACCAGGACGTGATTGAGCCATGCAAACGAGATCAGATAGTAAAAATAAAAGTAAGCCTACCGTTATAGGATCGACCGGCAGACACAGAGGTAATTTAACCTTTTATTGATTGTCATACCGATCCGGAACAACAAAAAACAACATAAAATGAAGCTATGTATAATAGTTTGGCCAGCATATCTTAAAATATGCAAACCAACTGCTGTTCGTTATATAAGAAGGTTTCAACTGAATATTATAAGATCCCCGTGCGTAGAACGGGTACACAGCTAGTATTAACCTACAAATAGTAAAATAGCTAATAGATGCGACCTCGTTTTCGCTGGTCCTGTAAATAAAGTTTCTATTTGTTTTACAATGGTGTATTTCTAAAAATCCCAAAAAATACTGTAACACTACATTTTACTTCATTTGTTGATTTCACTTACACATAAAGAATAAGTATAATTTACCGTTTTATAATAGGCTGGCTTAACTTACCAAATGGTTATCCAACTACCAACTAAGGGCTTTGTTAAATGGTGGCCATATTTAATTAAACTAATGGTGAACATATTGTGGTTGCAGGAAGCCGACGCCCAGTCCGCCAGCTGTGATGGTGGGACAAGGGTCGACCACGCCCCCGGCACCTCAACAGCCTACGACCAAGGAGGCCTGGCCTTCCCTACAACCTGGTCAGACACAGTCCTCCTCGGGTAAGTAGAGGGAGTTGGACTTGCTCTCTCCTAGCCTCTCTTGTAACTGAGCCCAAGTTGTTAGTGTGTGTATTTGTTGTGTGTACTGGACCGAATTACACACGGTTGGATCAAAATTAAAGATGATTCCCCTGTAGATGTGCAGAATCCCTTTATAAATAAAAATAGGCTCAAAAATAAGCACAACAAATTAATTTTTAATTTAAAAAAATTAACATGGGCCTTATGGGTTGCCATGTTGGTGACGAAATAACAACAAATTATAAACAGAAAATCAAAACAAATGGGAGAAATTCGAATCACATTTTTTATTTACAGCGTGGGGTGAAAATAGATAAGTTTGTACAAAACATACTTTTGGTTGAGTTTTCGACAACGGGCGAGCTCTAGTTGGGATTCTAATAAGATCCTGACTACAAAACCAACTGATCTTGATCAGTAATAAAGCTGTTGTCTCATTCAAAATTAATCCTTCACTCCTCACCTTAAAATAAGCATCGTTCTGTGTGGGGTTATAGACATTTAATCTTATCAAATCTAATAATTGTAAATGTGTTTGTTGCAGTGATGGTCCCGGTTTCATCGGCCCCGGCTAACGCTCCTCAACCTTCCCCTCCCAACACAAACACGCAACACAATAATAAAGGAAAAGCAAACAATTCTAAAAGCCATAAAAAGAGGCCACAATCAGGAGAAGACAGGTATGGAAGAAAACTGTTCTGAAGTAGATGTTTCCAGTGTGGTAAAATGCCAAGATGGTTCAAAACCTAAAAATAAATAACTAAAACAGTCAACAGAAGATATTTTATTTTAGGAAGAGTCTTTTCATTGTACATATTTATATTGTAAATAATAAAGTCACATTTTGTTACATCTTTCATTATGTATTTGCTAGAAGTAATTTTGTTTAGTCAATCAGTAATCTGTGATAAAATAACACTTTTGAATTATGAAAATAATAGGTTTGTTTTAAAAGTAGTTTTATTTGTTTTCTGTAAAATAAAGGAAATACACGTTTATCATCAACTGCATGTTTTATTTTAGTTTATAATTAGAAAGTATTTTTTATTAAACTTTAGATTCTTGGTTCCTAGAACAGTACTTATTGATATCATTAAGTGTTGCCCTTAAATTACCACTACTTATACATTTACTAAGTTAAAGTTAATTCACAAAACATTCTCATAAGTATGCCGATTAGTTTTTAGTTATTACCTAAACACATAGGCTTAGTATGAAATTATCAGAAGCATGATATGCTAGTAAAATCTTGACCCAGTTTTTTTTTTAAGATACTAAAAAATAATTGGAATCCAAAATTTATGTATTTACAAATTATATACACTGCAACCTTATGACCTTGAACAGACTCTCCATTAGAAGCTATGCACTTGACCCAACAATTTTTCCACTGTTCAAAACAATATTTGAAATGTATGCCAGTTCTTTTTCTTGTCATCTTCAATGGTAACATGGAGCGAGGTCAGGTGAATAAGGTTTGTGGGTTAGCACAACCATCTTACCTTAATCAAAATCTGTCCAAAATGTATGATGTGGAAGTGTAATAAGGTAAAAATGATAAAGGACTGTATAAACCAGTTTTCTTTAGTTTATAATAAAACCTTTTTTTATTTTAATTTTATATACAATCACTTTATTTTATATCACTACATATATGTATATAACGTCAAATAGCAACTATAGCAGTTTTGTTAAATAATTTGATCCAAAATATTTCATTTCAAGTGTGTAAGATTCTTCAGGTTTAAAATACTCTCGTTTAGGTCCTATTTATATTTTAAGTTGATATTTAAATGCATGGATGTTTTATTATCACTTTTTTAGAAATAATATTTGTTGTTTTGTATCATTAATTTGAAAAAAGTTTAGGTTTCATGGTTTTAATTTTAATAATCATACAAATTCTCACTCACAAATTTTTTTTACAACTTAGTTGAAATATTTTTGTCATAAAACCTTCCTTTCAAAATTTAAAGCACATCTTGAAAATTTGTCCCATTAAAAACCTTCCTAACGGATACTAAAAATGTGAAACTGTCCAGGAAACCTAGAGAAAACGGCAGCTCGAGTAGTAGCAGTTCAAGCCACAGTCATTCGCAACCTTTATCGGATCACCACTGGGAGCAGCACCAGCACGAGGCTGTACCAGTCAACGGAGAAGTGACACATAAAATAGCACCCCCTCCCCACTTGAATAACACTCATTCAGGTTAGTAACTAGTTTTTTTTTATATTTTTATGTTCCATCTTCACAACCTAGGATACTAGTTCTAGCCCGGAACTGTTATCGTTATCACATTACTTCAGGCTAGTCCTTGAGGGTTGCGGCATTATCACGTAGAAAGAAATCCATTAATGATTGGCGGGATTGGAAACCCCACTCTACTACTAGACAGCTTGCTCCCCTGTTTAGTTACTAGTAACATCTATCACAAGTGTGCTGTCTTACTTGACTGTACCTATAATAGGCTATATTTTAATGGAAAAATAAATGGCTAGTAAGGATTTTTTAAAGTATTAGACTTCGGCTAGCTTACCTGAGAAACTTAAGAGTCCAGGGGCTAATTGATACCCAATAAGTTCTTTTATTATGTATCTATTAGTCCTAAAACTCTTACTTGACTGTTCTTTACACCATAAGGTTATATTTAAAGGAATTACAAATACCTGATAGAATTTTTTGAAAGTGCACAATCAATCTCACACAAAACACATTTTTTTTTTAATTAATCTGTAAACAAACAGGGTGAAATAAAAACTAATGTAAACTTTATAAACCATAAAAATATATTTTCTACAACTTAACATAATTTATTAAATAGGGAATAACAAATTTTCGTCTTGCGTAAAAATAAGCATGTGTAAACTGAATATGACAAAGACACAGTAAGTAGTTGGTTTAATCTTCCATCTTTATTGCAATCTTCCTTTCTTTTGGAATTTTTCACATAATGGCCAGTACCCAATGACCATATTTTTGTGTTTATAAAAATGTGTTTCCTATCAAGAAGACTCACCCACGTACAGGTAAATCTGCTCTTCCTCTTAAAAATGAAATCAAACCTTTACATAGAGCCCTTTACCGAGAATACCAAAATATATATTTTCTGACATTATTGAAATAAAAGCGTTAAGAAATTTCATCACTAAAAGTAGGAATTGTATCACCATGCTTTGGTACCATAACTGTTTTATTTTCATTGCAGGTATATAGCATGCCCCAAAATATCAAGGTAAACCAACTCAACGTGTAAATAAACATCTCAATGATGTTAAAGAACTATTATTTTATGCACACGGTTTTTGCGTTGGAAATTGCAAAGAGTACTTTTTTGATTAGCTGTTTTAATGAATTTCCATAAAGCAGCTGTTTTAAGTACAAAACGTGCTATTTGTAATTTTAAATTGTTCCACTTGATCTCTGCTTTACAAATTTTGGGGCTGCAAGATATTTTAATTTTTTTTTTAGATTTGCATGCTCACACTTAGATTTTTTTTATTGATGCTTTAATTTTGGTCCTTTATTTTTTAGAGTGTTCAATTAAAGTTATTCATTAGCAGTTTTTGTTTATTGAATACATTTTTTGCCATTATATTTTTGTGGACAGTGAACTAGATCCAGTGAACTCCTTCTCTAGTGGATCAATTTAGACGGATTAGATGACCTTAAGCATATTACTTGATCATACTTTGCATTTTGTTTGTAGCTGCTTAAACAAACAAATCATCATTTTTTTATCTAGCGCTGTTCAATATGGACAGGTTTATGTAACGGTTTCTCTTATTTATATGCTATACATAATGTGAATTTATGAAACATATACATTATTTTTTGTATAAACCATTGATGGTTCAGACTTTTTATATCAAGATGGAATGGCGTCTGGATCGTCTGAGTTAACTCATAGAGTTAATTACCTGGTTACTGCCAGAGGAATCCTTAGTAGTTAACAACGACTTCAGCTCTTTCGTGCTGCGGATGGAGCATATCTTAAGGGCAGAATGTCATGTCTAAAAACATTCCCCACGGTGGAGTTTTTCAGAAGTTTTTAACCATAAATAGACATGGTACATAACACGAAAAACACAAAACGAAACATTTAAAATTGATCGACCAGAGGTTAGCGATACCATCCATACACAGCACGAAACAGCTGTAGTTGAAAACTACCAAGGATAGTTTTGACAGTAACCAGGTAATTTAAGCCTCTATTAAACCTTTATAGTTTGTTCAAGGGTCTGGTCCCAAAAAGAGAAAGAGTTTACTGCGCTTCGTAAATTCCTCTTCAAACAAGTATTACTTTCTTTTAAGTTATTTAGTATCATAACTGTATTCTCACAGTGGTCAGTTTTCTCATGATTTATCTTGATTTCAGAGCCCAGTTTAAGCGGCAGACACAGGGCAGCCACACTTCTAGAACCGGATAACAATTCTTTCTTCTCGTCTAATAATTTTTCCAAAGTTCTCAACTCAAACTACACTACAGGTGGTAAGTGCTGTTTTTAAAAAAAAGTTTTATACCGCAACCTTTTTGTCCATTACCATTAAGTCACTTAATCAAACTGTAGTTTCGTTGAAGAAAAAGTACTTTGCTTGGGAATACATTTACAAGATCACCTATTTATCACCTACTTTAGTAAAAAGTTCCTGGCAGTAGATGACACGCAAATAGCTCAAAATTTTATATTTTACCTCTCAAAGGTGGTTCTTCTGTATGCAGTTGCAAAATGATTTGCTAAAAAAATAATCATGTATTTAGGTATTTTTCCTCTCTAATTAATTTACTTTTAACCATAGTAAGTAGGGGTCTGCGGTACAGAAAATTTAAGGTCGGTACGGTTCGGTACGGTACAATATTTTGTACCTCGGTTCTCGGTACAAAATCGGTACGGTACGCGGCTACCCGTATTTTTGCGGTTTTCTTCTCAGAACTGTATCTAAACCATTATTTTTAACTTTAATACATAGACATTACTATGAAAATGGATAGTATCCTACATTCATGGTTTTCTAACAACAATTACTGTACCACATATTATTAAAACAAAACCTTTTACTACTACGAGGATTGTGTCAAGAAAAATCACAGTTGAGATAAAGGCTTTACCTATTTTACTCTGAAATACTTTGAATAGCCATGATAAAGTAGTTTAAAAATAGGATAAGAGTTTTTATGAATAAACATGTTTGAAACATTTATTGACAAGATAATTTCACAAAACTGGTAAATTATTATTATTTTTTTTTTTTTTTTTTTAACATATAAAAGCATTCAGTAGAAGACAGTGTAGTTTTGCCAGCTGTTCACAGCAGATGACAATGAAAAACTGGAGGTTATGATGAAGTAATGGCAAAGACCATTTTTTTTTATCAGCTTCAAAACTAGTTAAGTTATAAGATGGATACAATTCTTGCAAAGTTTTTTTCTGAAACTAAAATTTGGATTATCACAGAGTAAGATTTGATGTTGGGCAATTAGACTTTATAACTGTGTAAAAGGTGTGTATCCCTAAATTTATAAATTGCATTCTACACTTATTCACTGCCAAACATAATTCAGTAGAACCTTGATGAACCGAGAATTACACTAGCCTACATAACTTCATTACCCCAAGTAAAATACCAAAATAATTTTTATAATTGTATTTGAATCGTATAATCTTAGTTTGTTAAAAATGGATTGTATGTTCAACAATAATTGCAGTCCATTATTGTTTAGCAGTATGGTCCCAAATTATTGTTTTTGATTTTGAAACATCACAGTTCATTTGACAAAATTATAATTGAAGCAGCCCAATGTCAAGTCACGCGCGCTTGTGCAATAGTTTGTTTACAAGCTTTCTCCAGACCACGGGGGAGGGGAGGGGAGGGTCTGATAAGCCGTCTATTGTTCACCCCCAAGAAGGTCCGACCCTCATTAGTGCCGCTCAGTTATGTTCATGAAATAAAATTATAAATGCCTCAAATCCTATTTTATAATTTTTTTATTAAAAAAATTAGACTATCATAACCTAACCAAAATAACCAGACTTGCTAACAAAGTTCATAAAATAACACTATAAATGAGTCAAATTCAATTTCATAATGTTTTAATTATAAAATTAAACCGTCGTAACCTAAGGCTGCACTCAGTGGGGAACCCAATACCACAAATCAATCTTTTAAATGAATACAAATATTTGGTAATAATTGTTGAAATTTCAATAAATTTTGTGTAAAATTTGACAAAAATCTGCCATTTGGACCGATTATTAATACAATACCAAATACTAATAAAGTAGAAAAATTAACCGATTTTCGTCAAGTTTTACCCCCTGCTGTGCGCTATGTCACAAAAGCTGATAACGACATGGGTGATTAGTAACCATGGCAACTTGTTGAATGCGTGATGAAGGGAAACCCAAGAAATAGAAGAACAAAGATAAAGATTGACGTTGTTATCTTTATACAATTTCCGTTATTGTTATCTTTATGTAAGATTTTATGATTTTGTTTTATAGGTTTATAAAATAATTCTTTTTAACTACGGGAATATCAATTTATAATTTATCAACGTGCTTCTCTTCTGAAACAGCAATACCGGATGCATAATAAAGGTCAATGGCCTAAAATATCACGATTGTGCAATATTGTATTTTGATGTTAAAATTAAAATCACGACAAAAGTTTGTATATATCCATGGTCGTCAATAGAAAGATAAAATATCCATAACAAATATTTAATTTATAAAATAAGATTGTAGATTAGTTACAAGTTTAATATGTAGCCATAAACAGTTTTATGGCAGTAGGCAATGGCCAGCGGCAAATTCAATATTCACGAAAATACTGATTAAGTTAGAGATAACATTTAACAGTCATCATAAAACTATTATTTTTATGATAAAACAGAATTGGGGAAAGTCGTAAAGAAATAAAAGTGATAAAACTCAACAGTTCTTGGAAGTACTTCAATACAACAATTATTGTCGTGATAAAATGTTAATGGATTTGGGACTGCTAATGGGTTTTTTATTGCATCATCACGCTAGTAATAAATTATGAAGATCGTAAACAAACAACTGATAAGACTTTTATGTGCTTGGAACCAACTGCCGTTGACTACGATAGTAAACTGAAAGTAATTTATTATTATAATAGGCTGTACCGAACCGAATTTGTACCGTGTAAAATGCTGTACCGAACCGATGACGGTAATTAAGCTTGTACCGTACCGTACCGACTTTTTCGGTGCACCGCAGACCCCTAATAGTAAGGCTATATTTTATACTTCTTCGGTTAAACTGTACAATTGTACTTTATAAGAGTATAACCTAAAAGTATACATTAATCTACAGAGGTCTCCATGTGTAACAAATAGCTCTGTTTTATATTGATTTTAACATGTGAAACTTGTATTAGGGCTAAATGAGTATTTGATTTTTTACAGTAAAATACTCTGTAAGGACATTATAAAATAACCATGATTTTAGCATCTGGTTTGCCAATACCATTAAAACTGCTACACATTAGGATAATAAATCTAAAAAAGAAACAAATTAAAAATTATTATTTAAGAAAACTATTAATTTTTACTCAATATTACATAATTGTTTGATGTTTAAGTCAAAACTAAATTTCTGGCTTTCAAGTTGTACTGTACACTAACTACAACATGTTATTTAATCACCTGTAAGATAATTTTGATCGTCGTAGTTGATATGAGATATTAAACGCCACATGTTTGACATAGATATAGGAGTTGACCTGTATTGTTCAGTATCGGAGTGGCCAGTTAATGGGTTGAACCACATGCCGGACGTACTTCCGCCCGTTCACCACTCAGAAGACTGGCAAGCAGCTTTCGGATTTCCGCCTGTCCAGGACGATCATAATGACTTGGTGAGTCCTAAATAATTTTATTTCAACCCACGTTCACCCTGCCGAACAGGTCTTATGGAAGACGGTCAAGCTAAATACCATTACTGGAAACATGCTTGTTGTCATGCAGGTTGCGTCAACTGTCCTCACAACCCTAATGAAGGACTTGTACATTTAACTTTTTTCAGTAAACTTACCTTTTCCATCGATTGGTATTTGGGCTGAATGATTTTCATTTTGACTTTGGTGTAGTAAAAATTGTAAAAAGGGCAAAAACAAGGAGCGTTACACATGTCCTGGCGTTTTTGAACAGCTTGTATCCCTGAGACTGCTGTTAGATGGCTTACGTTTAAAATTATCTGTAGGTACTGTATGGTCAACGTGGAATGAACTATATAGATCATGCATTCAGTGTCCATTGAGCTTGAAAATTACCAGTTGGCTTTTGCTTCTGTTGTAAAATCTCTAGCTTGTTTTATGTGAATCATTTTAGCCTCTGGATTTCTTATATAATTGATATTGTAAGGGCTTACCTTAGCAACTGTGTTTTTAGCAACTGGTAGTGCTTCAAATGTCTCGATGTCAAGGGAAAGTTAATCTTTTATTGTTAGGTAAATTTTATGTTTTGGGTTCAAAATCAACCAATACCAGGTAAAGCTATAATTTACATATTTCTATTTATTTTGTATTGACAGTTTGAAGAGATGACAAGGGAACAATAGAAGTTATAAACAAACTTTTGGCGGTCCCTGACAGCAACATAGGCCACGATTGCCTTTAGTAATAAAAAAAAATAGCTATGACTGGTATGTCGAAATTCTTAGGTTTCTTTCTTTTGTTACTGAGTATAATTTTTAACCTTTTTTTCCATTTTGTACTCTCTTGTAAAACTAAAATGTTCCATCTTTAACATGGAAAATTTAAGTTTTTATATAAAGTTAAAGTTGTATTAAATATTATTCAAAAGTGACAATTATTATTGGCGTCGTATTAAACTCGTTTGTTTTTGCAGTGTGTACGGGATGATGATCTGGGCTTTGACCCCTTCCATGAAACCCAAAAAGCTTTTGCAGAAATGATGGAAAAAGAAGAACCAAATCATCAACACAATTTCCAGCCTAAGCTATTAGCAATGCAGCATAATCACCATAGGTTTGTATCAATATGTCAATATTGTATCAATATGAACTGGAAACATGTGTGTACACTAACAACAATAACAGATGTTGCATGGAATTAATTGTGACAATTAGTAAATAGTTACAATAATGAAACAGCTGATCTTGGTCAACAAAGTTACCCAGATCATTTCACACTATTCTACACTCCTCCTTTAATCTTAAAAAGTTTCACTTTCAAGAATTAAAAGTAAATACATATTTGTATAAAGATTTACAGGAATTTGTAGTACTGAAGTTAAATCACTTTCTAACTTCGGACTAACAGTGAAGGAAATCCAACAAATGGGATAGTTGAGCTTACCGTAAACAGAAGACATATGATAAAATTATTGTATATTTCTTTTTACAGAATAAGTACATGTACAAAGCTTGTAGATGGGCTTCGGATCGGAACATCATTATCTCCACGGACCCGACTCCCGCCTCCAGGCTTTACGTCCACTCCCAATCACATGAATGCCTTTGGCCTTGGCATTCCACGAACAGGTGAGACTTGTCAAACGTCTAACAAATCTGTAGGTTTAGCTTAGATGGATCAGACAAAGATATAACTAGGGTGAGAGCACCAGTGAATTACCGTATATGCCTGGGTTTCCATTTTTATCCGACATGGGAAGATTATTAAGCTACAGTTTAGAAAAAGGTTTAAACGTATTGCACATATTCTCTTGTTTTTCCCCAATGTATTGTGTTCAAAAAGTGTGTTGAAAAATGCAATTTGTTGAACATAAATCATTGAACCAGTGAACGAATCAACTTCAAAATCAACTCAATTCGCTTTTTTAATAAACTACCTGACAGTGCAAAATTTGTTGATTATAATATTTTTTTAAATAGAATTTATAATTGGCTAATGCAAAATCCTTTTTACAGCATAAATGACTTTATCAAGTGTAATTTTTATGTAAAATTTTAATTAAAATAAGTTATTATGCCTAATTAATTGTATTTTTTATAATATTTTGATGTATCAGAAACTTGATTGTATTTAGATGATTATTTTTGTAATGTACCGGTATATAACGTGTCCTATTTCTTTGTAAAAAGATCAATGGAATAAATTATTCTTATTCTTAAGACTGCATATAACATGTTGAAATCATATTACAACTACCTTTTGGGATTTTTCATTGTGGCTGATAGTGTGTGGATATAATATATAAATAATATTGGTATAATATATATTGTGAGTCTGTGGCTTTGTCGGTAGCGTCACAGACTTCAGGCCCAAGGCAGCAATGTTGTGGGTTCGGATCCTGGTCACTGCCGCAAAAATTATAAGTACAGTTCACCTTTGTACTGTACCGGCTCACCCCTTGCTTAGCTGGATATGTTCCACGCACATGCAGTTAGTCTATGTGGACGAGCAAATTTAAGGTTAAAAGAGGCCACCAACCTCATTTAAAAAAATAAAATAAAAATACATTAGTTACTTACTGTCTTTGCAATCCAGATGTGTTATTGCACTGCGGCTGTTTTAGAGATTACTCCATCATTGGGTGTGTAGGCCTTGATATATACTAGATATTGGCCAACTGAACTCTTTTCAAAGATTGTTGCACTGAGAATATTCTTATGCTATCCTTATCCTATGTAAGCTTCAAATTTTTTATGTATACATTTTGTCTCATTTTCAGGAAGTAAAACTTTACCGTTCATGCAGCCTACTATAACATTTCCTCAACACACACCAGCACAAGGTAAAGTGACCTGGAATATTCATACATTGTTGATCTAGGTGTTTGAATGAAATATTTTTAAAGTAGTTTTATTTGGTTTGTTGTAAGTAATAATACTGTTTATTTGTTAAACTCCATATTCAGCTTAATGACCAGTTGCTACTTTTTAAAGATTTACAGAATTTGGTTTCTGAGAGACAGATAAAATTCAGAAATCAACTGTCGATTATTTAAAAAAATATATTTTGTTTATGGTTGTGGATTTTATGGTGAAAGCACTTACAATAATATAAAAACTACTATAAGATTTACAGTAGTAGATTTCTTTGAATAGTCATAACATAACCTCTAAATTTCTACTGGTTGGACCATGATGATGACTAATTTATACTGTGTTGCGATTGCAGCCTGGGACTGGACAGCGCTGGACCCTGCCATCGTGACAGCTCAGCATTGTGAGCTGTTCACAGCTCCCCCGCCACCTGGTTTTCCTCTACGACAGACTCTCGACAACTTATAACGGATCATCTCAACCCCGGGGGCACTATCTTCATTCAATTTGATTGATTAATCAGTGCAATTCTTTATTCTGAAAGTATTTAAATATTAATTAATCGTAATATATTATCGATATAAATTTATTTCTCTCGGTCTTATAATTCCGATACCATTTCAGCAGATGCGATTGCGTCTGTATTCCTATTCCACTTGAAATGGTGCTATGAATCGCAGTCTGCGGCATTGAAGAACAAAGAACAGCTCGATGTAAAAACCCAAGTGCCAAACTCTTTGTACCTTTCTTTGGTGAAGGGCCTTCTTTACGATTGTTTCAAATTTCTGTGTATTATTTATCTGAGATAAAACGTTGATCGCGGTGATGAAGGTTTTGAACTCGTCAGCTGTTCGTTGTTGCGTTGCCCCCTGCCAATATTACTGCTATAACTCAAGAGCGAATGTTACTCATACTTATAAAAAATAAAAATCGGATTATGCGTTAATTACTTGCATCCTTTGAACCCTAATTCTGTTCTTGTCAGCTCACCATCAGCAACTTGTAATGCTAAACAAGGTTGCAGACTGAAGTACCAACATTTATGAACTATCTATTGGCACTAGTTCCTATTTATAAACTCTTTAACCTTTTTTGAAAAAAAACTCTTCAACTTGCGTTATTTGTCTGACATAATACCATAACACGTCCAATCAGCAAAAGGGTTATCCTTGAATTTAGGTAACACAAATACAGTAGTGAAGCTATACATTTTTTTATTATTAAGATGAAAAAACAAGACTTTTAAAACAAATATATTTACAATAAATGCTAGACACATTCATACTGTCTACATGTAGCAATAGACGTTGCTTCAAATAAATATGTACAAAATTATATTACATGTTTTGCTTATATAAAAATTAAAATTTAAAAACAAATTATTGGTACATCATAATGGTTTTATCAGCATAAAATGCATACAAAATGGATTAATGAATTTGTATTTATTATCTACAAAGACCCTATCATGAGGTGGTTTGAGTGAAGCCCTTTATCTTGAGTTTGTTTGGAGGCAGCTTGACTGGTCTCAGGTAGGGATTATCTATCAGATCCGACTCTCCTTTCATGCTCTCTTCTTCTTCCTCTTCTTTCACATCTTTCCCTTTCTTCCTCTGAGGACTACGGGACTCTTCTTCGTCAAACTCAAAGACCTGATCTTTTGGAAGGATCGCTACCAAGTATGGAGGGACTTGTGGTTTACAAGCAATCACTGGAAGATAAGAAAAAACTTTATAAGTTGAATGATCTTCATAATAAAAAGTTTGTTAGTTTTAGCGAATTTCCCTATAGGGAAGTAGTTATTACCGTAGGTGGCACGGTAAGACCTAGACCCGGGACCGATTTACTTTTTCATTTTGATGTCCCCAGAGGCCAAAAACACTATTCGTTCAAATTTTTATATATGTATATATATATATATAGACTTATATATATATACGTCCGTGAACGCGATAACTTGAGTAATTTTTGTCCGATTTTGATGAAATTTGGTTTAAAGGTGTAAAGCGGGATAAACTTGAATGAGTTCGCGAACCAGCACGATCGGACCATGGGAACGGGGCTTTACGGGGGGTTTTATGGGGTAAAAATTGGGTTTTCTCACTTTTGACCCTCAAAACACAAAATTTCCCAATTTCTCTTTAGACCTTTTTAAAGAGCTTAAAAAAAAAAATAATTTAGTATATAAAAGTATTTTTGTTCAAATATTAGTAACGGAGAAAATTAAAAAAATTGTAAATTTAAAATTCCCATGTTATTCTTATGGAGAATATTGTCAAATGTTGTAGTTTGCTTGTTTATGAATATATTTTGATCAAACTTGGCAAATTTATTTATTTTGTACTAAGCTATCAATATTTTACTCAAAAACACACTTTATTAGTTTCCTTGTAGCAGCAAACCTAGGTACTCGTTAAACCTAATGTTATTAAAATATATTTAACTGAAAATCAATTCAGACGAATGGAAATTCGCTTAGTCGGCAGGTTTGCTGCGGCGGGGGTATTTATAAATAAAAAGTGATTTTTTAAATACTGTTTGAGTGAAACTTGCATAGTTGAAACAACAATGCACCAATAACAAATACAAACGATCAAACAAAGTTAACTTACAGGCTTTAACAATGGAAAAGCCACACTTTTAATTGCACAGTAAATCTTTGGGAGGTTCACAACACTACTTATTTTAGCTGTTTTCAATCACTCTCACAAAATATCTACGCTATTGAAGTTACTCTTTACAAGATATTCTATATTCTATATTTACAAAAGCTTGCTCCTGAATTGGGGGGTTCTCTGGATTTGGTTACCCACCTGAATTGGGTACTAATTTACCTGGATTTTAAGTATTTTAACCCACTAACCTAAACCTCAGATAACAGCAGGCTTTTGTTAAAAATTAAGGAAAAGCCTCATGAATTGGCTTATTATGGGGGAAAGGGATCAGCTAGCTCATCTGGTAGATAAGAGTCTAGATTAGATTTGGTGCCTTTTATAGTTTATGGTAATTCAGTTGTGATTTATTTAGCGATAGTGACCAAAAAACATAGACTTTTTAGGTCGGCCGGACAGATAACAACCTGCACGAGGATTAATCGCGCATGTAAGAGGAAGTCGCTTTTTAAGCAGCCGACCTTATAGATGGCATATTCCTTCCTTCCACCACCAATAAGAAAATATAAAAAAACTAGTAAATTCTATGTGTTTATTTACATTGTATATTTTAATGAAAGTCTGCTGTTAAACCTATTCATTGTAAATCCTTAAGAACCTTAGTATGAAAAATTAGTTATGATAAATAAACATCTTCAGAATAGAATTGACTATTGGATACTGAGTAGACATCCCATCTATATGGACCAGCAGTCGCAAATTTTTTACTAAAAAAGAACATGATTGTGTGAACCAGTTACAGGATGTGCTGGTGTCTAAAACTATTCACTAACTTACCTTATATTTGTTTTTAGGTTGCTACAGCTCACAATAAGTTGATTTATTAGTTTGACTTTAAAAAGTGTGTGTATTTAACAGTAATTAGCAACTTAAATCAGCACAATCTGCCGGTTGGCTCACATCAACTACGGTGATTTTGATAAAAAAATTGGCGACAACTTTAACATGGGGATGGAATGTCTAGTTGTATGTTTAGTCAAAGCTAAAGATGTCATCAATTTTTGTTATAAAAAACAACATTAAGCCACATTAAGAATGTGCAACAGTATGAAGTTCTCAGCTTTTGTTACTGACTACAACAGTTTACATAAAAGATGCTAGCTTACAATAAGACGTCCTAACAGTTTGAATTGGACAGACATTGGTGTAGTTAGCATAAATCAGTAATGGTGGCTTATTTCAACTAAGTACATATTGATCCAAAAACTGGTGACAACTTAAAACATGGGGATGGAAAGTCTAGTTATATCAATAGTTAAAGCTATGAAGCCACTGGCCTCTCAACAATGAAATCCAACCACACAAGACAACTTGAAAGAGATTAGAAGGAGACAAGAAACTGAAGACAGCTTTAAGTAGTAGTTTTCAAATATACTTACAAGGAAATACATTGTCCGGTGTTAGAAAAAGACTATCCGTTTCTCCAGTTTTTGCAACAAATTTTACAAGGGCTCGTTCTATATCTCTTTTCTGAGATGCTGCCTTTTCTCGAATTGCTTCATATTCAGTTACAGGTTGTTTGTGAGTCTACAAAAAACACAAAGCAAAACCCATGATAATATTTCTACACAGTATTTAGCCAAGTAACTGAAAAAGTAATGAAAACCAGTTATTTAGATTATCCTTATGTCATTAGGCAGTACATTATTACTTTGGACATGGCTTTACCTTAAATGTTTTAAGTGAATTATAACTGTATTTAGGCCTAACTTGTTTGTTCCTAAACTTAACTTAGCCTAATGAACCTAGCAAATCTATAGAGCTGAAAAGTTGAGGACTTGTGCAACTATAAACCAGAACCATTCAAAAATACTTTTTTTTTGATAATTTTGCACTGCATTAATGGCTTTCTGAATTTTTAAACAGGTTAGCAATTAGTAATAGTGTAGTGTTGCAAGTGCCAGCGTCAGGACTTCTACTTGTCGGATGAGTAGATAATTTAGTAGGGGTTGGAGAAGGGTGTAGGCTAGGGCGAATTAGTAATTAATTATGTAATTTATTAGGTTTACCAAATGGTCGTCGTCTGGTGATGAATATTCCAAATTTATGCAATTAATTTTTTTGAATTCAGGTTTGCTACATCTAGTAACTTTTACGAATCAGAATAAGTCCAGTTATATAATTATTTCTCTGTTCACTAATATATATTAATTAGATATATTAAATAACATAAAAGCTGGCTGTGATATGCAGCTAGGGTATTATTGTGCACTTTGACGAATTAATTACCAATATGTGGTGAAATGATATGTAGTATGAGTGTAAATGAAGATACCTGGGCCCAATAAATCTTCCACTAACCACTAACTACATCACACACATTTCCTGTCACAGTTCAAACTCTACTGGAAAGAAGCTAACTACTTCGTCAAAGTGCACAATAATAACTTAACTGCATATCACAGCCAGCTTTTATGTTATTTTTATTTAATATATCTAATTAATATATAGTGAACAGAGAAATAATTATATAACTGGACTTACTTTGATTCGTAAAAGTAGCTAGATGTAGCTAACGTGAATTCAAATATTAATTGCATAAATTTGGAATATTTATCACCGGACCACGACCATTTAGTAAACCTAATAAATTATATAATTAATTACTAATTCGCCCAGGGGCGGCTTCAGGAATATTTTTTTTTTGTAGGCCTGAAAGGATCAAGAAAGATTTAGATAGGGAGACTAGAGGTTTGAAGGGCTTTCCCCTCAAAAAGGATGGAATTTTAAAATTTAAGTGCAAAATAATTTGTTTGGATGCTTTCCCTTTATTTACATATAATTAAATTTCTTTTATCATTTTGAAATATCTACCAAAATTTTGGGTAGGCCTGCCCTCTGGAGCCGCCCCCTGAATTCGCTCTCTAGCCTACACCCTTCCCCAACCCCTACTAAATTATCCACTCATCCTAATAATACTCATCCGACACGTAGAAGTCCTGATGCTGGCACTCGCAACACTACACTATTACACTACAGGTTAGGCCTATTGATTGACTCAAAACAAATGAGTAATGTTTACTTTTTAAATGCCTGGTATTTTCGGTTACCCTCAGAACCTTTATGGACCGAAGCCAAATCGTTGACTCAATTCAGCTTCGTTAGTTTTTTTCTTAAACTGGCTACAGCTTAATTTTACTTTATTTGACTTACAGACATCTCCATATTTTTAGACGGGAATGGGATGTCTAAGTTTTACATAAATGAATTAGGCTACCAAACATACAAGTTAACTTTCTGCAAGATCTAGATATATATAACCCTTTTTACACCTACTGGAGTTCTTATGTAGGCATGTGGATCAGGAAACGAAGGAAGATTGGTCGGGATGTGCATCGGATGATCCTTCTTCACTCCAGCCTGCAGAATGCTCAGTTGTTTGGGCTGTGAGGACGGCATCGGTGTCGGTAACATTGTGTGATTGGGACGCTTTGCATGCGCCTCGATACCATTTAGGTTCACTCCCATGTTCACCAGAGACAATATAACATCTGCCACCATTGTTTCAGTCCTACCAGCAACCTCTGCATACATCCGACATCCAATCCCAACTTCTCGTAAAACTGGAAACAAAGAGGAGGTGTTTTACATGGAAACCAAATACAGATATGACCATCTGAACTTGGTAGCATAGTGATCAGACTTGAGCTGATAAGTCATCTTACATTGTTTGTTCGAATTGAGTTGCCTGCACTATTTCAACATTAATTTAGTCACTAATTGATCATGTGATTTAAATTTTAAAACAGTAGGTACTTTGCTGTCTTAAGATCACCGTATTAAAATTTGTAAACAATTTCTTTGTAACAATAAAGTCAATGTATTTTCCTAACTAACTATCACTCTTTGTAGGCAAAGAACAACCACGAGGTGGTGTTGGGAGCTTACTAAATTATTTTTTTACCTATAGCAAGTTAAGATCCATAGATTAGCTTATTTATTAGGCGTATCCCATGTCATCAAGCATAACTCGCTCCTTCAATACTTTGTGATAAGATAAACAATTACTTAGTAACTAGTTATACTGGAAAGCTTCTTATTTTTTTATAAATAAAATTATTAAATATTTGGTTGAATCAAATGACAGCCTACTTACAGCTTTGCATCATCTCAACTAATGTCTCCAAAGCCTGGTTTTCTGCAGATTCGAATCCCAACTCGACAAGTAAGCTGGACACAGCAGCTGTGAGAAGTCGTCGGTTCACACTCATGTTCAGCTATTTTGGGACTCACACTGGACTTTGATAGGCCTACTTCTTAAAGACGCAGAGACAGTCTAGGAAATCATCATATAACTTATTAGTTAGAAAATATTTAAATTCAATACACTAAGAAGGAAGTAACAGAGAAACACTTAGGGTTGGATGTGAATGAACAAATAACAATATGATTGCCTAAACTTATTGCCCAAACCTAGGTAGGCTTAACACATATGGACAGTATTTGAAACAAACAGTAGTTTTATTCACTAGGAGCAAAAGTGGCTCTTTTTGGTTCAGCAATCATGTTTTACATAGTACCAATACAATTAAGTAATGGTACCAAAAAACACTTTTGCTCCATGTTATGAAAAATTTTCATCATACTGTGGAAATAGGCCTACCTTCTACTCGTAAAAAAATTCAACCACATAATTTGAGGTTATACAAAGTCATCACTAATGCTTACATTTCTGTTCTTTACTAACATATGTAACTTTAAAAATCGTGTGATTAGCAGCATTTTCATCATGTAGGTACTACAATTTTGAGGTTAGCGAACCAAAAATTTTCCACATATTTTTTCTGTTCCCCATTTGAAGTTACCCGAAAACGACAAATTTGCAGACGATTTAGAGAACTAAAAACAGCTGCTTTCCGGACAGTAACTTATGATGAAAAGATTTTATATTTGGGAAAAGGCTAAGTTAACTTAAATAAAGTGGTACATAAATTAATCTTACTAAATTAATTAACTTTTAATCCTTTCAGTGCTATGCGACAATATATTGTTGTGCTTCTTTTTCCCGAAAAGTGCTATGGAACGATATATAGTTGTTTGCGTTCCATCCAAAAAGTGCTAAGCGACGATATATTTGCTGGTGCGACTTTCAAACGTGTGAGTTATGGCGCTGATTGAAACAGCGGCGATTTCTTTAGATTCCTCATACGATCAAGGCCCAATATCATTCCTTAGCACTTTTGAGGGCAGGGCCGATTTACCGAATACGCACGGTAGGCACATGCCTAGGGCGCAAGGCAATTGGCTTTTTTGTGGGGCACTAAAAATTTGAAAATATAAAAAGATTGGTTGTATTTGCATGCGATAGTGGTAAATTTCTGATAACCCCCGCGGCCGTGTAGACATCGTAATCGTCTCTAGTGATGGCGGCAAAATTATGACTGTTTCCGGCGGTCGTGTAGACATAATTATCGTCTTCCATGATCGCGGCAATATATGAACATATCCCGCGGTTGTGAGAGGATTATTGTCGTCTGCCACAAATGAGGCAGGTCCTTATTACCCTTATTATTATTGTCTTGCGGTAAAACTGATTATCCCTTGCAGCCGTGAAGACGTCATTATATCATCTCCCACGATCGTGTGAAGATAGTAATCGTCTCCCGCGACTGTAGCAAAATGGTAATCATCTCCTGCAGTCGTGTGGAGATTATCATCGTCTTTTGCGATCGCGACAAAATTCTAATCATCCCTCACTGCTTAGTATTGGCATATTAACTTATCGTCTCCCACGGTCACGGAAACGTCACTGTTGTCATGCGCAGTCGTGGTAAAATGAAATATCCAGGTAGAAATACAAAATACACGCATAGGCCTATTTACAGTTATAAAATCTCACACATTATTCCCGGATTTCCCGGTCAGTAACTTATATATATATTGCAAAGGGGCGCCTATATTAGTTGTGCCTAGAGCGCTAATAGGGTAAAAAACGAGCCGGTTTGAGGTGTAGACTTTCATAAGCAGGACTCCAAAAAACCGAAAGAAAATACTTTCATACACTAAGTTAGATTTTGCCACCGTGGGTTGGACGAAACAAGTAATAACTCTACCTTTTTTTTTGGAAATTACAAAAAACATTCTAGCATCGCAATGTTTAAGCTAGACAACTTGATATTTTTAGGCCTAATTATTAAAACTTAACTTTTATAGACAAATGTCCCTTGAACTTCATTGTTGGACTACACTACACATCATTTATATTTAGGTACAGTAGAATCCCTCTTATCCGGACTCCTCAGGACCGAGGCCAGTCAGTATAACGGGTTTCCGGTTAAACCAACATCCCCAAAATCTCGTTAAACAGACTGTTTGAACGCATACCAAGTTTACAGTATTTGACTTACAATTAGGAGAGCATTGTATTTAAACACGTAATCACTGGTCTCAAATCTTTCCAACGAGAACAGTCGTTTCAGTAGCGCCCACTTCCTACCAATCTAGTCCGTCTGGTTAAACCAATGTGCTGATAAAAATTATCCGGATAAAGAGATGTCCCTTCTACCGAGAGTAGTCCGGTTAAAAGATGTCCGGATGAGAGGGAGCCTACTGTACTTTTATGTTTGAGCCTTAGGCTATAAATTAATCAAAAATTCGTTACCTAACAACACTACTAAGGAAGCAACATATAGGCTAGGCCTAGCTAAAATAATTCAAAGGTTAAACTAAGTTTAGCGAGAACATTATCGATCATTCAATGTGCATTTGTGGTTCAGTTTTCCATTTAGTTAATTTGAAGTCTAACTTACCATAAGCTAATGAAATAACGTTATCAGAATCATATCTTCATGGAATGTGAAGAAGTAGTTATCATCTAACCTAAACTTTACTTTATTAGTCTATAGTTAAACAATTTGTATACTTTACTACACTACTCGTTCATTTAATTCATTCAACGTTCATTTAATTAGACAAACTAATCTAACGTAGATAACCTTGAAAATCGTAACAGAAAGGAAGCGCACTATAATACAGCCAAATAAAAATAAAAAATCAACATTTATTTATTAGTGTTTACGTTTTGTTTTAACTTTTTTGTTAACGCTGTTCTAGTTCTACTGACAGTAGTGACAATGACAGCGTGAGACGTGAGACACTGAGACTGGACTGGACTGAGACGGTTCGTTTCGTTTTAGGTTAAGGAAGGGAGGTAGGCACAATTTTTATTTCAGCTGCAGTTTTTTAATACGGACAAAATGGGAGTTTAAAAATTAAAAATAAAAAAAAATATTATAAAACTAAAAAAATATAAAAGTAAGTTTTTAATTATAAAATTAAACCGTCATAACCTAACCTAACTAACCAAACTTGCTGATAATGCAAAAATCTTAGACAAAAAGTTAGTGCCACCGATAGGATTCGATCCTGGTACCTTCAGTTTCTCAGCCCAGCATGTTATCCATTAGACCACCGAGGCCGATGGCTCCAACTCGTATCGTTACGGTAATGGTGTTCCCTCAGCCAATATTATAGAATGCTCTCATTTTGACCGTATTAAAAAGACTGCAGCTGAAATAAAAATTGTGCGGGAGGTAGGGGCAGTTAAGGTAGGGAGGTAGGGGCGGTTAAGGTAAAGGTATAGATAACAAGAGGAATCGTTAGAGGTGATTAGATTGATTATAACTTGAGTCTTGTTAATTTTTTAAGCTCGTAATTCATGTCTCTAGTGCCCGGTGACACTGATCGCTAGTGTCGATGAAATGCTATTTTTGTTTATATTTTTTAGGGTTAATTTAATGATTTATGCTTTAGAAATCAGAAATCAGAAACTTTTTATTGCTGTAATTTGCAAGGTACATGCATATGACAAAGTCAACAACAAATGAGGTTCAAGTTCAACCAAGAAAATAAAACTAGATACCGGTAAAACATAAATAGACAAAACATTTGTCTGGGCAGTCATTTTTCTGTTTGGTTATATCACTATGGGATGAGTTATTGTTTATGGTTAGATAGTTATATTGCGATAAACGAGGTTTTAAAAAACTGAAATTACAAGTAACAAAGTGTACCGACCTTTATTTTAGTGGTTTTTGTTTTCCTATTTAGCCACACCCACCCATGCCTTCATCCTAAGTCTAAGCCCTATCTAACCTTCCGGTAGCACCACGTCGCCTTCACCGACCCGCCGTATTCTTGCGCAACATCACCCGACCTTCCCCTTACCTCATGTCTCCTTCCAATGCCTCGATAATATATAGATTCAGATTGTCCGATCCTCACCAGTAAATGTCCAGGACTTGATTAACCATTTTAGGACTCCTTTGCATGCACGGCCTTCCCCTCTTTCCCATCCAGGCTCAAGGCTCACAAACCAGGCGGCTGCTCGGGACCACGGTCTCATTCAAATTCGCTCCCGGGCAGCAGACCACCACACTTTATTTATTTCTTCTTCCAACGGTAACGATATTTTTACATTCAAAAATACTTAAAATAAAAAAACTAACTGTTGTCTATTTGTTTTAGACAACTTTGATTGAAAGTTGAGCATCGCTTAGGTATTCTTAAAAAAAAACACAAAAGAATACCATCACGTGCCTCCAAACAAAACAGCTGTTAAACACTACTTGCGATCATGGAGGAATTCAACTATGACTTGCGAAGTTATTATCTGAAAACACGATAATATAGATCAAGTCTGCATTCAATATTGGTTACCTTATACAAAATTACATCAATAACACATCATGACGCTAGGCCATCAATTTATATGATTGATATTTTAGTGGTAGTAACTAACATAGATAAAACATACTCCTCATGTATTAGCGAATTTCCCTATAGGGAAGCTATCACGGTAGGTCTCATGGTAAGACCTATAAGGCCCGGGACCGATTTACTTTTTCATTTTGATGTCTCCAGAGGCCAAAAACACCATTCGTTCAAATGTTTATATAAGTATATATACTGTGAGCATGGCCTTAGTGCCGAAATACGTATCAGTTTAAATAAAAATGAATTTCAGGGTACTTTGGACTTTATTCTTTCACTTATGTATTAAAAAAGTAATAATATATATATGTGTGTGTGTGTCCATCCAGACGATAACTTGAGTAAGTTCTGTCCGATTTTTATAAAATTTGGTTTGAAGGTGTAAGGTGGGATAAACTTGAATGAATTCGCCAACCAGCATGATCGGACTATGGGAACGGGGTTTAACGGGGGGTTTTATGGAGTAAAAATGGGTTTTCTATTTTTTCCCCCTTAAAACACAAAATTTATCAATTTTTCTCCAGACCTTTTTAATGAGCTTAAAAACACACAAATAATTTAGTATATCAAAGTGTTTTTGTATGATGATTGGCAACGGAAAAATTGAAAAAAAATGTTAATTTAAAATTCTCATGTTGTTCTTATGGATAATATTATAATTATGTTGTAGTTGGCTTGTTTAATGATATATTTTGATCAAAATTGGCGGATTTATTTATTTCATACTAAGCTATTTTGCTATTTTTACTGCTATTTTTTTAAAAGGCCAGTTTGTATTTTTAAGATACATGCTAAGAAATTGTTTTATAATCAATAAAATTTGTAACAATTTGGAAATAAAAAAATACTTTGACTTTCACTATTGATATTTTAATAAAAAACACACTTTATTTGTTTCCCTGTAGCAGCTAACCTAGGTACTCGTTAAAGATAATGTTAATTTAATAGATTAATTTAAAATCAATCCAGGCAAATGAAAATTCACTTAGTTGGCAGGTTTGCTGCAGCGGGGGTATTTTTCATCTATGGTAGTAATTAACGATTTTATATTGACTGTTTCTCTTCTACTGTATAATCTGTTTACATTACATTCAATATGGCGGCATGTCGTCAGTGCTATGCTGTGTTGTGGTAAGTGGAACTTATAAGCTTAAAAACTAAATTGATAATCTTATTTCTCTGGTTTCATATCACATAATAAAATACAGAAATATAATAACTTTAAGATTTAATTTTCATTTGGTTATTCTTCAGTATATTTCACTCAACGCGATAACAATAAAACTGTCACTTGCGCATAAGCCATGTTTCTGCAATACATTTTTTAAAATAACTCTTTATCATTCCTATTTTACTTTTTCTGTTGTATAACTAAGTATTTATTCGAGACTTTTTTATTCTTTGACAATTCAAAAGCCAATATATAACATTTTCTTTGTTCATAATTTTTTAATTGTTAAGTGGAGCATCGTGTTCACTAGAGCACTATACACCTAGCCTACACATCCTGAGGATAATGTGGTAATTTTGCTGCAACTTGATTTGTTTTTAACCACAACCGAGTGTGCTCGTTAGTTAGGCCTAAGTTTTCCTAAGTTTGTTAAGTTTTTTCTTCTTAAAATTGTATTTGCAATCAGCACAATTTTAACGTTGGATCTTGGAACCCAGCATTAAGACTTGTAACTTGAGTTGTAGAATCCTGTTAAAAATTTCTAAGGCCTAGGTTGAAGTTACACAGTCCAAAAATTGCTTGGAAGTAGCCAAAATACAACAGGAAATCTTTATTGTTTATTTTAATTTTAGTTTTAAGCTATTAATTGACATGACAAATGCAAATTTTGTATTTGTTATTTTGGTTCCTTCAATAAATGAGTTATGAGTTATGAGTTGTATAAGTTATCATCAAACAGTCTACGTCATCACACAAGCAGATACATAAGTTAAGGCTTTTACTTTATCCTGACTAAAATTTAGTAAAATAGTCACACTCATAAGTTAGCCTACCTAGGCTATAGGCTATTAAAATTATTTGGTTGTATGCAAGCCCCAAGAGTTATATTTAGGTACATGGGTTGATGAACATTTCCTTGCCTACCGCACCATCCTTTTCTAAGCACGTCAGTCTGTTGTTACAATTATTTACTTTTAAAAGCCTAAGGGGTACCTACTTAGGTTTTTTTTCTTTTTTTTTCTTGTCTGTCAAATATATAATTTATATTTTTGCTTGTTATTGTTATTATATTAAAATATTTATCAATTGTTATCTAGTTTTGGTAGGTAATCGTTATTTTTCTCTAAAAATGTTTATGCTTGTTAACTAGGATTTATAATACGCATGATCCAATCTTTGTTAACCCTCCAAGTGTCCATAGTTTATAGGCCTTAATGTCCACCTATTTTTGGCGCATTTGCAAGGTTTTATTAAAACGGATCTGAGAAGCTTAAAACAATGTTAATTCTAATGTTCTATATACCATTTTGTTTGGAAAATCATGGGCTTCAATATTATATATAAAACATAAGGAACATTTTTTCAAAAAAAAAAAATTTAGGTAAAAAAAATATAATTTAGAAAATTTTCAACAAAAAAATAAGTTCGCGCTCAATGAAATTTTATAAATTATAGGCCTACAAATATTTGAAAATAGCCACTTTGTTCTAAATTTTATGAGGATTACAAATATATAATAATATAAGGAAGTAGATTTGCAAATAAATAAGTTATGGGCAAAAAACAGATTTCAGTACATAGCGTTTAGCTAAGAATGCATAGCCTAACCATAGCTAGGAATCTGGCTGATAATTTACATCAATATCACTACCTACTTCTTCAGGATCATCAACCAGCACTTCAAAACCACTTAAATCTTCTTATAATGCAACACGTATATCACTACTTTTGATTTTTAACACTAAAACAATGATAAACGTAATAAAACACATCAGTCATCGGTCCGAGGGTAACCTAGCTGTTTACAAATACACGCACACGCACGTCAGCTGTCTGCTACAATTAATTACGATCGGATCAGAGAACGTACAGCGCTGAGACAGACCTCTGGAGAAAGCTTAGAATATTACGGAAAGAACGATACCTAACTCGATCCAGTTCAATCCGATTCAGTCAGTCATAGAGCCTTCGCCGTAAACGATTTCTGCGTGTCGAAAAATCGACAAGTAACACTACACAAATTGTGCTGCTTGTCGAATTTTCGTCAAGTAACACTGGGAGGGTTAAAATGCATTTTTGGTACCGTACAATCCTGTTGGTGTCATTTTCATGCTAGCAATCTTTTTTTGTCAGCAAGATGAATCTGAATCTGACTTATATATATTTATAAATATTTTATTGTAACTTGCCCTCATGTATTATTGATTGTAAAAATGGTGTTTACCGTATGATAAATAAATACAGTTTCTTAACTGGGCTTCGCTAATATTGATTGAAACTATCGAATTAAAAATATTGATTAGTAATATCGATAATTTAAAATAGCCTATATCTTCTAAATATATAAAAGGCAAAGCCCTCACTGACTGACTGACTCACTCACTCACTCACTCACTCATCACTAATTCTCCCACTTCCCATTTACCTAGGAGGCTGAAATTCGGTACACCGATTCTTTGGGCATGAAATAGGAAAACTAAGTAGTTTTTATTCTGATCGGGCTTTCGGGCTCCGCCCCAGTGGCTCTGGAGTTTCCCATGTTAACCTTATGATTTTTCATATTTAAAAGGAATTTCTTAACAGCTGTTTCAATTAAACAAGTTGGTTCTGTTCTATGATGTTCAATAGCATTTAAGTTACAAGGATTACCAACAGGGTGCAGCACTATTATTTTTTTTAATTTATGAGCGGAGCGAACGAGCTCCAACCTAAAGGCGAGTGAGCGTAGCGAACGAACTTCAACCAGGACGTGATTGAGCCATGCGAGCGAGCTCACTTGTGAAGTTAAACGGGGCAAAGCCCGCGGGTACAGCTAGTCTATTATAAAATTAAACTATCATAACCTAACCTAACCAACCAAACTTGCTGATGGTGAAAAAATCGCATGAAGGTTTACTAATCGGAACCGATAGTTTCAATCAATATTAGCGTAGCCCAGTTAAGAAACTGTACCCAGCCTAAGTTAGGATACACGGCATTCATTTGATACAGGCCGCTTCCTTACTAATTTTTAGTTTTGATATCTTAATTTTTTACCTTCTGAATCCAGAAGACTTAGTTCTACCAGTTGTGGATTTATTAATTTATAATAAACTGTAAGTAAGTAAGGCCTACCCTATTTACTAAAGAAGGCTTAACCATAAGAGATCTAAAATAGATTTCAAATCTGTTTTAATGACTTCTTTATCAATGTACCGGTACACAATAAATCAGAAGCCTAAGTTTTTGTGAATGTCCCCCAAATCTGACATTCCACTTACCTACCGTTGGCTACCTATCTAGCGTCATGTTTTTTTCTTACTCCACGGTAATTTTAGGCTAAACCAAAGTGGCCAACATAATAAGATCCTTGCAATCAAAATCATCCTCAGGAGTCGACAACATCTCAAAACTTCTTAAATCGTGTTCCCACATTTTTCTTTACCGGTACCTACCCTCTTGTTTCATCTGATTAAGTTACTGTAATTATTATTTTGAGAATGGTAAGTTCCCTACTTCTTGAAACAGTCACCAGTAAAACCATTACACAAAAGAAAAAGAAAACTGGACGAACTTGATAATTTTAGATCGATATCCATCCCATCCACATTTCCTAAGGTTTTTGAAAAGGCTCTATTGATTTATACATTGTGATCTTTTATTAGTCAAAAGGACACTTTGTTTTCAAAAACAGTTTGGTTTCGCAAAGAATAAATCCACGGTTTATGCAATGTTTGCTTTAACCAACAAAATAGTCGAATCATTGGATAGAGGACAATCTGCTGCAGGCATTTTCTTTGATCTTCAAAAGGCATTTGGTATGGATTCTCATGAAATTCTTCTAGATATAAACTCGAAGAGATTGGTGTTAGAGGGGTGGCTAACAAATGGTTTCGCTTTTTTTAGCTGGATATCGTCAGACCGATGAATTTCCATTGAATGTAGTGTGTTGAGGAAATGTAGCTCTGATGTAAAATTGGTAGGCCTAAAGGCAGGTGTACCACAAGGTTGAATTTTATGCCCTTGCAATGATAGTTCAAGAAGTGTATCTGATGCTAAGATGTTTACTGATGATACATCATGATAAAGGATGTTAAAAGAACATGGTGATTAAAGTATTTATTCAGTCCAATGCATCCTTCAATTGGTTTAGACAACAATCTAATTTGTAATACAGAAAAGTCAATTAAGTGGATTTTATTTCCTTTCAACTATCCGCGGACGAAATTAGTTGGCACAAGGATGACGTGGTGGTCGAGTCTGATTATTACGTCAAATTTCTTGGCAACTCCATCGATAGGAATCTTAACTATTTCACTATTTCTCTCATATACTTATTTTGTGACTGTGAAGTTAGGATCTTCACTATTTGTTCTTCGCAGACTTTCAAAATTTATGTGCAGATACGTTTTGCTAACTGTATATTTTGCCTTTGTATTCGCGCCAATTAGTTACGTCAATATTGTATGACTTTTATATCATCATATTTGTCCAATGCTGTTGGCATTTGGGGATCTCTAAACGTCAACACTAACAGCTTTTAGGATGTAGTAGAAAGCCATTGTTAGAGTTTCTAGGTCATTGCTCTTTCTTATAAAAAAATTTAAATCAAAGGTTTTAAAATTAATTCTGCTATTTTTTTAATGCCCATCCAAATCGGAAAGAAATGGACTAGCCTATTGTAAATTTAAGAGTCAGCTTTTTTAAAGAGTTTTTAATTTATAATAGCTTTTATAGTGTTGAGGATTTTATTTGTTTGAGAATACAATGTAGCATGTTCATTTTGTGTTATTGACGCTTGCCTATGCCTGTAATGATGATGTTTAGGCCTAATAAAAATAGTGGTACTTTAAGTTAATAACACACTAGGCCTATTTATTTGGTGTTGTTATATATAGGTATTAATTTTATTGTTGTCGTTAGGTGTATACTTATACATTTGCAGTGATGACATTGGTTTGGATCCTGGTCACTACCGCAAACATTTTCTCAGTAGGTACAGTTCACCTTCGTACTGTACCGGCTCACCCCTTGCTTTGCTGGATACGTTCCATGCACGGGCAGTTAGTCTATGTGGACGGGTCAAAAGAGGCTGCCAATCTCTTAAAAAAAAAAAACAAGAAACCTTTAAAAACTTCTTTTTAAACATTAAAACTTGATATTTTTTCTGTAAAGTTTCTATAGACATCAAGATGTCATTTCTATGATTAAATACCCACACCGCAGAAAACCTGCAGACTAAGCAAATTTCCATTTAACAGTATTGGATTTTAAATTAAATCTTTTTAAAATAACATGAGATTAAACAAGTCTCTAGGTTTGCTGCTACAGGGTGGGTAATAAAGTGTGTTTTTTAGTAAAATATGAATAGCTTAGTTAATTTGCCAAGTTTGATAAAAATATATGATCCATAAACAAGCAAACCTCAACCGTTTACTTATTCTCCATAAGAATAACATGGGAATTTTAAATTTACAATTTATTCAAATTTCTCTGTAGGAAAAAACCGCACTAAAACACTCCAATATACTAAATTATTGGTTTTTAAGCTCTTTGAAATGGTGTGAAAAAATGGAGAAATTTTATGTTTTGAGGGTCAAAAATTAAAAAAAACAATTTTTACCCCATTACACTTCGTTCCCATAGTCCGATGATGCTGGTTTGCGAACTCATTTAAGTTTATCCAGCCCTCAAGCTAAATTTAATCAAAATCAACAAAAATTACTCAAGTCCCGGGCCTAGGTCTTACCGTGCCACCTACGGTAATAGCTACTTCCCTATAAGGAAATTCGCTAAAATTGTTAAGTTAGATACCTTGCAACTTGCACAATTTCTCACTTGCATAGCTTGTAATTAATATTACCTATAAAAATATATGGTTTTGGCCTACGACAATACATAAGTCAAATAGGGATTTCACGTGTATCAATCATACAATTGTATATTTGGCAAGCTTTTTGGTCTATTTACATCAGTGGCGGCTAAAGGGGGGGAGGGCTTATCCCCCCCTCAGATATGAGGGTTGACATTCTTTTTGGTTAAATCAGAAAAATTAATTTAAAAAAATTAATAGGAACCTCAAAGTTTGATTTTTAAACAAAATTTATTATTTTTATAGGGTGTCTTTGTCTAGTAGGCCTAGTTGGAAAAACGGGAAATTCGGGAATTAGTATTGAATTTCAAATCGGTCTTGAAAAGTCGGGCTTTAGTCTTTATTTGGTATGAAAGTACGGGATTTTTCATTATTTTGCCCCGATCATCGCAGACGACGTCGATGAAGTTTCTGCGGCCGTGGAGTCAATGATGATGTTTAGGCCTACTTGGTCGTGGAAGATTTTCATCATCCAAAAAATCCAAATTGGCTAGTTAGAATTTTTTATTGCTACATTTTTTTCTTTACTTGAAAAACACCCCATTACATATTAGTACTTTATGACATAAAGACGGGTTTTGGTGTAGAAATAAAAAAATTGGTTAAATTATAAAAATTTTCGTTAGTATCAAGAATTGAGTATCGCTAAATTTTGGTACCAATACATCACTAATTGTTGAAAAATCCAGTCTTGAAAAAATTGGCATTAGTTTAAAAAGTCTTCGTTGGTCTTGAATTTTTAAATGGTAATAAACTAGACACCCTAAATTTTAACTTTTTATGTGGTGAAAAGTAACGTCTTGTACCATTACCAAAAAGGTGTTGGAACTCTCAATAGACAACGTCAAGTTCTTGACTTTGTCTGTGAGAAGACCTGAGTTATATGCTACAAACCAGCAATTCATTTAGGATCCTAGGTAATCAGTACACACACATTTAGGGTTTGGATCAGTCTGTTCCTTTCTTTTACCTTATGTCAGCTATTTTCCATAATGCGTAAATGTGAAGTTCTTACATGGAATTCGTAAATTAGCCGATTACAAGGTCCTTCAAATATGTTCACTGAATCCATAATTCCTTTTATTTTGATTTCCAAATAGCCTAAAATACGTCTTTAGAGCTTATATTTTTCCAAAAATTTTCGGGGGCGGACCCCCGCCCCCCCCCTTTAACCCTGAGGGGTGTTCCATACCCCCGGGCAGCCCGGTTTAGCCCCACCAAATTTTGGGGCCTAGATCCGCCTATGATTTACATTCATTTATATACTATAGACACCTTTATGATGCTATTTCTAACGTACAAGTTGGATATGCAACTCGGGGCTATATAATACAGGGGCTGGCTCACGTCGATGAGCAAAGTGGTTCCACTGCCGTGTGGCTACGTCACCTCAAGGATCTAGGTGCCCGGCCCATATACATACCGCTCATTTATTACACACTTCCCTACTTTAAAATTCAATTGTCCGCATGAAACTTATATCGTTGTAATCTGTATTAACTACCGAGTCTGATGGTAAAAAAATATTTTAGTTATGATCAATAATAATTTTTTTTAAAGATGATAAGGATTACAAACATGTGAACTTCAAAAAGTCAATTAAGCGAGGATTTTTTAATGTTTTGCAATAGGAACAAACACTTGAGAGAGAAAAATGTTTTTAATATTTCTACTGCAATAAATAATACGGTATAAAAATTATTGATAAAACCAACGTTTATTATTCATATAGAGGTGGCGAGTGAAATAACTTCACTTTCCATCGCTAATGCCCACACCAGTTTGTAGTTATTAAAAAAAATAATCTTACTCTACATTTAGGGATCCCAGACGTCCCCCTTTTTTCCGGACACGTCCTCTTTTTGGGTACATAAAAAACGTCCGGGGGGATTTTTGGTAAAACCTTAAAATGTCCGGGATTTCAACTGAACAATAAATGAATAAAATTATACCTGAACGCAATGGCCTAGTAATTGGCTCTAATCATCAACCGCCTAGGATGAGAATGAAATAGGAAACTAACTTAAATAAAAATATTGTAACTTCTCCCTCTTAACTTATCCCTTTCAAATCAACTGTATGAACTAGTTCATCATTAAGCTGTTTTTCAGGATCAATTTATTTTAATTTAATACAGTTTTTGGATTGACTAATGCTTCAATCTGCTTTCAGCTTGTGTAACTGAGGGATTCAACAAAAGCAACAAGTGAGTGAACTGTAACTTGAAGCAACAAGCAAGTAATAAGGAAACACAATCTGAACCCAGCAAGCATTGACAACATCTGAGGATTTTGTAACCATTTAGTTATCAATTAGAATTTGGATTTTTGTTACTGCACCTTTAATTAGTTTAACGACTGCGAGTGAATAACCGAAGTGACACCTAGGAATGCTCGAGACTCTGTGGATTTAACTTTGTAAATATATTATATTTTTAAAATGTTTTACAATTTTTTTATTACTATTGCGTTAAGGGAAGTGTTGTAGATATCCTGTTGAAAAGCGGTGTTGTATACAAAGACAAAACTGTGATAGTCAGATAACAAAAAAGCCGAGTTTCAACAAGAAAAAAAAAACAATGTCAAACAATCCTCAGTGGAAATCTTTCCAGCCGCCAGCCATGAACTCTGATTCATCAATTCTTGACTTAGCAAAATCTTTGACCTTACAAAATAACGCACCTCCATCATCTAACTATAGAAACCCTGCTAACGGTTCCGGTTTTAACTCTAGCAACAACTTCCATCCGGTGTCGAACATCAAGAACAACCTTTCCAACAATGTATTCAGTAATACTTCGAGCAATTTTTCAAATTACAATGCCTATCCAACAAACAACTCCAGGTTTCCTCAGATCGGAACTTTCTCTTCCGACTCTACAGACATGTACGGTGGAGACAATCCTCCCGTAAGCAACTCGTACAACTCATCATCCAACAACTCTAACTCTACCTACAATGATTCCTCTTTGAACAATCAAGGCACCCGAGAGACTGGGATTATTGAAAAACTTCTGGTAAATATATAGTTTTAATAGCCTACTTTATACAATTAACTATCTATTAAGTTTAGAGTTGAACTTCCAAAATCTGTACTACTATAGTCCTCGCCACCCTAAGTTGAGGCAGCCAAAGGCCGCACTAGATATACGCCGTGCGGTCTTGGGCTGCCTTAACTTAGGGTGGCGAGGACTATACATTATTTTGCTCATAAGGAAGGATTAAATTGTGTTGATATGATCTGATAACTCTACGAGTTATTATTTGGAACTTTGTTTCGATTGAAAATAGAAATATGCACTGTATACAAGATTGGGCCTCTATTTTACCATTTGGGAGGGGGAGCAGGCTGGTCTTAGAAGGTAAAACTTTCATCCTCAAGGTCCCAGGTCCTAATCCAGCCAATAAACGGATTTTAGCTTAGTAATAATGCCACACCCCTCTAGGTCTAGCTTGAAGTATTGTAAAATTCCCCCGCTGCAGCAAACCTGCAGAGTTGCAGACTAAGTAAATTTCCATTTGCCTGTTTTGATTTTCAATTAAATCTATTAAAATAACATTATGTTTAACAAGTACCTAGGTAGGTTTGCTGCTATAGGAAGGATATTTAAAAGTGTTTTTTTAGTAAAATATTAATAGCTTAGTATAAAAATTAATAAAATTGAACATTAAAACGGAAAAGTAAATCGGTCCTTGGTCCAGGTATTACCATGAGACCTACGGTAATAGCTTATCCCCTGGGAAACTCGCTAAAAGCTCTGGGCTAGAGCCTAGGATGTAAAGGTGGGACTTAAATAATATTTCTTTTTTCTCCATATTCTACTTTTCAATAATTTATTTATTTTTGGGTATGAGAAGTAGGCTACTAGTGTTTTTATCCTTAACTGGTTATGTGAAAGAAATCAATTTGTTAATGTAAAAGAAGCTTGCCATATAGGCCCTATTAGCAGCAGCTTTCAGAGGTTAATTGGAGTCATTTTCAATGTAAATAAATACAGAGACCCACAAAAACCAATTGTTCAAACTTGGCCGCAGGCTCTGAATTGTTTACAAACCATCCAGTTGTGTAATCACGGGTCATGACTCTTTGTAGGTCTACCTTAATTTTCATTTAAGATCATAGTGTACCGTAGTTGAGTTTTTAACATTTTGGTAGCGGTTTCCGATTATATAAAACTGATAAACTTTAAAACGTTAAAACTGTTAAAAACTGGTACACTTTTGTTCTTGTATTTTCCTCAAATTGATATATTTTTTAGTTCTTATTGTAACTACACTAAGGTTATTAACCTGCTTCATATTTTGAAATTTGGAATTATTTATATGATATGGTCAAACTATTAATTTTGCACTGATAAAAATATTTAAATGGGGACACCATGACTTATAAATTTCAAATTTATATTTTTTATTGATCCCTGTAAGTTTATGTGACCATTTAGTGCTATGTCCTTCCTATGTATTTTCCATGACAATAACTTTTAAATGATAAAAGCTTTTTATTTTGATTGATGTTTTAAATGGTGAGTAAATTGTTTACATGCAGGAAGAAGGAATGTACACAACTAACCTGCCTTAGAAAAGAGTTAAACAAATTAAGGTGGTAGTTAAAAAAACTGGCACTATTTGAGCTGGCAAACAAATATATCAGTCAAATAGCTGGTTTACAGCCATTCAACCTCTTCCTTCTGAAGAAGGGCCTTGTAGGAACAAATTATCAAGTTTATGGTGTTTTTAACTACTTTTGGAACTCTTTTCTTAGGTAAGCCAAGTGATTTTTTTTTACCCATTGATCAAGTTATTATACTGAAACTCTTTAAGCTCTCTTTAAAATTAACTGTTCCTTAATATCTACAGGTAAACACAAGTGATCTTCCTTCTGATCCAGATGCTACCCAGATTGTACCTCCTTCTCCTAACGGCCAGTCAACAGATCCTGCTATCCTAACCCAGAATAATCCTGTAATTCTCATTCACAATCCTATGAACGATGGTATAGAAGTTGTTTGTAGTTTTAGTTTATCACTGTGTTGGTAGTGATTTTTTAAATAAGTAATTACACAATGCTAAATAGTTTTGTGACTAAAGATTTGTTATTTAAATTGTTTATTTAAAATTTTTTGGGCTTAAAATTGGTATTTTTTTAAATTTCCTAAATAAGTTTAGCCTAGACATGAAGGCTAGTTCAATTTTAGGATACTATAGACTAATTTATTACTTGTTCACAAAAGTACAGCACCATAAGATATTTACAAACAGTTTGTTGGTTTTGTTTTACAAAAACAAGTGAACATTTAAATTAAATTACTTGCCTTGAATTTGAAAGTAAAACAATCTAGGAAAATTTTGCATCAATTAACTATCCAAGTTGATTTGTGAAATCGTCATTTTAGATTGGTGTTAAATATAAATGTTAGATATTAAATATAAATACAATTCTGAACATTTTAAAAAATAATACTTTTTCAATCATATTCTTAATATAGTGATTGAACAATGTTAAACCACACAAACATTTTACCACATTTTAAGCCAAGTGTGTAAAGCACTTACCGTATGGATTTTTAATTAACAAACATTATTAATTTTTATACTCTTTTCTATTGTAGCATTCATACGGATTTATTCAGTGCTGTGAACGACAGGCTAGACTGTTTTTCCATTTCAGTCAATTCAGTGGAAATATTGAGCATTTAAAAATTGGTGATCCAGTGGAATTTGAAATGACATATGACCGCAGGACTGGAAAACCGATAGCTAGCACAGTAACCAAAATAGCGCCAGAAGTTGTAAGTATAATTATTTGTTTAATCGTACATAATCCATGGCAATCTATATAATTAATACGCTACATGAAACTTTGTCGGTTGAACTCCTCCGCCATTTCTTAACACGATGACTGCTGAAAACAGCGTACAGGCCCAGTGGCGGGCGAAGCCCCGGCAGGCAACCGAATCAGCGAACGCAATTGGCATTCAAATATTTCAGTCTGACGAATCACAAAAGAGCAGTGGTGACTGTGCTGCGTTACCCCGAGAGTGGATGTAGTTCACTGAAACACCCAAAGGTAGCAGCACTGCACGGATCCGCATCCAGTGTCTTTGTAATGTGGGTTGAAGAGAAAATATCCCCGAAACCGGGACAAAAGCATTGCCAGACAGGATTTTACGGGAAATTTTAGTACCAACCTACACCAAAGTAAAGCTCGCATTCTAAGCTGGCAGGCTGGCAACGATTATAACTTCTCCGTCTGAGGCTAAGCTCACACTGACTCAATATATTCCTGTTGGTCTGGTGCCACTTTTGTCGGCACGCGCCACATTGAAGTGCTAGCGACGCCGACTAGAGTCAGCGTTAGCAGTCAACGTGTTAACCGATTTTATCCATTCACGTCTCAATGGAAAGAGCGTGTCGTGTAGATTTGCAAACTGGCCTTACATTTTTGAAAAAGTCCCTTGGGCTCTGCCTCAGTGGCTGTTAAAGTTCCCATGTTATCCTTATGGAGATCATAATTGTTTACATTTTCATCAGCTGTATATTTAATTGCTGTTATTTATTTTTCATTTCAATGAAACGAACTGAGTACATTTATTTACTATCTGAGTTTGTGTTAACATAACCCCCAAGACGGATCGTGTTAGGATGGTTGGTTGTATCTTAAATTTATGTATTAATCGTTGTTTTGTGAAGCTATAATTTGTTTATTTGTTGTTGTTTTTTTTCTTTTAAATGCTTCTGACGCGACAACAAAATATAAACAGGAGGCATAATAGAGATAACGACTGCAGCTACAGAACAGTGGCGCGTAATGCTTAACTCATCACAGTCAGCACCTGACCCTGGACAATCTCAATTATTAGGTTAGAAATGCGCCCTAGCACTACCCCCAAAACGACTTTTCGCGCTCAATTGGCCCTCATCAATGACCTGTGTTGCCTGTACAGCGATGCATTTTGAGAAGGAAAAAACCGGCCGGAATGATTTAGGTTTATCAATAACGAAGATAAACATGGTGTGAGTTACACACTGGTAATCTTTGAGTTGACTCGTAAAAACTCATTGTAAATATGACTGTTAATCGTTTTGAAATAACTCCTGTAATACTTTGCAATTGCTCGAATTCAAGCTACATGTAAACTAATTTGGTATTGTTTAGTGACTGAAAAATTAAGTGAATATTCATTATTGTTGAAACACGCTTGATTAAATTGACTTTGTAAAATAAAATTACAATGTAATTTAAGAGCTTAGTACCAGGAGGATTGAACATTGCTCGGCGTTGCTGCTTTATTACTACACACTAACTCCTGTTGTAAGGACTGTCCTCCGGTCATAAATCAAAAACCACTTTGGTTTAAGATTTGTTTATAACCAGCTGTTATATTTTTTCCTTTTGCCTACTGTTCTTTTGTTGATATTTACGGTTTTGTTGTTATTTTGTTGCCAAAGTAGCAACCCATAAGGCTCACTGTTTTGACTTTCGATTTAATTTTTAATTAGATTTTTTTTTTAAGTTTTAACTGCATGAAACCAGTTTTCAGGCCAGAAATAAATTATTTAACACATTGTAAGGAAATCATCGAAGCCGTTTTCGAGATCTTTGTGCAAGCAAGCCAGACAAAGATCGAAGTCACATGAGCGTTCGTTTTCAGAGTGAGTTAGTTTCCAGTTTCGATAACTGGAGTGGAGTGATTGATTACATTATCTTTGAGTTTACTCTTTTAATTCATCGGATATTGTGAATGTTATTCGTTTTGAAATAACGCCGTTAATATTTTGCAATTGCTCGAATTTGAGCAACAGGTGCACTAGTAGTCAATAATCTATGATTGCTAAAGTGTTATTTCATTGTATTTTAGGTGTTATTCAACAAAGTTTGTTTGCATAGCTTTCTAGAGTAGCTCCCCGGTGACCATACAACATAAATGTTTTTTTTAGTCAAGAATACTCAATTTAAAATGTTGGTAAACTTACAAAATTACTACATTTCTTAAGTCCCAAGATGGCTAATTCCCGTTGTCTGCAGGTGTTGAGTGAAGAGAGAGTGACAGGCACTGTGACAACAGAACTGCGGTCAGACGGCTCGGTAGGCGACACTCAGGGCAGGATCAGCTACGAGAACCGAGGGGAATGCTTCTTCCTACCTTACAACAAGGATGATGTTGAAGGCAACGTTACACTGCGCTCTGGGGACAAAGTCAGCTTTCAGATTGCAACTAACCAACGGTAACTTGACCATTGGCCAAGTGGTCATTGTTCTTGCCTTTAAATCGGGGGGTCGCTGGTTCGATTCTAAGTGAGATCGGTTTCGGACCCAATTGTCATTTTTCATTAGCTATCAATTAATGATGTTTTCAAACAAAAGTTTGAAGTTACAGGACCGTTGTTTGGCTCATTCCCTTTGAAAACAAATGTTAAAATTGTTCAATGGCATAATAAAACTTGAGAAAAAACATATATAAGCCTATGTAACAATACATTTTGAGAAATAGAATGTTATCAAACTCAGTACTCAATACAAAAGTAATATTTGCCGTCTTGTGAGTTAACAGGATAAGCGTAAATATATATATTTTTTTTGTTTTATTAGACATTTCTTTTATTTAATTTCCGTATAAATGAAAACTTGTGTATTTGTTATTTGATGTGAGCTCACTAAACTAATCCTAATCATAGTTAAATGCATCATTTTCATGGTTTGCTCATCATCAATGGAACTTTTTCAGTGGCAACTTGGGGGCGAGTCACGTACGGTTAGAAAACCCGGCACATCCTGTGAAGTATCAGGGAGTCGTGTGCTCCATGAAAGAATCATTTGGCTTCATCGAACGGGCTGACGTAGTCAAAGAAATTTTCTTTCACTTCTCTGAAAACAAATCAAAGGACGATCTGCAGTTGGGAGACGATGTTGAATTCATCATTCAAACAAGAAACGTAAGTTGTTTGCTTGCACTCTGTAAATTTGTTTTTCACAATCAATTCAAACTTTGTAAATATTTTAGTTTCCCAGTATAGTAGACCCTCTCTCAACTGACCCTGCATTTTTTGCCTCTGCCCAAGAGGATAGAGGTTGGTTTATTTGGTCTAAATGTTTTAACGGGTTGGCTTAAGAAATCTCTTCTAGGAATATTTAGGCTTCCGTTCCCATCCTATCGCCAAATCACAGTAATTAAATTGACTGAATCATTTTGAGCTCGTCTAGTTTTGTTATGAACCACAGAGGAAACACGGCAAAATTAAAATAAGGAAAACAAACGTTAACGTTTTGAAATAAAATGTTGAATGTGATTCTACATTATTAAACGTGTTTAGAATTTATTTCAGTCATAATATGTTGTGTATTTTTAAATACTTCCATTTATTTAAAATTCAACTTCGTGTGTTTTTTTTCTAATAGAGTATTGCAATTTTCAAGAGAAGTTATCAACAGGTTTTGAATCAAAATCATCATAGTTGATGTAGGCCACCAACAGGTTGTGCTGGTCTAAATTACAATTTTTTCCCCATATACTAACTTGTTTACCGAAGTAAAACTAACTGAATGACTTATTGTGAGCTATAGCAACTGTTATAACCCACCACCATAGTCAGCAACAAAAATAAAGTAGAAAATGAAAATAGAATTTCAGACACTAGCGCATTCTGTGACTGGATCTCACCATAGACAAAAAGAACTAAATATAGACCGTCAGCTGTGCTGCGGTCACCATAGGTTCTGCCACACACCGCTGGGAGCACCATGTTGTTACGTAGCGCGTAAGCCGTAACTACATGGCGCTCCCAGTGGTGTGCGCCAGAACCTATGGTAACCACTGCAAGCCTGACAGTCTATATTTAATTATTTTTGTCTATGATCTCACACAACTATGTTTTTCTTTAATAAAAAAATTGGTGACAGCTGGTCCATATAGATGGGATGTCTACTTCAGTATTCAATAGTCAATGATAGAAGTGATAAAACATCATTATATAGACAGTAAAGAAAACAAATATGTCAGTACAATATCATTATTTATCATATCATTTTTATTGCGTTATTTGATATGTTTACATATATAAAAGTTCCAACTCACCTTTTAGGTAATCTGATCTAGGCCCTGGTGACGATCGGTTAAGAGAGGGTGTAATACAGTTATTTAACAAATTATTTAGCAAAACAAACTTAACTCACTTGCATCATTGTTTAATTTGGGATAATAACCCAGTAACCTTGTTATAAAAATCAGGGTCTACCTTGCATGAAATGGGGTAGTAGGTTTCTTTTTTATATGTTGTTTGTAATAGTACCGAGTTGCTAAATCCAAATTTTCGACCTCGGCGACCTTCCGGATCACCTCCAAAAAGCTTAAAAATCGGCGGAATTTCGCACTTTTTTTACGTTTGTCCGATTTTGATCCTGAAGCATCACTTTTTCTTAAAGAACAACCATAACCATTATTAAAGTACATTAAATTACTTATCATTTAAGACCAAAATGGTTATTACAGGCCTAATAGTTTTCAAGATATGACTCCACAAACAACGGCTAAAATTACCAAATTTTGAATTTTTTTAAAGTTTGGCTAATTTTAACCCTAAAGCATAACTTTATCATAGTTTTTCGTTAAAACAACAATAATTACTTTAAAATTACATTACACTACTCACAATTTAAGACCAAAATGGTGATTATACGCCTAACACATTGAGAGAAATGCCTCTTCAAGGTTCATAAAATCTTCCATAAATGTTTGGACTTTAAGATTCAAGCTATTCAATTTGGTAAAATTTTATAAAGGTACCACAATAAGAATATAAACAAATTTATTTCATTTCAACAACATATTATATTTTTCTTTTTTATGGAAGAAATCTATTGTAATTAAAATGTTTATACTATCAAGAGGAATTTATATAAAGAATGAAGAGGCAACAGTGAAAACAAGTTTTGACTTTGCTGTCTTCTGCCATGACCAAACGAAAATTTGGATTTAGGTTTTTATTATATTACTTCTTTTATGCCGAGGGTTCGCATCTGTACCTAATATGTTGAAATTATGAAACAAGATGGATTTCAATAAACATAAGTTATTTACCACCAACGGGTATTGTGCGTTCTGAAAAGTTCTATACGGGTGTTTGGACGGACATGACTATAGAGCAGGTGCTCATTTGCCTAATGAAAAGCTATGTAGGTTTGACTCGGGACAGTGGTATAGCTGACACCGCGCTCACCCGATGGACGCAAGGAATGATATAATATATCTGTAGAATTTAAGTGCTGAGGTTGAGGAGTAGGCCTACTGCAATGTTAAGGCACATACAACTGAGTAGCATGTAGAAATGAGACCCTCACGAGTCACTCGAGTTAAAGCGAATACAGAGAAGCTGTGTGACTGGTTACTTCGTCACCCTCCATTCCCTAATACTGATGTTATAATGTTCTAAAGCAGTGGAATTGTTGGAAGGAAACTGTCAACCGTCATATGGCTAGAGATATTGGCAAATGAAGCGATGTTGAGAGTTTTATAAGAGAAATATGGATAAGTCAGATACACAAGGAAGAATAAAGTAGTATCTCTTCCTTCTGATGTTAATACTGTTTCTGTTGGCAATATAAAGGTGACTATTGACCCCCTTACACTGTTTCACAGGCTATGCGTTCTGAAGCAGTCGGATGAAGAATGAAAGCACTTCTTCACATATGGGTTTTCACCATTACCCTTGTCTCAATTGAATTAAAAACTAAATTATAGTTCACACATCCAAACGTCTCCAGTTAGTCATACAAGTCAATCTTCAACTGATACCCCTACAGGACGAGTTCGTGTCCAAAGGTACAAGGACAATCTAATCACAGACACAGTCGCCCTCAGTGTTCTCCAACCTGCTCCCGCGGCGATACAATTAAATAAATACCGTTCGTCACAGGCACAGACCTGTGTTCTATCCACTAAAACCATTTATTGTAACAATATACGTGTGCGTTTATGTAAATAGATACAATAGATTTATTTCAATAAAAAAAATTTTATAACACAATCTGTTCTTGAGATGAAATCAGTTTATTTCTTATTATGGTTCTTTTATAAAACTTGACAAAATTTAATACAGCTTGAAACTTAAAATACAAGCATTAAGGAAAGATTGTATGAACCTTGAAGAGGCATATCTCTCAATATGTTAGGCCTATAATCACCATTTTGGTCTTAAATTGTGAGTAATTAAATATAGTTTTAAAGTAATTATGGTTGTTTTAATGAAAAACTATGATAAAGTTATGCTTTAGGGTTAAAATTAGCCAAACTTAAAAAAAATTTAAAACCTTGTAATTTTAGCCGTTGTTTGCGGAGTCATATCTTGAAAACTATTTGGCCTGTAATAACCATTTTGGTCTTAAATGATAGGTAATTTAATGTACTTTAAATTGTTGAGGTTGTTCTTTATGAAAAAAGTGATGCTTCAGGGTCAAAATCGAACAAACGTAAAAATAGTGCGAAATTCCGCTGATTTTTAAGCTTTTTGGAGGTGATCCGGAAGGTCGCCGAGGTCGAAAATTTGGATTTAGCAACTCGGTACTATTACAAACAACACAAAAAAAAGAAACCTACTACCGGTACCCCATTTCATGCAAGGTAAAATGCGTTAGGTTACTGGGTTATAAGTTTTTTCTTGTAAAACCTAAAGTACCGGTAACAATATAAAGCAAACCCTTGTTAGGGAAACATAATAGCTAACCAACTGTTTAGCCCTCCTAAGGTTCACACTTTCTTAGAATTTGCATCTTTGTACGCTTTTGTAAGTTTTGTAAAGTTTGTAACCAAAATGTATGTTACACTGCACAACCTTTTATTGTTTTGCTGGTGATTGGTGTAACCAAGCGCATGTATACTTGCTACTTGCATTTACACCTACTGATATCTGCCACATAATTTCATGGCTTGTCCATGGCTAAGAATATAGCCTGGGCAGTTTGGAAACAAATTTAACTGAAAATAGTGTTTGTGTTAAATAGTTGATGATAATCAATTTGGAAGTTTAAAGATCTTTTAAATTGACACTTTATGGTAATAGAAACTTTTTTGTGTTGTCATTTACTGGGTAGGGTAAAAGTGTGCATTTCCTTGTATAAAACGGTTTGAAAATAAATCAGTGAAGAAACTGGAAAGTCACTTAGCCTGCAGATTAGCTTTTACCGAGGGTATTTTTGTTTGTCCTCGTAAGTATTATGTGGCAGATATAAGAGCATGTTTATTCACCCCTTGTGCTTGTTCATTGATTGTTTCATTGTAACCTGCAGATGAAGTCTCCCTTGAACATCGATGGACCTGTCATACCCGTACTTACGAAGTCACCCATGCCCTATGTAGATCCGGCAATTATTGTTCAGGTTTCTTCTTTGATAAATCTTATTTTTGTGTAAAATTCTAAACTCTAAACTATAACAGGGTACCCACTTAACGATAAAACCTTAAAAATGGTGAATTTTTTCAACTTTGAGAAAACCGGGGTTAAGCCATGAATTTTGCTTTCGAACCTTTTAAGAGGGATAAGATGGTTCAAGAATTCCCCACGGTAGCAAAAAAATAATCATCACCATGATCGTGGTGACGTTGGTTTGGTCATCGTGATGACATCGCAAATTTACAATACGGGTAAATCAACTCTACAGATACCTTTTGCAATCTCTTTGATATTCCTTTAAAAATACTGATGAAAAATAATACATTTTTTTTGCATCTCTACTTTTAAGTACAATATTCAGTTAATTTTTTAAAGCATCGAGGGTTGTTATTTATAAATAACTTTTTTATGTCACTCCGCTGCAATGTGGCCGTGATTCCACATGTTCCTGGGAAAAGACCCTTGATCGTTATATACGTCACAAATTAAGTTTGAGTGGGAACCCTGCTATAATCATAAAATTGTTTACACTTGTTAAAAAAGTTTTTGCTCTGTTGCCATAATCCTAATCCCATAAACACTTAATAAAGACATTTTTATTTATTATTTATTTATTTACATTTGTTGCAGTATTTATATTCTTTTAAATTGAAATCCAAATTACCAAATAGGTTTTAATTTGAACCCTTTGCAGTCAAAATCATGCAAATCCAATCTTTAATAGGTTATTTTTTATTTTATCTAAAAAGAATGGTGGCTATATTTTTAACCAATCAAAATGCCTAAACAAATCTTAATGAATGCATTAAAGTTTATTTTGCTGTTTAAATGTTGCAAACAATTCAATTGGTGCATAAATTAATTAACATTATTCAATTGATTTTGACCTCAAAGGCTTAAACCATTACAAAAACTCTTTATAATTTTATTTACCCTGATATTTACTGAGTTCCAAGCACTTCTGAGAGAAATGTTTACCTGTAAATTAAAGCACTTAATTCATTCAAGGTATTACTTTATTTTTTTCTTGGTTTTCAAATATTCACCCTTGTATTCGATGTAGTTTGAGGAGTTGTGCTATTGAAATGTTATTCATCGCTCCTCAGCCTCAACAGGTTTCCCACTTCCATTAATCCTCTTATTTCAGGACCTGCTAAACACTATTCACAACTAACAAAATACACCTTTTCCTGATCCAGCTATTATTTGGATGGTTGTAGGCTTAATGCATTATAACATTATGTACTGTAATATTTTACTTCTTTTTTATCTAATAAATATTTTAAATTTGAATATATTCATTTCATGTTTGCTGTACAAAATTATAAATTCCAAAATATTTAGCCAACTTATAGTGCCAAAATTAACATTATTTATTAATAAGTAAAAAATTTCATTTTTCCTCTACAGTGGTAGTTCGTTGCCGAGTCCTAGTTCTAGATATGTTTTTTCCTTTGCGGTGCAGGTAATAAATTACTTTACATCTTATTTATCATACGTTATTAGTGTAACATCATTATTGTATTTTTGTTTCTAAATAATTTTGATTTTATTAATTTACTTACCTTCTTGCATAGCTCTGTGCTTGCTCGTAGTTAGAAAGACGCACGTGTTTAATAATTGAAAAATAGGTTTCTGGTTAGTCCTTTGCCTTTTATTTTAGATTGTACAGATTGGTATTGTAGCATAGTATTGTCAGAATTCATAATACATTTTAAAAATGTACAAGGCATAGACAAGATTATAAAAATATTTTATCCCTGGAAATCCTGTTCACATAATTTGTCGTTAAGTTGTAAGGTAAAACAAATTTTACATTGTATGCGTGTTTAGGGAAAAGAGGTGGCTTGCAACATCACCACTCTGCCTGGGGGCTCCGTGGTGTTTGAAGATGTGGCGGACGACATAGTGAAGGGTCAAGTGTTGAAGCCTGTGGAGCGGGGACTGCAGGCCAGACAGCACCAGAACGATCCCTTACCCGGCCGCATCCGGTACAGAGCTCCGGACCACTCGGAGGTAGAGATACCCTTCGGCGACAAGGATCAGAAGAGAGATTTTACATTAAGGTAAGTTTCTAACTGATTTGTGAGCTAGTGATTTCGTTGTTGACTTACAGCAAAACCCTGATAAAGGGGGCGAGGCTTTTTCCAATTAAATCGTTTATCCGGTCCAGTGGTTGGAATTCAAAGATGCTAAAAGAAATATACAGCAGTAGTTTTTTTACCACGTCGGCATCTTAAAACGTACAACAGAGTACACAAAATATATCTCCACAACAATTGATAGTTCTTTGAAATTAAAACCTCCATTTAACCTAGTACAATTAAATTTACTGATTTAGGCTAAGCTGGGCCAACCCACACCAGAACAGACAATACAGGGCTTGCTAACTTTTTAATTAATTGCATTTTTTATTGTGGTTTGGTTAACTCTGGTGTTATTTAAACCTTTATTTTGCTGTAGGTGGTTATGAGTTTTTTTATTGTAACAGTTATGAAGACTTTGATCCCCAAGGTTATTTATAAGTTGGATGGTGCCAATTTTAATTATGCTTTCCCATCATTTATAAACATAAAAAAATATAATGCATGAAGTTTGTAAAATGTTGCAAAATGTTTGGTTTGAGGTTCGAAGGTTGGCGTAGCTAAGCAGTATTCGATATCATTAAGTTAAACATTGTAGCGTGGATTCACACCAGTTTTCTTGTCACAGACATGGTGACTGGGTGCAGTTCAGAATTGCAACTGATCGCAGAGACCAACTGCAGCGAGCCACCACTATCTCCCTACTGCCAGAGTCCTTTGTTGTGTCCGGAGAGAAGCGAGAGCAGGGCGTGGTTGTGGCGCTCAAGGAAGGTTTTGGCTTTCTCCGCTGCGTCGAGCGGGAGCCAAGACTTTATTTTCACTTCAACGAAGTGCTGGACATTGACAGAGAGATTGCGTTGAACGATGAAGTGGAATTTACCGTTGTTCAGGTAGTTATGAGTTGATTCATTGTAGATTTTTTACTCAGCCAGTTCTGAGCAAAGACTTCGTGATCAAACTGCTAGTCTTCTTTCCTGGGCTGGGATATCACGTGATTTGGACTTAGAACCTTCCTTTTTGGGCACGGTGTTTAAAATAAAACATTGTGTATGATTACACTTTTTTAGCTTGATTAATAACCCTATGTGTTTTGACTTATTTTAGGAGCCAAACTCTTCGTCGACCTATGGCAGTAACAGCCGGCAGAGTGCTGTGCGTATCAAGCATCTACCGCCTGGGACTGTCAAGTTTGAGACGCTGGTAGAGGAAGGCCTGAGTGGAGTGGTCACCAAGGAACCTCCTTCATCCTGGGGCAGTCGTAGTCCTACCAAAAACAACTCTTTGGTAATATGCCAAATAACTTGTAGAAATAAGGTATTTGGAACAGTGGGAAATAATTATTTCAAAAACTTTAAAACCTCAGAGAGTTTCATCTTGTTGATATAAGGACACTGTTGCTTGGTGTCATTAAGATAAGCGCCGCTGGTTAGAAATCCACCCCTCCCTCTTAACCTCTTTCAGTAATTGAACAAAACTGTAACCGATATTTTGAATAATTAAATACAGACCTTTAATTTAGGTTTTGCCCTTAGGAGAGGGTTTATCGAAAAACTTATATTAATTTGGGAATATCCACATCAAGACCTTTGTCGTTGGGAATATCCACATCAAGACCTTTGTCGTTGATATGTGTGTAGAGATAGTGTCATGTTCAAGAAAATAATTGAAAATCTAACCAAGCAAATGGAAATTCGCCTTGTCTGCAGGTTTGCTGCAATGGGGGTATTTTCAAATTTTGCTTATATTCAACGCAGAATTATCATGATACAGCGATTGGTGACATAACTTTGTAGGTGTGACCGCCAAAGAGTTAAATTTTGTGAATAATTGTGGTCTCTTTGTTTTAGTCGCCAGGAAGTAATGAGAAGCCCCCAGAGCCCGGCACCATCACGTACCAAAGTAACGGAACTAAGAAAACTATTCCATTTTACTATAAAGACTGTGATCCAAGGAATACACCTCACCAAAATGACAAGGTGTGTAGAAAGATAAGCTGATAAGCTATTTCTTATCATCACACCTGGTCTAATTGTAGAGTTCGTTGGTATGTCCTCAAATCATTTTCAGTTAGGCAATGTTGTGACAATATTTTTTGCGTATCTTTAAAGTCTTACTAGAATTTTCTCGTGTAATCTAGCCGAATCTACTTTTAAAAGACCTACAACAAAAACATTTACAGGTTTATTTTCCTGTATTTACAGGTTAATGACATTGATGTTTATTAACTAGGTATTCTATTGTTATCAACTAACTAATGTTAACTATTCTACCACATTTACTTAAAAGGCTACATATTTATACGGTTTGTATAGTTGTTCTAATAGCAAATTTCCTCCCAAATTCTACATGTTATTTTTATGTAGAATAAGTAATCTGTTGTAGTTTGTTTGTTTATGGATATATTTTCATAAAATTTGGCAAATTCAATTATTTTACTCTAATTAATGTTTTACTAAAACCCCTATTTCTTCCTTAGTGCAGCAAACCCAAGTACTCATTAAACGTAATGTTATTTGAATTTGGGAAAAATCAGATAATTTTATTGTTGAATATTTATTATTTATTATTATTGAAAATCCAATCAGGAAACTGGAAATTTACTGAGACTGCAGATTTTTGCAGCTGAATATTTTAATTTTCATAGTTCACGCAAATTAAAATGTTAAATCGTCTCACTAATGGTACAATATTCTTTAGTGTGTTAGTTTCATTGGTTCCAAATAGGGAAAATCTTATTTTTTTACCATAATCAATAGACAAAACAAAACCTCAATTAAAAACATATCTGAGAAATTATTGATTCAACTAATAATATTTAATAAAATATGATGGTTTAATAAATTCTTAATAACTGACACAAGAGTGAATACGAATTTCCATTCTTGGGTACTCATAACTTATTCCTTACTGTATATCCTGTGCTTTATTTAATCATCTAGATTTGAATCTTCAAATCTTAAAAGTTACAGTCTATTATAAACCGTTGTCTGATTCCGTTGTAAGGTATAAATAAAGTTCTTTTTGCTTTCAGGTGGAATTTTCAATTAGTCAAGTAAAACGTAATAAGGAGCTAATCGCAACTAATATTGTAACAAAACCACAAGCTCAGTCAGTGCCTATGAAGAACGGGATCTCTAACTCTAGTCCCATCTGTCAAGGTTTCGTTGCTGCCCTTAAAGATGGTTTTGGTTTCATTGAAACTATTGCTCACGATCGAGAAGTGTTCTTCCATTTCAGGTAATTTCATTTTTACCTTTAGAGTAAAAAATTTATCTAATGTAGCTCTCTGGTTACATTTTTATTTTATTAAACTTATTTGCAAGTAGGAATGGGAGAGATTGCATTTTTAGTTTGAGACAAGACAGGATTTGTAATTTCTCATAAAATTTTGAGACGGGATTTCCCTTCTCATACATAACGGAAAATGCCCGTTCGATATATTTTCTGATTTTGTAACATTTTTAAATACCTACTGATAAGACAGATGACTGGTTAAATACAAAAATAATAATAATATACAAGAAATTTCAAATCTTTTATTAAAAATATTAGTACCTATATGAAAAAACAAATATTAATACGCCTTACTTACTTACTTACTGCTGGGGCGCTACAAATCGCAGTCGATTCTTCGCCTCGTAGATCAGCCTCTTCCACGCTTCTCTGTCCGCTGCCATCTCCACTGTCCCTCCACACTGACTCACATCTCTCTTAACTTGGTCATACCATCTCATTTTTGGTCTACCCAGTGGACGCTTTCCAGTTGGTACAGCAGAAAATACTTCCTTCAGTCTTGTTCCTTCTTCCCTTCACAATACATGACCTAGCCAACCTAATCTTTTTGCCTTTATCGCTATTATATCAGGGTCCTGGTATAACGCTCGTAGCTCTCTGTTTTTTCTAATCCGCCATTCTCCTTCTTCGTTTACTGGGCCGAATATTTTTCTTAGGACCTTGTTTTCAAAAACAATCAAGCGTCCTTCATTTCTCTTGGGTAGGACCCAGGTCTCGCTTCCATACAATAATACTGGTTGAATAATGGTTTTATATATTCTTATTTTTGTATCAGATGATAGGAGTTTTGATGACAGGAGCTTCATACATGCACCTAAACATTTATTTAACCTACATTTAACATTTAAAACATTTAACGCCTACCTTATTTAAAATAACTCTTCCAATAGGAAACATGGTGACATCAGTTAATGTGTAGTTCACTTAGAAAAATTCCAAATATACCAGTCTAAAACATCAGTCTTGGTAGTTAAGTATGAAGTAACAATTTTTCAGTCTTTTGTTATTTTTAGAATGATTTTGGCGTGACTTGTTTTAGCTATGTTTACAGACGTAAAACATGTCGCACACTGCGTGTAAACTCAACCAAACTTCTCATCATTTGTGATGTCAAAACCAAAAATTAAAACAATTAAAGCATTATTTACATGTAAAGAATGAATTATATAAGAACGCCTACAAAAAGAAAACGCAACAACAACAAACTCTTGTTTTGCTGGTATTGCAGTGACTTTCTGCAGGTGTTATTAAAGTTTTTTTTTATATAATGGTCTCACAAAATCTCAATCGAAATCAAATCTTGTCTTGTTGAGCAAGGTTTGAAATTTTTTGAAATTTTGGGGCCCGTCCATCCCTATTTGTAAGTTGATCCATTGTATCTAAAGTATCTATTCTATCTGCTAAGGCTAAGCTTTTAGTGACCGACCGTAACTGATTACCCAAGGATCACCTATGTGAGAAACCACCAATTTATTATTATATATATATATGCTTTTGTAACTTAAATAACTTTTTTGCCGCAGCAATTTCGAGGGTGACTCGGCCACCCTGGAGGTTGGCCAGGAGGTTGAGTACACGCTGGGGTCACGTGGGTCCTCAGGCAGCTGTAAGTCTGCGGAGAATGTACGGGTGCTGCCTCCTGGCACCATCCGCGCTGACGTCACTGTGGCGGACGAGGTGTTGGAGGGGTTTGTGGTGCGGCCGTTACGCAGTGTCAACCCTGACCAGCAACATTACTCGGGACTAATCTCGCTGGATCCAGGTACAGCAGCAAAGTTTAATTACGCTTTGGGGAGAAGTCAGTTCCTTTGTCATGGTTTGAAACTGGAACCAACTATCTTTGATCATAAGGTTTAAATTATTTTAGCTAAAGAGATGGTTGAGGCAGTCTCGGTAACAAAGCCACATCACACTACATTTTACATATAGACCCGGTTCAAATAGACCTGGTAATGTCACATCATGATTGGTATTGTAATGGTTAAAGTGTTTAAAAGAACGCTGAAGGGTAGGAAAGTTTTCCTAGAATTATGAAAAGTCAGGGAAGTTTTACTGCGCAAAGCTTGGGCTCTAATACTCTTAGGTAAGCTAGCTGAACTTAATCCCTGTTACAAAATTCCTCAATCAGCCATTTGGCTGTCCTGGATCAGATAATTTCTAATGTTTGTTTGTGTTTCAGAAGGAGAAGAGAACGGTAGCGGGTATGACTTTGGCATCACGTCATTGACCAACAAGCGGGAGCTGCTGCAGGTCGGCGACCCCGTGCAGTTCCAGGTAGACTCCGACGGGCGAGCTGCTAATGTCACTGCCATCCGGGCCAAGAAAAAAGCCACCGTCGAGTCTATCAAGGGTATGTTGCTCTCAAGTGCCATTTGTAGATATGAAATCAAGATATATATGAAATCAAATTGTAGATATCAAGCATTGGGCTTGCTTTATAACTTGATCTATTGTGAAGTGACAATAAGTCACATGTAGGTCTTATATTGAAGGGAGAAAGCTACAACTGGATTTTGGATGAGAATCAAAGCAAATGTTGACGAATCTTGGTCAGTTGTTGGATTGGATGCAAAGAAGGTAGCAATTAGATCCATTGCAATAAAAAACCTTGATAAAGTAAAACTTACCACGGTAACCTCTTTGAATGACAAAATTTTAGTTATGAAATAGATCCATGATTGCAATGATTCTTGATTATTGATTATTTTTACACAATATGATTTATTTAAACAATTACCAATCTTCTCTTGATCTTTGAATAAATGCAAAATGATTCATGCCTTATTACCTTGTTTGGTAGGCTATATAATATAGAAGAGATATCTTAACAATATCTTATTGATTTTACAGATAGCTACGGGTTTCTCAATTATGAAGTGGAAGAAGGCAAGAAACTGTTTTTTCACATGTCTGAAGTTAAAGATCGGGAAAAGCTTTCACCAGGAGACACAGTTGAATTTGTTTTGGTCACAAACAACAGGAGCAAGAGGTCTTATGCGACTAGTGTAGCAAAACTGAGGTAAGGAACGATCTTTAGTATTTTAGGTTTGTTCATCAATGGGATTAGTTGTATTATCATTGACTAACAACACAAGTCGACTGATGTAAACAAGAAGAGATTATTTTAGTTATTTGGACAATGTTAGAGTAAGAAAGGACATTAGTGAACTTTGGAACTTGGGTTCAGAGATAAGCCCCCTCCCCTACTAAAGCGAGAGGATGCTTCAGTTTGAGCTGAGATCCAGGTATGGCAAGATGTGTCCATTTGTTCTGATCGTAGTTATTTGCTAAGATAGTAAAAGTTCTAATACAGTTTAAAGTAATTAAACATATGTTTTCTGGGTTAAACCATCGATTTCTCATCCTGTAGTATAGGGACGTTGGACTGTGTGTAGCCTAGACATTACAGAAAAGCAGATGTTTAATATATACCACAAATGATTGTTGAAATGATTTTTCGTGGGTTCACCCTAAACAGTCAAAACCTAACAAAGGCCAAGATAAACCCATAAAAGGCTCATTCCCATGTGACATGGCAAGATGCAAAACCTGCCACATTAATAGGCCCAGCACAACATTTACAAGCACATCAACAGGAGAAACCTTCAAAATTAAAGGACACAATACATGCTCCACAAAAAATGTTGTATATCAACTTCAATGCAACCATTGCCCATCTCAATACATTGGACTTACCACCACCAGTTTTAGAACAAGAATGAACAATCATAGGACAGATATAAAAAACAACCATCCAGAAAAACCAGTGCCTATTCATGCTACCAGCCACAATATGCAAGATTTAAACAGTTGTTTCAATTCAAAAATAATAAGATCTTTCCCTCCCACCTGTAACCCATCACAACTAAGGAGATGGGAACTCTCTTATCAATGGTTCACCAAATCCAGGGAGCCCCCAAACCTCAATCTCAGATAGGCCTAACATTTTCCTTTCCCCTTCCACACCTAAAAAGCAGGCTTAGACTAAGTGTAAATAAAATCAATGACTCATAACCTGTAAATATTCATTTGTAAATTCATAGTGTGTTGGCAACACTGCTTCCTTACCAGTGAAAGACTCTTAATATCTAATGTGACTCTCCATGTTGAGAAAGGGGCCAGTGGCCTCGAAATATCCAGTGTTTATTTTGTTTGTTTGTGTTTTCTTCTGTGTTCTGTAGTGAATGAAGTGGGATGCCTACATTTTTTAAGGTAAGCCTGCTTATCCTATCCTTTCTCACACCTATTCTCAGGCAATTAGCCCTTTCTCTCCAAACCTATGATTAAGAGTTTGATGTTTTTTCAGCGGGGAGGCTGCAGTAGGTCAGCGTCCTGAGCGTCTCATCTCTCGTCTGCGCACCATCTCCGTGGACGACGGACCCAAGTTGACAGTGATGCGGCAGCCACGCGGACCCGACGCCACCAAGGGCTTCTCTGCGTCCCATCGTGTCCCTCGCTCCCCTGGGATCGTGCTAGAATAGTTCCACCTTTTCTGCGTTTCCAATTCCCGTTCTCCGTAACTTACTCATCTCCACACAGTGTAATTCTCCTTTCGCTTCTCGAGTGTAGAGGTAATCTCGCATCGCCCGTTCTAGTCAGTCATGAACAAAACCAGACAAATGCCTTTTTGTTTTTTTTTTTCTCTCAATTCATCCTGACCACTTAGGGAATTGGAAACTCGCCCTCGATAAGTTTGTATATTTTTTATATGTTCTGTTATTATCGTATCCGGGACACTAACAAATTCGAGAGATTCGTATTTATAAAGTATATCGAACTGGGAACTTAAGCCTTAAAAAATTTTTATTTGTAAAGAACAAAAATCTTTTAGTTGCAAATTTTTTTACCCGAGTTGAAAATGCTTAGTCATAGCAATAGTTATTGTATTGTTGGATGGTATGTTACAATGGAAATTGTGATTTGTAAAATGCCTTCGATTTTTAAATTGTAATCCATTACGGAGGATATTCTTCAGTTCAAAAGTTCATGATCGGTAACAATCGAACATCAGTGCCCACATTAACTGTAACCGTAGTGTTCTATATAATAAGTTTGGCTCTCATTACAAGTGACTGTTAGTTATGTAGTTTCATTAATATTATTTACTCTTACATCTAGTTACATACAAATGCAAAAGAATGTCGATGTTACTTAACTAAGGTCTGATATCCATAATAGGATAACTATACTTTATATATGCTTGTCTCTTCAAAGTCTGTAAATAAGGTTATATACTGATATAATATAGGAATTAGGCACTAATATTTAAATGAATTACACATCTGTGATACTATTTTGATCACTTACTCCATGAAAGGGCATAACTTATGGTCTCAGTAACCTGTGCTGAAAACCAAGTGGTGAACATAGTAGTGTTTGAGGTTCATGATACTTGTATATTTAGATTAGGTATAGTTGAAACATTTACTTATCAGTTCATAGTGATTGTCAAACCACCCTTCGCTGCATGCATGTGTCAAGCTTTTTTTTTTGTTTTAACGATTTTAGGAAAAACACCAATACCGTATTTGTTTTTGTATTTCCTAGAGTTCTGTCTTAGTGCTGTCGTGTTTTCCTGACTGAAATAAGAGATTATCTGGTTTATAATTGTACTGTTTTAATCATGACTTTTTTAAAGCTGTTTTAGCGTTAGGTTAGTGTGTGGAAGTATTTTTTTAAGTAAAATTAGTTTTCCACCGTTTAATTTTTTACAAATGTTAACCAAATATTCTAAATTTTATTTATAAATTTTAAATCAAGTAATATTTTAAAATTATTGTTATCAAATTGCGATTTTTAAATGTTTATAAGTTAGTTCCTAATAGCAAATGATACTGTGTATCTCTACAAGTATCCAGCTTATAAATATTATCTTCAACTAGGTTTTTGTTAATTGTGGTGTCCTTCAACTGGTTTGATAATTGTTTACCAATGCAGACTGCAATGTAACAATAAAGGTTATTTATAAATAAATGTAAAATTTATAAAGTTTACTACGCTTTATAGAATTGAAGACCCTTGCACAGTTACCTCAAGTATTATTGTGTGATACATTCAAAAATTAGTAAGATAAAAGATACCATAAATACATTTTGAAATGTCAAGCAAAGGTTCTCTGGGTTTTGTAAAAGTCTAGCTTTAACCTTTTTTCTTAAGTAAATTCATGCAAAGAAAAACAACAATGGCTGTATATTTTAGGCATTATTGTCAATAGCATGAAATGTATTTAACGTTCTCAAGTGGTGATATTATTATCGACTGGTCGTTTCAATTACTCTATGGATCCGTAATGGTTTCTTGTTTGTGTGGGCACTGAAGTGTAACATATGAAACATCTGTTTTTGCTGCTATAAATTGTTGGTAAAACTCAATAAAGAAGACTACCTTATTTAAACTTATCTTGCCTTGTATATGGAAATCCTGACAACAACCAAAATCTCTTGGGAGTTGTATTCATAAAATACCAGCAGTTTGCCATTTTGGACGGGGATATTGTCAGTTAAAACCTTTTTATATTCAGAACAGCAGTTTGTTTGCATATCAAGTTTGTGTTTTACGATATCTGACAGCTAAACAAAACCAACTGCCCTGCAAAAAAGCACTTGGGATATCTAATTTTAGTAGTCTGTATTTGATATTTGAAGATTTTAGAACAAAACAGTCAGGTTTATAAATCTTTTTAAAGTAAAATTGAGAGCTACTTCCCACACTGGTTATAAGTAGTTAAACCCCCCTCCCCACTTTTCCTTGAAACACTGTCTGAGAAATAAGAGCATGAACGTGTTATTATCAGACATACACTTAAACATACAGAGTCAAAGACAGAAATGAGATAGGACATTATTCGTCTTTTGTTGTGTATGAAATGAAAAAATATAAAAATAAAATATGCCAACCAAAGTAATGTTCAGATACAATTAGTATTTGAAATCATTTTTAGTATCATCAAATTGTATTATTATATTGAATTTACTCATCATAGTACAGTGATTATGCTGACTAAAATAAAAATGGTGTAAAAACAACAAAATATAAGGTTAAAATATATTTTAATCAGTACAAAAGAATTATTGTGTAATTCAAAGACTCGTAAAATAAGTAACAATGTAATAAGTGAATTGTGGAAACTAAGAATCAAAATCATTCTCAATTTAACAATATACAGTAGATTTAAATAAATATACAATATTAATGCAATCTACACTTTAAAATACTAAACAAATTTCATTAAAAGTTAAGTAAATTGTAATAAATCTGTCAAATTTGCCCATAAGTGTAAAAGTTTTTTTTTATTACTCATTATTGAAACATGTTGTCAATGATTCATATATGAATTGAAATTATCATATTTCCTGCTTGAGTACACACCATAAACTAAGGTTTGATCAATTAATTAACAAACAGGAATCAAGTTAGGCCAAATGCAAAACCTGGTAATCTTAGTAAATTCTAACAAAAAAACACATACATGATTTTAAGCTGGTTGAACTCTTTTTCTATAATAAACCATAATATATTTCATAGAAATTGTAGGCTGAATAATATTTGAGCAGTAGTATCTTGACAGCTTGTATTTTGAAAACATTCTACCTTCCAATTTGAAACTTTGAAATGAAATTTAATTTGCAAACAAATAACAGGTAGAAAAATTAAGATTATTTTAAATCATTTTTCGTTTCTGGACATTAGTACCAGAAGTCAGTCTTCAGATGACGATGCATTCGTACGGGTAGTGGAAATCAGCACCGATTGAACCTGGCTTGGGACATGCTGCAAAAAATCAACTGTGTTAGTAGTGTATATATTATATATATTTTAAAATCACTAATATTATTAACGCCCTGAAATGATCCTTAAGAGGCAATAGAGTCGCAACTATCAGACCTAAACCGGTTCAAAAAATTAAAACAGATATTTCCGCGACCGCAGGAGATGCTGAGGGCTTTGCAGATACAGTATGACACGTCTGCCTTCTTCAATAAAAATTCTTATTCCTGTAGTTATAGGTTTTTCTCTGTGTGAGTCGGATGGAAGGAGTCCATTGCACAGTATATGATATCAGCATACTTTGTCAGTAAGTGAATTTGTATTCTAAAACTGACTAAACGAGGTGATGACTTACATTATTGGATGACTATAATCAATCAATGCTCACCATGTTGACATCGATGGCCGTAGTATCCGGTGCCTTCACATCTGCAACGGTATCCTGGAGAAACAGAGGTCTGACTACATGACCCACTGTTGAGACATGGACTCCTTTGACAAACATCATTCCTACGTCCTGTTGAACCAAAAGTTATACACCATTAGAAAACACAGAAAATCACTTTGTGAATGGGAAATTGCATCTTGAATTTAAACTTCAATGATTGAATAAGCCCCCCTCAATCATAAAGTTTAAGATAAGGATGTTCTACTCTTTCAGTGCTAAATCCCAATTTTCTTAATCATAGAAAATATGTATGATAATTTTATTTAAATAGACCCCAGCATTCCAAATGAATATAACTAAGTAGTGTATATAGTTTGTTTACCATTCAACAACTTCAGTACTTTTTAAAATTCACTTGATTAATGTTAAAGAATATTTTTTCAGATATACTTAAATTATTGTCATTTAAAAAAATATTGATCTCTGTACTAGAAAACCGAATCTCTAAATTATTATCAAAACTTAGGAAAATTCTTGTTTTTCGATATTCAATCGGCAAATTTTAAAGATTTAAGAAATAAAAGTCAAGACCAAAACTGCTGACATAGTATCATTATCACAGCTTAAAACTGAAAATATGCAGGCAACAGCAAACCATTCTTAAGCTGACAGCAATCAAGCAAAAAAATCACCACTAATATTGATTTAAAAATTAAAAAAATAATATTGTTGAAATTATATTCTCAACTGCAGCAGGTATTCTAGATACTGTACTTTTTTTTAATTCAACAATAAGTTCAATACAGTTCCATATGAATATTTTTTAAACAAATAAATATTGATCACTTAATGTTTGAAATCTCATATCCATCAATAATTATTATGTCAGTGTCAGGAGTTAAAAATTTATTTTTGTGTAAGTTATTTAACTAGAGCGCGCCCGTGGTCGAAAACACAACCAAAAGTATTGTACATTATTGTGCAAACTTCTCTACTTTCACCCCCCCCCCCCCCCCCCGTAAATAAAACATGTGATTGGAATTTCTTCAATTTGTTTTGATTTATATTTTGTCACCAGCATGGCAACCCATAAGGCCTATGTTAAATTTTAAAATTTCAAATTCTTTTGTGTGCTTATTTTCTAGCCTATTTTAATTTATAAAGGGGCTCTGCACATCTACAGGAAAATATCTCTCATTTGGTACCAACAGCGTGTAATTTGGTCCAGTAGAATGGTCGCAGGCTAGCTGTCACAAGTTTTGCAAAAGTTTTTTAGTATATAAGAAGATTCAAAAATCGTTTTTAGGTTTAAAGTGCATTATTCACACGTTCATGCTATCACAGAATTAGGAATCCAATTCATTTCGGTTTTGATTGCAAAACAAACATTAAATTATATTATCTACCTGTATTTTGTTGTAACCCTTGTAAAGTTTGGTGCTTAGGTTTCTAGATTATAGTTCGGCCGCTTAGAAAACGACCTGCGCGCTAATGCTAAACCAATGCTGGAGGAGGTCGCTTTCTAAGCGGCCGAACTATAGTAAATCCATTTTTGAGTAGTTTTCGGTTTTAAGATTCCAAACCAGTTGAACTAACTGACCTTTCAGAGCTGTCCTGCACTCCTCTTTGTTAACGTAGATGTAGTCGGAAGGACAACCGATGCCACAGAGACATTGTCCAGCCTGAATCCTGCAGCCTGGTCTCTCCTCACACCCTGGCACCCCTACCACGGCTGTAATCCAGTCAAAATTGTTCATTTAGCAAATTATCTATATAGGGGTGCTACTGCCGTAGCTACTTACTGTTACTTTCTCCCCCTAGACATAGGTTTCCCGTAATTTATTAGGTGTACCTGGGGGTGTCCAGCCCAGACTTTATCTTGCTTGCTCATCTTAAATTAAAATGACTGCCGTTTTGATTAGGGGTGCGATATTGACCTCTGGTTTGCGCCATTCAATTTCTCTTGATAAACCCTTTAAAATGAGGGGTCACATGATAGGTGTGTACGTTTAAAAATTTGGGGCTGCCCCCAAAATACCCTATTTTGGGGGCTGGGGCAAAGTTGTAACTTTGATGAAAAAGTGCAATTTTTTATGTTGTAAATATGTGCCGAGTTTGTTTTTCCTGCTGCAACGCGTTAAAAAGTTAAATGGGGGGTTCCAGACATTTGCCTAACCCTGTATGGTAATCAGGACCGGATAAAAAACTATCAGGATTACTAATTTATTAGCCAATTCACTGTATGCATATTTATAAAATTACAATGTTCCAGTTGGGCTGATTGTTCAAATTGTTGGTACGTACTAGCATTGACTATAAACTCTAAAGTTTTGCCACGTGATGCCAGTTTCACCTTTCAAATTAAAAGAAAAACAATAATTTTTAGCTGTAAAACATAATGTGACAGCGAAACTTTGTAGTTGAATAGCAATTTTATCACATGTGAGACATTCCACTCATGCTTTTGCCGTCTCGAATGTCACACAGCTGACGCACAGATGTTTGTAGACTGCATCAGTAGCAATGGCATACACCCTATGTATGAGCTCACCGTAGCTAGACAAAGAGAAGGATTACTTCCTACTACTTCCCTATGTAAATATTAGGCATACCGTACACTTTAAATAATAAAGATATCTACTCCGATCAAGTGCAGTCTAAGATTTTTACAAAATTCACGACATTTTACATCAGTGTGAACAATACTGTGAACAAAATAACTAGGCCTATTTAATAGTAACAATGTGGGTTTGTTAGAACTGGAGGCACCGTGTAAAATCATGTACCGGTATATTTAGATAGGGCTAAAACATGTTCAATTTTTGCTTTACAATATTGTACATGTAATATTCACACCCATTATTGTTATATTGTTCACTTTGGCCATCAGCAGCAAACACACAATTAAATAATAATAATAGTGTTTTGTTGGTACCGGTTTCTGTACAAAACTAAATTTTCCGTAAGCACCTCTTAAAAATAGGTTGCAAACATTAGATAGGCCTACTATTTTTGATAGTATACAGAATATCCTATTTTTGATAGTAATATCCATGTTAAGCTAAAAAGCCAGTGCGTACTGTCTATAAACGACCAGTTTAATAGCTTGCCTTTGCCAGGTTTTAACGGAACAATAACAAATCATTGACCCGTAGAAGAAGATAACATTGTTGTAAACAATCACTTGTATCACAAACATTTACTATTAATTAATTTGCAGATGAGCTGCTTTATTTTAGGGATGAGAGTGTTTTCCGTAAATAATCTCATTCCAGAAATCGTTCATTAAGAAATGCCATCACACAATAATCAATAACAAAACGCAAATTAATTATGCAGCTTGCAATTCAATTTTATTTACTCTAAAATATTGTAGTTCGGTAATTTGTGTTTTTTAACCCCGAAATAGACTTGCTATCTAGGCTATATTAAAATTAGAATGGATATATTATTAAAAGATTGAGAAGTGATAAAGGCACTTTAACTAATTTATAAAAGTAATCAGGGACAATTTCACAATTATTTTTTTTGAGTTTAGTGACGAGGTTATGGACAATATCTAATACAGATCTAACAGTATTAGAAAATTATATTGTTGTTTTTGTCCGTTCGCCTGTTTGTTTGATGAACGCAAAAAAATGAACCGACAAAACAACAATCGTTATTCGTTTACTTTACACATAGGTAGGCGCCATTTATAATATCAAAAGCAGACAACATTATACAAAGTGATTAGAACACATGTAAAGCAGACATTTCAGAAGTTCCACTCAACTTTTACTTTAGCACCCTCATAGCTCCATTGTTTAAACACAATAAAAAAGAAATACAAATATTTGGGTAGTTAAGCCTATTTGAAAAATGGTTTATCAATTTGAAAACACAACAAATATCTACACTCATGCTAGGAAAGAAGACATGTAAATAAATACTATCTTTTAGGTTATTTTTTCACTACACACAAGGTGTATAAAACCGTAGATGCGTAGATTAAAGGAGTAGACAAAAATATAAATGTCTACTCCTCTCATAAAACTGCATCATGGTGAAGATGAGAAGAATGAGAAGTATAAAAACTAGTTTAAAAAATGATAGATTAATAATTTCATAGCCTCCTCTACAATGCCGCGGCGAGACATGGAGATAAAAGTGGCAACACCGCTGTACCGGCAAACCGAAACAGCTGTACTAATTTATAATGTAATTTTACAAGTTTGTTTAATGCCTTGGCAATAAGCTGGCCGGTGCGACGTTGCCACACCAACGCCGCGGAGGACGCTATGATAATTTACTTGGTTACAAATATAAAATCTTAATTCTAGTAGATTTTACTTAACATGCATTACAATAAAATACAAGACAATGGAGTTTTATGAAAGGTTGCCTACCAGCTACGATGGCCAGCGTGATGACGACGCAAGGGTGTAAGTGCATGGCTGTGTGGCTGATGGGATACAAACACAGACACAGACTGAAGCTGTAAGCACAATCTGTGACTTATCTCATATCCTTCCGTTTTGTCAAGGTTAGCGACCTCCTCCCCCTCCCCCAGAGTCTATCTCCAGATTAGAACACATGTGCACTTGGGCTGTAGCTATCTGAGAACGTCAGCCTAGCTGCTGCACTTTGATCGTCATTGATTCACTGATAGTTGGGTTGTAATAGCTAACTTGTTGTTTACTCTCCATATTTTGCTGACTTAATAGTAATCAAGAAATATAATTAAATTTTAATTTTAAACTACATGGCACATGGGATATTTTTAATGCTTTAGCTTGAGTAAAGAAAAACAAATAGGAAAGGAAAAAATAAAGGGTATATTTTTATCAGGTTTATGTTAATATGCCATTATTCAATCTTAAGAATAAAAAATAAATACAATATTCTGCAAATCGTTATGCATGTATGTAGAAAGAAAAATGTATGGGAAATACAGAGACTAAAATCTGGAGTACGGTATTTATTACTGTTGCAATAGCACAGGAAACAACATTTCTATTAAATGTGTTTTTGGAAACAACTCCATATGCACTTTTCTATCGTAAATAAACTATGATCTAAAAATCCTTCAGTGATATATTTAATGAGCAAATTGAAAATGTGTTAAGAATACATATTATTAATTTTAAAAAAGCTTATACGTTTGGATTTCCAAACAAACAATAGTTGTCCAAAAGTTCATCATGCTCAAGAATATTTCACATTCCCGGTATAGTATCAGTGTGCATAGGGGTTTTTTTTAAGAATTATTGCTTTAGTATTGTGCTATTTTCATTTTGATTTGGCAATTACTCCATTCACTCCAAAGCAATAATCTTTCCATCAATATAAACATACCTCAATTCCAAGTATACCCTCATTCTTAGTACTCTACTGTATTTTTTAAACGTATCTCCGGAAAGGGTATAAGTGCACTGTATTTCTCAATCTATCATCCTCTTGCATTCTCTACACTGTATTTTTAGATTAGACATGAATCATAAATTAAATATACAGTACTTCACATCATTTATCAGTTCATTATCTTCCACAATTGCAAGCAAGTACTTTCTATACTTCAAGCTGTGCTTCAAGGTTTTTACATCTTTGAGCAACTAGTTGAATGTGCCAGTGGTATTAAACATGTAACAGAGAAAACAAATTTGGTGAAATAACTTAAGAAACTCTAGACACTAAAGGGGGAATAATCGCATCCTATATTATAATTAGGTTACAAGCAAACTGAGATACATTCATCACATAAAAAACATTGAAAATTTAAAAGTATCAAATATATATGTTGGAAACATAATTACTTTTAGCTTAGAAAAGAAAGTTGACAGAACAAAGAAAATTAATGCAATTAAAAAGTTCGAAAAACATTTGAAAACACTTTATTTGTTACTTAACCCAATATATACCCCAGCCTGACTTTTACTGGACATTTTAATTTGTAAATCCTCTGGTTCAAAGAATTTGATTATGTAAAATTGCATTCTATGTGAAACTTTTCAAAACTACTTATACTCTAACCAATTAAGAATATTATTTCTAGGGATGGACGAGATTGGATTTTTAGTTTGAGACGAGATTTTTTATTTCTCATGAAATTTCGAGACGGGATTCCCCTTCTCATACATAATGGGAAATGCACGTGTGACATTTTTACGTGATTTTGTAACATTATTTATATACAAAAATCATAATAATGGGCAATAATATTAAAAATCTTTTATTAAAAAGCATCAGTATAGAAAATGCTATATTAATTACGCCTAACTTAAAATAACCCTTACGCTTAGCAAACATGGTGATCAGTTAGGATTGAGTTAAACTTATCCAAAAAATAAAATAAATCATAAAATAAAAGCATATTAATTTGTATAAAATACTTACATGGAAACGCAACTACAACACGCTCTTGTATTGCGGATATTGCATTGACTTTTTGCAGGCGTTTTAAATCTCGTCTCAAAAAAATATCTCGATAAAAAATCTCGTCTTGTAGAACGAGATTTAAAATTTCCCGAAAATGTCCCGAAATTTCGATTAGCGGTATGGGGTCACAAATTCAGTCAGTAAAAATATGTTTGGACCTCACATAGAAACTAGAATCTTGTTCTTAAAGTCAAGTCCACACGTGGCGAATTGTCTCTCGAAACATTGTCCGCAGACTGTCTCTGTAGTGTTGCCTTTTGTATCTATCTATGTCTCCAGATGATCAGCCGACTGTCAGCAGACAAATTTGCGTGTTTCTGGAGACAAAATAAAGTATTTTCTTTCTTTTCATACCAACGGAAAAACCGAGACAAGATACAAGTCTTTTGACTCAATTCTGCATGTGTGGACGTGTCTGGAGACAGAAGATCGGATACAACTCAAACCCGCTAGTGTTCACTGTGTAGTTTTTAGGGCCAATGAAATTGTAGCCCTGTACTTTTCTTTGTTATCTTTGGCCAAGTGTCTGTTTATCTTTTGTGGAACCCTTTACATGTACAAATTTAACCAAAATTAACATGTGTTGAAGGGTGTGAGGTGAGAGGCTAAAATGAGGTCCCACTTAATAAGGCATTATATTTAAAAATTTTGAGCTGCCCCCAAAATACCCCATTTTGGGGTCCCGGGCAAAATTATCATACAAACCAAAATGTAGTCCTTATAGTTTCTTGTTAAGGTGATACTGAGTTAAGTTTTCCTGTTACAACTCTTAAAAAGTTAATGGTGGATATTGATGTCTATTTTTAAGTGGGCTCTCTCATGCTGATGAAAAATAAAAGTTGCAACCATTCTGTTATGGGTTGAGATAGAGACCTCAGGTTTTCACTGATATTCTTTTTAACTGATATTCTTTTTAACTTTTTAATGACCTTTACAACAAGTTGCCACTTGGTTGGGCTTTATATTTAAAAATTTTGAGCTGCGCCCAAAATAACCCATCTTGGGGGTTCCGGTCAAATTTGGTATACAAAAAAGTCTACTTTTATACCCTGTAGAGGTGTGTAGTTTGCTTTCTTAATATAACCCATTAAAAAGTTAATAGGGAGTGCCCATACTTTTGCCCAACCCTGTATATGGAGGAGGAGGATGACCAAATTTTGGCCCTTTCACTAGAAAAAGCTTTAGATTCCCCAATTGGCTTTTAAGATTTCCTCATTATAAAAAATACAGATATTTAATTGTTTAAAATGGGTTTTATCTTAATTTTTACACTATTTACACCTTTCTCCCTCTATATATGGAAAAAGTATAATTTTTTTAAAGTTTGAGTTTTAGGGTGGATAAATCCAATTTGTGACCCCTGAACTCAAAAACGTTGTTTAGAAAGTGATGTCTGAGTGGATATGTGAGTGTGGATATGTACAGAGCTACAGACCACACCCTTAGTCCGATTTCGATGAAATTTAGCATCTGGGTACCAATCCATGGTATATAGGTTTTTTTTTATATTTTAGAAATTTTTATTTTGAATGGTCATTCATTTCCCAGAAAAAAAAACCAGAAACATTGAATTTTCTCCAAACTGGCCCGAACAATTAAGATTAAAATTTTGCATAGGCCTAGTCCTTTTAACTTTAAACAAAACGGTACAACCCCCATTGCTGTAAAGATTATGGTTCAAAAGTTATTTAGTTAATGTGATTTTATTTTAAAAACCCATCAAATAACAGAAAAATTGTATTTTTTTTAAAGTTGCTAGACCGATTTTAGTAAAAATTTTGCAGGCCTATGGTGTGTTCCTTATTATAACTAAACAAAATGGTACAACCCCCATTGTTGTAAAAACTAGGATTCAAAAGTTAATTCAACTTTTAGGATTTCCCCATAAAATATCATAGTTACTCCTACTGCTTACCCAAGAACCGTTTTGGCCTCCCCTGTATTGAAAAAAGTGGTTTTCGAAGTGATGTCTGTGTGTGAGTGTGTGTCTGTCTGTATGTGTGGATGTGTACAGAGCTACAGACCACACATGTAGTCTGATTGTGATGATATTTAGTACTAATTTATGGTATCTCCAAGTACTTTTTAAATTTTTTTGAAGATGAATTTTTAATGGGGATTTTCCCATAAAAACCCATCAAAATCAACCCGAACCATTTTGAAAAATTTTTGTATGTTATAGTCCTTTAAATTCTGAATTAAATGGTATGAATCTCATTACTGTACAAATTACGTTTGGTTCAAAAGTTATTGTATGTTTTCCTACGAAATCCCAGAAAATCGGATTAAAACAAACCTGTTTTGATTTAAATTAGTATTTTTTATGGCCCTTATAACTCCAAACAAAATAGGCGGACCCCCCCCCCCCTAATTGCTGAAAAAATACGATCCAAAAGGTAATTCAACTTTTGTGATTTTCCCTATAAAATATCATACTCCCACCCCCATGAGAATGTATGTGAAGAGTATGTAGGGTAAGCCGCAACACAATGTAAAAAAGCGACCAATTAACAGAAAATCAATATTTATATCGAATGAAATATTTTTATCAATAACAAGACTCTCATGGGGATTATAAAATAAGTCTGGTTATCAAGGTTGACTTCTTATTGAGGTTTGCAATAACATGTGCTTAGAGGTCAAATACGGTAAATTTGAGGGATTTGAAAATTACACTTGTTATCAAGAGTGATAGAGGGTCTTCTTATCGAGGTTCCACTGTATAATTTACATAATATATCGTAGATTTTCTCCACTGTTCCCTTTTCGGAATAAAAGATTAATTTCTGATTCTGACATCCAAGTCACTTTAATCCCACAATAAGACATTGCAAATACATTGGCTTTTTGGATAGAGAACAGGAAAATCATTTAAGATAAAATTATAGAAAAAAAACTTTATGTACACTATACAAAGTCTGAGTAATTATCCCATGATATTGAGAGTTTTGCGTGTTCTGCTGATCGGTGTGCCTGAGCGACGTCGCAGACGACGCACAGCCTCTCGCAGGTGTTTCGGCTGCACTGCACCCGTCTCCCCCATCTGTTCCATCACGTCCAGGGCTGTGTTACCAACAGAACAACTTCAGCTCATTTCCAATAGAAATTAAATGTTCACTCCATGTACAGAGTTTTTTTTTATCTAATCAGCCATTTTTAGTTATTTGAATTACAAAATTAAAAAGGCTGCAATTTGGAAATTTTGAGTTGGACCAAGCTATTTTTTATACAGGACTCTTCAGCCTAAACATGTATAGACTACCTAGTTTTATAAATAAAGGTTTGAACAATTAAAAAATAAAAATATTTGTGTAAAAATACAAAATGACAAACTTCTCATTATCAAAGTGTTTTGGAAAAAAGATTCTTGGTTTTGTTTTATATTAAACCACAGAACCATTTTCCGGGGTTTGACTGTTTTATCTTCGGGACACCCTGTAGAACTTAAACATTCCACTCCCATGTAAAGTTGTAACCAGTTTTAAATTTGTCTGATGGTCTATTAACGATTCCTGCTTGTGTGCACCAAATCTTTTAACCAGCCTAGTTGAAATATAAACTGGTTGTAAATAAACTAGAGTATCTGCTTATAATTGTAGCATCTTTTGCATCATATAAAAGATTACAGAACCAACCATAGGTATAGAAATATAAAAGAAAAAATATAATTTTGGCACTAGCTTACTCTATGAATGGCTCACTTAACTAAGTTCAATTAAAAAAAAAAAGTGGCTACAGCTGAACTATTAACGGTGAACTATACCTTCTTCGACAACTTCCCCGACAAAGACTTTAGCGATCCCTGACATGGCTATCACTACATTCTGTGACACAGAGCAGCCGGTGATTGTCTGCATCAACTGAAAATTATTTTGGCATTAATAACTTGTTAAAGCGTACGCTAAGAATGTTGAGATATAATCTTTGAATGAATTTAAATACTTTATAATTATTTTATTTTGTGAACATTTAGGCCTGTGGAATTGTTAAGGTTTGTTTTCGAAAGAGAACGGTCTGAATCCTGGGATTTTTATGTGTTAGCTAGCAAATTGATGATTGGATAGCCTAATGAAAAAAAGCATCTGAGTTCAGCATCAACCCCGTTTGTGAACCAACCAGCAACCTTCAATTTTGAAGGCTAGCATTATGATCAGTCGGCAATCCAAACAAAATCTCTGAATTTGGATATTGCTAGCAGACTTCTCATCCGATTGCAAAATCAGAAGCCCGGTTTTAATGTGTCTTTATGAATGAAATTGTTTAGGCAAATCTTTTAAGAACAGTACAGCAAAAATCACAATTTGCTGAGCCTAAAAAATTTATAAATAAAAATACTTTATAAAAATGCCATGTTTTTTTTAAATGCACTAAAAAGTAGAAAATAATGTATAAATATGTTGATTATGAATATGTTGATAGAATAAATACTTGTAAGATATAAACGAAAAACGTGGGGCGCATGCCAACTTACAATTAACTTCACCTATTGAACTATTATGATCTATTGCATGCGCCTCACGTTTTAAATTCTAAATCTCACAAGTATTTATTCTCTCAACATATTTATAAATTATTTTCTACTTTTTAGTGTGTTTAAAAACGTGGCTTTTTTAAAAGGTATTTTTATTTATAAATTATTTTCTACTTTTTAGTCTTTAGTGTGTAAATAAGTCTATTTTATATGGCCTATAACCAAAACCTTATTATCAATAATCAGATGTTTTATCTTTACTTTGAAATGCTTGTTTTATATTTTTAGAATATCTCGGGAGCAGAACATGTACCTCTTAACCTCTTCTCTTCGTCAAACTGTCAAATTTAAGTATTTACAGCTGACTTAAAATAATTGATATACCGGGTGTCCGAAAAATAACTCCCTAGTTTTATCAAATTTCTGAGGACAGTATTCGTTAGAATGGACAAAAATAATTCTTTGGGCCTGTTGAGTATGCTCTTAAGTTTTAGTTTCGTACGTTGGTATTAAGGTTGGCACACCTGTTTGACCTTGAGCGTGTAGTTCCACCACGCGCCGCGCCGAGCGCTAGACTCGACTGTCTGACTGTCAGTCAGTCAGTGCAATGGCTACTCCACAGCAGAAAGCACAGTGCGTAATTTGGTTAGTGGAAACAAAATCTGTTACTACTGTGCAACGTAACTTCAGACGTGAGTATGGTGGCAGTGCACCTGATCCGAAATCGATTCGCAGTTGGTTAAAACAATTTAAGGAGACGGGAAGTGTTTTAAAAGGAAAACGGCCGGGTAGGCCATCTGTTTCAGCGGAGAATGTAGAGAGAATCAGAGCCTCATGCCAACGCAGCCCTATGACGTCACTAATGCGTCGTAGTCTACAATTAGGATTACCAAGATCTACTGTCTACGACGTGGTACGTAAAAGACTGAAATTACATGCGTACAAAATCCAACTGGTCCACGAAATAAAACCAAATGATAAACGCTTAAGGTTAGATTTTGCTGTGGACATTCTCAACAGAATTGATGAGAATCCAAACTACCTGAACAATGTTTTGTTCACTGATGAGTCAACGTTCCATGTTAACGGGGTTGTAAATCGCCACAACTGCCGAATTTGGGGGTCTGAGAAGCCACGAGAAATTGTTCAACACCAACGAGACTCGCCTAAGGTTAATGTGTGGTGCGGTTTAATGAACGATCGAATTGTTGGACCTTTTATTTTTTGTGAAAACACTATAAATGGCGATATCTACTGTGAAATGCTTGAACTGTACGTGTTTCCACAGGTGGATGACATCGAGGCGGAAAAAGGACTAGTAATATTCCAGCAAGACGGTGCGCCGCCCCATTACAAAAAACGTGTGCGCTCGGCCTTAAACGCTCGTTTCCCGGCAAGATGGATGGGGAGAGCTGGCCCGATCGCGTGGCCTCCAAGAAGCCCAGACATAACACCACTGGATTTTTTCCTGTGGGGTTACGTTAAGAACTTGGTTTATTCAGAAAAGAAACGTGACATTGACCATCTTCGTCAAAGAATCGTAGCTGCAGTAGAATCAGTGACACCTGATATGTTAACTAACACTTGGAGAGAGATACCGGTTAGATATCTGTAGAGCTACAAATGGGTCACATATCGAGGTGTACTAATGTCAAAATAAACTTGAGTAAACCCTCTTTAATTTCATGTATTAGATATAAGAATATGTATTCTCTACAATAAACAATCGTTTATCAAAACTAGGGAGTTATTTTTCGGACACCCGGTATTTACATTCTTTCAAAATGTAAACATGGAAACTTTGGAAGCCCATGGCGCGTAGCCCAAGGGAAATATGAAAATTATATGATATAACATTGCATTGTCATCCATTTGTGAGCTATGTTTCAAGTTTCAAGTCTCTAGCTCATCGAGAACTTTGTTTAAAATTGATATCAAAATTTGTAAGAAAGCGAGCTAATAAAAACAAGCCCATGGGGCGTAGCCCAAGGGAAATATGAAAATTAAATGATATAATATTGCATTGCAATCCATTTGTAAGCTATGTTTCAAGTTTCAAGTCTCTAGATCACCGGGAAGTTAGTATGAAATTGGTTGCAAAATTTGTACCGGACAAGAAAGCGAGCTAATAAAAACGTTTAAAATAAACGGTATCAGCATTATGACACATACTTTCTCCCGTTTGTCAACAACCTTTATCATGTGTAAGCGGTGAGAGTAAATATACGGAAATGGGATTAGTACAATTTTGATTAGAATTTAAAGGACTATAACATACTAAATTTTTAACAAAATCGTTCGGGCCATGTGTATCCTAATAAATATTATTGTGCTGTATTAAAAAAGGTTAGCTGGCCAAAGGAAATATACCTGCTTAACTCTCATAGCAACTTCATGAGTCATTATCACGGCCACTGCCTTCGAAGTGGCAACGTTGCAAGTAGGGTTGTACTTGTAACGGCAGTTTTGTTTGGAAGCAGCTAATGGTATTTGTGTATTTACGAAAGCATGGTTACTGGACTATGAAAATATTGACTCCACTCGAAATGTACAGATTGAAATGTTCAATTCATATTGTTTTGGTTTTCAATTCTGTATGTTTTATTTTCAATATTTTAAAAATTTACGTTCAAATCAATGAAGTGTGAATTAATGAGCTGATGTCACCTGTCTGTCATGTTATCTTATGGGAAGTCTGTCACTAAACAAAACCACTTGTGACGTTGCCAATTCTGCCAGACCGCGTCCTGGAGTTAAAGGAGGCCGTGGTCATTATACAAGCATCATTCAAGTGAATTATAGGCTACCTTTAAGTTTAAATTTTGGTTCGCTGGACTCACCCTTTTAATAGCAGCCTTAGGGAAAGCTGATCTCCGGTACATTTCATACCTATCAAGTTGGGCTTCTGTGAAGTTGGATACCAAAACCCTGAAAAATTCAAAATTCAGTATATACACTGATTATTTGTTTTTAGATCAAAATGATAATGCATCACAAAAAAGCGTAACCATCAAAGGTAGGTTCGAGAGATTTCATGACAAAAAATTATGTTATTAAGTAATGATGTAAAAAAAAAGAAAAATACCCCCGCCACAGCAAACCTGCAGACTGACCGAATTTCCATTTACCTGGCTGGATTTCTACAAAAATATTCCCTTTAAAATGTTTTTCTTCCTGTAGCTGTGCGCCCGTACTATGCATGGGGATAGTATAGCCTAGTCAGTTGAAGTCACTGGTTAAAATACTACCTCAAGCTCACCATTGAACACTTTATTCTGTTGACATTTACATTAACAAAGGTGCTCTTGTATTTTTTGTGAAACACTGAGAAATTAAGAGATTAATGCTCTACCAACAGACATACACACAAAAATACAGAATCTAACTAAGTAAGGAATTTGCTATGATTTAACAAGTACAGTTTGCAAAGTACATATAAAATTAGTAAGCGCCGTCAATGAGTGGAAACCTAATATTTGTAAGCTATTGGCGACAATGATTAAAAAAAAAATTTGCTAAAACTAGGATTGTTTCTGAATTATTAGCATTATTGCAGAGATTAAGACATTTTATGTTTTATGGTAGGCCTACTAATACCTACCAACTAACTACTGTACTGGAGTTTTTTTAATGGCCTTTTTTTCTTCAGGCAAAAGAAAACTAGATAACGTTGTAAACAAATATGGATAACTTAGTAATTTCTTATTATTTTTTAAGAGATAAATCATTGTAAATTGCGTTAGCCTAGTCATACATTATAGCGTCCTCCCCTTTGAGTAGGTCTAATGTGGGGTTTCTTGAATTATTCTCCCAAGTGGAGGTGTTTAGGGATAATCTAAGTAAAACTACGACAAAAACGAATTTAAACTATAAAATAATCAAATGTATTTCTCATTAGTGTTTTCATGACAAGGAACAATATTGGACAACAAAACAGACAGCTGATAGTAAAAACAACATTCATATCATCTGTATGACTATTACAAATAAATAGAAAAGGCAGGCATTTTCAACACTTTCCCTTATTTGCATAGTCCAAGATTTTCTCGCAGAACTTGAAGTCTTGGTCGAGGTATAGGCTTCGTTAGTATATCTGCTAGTTGATATTCCGAACCGATGTGCTTTACAGTCAGCATCCCTATATTTATCCTGTCTCGAATGAACAGGTACTTCCGCTGAATATGTTTTGTATGAAAGTGAAACTCGGGGTTTTCACAGAGTTTTCTTGCTGATTCGTTGTCAACTTTCAGGATAGGAACAGCAGACAATCCTATAAGTTCTTTGAACAAACGAGCAATCCAGATTGTTTCTTTTGAACCAAGATTAGCTGCAATGATTTCAGCTTCACAAGTTGAGTCCGCAACTAACTCCTGACGACGACTAAGCCAAGTTATAGCTGCACCCGCGTATTTAATAATAACTCCACTTGTTGAACGCATTGTAGTTGGACAACCAGCAAAGTCCGCGTCACTATAGCACTCCAGTAGACGTGTTTTAGGTTTGGATTGGTACACTAGCTTCTGGTCCACAGTGCCGGTCAAATAGCGTATAACACGCTTTGCTCTTGTGACATCATCTTGTGTATAATTTTCTAAGTGACGTGATAGAACACTTACACTAAATGCAATGTCAAAACGAGTACCACGTGCAACATAAAGTAGGGCTCCAACTGCCGATCGGTATGGAAAATCGGAGGCTTTCCCTGGTGTTTGAGCTGTGAGCTTCTCTATGGGAGTAAGTACTGGCTTGCATCCTTCCATGTTAAATCGAGAAATGATCTTCTTGATATACGCTGATTGGCAGACCAATATATCACCATCACTTTGAGAAATTTCGAGTCCGAGAAAGTATGACACTTCTTTAGCAACAATTTCAAATTGTGAACGAAGTTGCCCAATAAATAAGTCCATTTCAGTCTGACTAGTTGCTGCGACTAATCCGTCATCAACATAGAGTGCAACGATGATTTTTCCAGCAGGGGTAGGACAAATATAGACACAGGGATCTTCACGGCTCTGTCGAAATCCTAAGCCTTTCATGAAGTCGTCAAACCGTTTATTCCAGCATCGAGGTGCCTGTTTCAGGCCGTATAAGACAACAAACACGATTTGTCCCATCTGAATATCCTTCAGGCTGCTTCATAAAAATCTCTTCTTCAACGTCTCCGTACAAGAACGCAGTTGAGACGTCAAACTGCCGTAGAACCATCTTCTCAACAGCTGCGATGGACAATATTGATCGAACGACCTCCAGACGAGCAACCGGGCTGAAGGTTTCAGCATAATCATACCAGGTCTCTGCGCACATCCTTTGATGACCAATCTCGCTCGATATTTGTCAACACTTCCATGAGGATTGCGCTTTATTCGGTAGACCCACTTGTTGTTGATAGTCTTCTTTCCCGGAGGGAGTTCGGTCAATTCCCATGCACCGTGTGTATGCATGGATGCCATTTCTTTGTCCATTGCTGTTTTCCATTCAGCACTATCTTCTGAACTGATGGCTTCAGTGTACGAATTAGGTTCATCGTCAACAAGAAGAACTTCGGCAAAGTTAGACGAGACGTAATCGTTTAGCCACTCGGGATGCCTTCTTTCCCGAGTCGAGTGCCGAGTTGCAGGATCGTTGGATAACTCTCCATCTTCACTATCACTGCTACTTGACGGGTCCTCAGTCGGTATAGGCTCATCATTACCCTTCACTGGAGGACTAGGCTCGTCAATAGTCTCTTCAACTTCTTGCCAATCTTCTTCGATGTCATTGGTTTTATCAATCTTGATAGGCCAGAAGGCCACTCAACTTTCTTGTCACAGTTTCCGACGATTTCGTGAAAAACAACGTCACGAGAGACTACGATATCTCTTCTCTCTGGGACGTAGATTCGATATCGTTCATCGCCATCGTATCCAACCAGGTAACCAACCACAGCTTTCTTGTCCATTTTTCGCCTCCTCTGAACAGGAACATGGACGTAGCACTTTGAGCTGAACACTCGCAGGTGTTTGATCCTCGGCTTTTGACCAAACCAGAGCTCAAAGGGTGATTTGTTGGCAACTGCTGACTTTCCCACTCGGTTCAAAACGTAGCCAGCAGTGATGACAAGTTCCGCCCAGATCGCTGCAGGAAATGTTACATTTGGATTGGCGTACTTGAAGGTCCGGGCCATTTCGACGATTGTTCTGTTCTCTCTCTCCACAGCACCATTTTGCTCGGGTGTATACGGCGCTGTCAGACGTTGGTTAACACCATATTCTCTGAGAATTTGATGAACTTCAGCGTTGTCAAACTCACCACCGTTGTCACTGAGAAACTCTTTGACGTGATGACCAATTGTGCGTGCTTTAGACAACACTTCACGCAACGCTTCCTTCACAGCAGATTTTTCCCTTGCGACAAAACAGTATCGATACCTTGAAAAGTGGTCTTTTATGACGATTAAGTATCGGCGACCTCCGAAGGATGGGTCAAACGGGCCGCAAACATCACCGGATAACAACTCACCGGGGGCTGAGGGGCGTTCTCGTGTTCCAAATGGTAGACGGTGTGCCTTTCCGAACTGACACGGTTCACAGATCTCGTAGTTGGCTGGCACTTTGATACCCATTTCGGATTCGAGCTTCGATTGGACGTATCGTTTATCCATGTGACCCCAGCGCTCATGATATAACTGCAGAATGCGATTGTCTTCTGCTGCATTAGCGCAAACCTCAGATGGTTGAACTGTGTGAAATGAGGTACGATACAAAGTTCCACCACAGTTTCGAGTACCTTTGAATACAGTTTTTTCGTTAATAGTGAACCGACACTCGGTATTAGTCGATTCAAACCTGCTATTAGGGTTTCGATCATGAGCTGCGAGAATGGACACTAAGTTCCGAGAAACGTCAGGAACATACCAGACATCGTTGAGTGTGAACGTTTCCAGTTTTCCATTTTCATAGTTCGCTACTTCAACGACTCCACTGCCAAGAGCTTTTACAACTTCCTTTCCCGCCGCCTTTACTGTTGCGTTCGAGTTTGCAGGAAAAGGTTTGTACTCCGTGAACCAACTCAGATTTGACGAAATGTGCCGCGTAGCACCATTGTCGATCCACCACTGGTCGTTCGTGGTCACGATATTCATGTCACTGCTGATGGAAATCAGCGCACTTCTGTTGTCGGTCACGTTAACTTGCGAGCCCTTTGTTCTCTTCTGATCATTGTCACTCGTTTTCGAACTAGTGCTAATGCCGTTAGCTCGAGCTGGATACACAGGCTTGCCGTCAGCTTTCCATTTAGAACACTGGCGAATCCAATGACCTTTCCCCGAACAGTATTTGCACAAAGTGTCACCTTTTGGTTTCCTATTCTTCTGACCACCGCTGTTTGTGGCACTAAGAATGTCACCAGCTTTTGAAGTAGGAGCAACATTACGCTCATGAAGGATCAATGCAGATGACACATCTTCAAGTTTCTTGCTCTCGTTTGCCTTCATAAGTAAGTAGCTAGACTTGAACGATTCAAAACGCTTCGGCAAAATGTGTAACACTTTTGACACAAACAGGAGCTCAAGAAAATCTTCGACTGTTTGGATGTTACGCGTTTTGAGGCCAGCTGCAAATTCGCGGTTTTGATTCTTCAATCTTGAAAGCACGGTCGGGGCATCCTCGGTATCATCCCATTCCATACTGAAGAAATCCAAACACTGACGAAACAACTGATCTTCTGCCTTGTTATCGAACTGCACGATCAAAATGTCCCACGCTTCCTTAGCTGATAATCTTCCGGAAATACGTTGATGTAGATCATCACTAACGCACTGAGAAATGACTATTTTTGCCTGAGTCGTGGATTTGTTGAATTTCTGAAGTTCTTCCTTTTCGGCTTTAGTCGGAGGCTCAGAGAGGGTAGGCTTTTCTCTCTTTCCCTCGACGATATCAACCGCGTCGAACAGCTCTAGAACGTCCAACACTCGATCTTTCCACGTCGGCCAATCTTCTGCTCCTTTCAATGGTTTTATACCTTTCACGTATTCCATTTGTAGAGCTGGACGAACTCGATCGAAAGATATACCAATTGAGACAGAAAAATACGTCAGTATAAATTGTTCTTACCGTACGTAGTAGACTAGATTTCCCAACACTGTTATGCACATAAAACGATGCTGGCGACCATAACCTCTTGAATTATTCTCCCAAGTGGAGGTGTTTAGGGATAATCTAAGTAAAACTACGACGAAAAACGAATTTAAACTATAAAATAATCAAATGTATTTCTCATTAGTGTTTTCATGACAAGGAACAATATTGGACAACAAAACAGACAGCTGATAGTAAAAACAACATTCATATCATCTGTATGACTATTACAAATAAATAGAAAAGGCAGGCATTTTCAACAGGGTTACTAGTACCGGTATGGATAGATTTCTTATCGGACACACGACTCTCGTTGTGATGAGCCCCATGTCAGATTGGGGACGGGGTCGATTGTAAAACCATGCAGATTGACTTTGTTTTGGGTAGACTTTCCTAAGTGGGGCCAAAAACAATGGAATGAACATATCGATTAGGCCTATTTGATATATCAAGTTTGGTTAGTTAGGTTAACCTAACCTAACTAACCGAATGAAATAATCGATACAATATTTTCGTTCAGTGTTTTTTGGCCCCACTTAACTTATGAGAGTCGAACCTTTGTTTTCAATCTGAGCAAATCAGTTAAGGGCACATAAGACTTATTGGACATAAGAGCGGTGTCCCCTACCCCGTAACGTTCAATTTTAATGCTCAGGGATGTGCAATCACGGGCCATAGATTGTTTTCAGGTTCTTGACAATAACTATGAATGATTCAGTGATACGAGGCTAGGCTTAACTTTTTGAAGTAGAGTTATGTAATAAGGTATTGGGGTACACTTCCATATCTGTTGGCACATACAACCGAATGAGTAATATTGATTATTCGATTGTTTAATTTGATATATCGATCGATATTACTCATTCGGTTGTTTGTGCCAACAGATATGGAAGTGTACCCAGGTATTGAACCATTAAAAAATGTGTTAAGTTAGACCCCCAGTGGGAAAACCATGGGTAGGCCCAGTGTTGGGAAGTAGCGCGCTACAAGTAGCGACGCTACAGTAGCGCGCTACTTTTTTTGTAGCGTTAGCTGTAGCTACGCTACTTTTAAGATTTTGTAGCTTTAGCTGTAGCTAGCTACATTTTTAAAGTAGTTGTAGCGGAATTTTAGCTACTTTTCTCGCTACATTAACATTTTTTGAGATAATGATTTTTATCATAACCTCAACCTTACGTAAAACCTTTCAAACTGAGATTTAAAAAAAAAATTAGGCCTACTTTCTTGGCTTCATACAGCTGGTTGCAGCCGTTTCATTCCCTATACAACGTTGCGTGGACATAGAGGCCATTAAATGAGTGTTATCCACATTTTTGGCTCTCATTTCCTTAATTTACTACTCTATGATTACTGTCAGATTAAATAAAATCGCTAGATGCAGACGACGTTTAAACGTTACCGGTGACAAGAGAAGCTATTGAATGCTTGCAAGTGATTGACAGGGAAATTAGTAATCAATTTAGTTTCTTTATTATATCGATAGTGTTTCAACTTGGGTTTTTATGGAAACCAACACTAAACCTTAAAATAATGAGAAAGCTGGTCTATCAATCTCTGCTTCAGCTGTTGATTGTGGTTCATCATCACAAGCCCTTCCTTGGTTAGATTACGAAGATTTTTCAAAGGTTTACTAAATTAACAAAGAAGAAATTACCTGATGTGATTTAAGATATGCCTAGACTAAATGATTATTGTAACGAAAAAATCTCCATATAACATGAAACTTACATTGAAAAAATAGCATAGTTTGCTCCTGCTAACAGCTCAGCTCTTGTATAGGACTATTCCTAGGCTATGCTATGGTTTAAGACGAATACCAAGTTCCAAGTTCAATTATTAGGAATATATCTCTTTTGTCCTTGCAAGAACAAGCCTACTATAGCCAACTTGTTACATAGCCAAGTAGGCCTATAATATAGGCTACTATTATGTTATTTTTACTTTACAAATTTCCACATGTTTAAATTAAAAGCCGATTTCAGGATAAGTTGCTGAATACTGTTTTCTGTACCAACTAGGTTGAAGCACAATTTGCAATTTGCCCTATGCATAATGACAATAAAGGACGATTTCTTGACATTGAAAAGTGTTATTCATAGAACAAGTAACTTATCACTATGGTTAAAAGTTATAACAATGTCGTTGTTAACATTAAAAGTTAAGAAAGGCAATAAACTCCAATTTCAGTAGGCTAACTTAGGCTCTGTAACACCAACAAGAATTTGTAAATAATCGTTTTATTTACAGTTTTATTGGTCTTAATTTTTCATACAAGACATCTATAAATGAATCTATATTAAAGAAATAAAATGAGCTTTTAAAATATAGTTTGGTTGTAGGCCTATGTCCTTTGAACTTAATGAAATTTACATATAAGATGCTTAAAAATAATGCAATATTTGAAAATAAGTACTAAATATGATGGGAAACCCAACTATTTGGTTCTGTTGTTTTAATGTTAGGTATATAATGCCAACAAATTAAATACAATCTAGGAATAATTTGTTTTCCAAGTAATGTTCGACACAATCATTGACTATATATACCTGTATGTATATAGGCCTATAGTCAATGATACAATACTGACATATTTTGTTTAAATGTTTGTTCAATAAAAATGTAGTTGCAATTAATTTTACATTTACCTAATGTGCGTGGAATAAAAAGTAACGTCTTTGGAAAAGTAGCTAAAATTGTAGCTGTAGCTACATTTCATTGTAGCTGTAGTTGTAGCTAGCTACTTTTTTGGAACTGTAGCTGTAGCTGTAGCTAAGCTACTTTTTTGGAAATGTAGCAGTAGTTGTAGCTAGCTACATTTTAAAAGTAGCTTCCCCAACACTGGGTAGGCCTAAACGGGAAACAGTAGGCCTAGTGTTACAGTTTACCTTAACCCCAGATTAGCCCTAAAGAAGCTTAGGCTCGTTGCACACACACCGATTTCGGACGACCGATTTTTTACCGGCCGTCCAAATTCCAATAGTGAACCACAGGCGGGAACGAGACCTTGCACACACGCCGACCGCTGGTCAGCGCCGGTAAAATGCCGATGAGCAGCCGGCCACTGCCACTGCATAACGCCGGTAGGTACCGGGAGTGTGCCAGCGACGCAGTGGCGTACGTAACTAAATGCAAGCTTGCACACAGACCGATTGTTTGCCGACCGTCTGGCAGTTCTCGTTACACCATCATCCATTTTAGGCGACTGCTCTTCTGAATTTTTAATTAGTTTTGGTAGTGTGTGTTTATAACGTGGGTGACTTAATAGATAAGGATGCTATTGACATTCTAAAAAATAGTTGAAAATTTTACTGCTATCAAGCTTTAGTTCTTCAAAATGTGTGTGGAATGTTCCCGTTTTTTCTCTGCTTTGATTAATTGGATGAATCCAGAATATAGGCCTACGTTTAATCCTTCTTAATACGTTGATACAATAACCACATAGCAACAAATCTTTTAGGATTAAGTACGGTATTCAATAGTCTCGTCTCGTCCTCGACACAACAACAAAGACTGGTCGTTTCGCCGATAAAAATCCGGTATGTGTGCAAGCACCATGAACCGATAAAATATCGACCGACTTATTACCGACCGTCCAAAATCGGTGTGTGTGCAAATAGCCTTAGGATAGCTGGCTACAAGCCGATACCATAATACAGGCTCATTTAGGCCTACTTACTGCATTTTCTCTCTTTCCTCTTCTTCAAGTTCCTTCTTGCTTTTTTCTTTTTTCTTGTCAGCATTTATGTCATTCGAGCTCATAACCTGATCTGGTTTTCCTTCTGCATAACTATCATCCAAAGTTCCTCTGTTAATACTTGAATCCAAATCAGTAGATAGAGAAATAGAGGAGTCAGCGTGTTCCACAGGTTCACTTTTGATCTCATAATCAACTGATCCCTCGTCAGAATAGTCACTTTGCCTTTCTTCAAAGTTGGAAACAGGTGGCATATAATTGTAGTCGTCAGAGTTTTTACTACAAACAACTTCCTGGCTATCACTCATGGAAGAATAGTCTTTTTCAAGTATGCTATCCATAATTAATTCTCAAGATATACTCTTTGATTTTGTAAAGTAGATAGGAAAGATACAGGTAGGACCTAGCCTTCACAACACGAACACAACAACAACAGCACAGGGCAACTCAGACGGATAGCGCTGGGTTCACAACGATATGGTAGGCATTCGGTTAAATATCGAGCTTGTTTTGAACCGGATGACAGACATCGACTTTTTAGTATCGGCTCTGGGCTCTGGCTCACCGGCTGTCTCATGGTGGAGGTGGAAGTAAACTATTGCCTTGGTGCCTTCTGCTGCAGCTGCTCCTATGTCTGTCGTCAAACGTCATAATGTGGCCTTGACGACGGAAGGCCAAAATTTTATTCACAATATTACAGTGAGAGTGAATGCAAATAAATAAGTACAACATAATATCTGAACCTGGCATAAAATTTGTCAATGAAAATGTTTATTATCCAATTACAGTAAGGCTGATAACCAGCATGATGAATATATAAGAACTTAAATTACGGAGGAATTTTAAAATTATTATTCCAGTATCTTGCGCAATTAATGCCAGATAAATGACCACCCCCTTACTTTTAAAAGCGTTTAGATGACCTTTGCATATTTCCTCCATAATAATGCACTACGGTATGCACCTTCCACCATGCTATGCACCATGAAACTGATCAAAAGGAACAATGTTGGAATAAATTAAATAACATAATTTAATCAAATATTTTCCTCTCCTTTTAGGCTAGTGCTAGTAGTTTTTGTTGTCTCTGTCTTCTCTCCTTCTGTCTGTCGGTGTTGGTTGGTTTGGTTATTTTTAACAAAGTTTTATTTGCAATCTGTTTTACATTAAACAATTAATAAGTAAATACGATGACATTTTTATAAATAAAATAGAAATTGGAAAACATGAGTTAGCAGCTAAACTTGTTTGTTTACGTTTTGGTTGGTTGGTTGGCGCTATGGAAGCCAATCGATTTACGATATTCGATAGTATTTGTTTTCATACTACGACGATCGATACTTAACCCGTATGCCTACCATATCGTTGTGAACCCAGCGCTATCCAACTCAGACCAGCCAGCAGACAACAGAAACAGTAAACAGTGAAACAAGAGAGGACAACAAGTGACAAGAGATAAGAATAAGAACTGTTGGATAAAAAAAATCATCAGGTCCAGTCCAGTAGTACAAGAAACACATTACAGTACTATGTTTTATGTAGACGTCCCGTATATATGGACCAGCCAACTTTTTGTTAAAAATCTATGATTGTATATATGACAGAAATCAGTCATTTAGATCTACACAATCTGTCGGTGGCTCACATCAACTACGAAGATTTTTGTTAAAAAACTGGCTAAAAATTTAAGTATTTAAGATGGGGATGGAATGTCTAGGTGTTATCTATGGCAATTACTTAGTCACTATAAAATTCTTGATACGGTAATTGATGAAGAATTAATATTTATTACATATGAAGGGATTCCTGCTGCCATGAAAAAATATCCATATATTATAATTTCTAATGTACATTTTTTTGTCAGTGCACCATAACTTCCTTAACTCTTCACCAATTTTCATAAATGAGGTGTAATTTTAAAGCTTCATTTACCCACATCAAGAAGTATACAAATCACTCATTTTGCATTAGTTTTTCGTAAAATGATCTATTATATCATTCTGCAAGTAATCTAAACTTGAAATGTTTATTTAAGTTTCGATAAGCTAAAACATGTGAATTAAATTACTGTAACCAAAACAATACTTTACTTTAATACTTTTTCGATGAAATTACCATACAAAGTAGGTATTTTAAGCCAAGTATGAATGGAAATCATGATGGGTGGAAAACACGTTTTTTCCTTCCACCATGAATGAAAATGAGTGTAGGATGAGTGGCGCGATCTTGTGTAACTATAGTATGGATGAAGTGGCACTTTGCTGCACACGAGAGAAATGTTTACGCACGAGCCGTAGGCGAGTTAGGATGATGTCCTTTAATTACTACCTTTGACTATCAATAGTCAGTGTTACTACTCATCGTTTCAGTAGAATTCGGTCACAATACACAGTAATTCGTACAGTACTTAACATAATTTTTAATCACGGCTTTATTCATAGCCCTATAATGATAGAAGTGGGATTAGCTCCCCTTCTTTCTACCTAATCCGTACCTAATACCATTGACTTAATGCCATAGATAAAACCATTGACTATAAAACCTACTACCTTAGTAGATTTCCCATGGAACGGCTGAAGGCTGAAGCCAAAATTTTATCGTTAGTTCTGTCTGATGTGGCCTTGGTCTGATTCACTGTATATGGTCGTGTTTTGTTTACAATTTGTTTATTGTTATTTCAGTCATTTAAACCCCCGTTTAACCAAATAAAACGACAAAATCATAAACCATAACTCATCCTCTAGTTATATAACCAAACAGTAAAGCACAAATCATGAAATTAACTCTAAAATAATAGAAACAAAATTTCGTCGACACTAGCCACCATCAGTGTCACCGGACATGAACTAGACATGAAAATCGAGCCTCAAACTTTACATTGGGAATGGGATGGGAAGTCTACCTGGGTGTTGGTTAGTCTATGGTATGCTAATACTCTAGTCTAGAATGCAGTTTTTACAAAATTCCACCCACATCTACCTACCAATCGTGATCCCGCATTGTCCAGAGGGCGTCGAGGTGTGTTATTAGTATATAATATTCTCTGCCATTTAAGGCTAGAGCGATGTTATCCAAGATAGTCATCACAAATCACCCAGAGACACCCACACTCCTCACATCACAATATGATTTTGTTTTCATCTTGTCAGATCTCCCGCCATGTCCACGTCTTCCAGATGTTTCAGTCTTTTTGTTCTTCTTATTTTATTTACCGGTAAGTCTAGTAAGTAGCAAGAGTAAATAGAACAATAGTGTAGGTTTTGGGCGCAAAATATGGTGATTTGGGTTTTAATATAACATAACAAACATTTCCAATACCAAAATACAGATTTTATGAAAATAATTTAAGTTTAATTATTTTATTATGGCATAAAAACATCAGGATATCAGATTTGTGCATAAATATTGATAAAATATGTCCAAATTTATACTTGTTTGTAGTTATATAAAAATTAATTGTATCTTAAATGCAGATTATAATTATTCCTACTATCAATTTAATTTCAGGATAGGCTATAATTTTGTAAATATCTTACAAAATATGCTTGTTATTTTATCTTGATAGCACTTTTTATTTAACATGTCTTTAACAATTAATTATTAAGACGTGTAGGCCTATTCCTCATAGCCATACAACATTTTTTTTTAAATAATTAAGTTGAATTATTTATTTTTTATGTCATACAAACTAAATTTTTGAAACGCCAGAATATTAAAATTTTCCATAAAAGTTTGAAAAATTATATGACAGAATTTATAATTGTTTTTTTTTTTTAGCTTTTATGGTAGCCTACCCGTGATATAAAAATATGCTTTAGCTTAAGTAGAGATTATGCTTTTTACAATCAGTGTTATTATTTCATGAAATGAAACTTATTTGAAATATCTTACAACTATTTAGGATCATTGTTTTGATAGCTTTTTGTCTTTTGTCAAAGGGTCTTCAACGAAAGGGTGCTTGTAATGGAACTTATATTTTTCTGTATCTCGCAAGAGGGTAGAGATGCTTGCACGGCAGACAAGCATAGGGGTGTCCAAATCCTTTAATACTTTTTTGAGCTCCTCTAAAATTGTTGATGTCAAATAAGACTATCATAGGTTGCAAAAATTGGTCCTTGTTTTAATTTGATTTACTATTCACAGCAGTTAGTCGGTTTACCATTTTACAAAAGAATTAAAATTTCATAACATTTTTCAGATTTCCTAACTGAATTTTACAGTGTGGCCTTTTCAATATTGATATTAATTAATCCTGCATTAGAATACAGTGCTATGTTTTCTGGAAGTGTTAGCTAAGTGGGACGGGTGGCGTCGTCCTGTAATCCAGCTACTAGGAGGTCACGAATTGTGGATATTTATAGGGATGCACTGTGGATGCGATGCTCCCTGGTGTGGATTAACGTCCGCACTAGTGAGTACTACGACTATCCGCAGTACTATCCTGATAATTAGACCAATTCGTAAATTACAAGGAAAAATGTGGTTCGGATTCCACTATAAACTGTAGGTCCCTTAGTTGCCATTAGCTGTATGGGCTATTAATTAACAGCTGTGTCTAAGGAATATGTCGGCCTTAGTCACTAACAAGACTACAAGATCGCGCCACTCATCCTACACTCATCCTTCACTCATATTTGGGTTAAAATACGCACATAGTGGCGTCCCCATCTTAACTAATTGATAATTGATAATTGAATTGATAATGATGGTGTTCTATTTTTCTATTTCCTTGTTTATTTGTGATGACAGTGAGACGAAGCATTATGGCTGACTATGCAGAAACGGTACGCTGGCTCAGTGGGCAGGAGTATGCTCGGAATCATCAACTAAACCAATCCACTCCATCAGCTCGTCAGTTGCGCACTGGCCTCAACGGTAGACCTCTCTTTAGGTAATATACAGTCAGCTGATACAGCTAGTGAAATAATATAAAACAAATCATAAAAGGACAGAAAATCCTAATTCACATACCGTATTTGTGCAAAAATTAAAATTTTATCAAAAATATTTATGTAAGGCCAGATGTACACTATAGTGATAATTTTAAGGTGATGAGTCTTAATTAATGTCATGATAGCCTTGACATTGGTTAAGATTAGCTGATCCTTTTAGCCATCATCAGGACAATTTTTTGAAAGTCCATTGTTCAAGGACAGCTGGGTCCATTTTCAAACCATCACAAAGCTTAAGTCTTCTCACTTCTCAGGATCTAACTAGCAACTTTAATACTTTTAATACTTTTCAATGAAATTACCTGGTTATGGATACGAGACCAGCACTTTATTCACTCACTACCCGGGACTTCAAAAAGTTAAATGGTAAAATTAATTACTGCGGACCTTCAAAAATATGTATTACTAACCAGTTCATTTTCCTTTGACTCATAAAACTACAAACTATAGTTTTTTTGTGGTTGTTTTGGAAAAGAGGCTACTTTTAACAAAAAGTACATTATTATATTTTTTTATAAGCTTATCTTATTCCAGTTGGGATCTTCCTGATAATCCTGAAACAACTACGGAGACAAAACTACAATCTCAAGTAACAAACATTGCCATCAAAACTACACCTAGTACTCTACGCTCTGGTAAGTCAAGTTTCAGCTGAATCAAATCAAATTATTTTTATTCCGCATACACAAATTAATCGTCCAGTAATAAAATAGAATAATCTGTCCAAAGATATATTACGACAAGTGATAATATCTTTAAGCAAAATTATTAATAGTTGCTGAAATTCTCTGAAAGTTTGATTTCATATACTGATTCATTTGAAAAATTAATTAATGGTAACTTCAAACAACCTCCTTTTTGGATGAAAAAGGTAGGGATTTTTCTTAACAAGTGCTACCTCTTTAAATTTGAAAGTGTGACTACCTTTTAAAGCTTGTTAGTGCTAAATATCCATCCATCAATAATATGCTTAAGTTTCATAATGAAACAATAATACAAAATAATTATCTGAAATCTTTTAATTTGAAAAATGTCACCTCAACGACAATAATAAATACAATGAATATTAGTTTTACATTCACCCTGAAAGAAATAAATCAGCAAGACCTACACAGCCATGCAGAAGTATATTTACAGCGTCCTAAAATTATGTTTCATTCAAAATATAATTTACAGTACTCTTTGGCATCAAGTAGGTCTCTTTCACGATCTTCTCCGTTGTCCATGGTGGACTCGACACATTGGAGTGTTTCATTTCTAGCTTGAGATAGCAAAATGTCTTGTTCATCCGTTGGAAAGGATGCATTTCCTGATAATTTCAACAGAGCTGGATAGTACTTAGTGAAACAATCATTCATACAATAAATCCTAGGAAAAAGTCCTTGTAAGCACTTGGCGAAACACCAGTTCAGAGTATCAATAAAATTTGTCACTTCTTTTATCCCTTCTGTATTTACAGCGTTGTATTCCAATCGAGGTTCAAATTCCACAACGATTCCTTTACATCCATCGATTTCACTAATGATTTGATGAATTAAAGATTTTTCGGCTTCTTCTAGACAACGTAGATCAGTTTTAGAGGCTCGAGGAATTGGTAGAAGTGTTCGTTGGTCAATGAACAAATGATTTCCATTCTGTGTGGTAAACCACTGAAAAAATTCATTTAAATTTATAATCAGAACAAAGTTGTAAAAATGTAGGGTATGCTTTTCTATTAGTTATCTAGCAGTAGTGAAATGTTAAGGACGTTTAAATTGTAATTAGGATTTTTTAATTACTACAAAACCATTAATGTACAGAAATAAAAATCGTTTAAACGACCTTATTTATGCCGACACCCGACCCCCTGTAGTAACTCTTAATCAGTTTAGGTTTAGTAACTCTTAATCGAACGGAATCTAGGAAATGAGGGTTATTTTAACTGTAGAAATTTTCCTTTAGAAAATAAGTTATTACTGAGGGTTGCAGAATCGAGTTAAAATTACATTGTGTGTTTTCCATGGCTCAGATTTCTCACTTTCAAATTAACTTTATTCCTTGGAAATAGAGACAGCATATGGAAACTTTAATTATTACTACGTATTTTTTATTGACTTGTAACCAAAACCCTCAATGCTTAAAAGTATTCAGACATTTTGAGCTGAATTGAAAACATGTTTTTCATTAGGGCTTTTAAGTAGTTTGATTTACTCATTACGTTTAACGATAGAAAAGCAGTTTTACAAATAATGCTACATTTCATTCATCCATATATGGTTTATAAATGTAATAATACTTGTTGTGAATACTTTGCATCAGAATTTTAAACTATGTAATGTCACCTTATGGAGCTAAAATAATTTGGTTAAAACAAAAATTTGTTTATTTTTTGTTAACAAGTATTTATTTACAATCCATTCTATACTAGATCAATAAGTAAATTTCATGACAATTTAACATGGGTTAGTTACACTCTATAAAGTGCACTAACATACAAAAACTGATACAAATTTTAACTAGAAACGATTTGGAAGGTTTATTGGATTAACTCTTTTGAGCCTATATGTATATTTAGCTTCACTATTATCGAGGAGGTTAACTGCCAAGAAATTTGTCTGGCTTTCTAATTTGCTTTGATATTTTTCGCTTTGTTTTTTAATGACTTCTCTAATATAGGGTAATTTTGTATCTTGAAGAATAACTTTATTTGTGACTGACAAACCAAGGTGCTTGTAAAATTTTTCTTATTGTTTTGGATTGAAATCTTTGAACTATTACTATGTTTGAGTTTGAAGTGGTTCCCCAGAGTTGGACGCCGTAGGTCCAAATAGGTTTCAATATAATTTTGTATAAAAGTAATTTGTTTTCAACAGATAATTTAGAATTTCGACCATCAAGCCAATTTGTTTAGTGGATATTATAAATTAAATTTAACCTCTTAGGTGATAAAAAAATTTCATTGCAATAAAATCAAGGTAAAAACTGGAAATAATTTAAGACTTGTCCACCTGGGGCAAAATATTTTAAGCTATGACTCACTCAGTCAAATTGAAACAAACAAAATTAACAGAACTAAATAAATATATTGAATAACAAACATTTTTCATTGCTAGACATTATACAGTAGTTGTTTTAATTGTAAAGGGTCCCGTATATTTTTAGTTAAAAACAAGTATTTCATCATAAATAAATGGAACATACAAAGAATAAATACATTATACCTGGTCAATTAAATATTGTAGGAAGAAGCACTGTCCAGCTGAAAAATTGATCCAGAGAGGTAAAAGTCTTAGTAAAAACATTTGTATCGCTGATAGATGAGCAAGTACGAAGTCAAATAGAACATTACATTATTACCTCTCTCACACTCAACTTAACTGATAAACCGCCAACCTGACAATCTAAACTTATCTTAGTCAACAGATGCTTTATCATAAATGAGTTGAGTACATTTTACGTACCTGACGCATGAATGTTCTCTAGGAATATTTCAATAAAGATTTTGTCTATTTGTCTATTTGAGTGCATTATTTGGGTAAATATTGATTCAGGAACTTTGATGTATCCCTGTGAGGATAACTATCTTAAAACTCCAAAGTCAAAGCTAATACTTAAGAATGTTAAGTAAGTAAAAATTAATGTTTAAAAGTGTGATTATATTCATAAAATGGTAATGAACATGAAAAATAGTCACCTAAAATGCCTTGTAATAAGACTATTATAATTTTGCACTTATTTTAACTTTCAAATTTTTAATTTGTAGCTCTGTGATATTTATGTTTTAGGCCTTTTAACTCAAAAAGGAATTTTTGTCGACTTCATTGTTCATTGATGATTGTATTGTAACATACTTTTTGAGGATTCCTCTACAAGCAAAATGTTGACTTGTTCAATACATTGTAAAATATAAAATAAAATATGTTTACTGGAAATAAATCTTGATTCTTGCCCAAACTTGTTAGCTTAACACTAATTTGATCTAACTTGTAAACATAACAGGAACTATTTATCGTGTTAATTACCTTAGAACAATACTATGGCATGGATACACGTCAGACACATAGCAATTCCAAAACTGTGCATTAAAAAATAAAATGGTTTTAAAAATATCTTAAATATTTCAATTGAAGTAAAAGATGTGTACTATATCTGCTGTAAAATAGTTTGCAATGACGATTCCATTACAAAATAACTTGTAACAATGTAGTTTTTTTCCTATTTTTCCAGATCATATTGGGATTAAAGATGGAAATAAAAAACCTCATAGAACTGTCTGGTGGCCTTGGAGAAGTTACAAGGATTGGTCGAGAAGCAGAAAACAGAACGTGAAACAATTTTTGAAAAAGGATGATTCAAAAACAAGCAACCGACACCAACCTGATTTTATCACAGATTTAAGAAGGAAACACGAAAAGACAAATAAAAACAAAATTCATAAAAACAAACATAAAAGCCATATCCATAAAAATAGAGTGGAAATTTCTAAATATAAAATAAGTAAAAGGAAAAGGAAAGAATACAAACTGGAGATTTGTACAAAACCTAAACACATTGGAACAGATCCTTCCGGTCACAAAAAATCCGTCCGGCTGAAGCAAACAAGCGCCAAAGAGTTTTTAAACGAGAATGATAATGAAATAAAGATTATGAATTCGAATATCTCTATAAAGGAGTGCAAGGAGGGACAAGAAAGAAAAATAAAACCCGCCAATGATTCTTATTCACTGAACATTGGTCAGTTTAGGCAATCTTTTGCCTTTATGAAGAAAAAACTACTATCTCAAGGTAATTTAACTCAGACATAGTAGTATTGATAAATAATGTTGCCATTTTGTTACTTCTAGTTTAAAGCAAAAAATAGCTGTGTATTAAGAGTGAAATGACTGTTTGTGATCATAATACCCAAGCTTTTTCCTACCACCATAGAACTTATGATAACACACTGATAAACTTTTTAGTTGAATATAAAATGCCATTAAGGTTATGTTTGAGTTTGCTTTTTAGGTTATGTTATTTGCTTACTGGTTGCTAACTACTGGCTCTAGGCTGTGATTAGTGTACAAACACAAACTGTGAAATCAGCTGATTTAGCAAGCTCTAGAGCGGAAATGAGCTATTTTGTGTACTGTTTACGTGTGGTAATGTTGTCATTTCCATGCAGTGATTGAAAAAAAATAGCCTATTATCTGAAACATATTTGGTTAGTAAGGTAGTAACCATTACTTTAAATAGGTAGCATTAATATAAAAGACTGTGAAATCCTAAACACGAAAGAACAGGCCATCCCAAGTTTTTATTGTTAAATGGCATCATAGAGTATATTATTTATTATAAGTTGTAATAAAGTACCTACTTAAGTGCCTTTTGCTGAGTTCAAGAAATCTTATAAATTTGGATTAATAAAATGTTTCATTACTTTTTTTGGAATTATCTATATATATAAAATCCAATGTATGTTTGTTTGTCCTTTATGGACTCCAAAACCGCTCGACAGATTGTAATGAAACTTTCAGGCATTATTCAAGGATGGTTTGTGTGAAGTTTGGTGCAGATCCGTCAAAAGGGCTCCGCCCCAGTGGCTCTGGAGTTTCCAATGTTAACCTTATGGCTACTCATATTTAAATCGAATTAAAGAATCTTAACAGCTGGTTCAATTAAACAATTTGATTCTGTGACGTTGAATAGCATTAAAAAGTTAATAGGTTTACCAACAGGATGCAGCACTATTTTTTAAAATTTATGACAACAGCTAATTTGAAATCAAAAGGTGAGTGAGCGTAGCGAACGAACTTCAACATGGTGGCGAGTTAGCCTAGCGAACGAGCTAACCTGAAGGCAAGTGAGCGCAGCGAACTAGCTCCAACCTAAAGATGAGTAAGCGTAGCAAAGGAACATCAACCAGGACGTGATTGAGCCATGCGAACGAGCTCATCTTAAAAATGAACGATCATTAGCATAAAACCACATTAGGACAGGACGACGTCTGTTGGGCCACCTAGTAAAATATAAAATAATACAGTATACCGTATTCTTTGTAACAATTGAAAAATGGTAGATAAAAATCTACAACCTGTGCTAAACATATTGTTAGAAAACATCACACAGAAACTCTACTGAATAATATCTCTACTGTAAACACATCTCAAATAAAGGCGTGATTCCAAATGATAACAAGTTCCATGCACATATTCCATAGATCAATCCCACAGTTAAAAACCGTTTTTTAATTAACAAACTGTGTTTTTTTTTATTATGCACGTCCTAGGCAAAACCCATTTGGGATTGGTTTGAATGGAAATGTACTTTTACTGTCACAAACTTATCACATAGTCATTCCTATTTTAAAAAGCAAAATTATCACAATTCAATGCGTTGACTCGCTGTATATTTCATTAGGCTTCTCTGTATTTGCAGATTACCTGAGTCAGTTTGTGAATACAACATGTGACGCACTTTGTATCAACTTCCTTGGATCGATGATATGCAAATGCCCTCGAGGATTCCAACTTGACTCTACAAAGAGGACGTGCCTAGGTAAACAGCACTTGAAAGTATTACTTGGTTTAGAGTTTACTGATTTATAGTCTCGACTAACCGAACATATTGGTTAGACGACCTTCAAGTAGCTAGAAATCATGTGTATTTCCATGTGGTATGATTGTATACGTAGTGAGTACATAGACAACACCTTTTTGTCAGCCTGGCTGTAAAATAAAAAATATACCTTTAGGCACCTACACTTTTGCCTATACTTATATATAGTGCTGCACACCACACGTTAATTCTTTCTTTAATCTTTGTACATGAATATATCTGCTACATCTCTTGTGTTAGCCTAGTCGCAGTGCGAAAAGAGTCTTGTGACTAAAGCTGGGTTTTGCTTGGGGCGGAAGCGGAGAGAGGAACGCGGAGAGCGGAAAAGAGATTAACATGGTGTTCCGCTCCGCTTCTAGGAGAACAGTAACATTAAATTACCTAAGTCAAGTGGAGTCCGCTCTCCGCATTCCTCTCTCCGCTCTCCACTTCCGCGCCTAGGAAAACCCGGCTTAAGTGAACTTGTATCACTTTAACTTACATTTTATTGTACCATAGTAGGCTTTTGCTTTGTCAGTTTTTTCTTAGTTGTTTGTTATGATGGCTTGAAAACAGAAAAACGTGGCTTCAACGGAATACATTAGATTCAAACTTAAATAGATTTGACAACGAAATACATTATTTGATTTTAAAATTTTATATATTTTTTGTCAACAATGGTTTGATTTTAGTATTTTTTATCCTTTAAGTGATCAACAACCGGTTTAGGTAGAATAATAAAGACTCGAGTGTTACCTAAATTTTAAAACAAGCTATATCTTCATGTTTCATAGTCCTGTGTTTCAGATATCAACGAATGCAGTTCCCGCAACGGCCATGGTCCTTGCCAGAGCGAGTGTACCAACACAAGAGGTAGTTATCACTGCAGTTGCACCAACTTGACAGGCACAAGACTAGCAGACGACAGACACTCATGTGAGGACATTGATGAGTGCAGTGCTACCAACATACACTGCTCTCATGGCTGCATTAACACGGTTGGTACGGCGTTTTGCTTCTGTCCCGACGGATACAATTTAGGAGCAGATTGGCAAACCTGTCAGGACGTTGACGAATGTGTTGATTTAGAAATCAAGAAATGTCCCGGAGTTTGTATCAACACTGTAGGATCGTATATGTGTGTGTAACTAACTAAACAAACAATATTTAATAATATTTACGAGAATGTTACCTCGTTTATAACAGGTTGTTTAACAGTTGATCAAACTAAATTTCAGTGACTTTAGAGGGGACGTCGATGTTAAAACTTATGACCTTTGGACCTAATGAACAAATCTTCATGAATAATACAATACAGTGGAACCTCGATAACAAGTTGGAACCATGAAAATACATGTCATTTCATAAGGCCTAGATAATTTTACCCCTGATCATGTGTTTATTGTAAACCTTGATAAGAAGTCAACCTTGATAACAAGCCTTATTTAATGTTTCTTTTCAGGGATTTTTGTGACCCCCAAGTAAAATCAGTGACTTTTCTGTGACTTCCGTGATTTCAGTGACTGGTAGTCATCCTGTTATAGGTATTTATTCTACGGAATGTCTTTTTAAGTGTCTGTTAAGACTCTAAATATACAATTAGAGAATTAGACCAATCATGATTGAAACAGAGAGATCTTCCTGCCGGAGCAGTGAAAATGAAGGTTTTGTCTCATTTTTATGTTTGGCACCTCTATGTTTTGACCTCGATTGGTCTCTTAAGCTGAGGAGTTTTTTCTAAAAGCAACAGATTTTAGTTGCAACACACTATCCTCAGAACAGGAATGGTTTAGACTAAATAATTGCTGTACAAAGATTAAACCTGAAAGAGCAAACTTGGCTCAAACCTTCGGCAATCCGTACTATGTTTAAACATCAAAGTTTATAATCTTAGATTACTTCTCTGAATAAAATAAACATCTCTATCGTGTTAAAATATAACATAATAGTTATTTTTATAATTTTTTATTTGAACAGTACTTTTACTATCCTCACAATAGACGATGTTTTCAGACAGCACTAAATAGTGCAGAATATTTTTTATATAATTGAATCCTGAATGAGCCTGGAGTTTAACATATGTCATAGTAACATGGATATGTGTTATACAACAACAAAAATGAAATAGTTAAATTAATCAGGCGAGGAGTTTGGTTCTGAGTTAAGGGGGGTTTAAAAACTATTTTATTAAAAAATATTTATTACTATAACAAAATACAAGCTGGAAAACTTAAAGCTATGGTAGTGCAGACGAGCTAGGAAAGGGTTACGTTGGCAGCCGTCAGGTAGTTCTGCAGATGAGCTCGGTCAGTTTCTGTCAGTCCGTTGGACAGCAGCGGAGGCAGACGACCAGGACAGGCCACAGACAACTTGGACAGACACTGGGCAAGATGTAACCTCGGGTCACCCACACCTAGAATCGAAGGTTACATTGGATCTGAGCTAATGATTAACACTACTAATTTTGAGGTTAATTTTGTTTAAGGAAAGACTGTATACCAGGATTGTTATTTTTAGGAGGATAGCATGTAGCTTACCTTAGAAAGAGTCCAGGAAGTACACACAGAAGGAACAATTAACATATTTAGTCCTCTGGGGGACTTTGTCAAGTGTACACATAGATTTGAACACTATACTTTTTGGCCAGTCTTTGACGTTAAATTTGGAATATGTTTATTTTTTGAAAAATTATTAGAAATCATGCAAACAGCGTGAAGTTTTTTAAATTGCACAATCTCTGCAGACATATTGGGTATCGGTATAGACTATTGATGGTTGATATCGATACTAATGTCAAAGAATCGGTGGTATCGAGAATCAACACATCCTTAATAACAAGGGAGACATAACCATCCAAAGCTGGAAAATTGTTAAAAGAAAAATCACACAGAAAACTGCATAGTAGGCACAACAAGGTAAAAAAAAACAGAAAACAGATACAAATAAAGGGCTCAGTATAGTTTGAGCCACCATCTTGACAACTATACAATTTTCCGTGTAATTTTTATTTACTGATTTTATAGCTTTTGCTGGGTTTTTATACTCACCTTTAATATTGTTATATTTTAGGTACTTAGTTCTAACTTGAGGACAGGATGAAATTCTTGATCACAAAATGCTCTAAATGCCCAAATAACACTTAGGCACAAAAAAAAAAAAATTATGGATTATTACTTTGCTAGTAAGACAGATGTGTTCAAAGATAATTTAATGTTTTCAAACCTTCTACTATTGTTCTCTTACCTTGTAAAGGGTCATATTCAGTCTTGCTGGCAAATGCTAGTTGTGAGTAAGCCACCTCGTATCCGGGAGTCTCATCCACCTCAATAAAATGGTCGTCTTGGTACGTACTCTCGTCCTCAGGAAGTTCAAAAAGTCCAATCAGAACTTTCAGTAGTGGGGTCCTTTAACAACATAAACGATAATGACATGTTTGTTACGGTGTTAAAATATTTATTACATCAACCAAATCTGAAAGTGTAACAATAAATATTTGTCAAATATACACACACACAAATTCCAACAAGTCTTTGATTTTTGTGATGTACCAAAAAGAAACTCTATTCTGATATGTATAACTAGAAACTGTGTCTTTTTTTTAAATGGACAGTATTTAGAAACATAATAATGTTACAATAAACCCCAATCTCAATTCATGTTTAGAATGTTTCGATAAATATTTTTAATGCACAGGAATTTTACTTACTGAAGAACCTCAATACAAGTCTTGCGAATATATTGCAGTTTAATGAACACAAATTTTGTTATCAAGGTTATATGTCAGATATATGCAGACGTATCCATCACTCTAACACAACATCTACTACCATTATGTAGACATGTCCGTCACACAAAGGCAACATTTATTACTACTAAACAGATAAATCTGTCACTCGAACGTAACATCTACTACCATTATGCAGACATATCCGTCACTCGAATGTAACATATACTACCATTTTGCAGACATAGCCTTCACTCGAATGCAACATCTTTATGCAGACACATCACACTCGTCCAGGAAGTGGTAAGTAATATATTATGACAAACACAAGACACTCACCAGTAGGAAGAGTACGGACCATCGATGAGTTCCGTGGCTTCACACAGCAGCTTGGTCAAACCTACTGCGGTGATCTTCCGCTCCACAGAACCGGAGATCTTCTGTATATCTGCGATCATCAACCTCTCAATCACCATGCCAAACATCCTGCGTCAAACAACGACAATCAGTTTTTTGTTTCACCTTTTTTGAACGAAGGAGAATGATGCAAAGTTATGGGAAATTGTTTGTTTAACTCTTCTCACATTGATCTGTACATTCAGCACCACTACTGTGCCCGTCAATAGCTGACAAAATAATGCCGAGCAGAACAAAACATAGAAAATACTATAACTACATTTTAAAATCTGGTTAGGAAAATGTTTAAATAAAAATGGTTAGAGCAAACCTGCACTTACTGAGGTTGAATCGAATCTATCAGGTGTATCAAATTAGACGCTCCATAGTTAATTGTGTAGAAGAAGAAGAAAACAAGAAGTCCTTTGATGTATTTGGTGGTCTTTGAAGACGACAGTCGTTGGAACAACAACAAAAATACATCTTTCATGTACTGGCTGAGCAGTTCACTGGAAAAAACAATATTTTTACACATTATTTATCAATATGGAAGGAACATATTTATTCAATGGTCTACATTTCTATAACAATAAAGAGCCAATTTAAAATATGTAACAATTGCAGTAAACCTTACTATAGATGCTAGTAATTTCTATCAGTGGCCATATAAATGGAATGGAATGAAAATCTTTTATTTCAACAGGCAAGGTATCAAGTAGGGATGGACGGGTCCCGAAATTTCGGGAATTTTTCGGGAAAAAAATATTCCCGATCATCGGGACGGGATTACATTTGATTCGGGAATTTTTCGGGACGGGATTTGGTCCGATCGCCGGCGATTTTGCCGCTTCGCGAGTGCCGATGACGCCGCTATTGCGAGCGATAGGTCCGCGAACGCAGGAGACGAAGTCGTTTCGACGATTGCGCCGTGACCACGGAGTCATAACGACGATCGTGCTGTGACCACGGAGTCATACCGACGATCACGCCGTGACTGCGGAGTCATATCGACGATCGCGCCGTGACTGCGGAGTCATACCGACGATCGCGCCGTGACCGCGGATCCATACCGACGATCACGCCGTGACCGCGGAGTCATACCGACGATCACGCCGTGACCGCGGAGTCATACCGACGATCACGCCGTGACCACGGAGTCATACCGACGATCACGCTGTGACCGCAGAGACATACCGGCGATCGCGCCGTGACCTCTGAGTCATACCGACGATCACGCCGTGACCATGGAGTCATACCGACGATCGCGCCGTGACCGCGGAGTCATGCCGACAATCACGCCGTGACCGCGGATTCAAACCGACGATCGCGCCGTGACCGTGAGTCATACCGACGATCATGCCGTGACCGCGAGTCATACCGACGATCACCCCGTGACCGCGGAGTCATACCGACGATCGCGACGTGACCGTGAGTCATTCCGACGATAATGCCGTGACCGCGAGTCATACCGACGATCACCCCGTGACCGCGGAGTCATACCGACGATCGCGACGTGACCGTGAGTCATACCGACGATAATGCCGTGACCGCGAGTCATACCGACGATCACCCCGTTACTGCCGTCATTTTGACGATCGCACCGTGACCGCGAGTCACAAGTTTCTATAGGTACCTGAAAAATTGTTACCCATTTTTTGGTTTTTATAGATCAGTGCCACAAACGGTAAAGATTGATTTCGTATGCCTTTTTTGGCAACTGCAATACTCAAGACTTTTTTTATGCACAGAAAAAATCCCGTCCCGTCCCGTCCCGAAAATCGGGAAGGAAATAAAAATCCCGTCCCGTCTCGAACTAAAAATTCAATCCCGTCCATCCCTAGTATCAAGCAAATCAATCGTAAATTAACTATTAATATTGTAACTGATTGATGGCAATTGACAATATTTCAATTGAATTAATCATAATTAGATGAAGGAACAATTAAAAGGTAATATTTAGAGGAATGATTTTACCACAGGAATAAAGACAAAGGTTAGAAAAGGTTGAAAAAAGTCTTGCCTTTTTAAAAATTCATCAATAAATTTGAACATTGATAATAATAATATAAATAACTGAGCATAAATCAGCAGGACTTACTTTGGACAATGTTCTATCAAACTTTGCATTAGATAAAAGCCTTCGTGATCGTTTGCTTTGGATGCAATCATCTTTTGGAAAACTCCTAGAAGTCCACTCTGTAAAATAATAATGAGAAGTTTAAAAAAAATTTTAAAGAAGAATCTAAAATAACATGTTTTAAATGTGTAACAAATTCACTGTAGGAAAACATAACTATACAAAAATCTCTACCTTCTGAACCAGTCCTACAATAGGACAATGGATCATTGTTGAATTAACAAGTTCGCTTGTGACGCCGCGATCATTGCCACGGACCGAGGTATACAATTTAATCTTACACATAGACAGACTGTCACTTGGTTAACAGTACACACGGACCACGGGCGAAAACCTGTTAAACAGTGATAATTTACTTTGTAATAGGCTGCAATCTTGTTTGTAAATCATATATTCTCGTTTTTTAATATTTTTCATAAACTTTTGTAATGTCGCATATTTGTGACGCTCAGTCTATAGAGAGGACAATAGTAAATATTATTAGATTTTTCTTGAAGCAGCAAAAACGCCGCATATATGCGGCAGTTCATCTTTGTTTATGTTTTGAGGTGAAAGTAAGTAAAAAAAACATATTATTCAAGAACAGTTTATAATTGAACAAATACAAAAGCTCTATTGGATGATGCAGCATACATATAGCATACATGAATACAGTGATGCAGCCAAGTAAAGAACAGTTTTTCCAACTTCGTAAGAAGTCACCAATCATCATATCCACAGACCAAGCGACTCAGTTGTGCTTCAGACATCCCTGTAGACCAGTGCAGAGAATTCAGTGCCCTCAAATAGACCGTTACAAAAATATAAGCCTTTTCATAACATTGGAACACCGACACAAATTTGCGTCGTCAGTCTCTGCACTGGTCTACCATAGAAGCCAGTCTATGGGTAGAAACCGGCCATAGCATATGTGCGTCGCTGGTCTATATGAATGAAAAATGTTGTACTATTGCGGTAGCGAACGTGTTAAGTTGCAGGTGTATCTATAGGCCCTTGGACAAGGCTAAATAGATTATCCCTCATTCCAAAAGAATACAACATATAGGGAGGATAGAAGTCCTGCATCTTGAATCTCACAAATACAATAATCCACAACAAGTAATTGATTTTCAAAACATTTTACATTAGAATAGCACATTTCTCTCACTGCAATCACAGTTTAACAAACTTCTTCACAATTCCCTGTGATTAAATTTTTTTTGCGAGATTTCTAACCCAAAAAATACATAAACTATCAAACTCTTATAAACAAATTAAAATCTTTCAAAAAATTCTTAAATTGTATAGAACTTGTAATCCAAACAACACACAGACTGTGGAAAACTGAACTAAATAGGCTACGAGATTTGATTTTTTAGTTCAAGATAACTGAATCATACACTCAAATCCTTTTCTAAGATTTTTAAAATTCAAAATTCAGATTTGACACACTACTACTACAAACATAAACTCAAAAGACACACAAATGATGCATATAAAAATGTAAATTTTTAATCTGAAACATTGTTATTCTTATATAAAGATTTTCCGGCACAGGCAGGCCAATCAGTCGCACATACCACTTTGAGCACATTCTGCATCTGCGGCGGGGCACACTTGTGTATGTACGCGCGCAGCAGTCTGACCAGTGGATGTACGTTGCCCATCCTCTCCCACAACATGGGCGCCAGCAGACACGGATACAGTGCGAGGTATGGCTCTGGGATTTGACCCTGGCCGTGCAGCTCCAGCAACAGTGACAGTATTTGAAACACGTACGGCACAAACTCTGAAACACAGTTACAATTGAGTTCAGGCTACTGAAGAAGACATCCCATCTATAAAGCCACGTTTACACGAGGCCAGTAGATACACAGCTTATCTAGAAGGTTACCTGCCTCCCTTAGTGAATTTCGTTATTTTCCCACCTACTGGCTTCGTGTAAACATGGTTTAAATGCCAGCTGTAGCAAATTTGCATTGGAACATAGTTGGAAAGTAAGCGATAACAAAATTTAAATTTTACAGAGTTAAGATAATTATGCTATTACCTTGTACATCTTGCTGTAGAATGTTTTGGAACAAGGGGAAAAGAGCTTCTTCAAAACTGGAAACTGCGGCAGGATTTGTTTTACACACTATCCTGTAATTAAGTTAATGTATTAACAAGTCAGTAAGGATAATACATAATATTACAGATACAACATTTTTATACTGAAGTAGATCCAAGATAAAAGTTAACATAATGATTCGTCTAATTTGTTAATACAATTTATATACTTGACAGTCAAATCTTTTATGGAGTACATGCCACTGTGATGAAAAAAATTTAATTAAGTTAACTCAAACGCTTTTAATGGAAAGACATTTTTTAAATAACATTTTTGGGTATAGTGGGGATTGAACCCGTCTTCCTCAGGTTTGCAAACACTATTTTGTGGTCAGTTGCTTAAACTATAATTCCATCCAAAATATCACTTATCACAGTTGTTATTGAGCCATCTGAAGAGAATATAATATTAGTATAGGAAAGGCTATAGGCCATTGTTATTTTTAAATAAACAGATAATCTCCTGTTGTAAAAAATCCTAAGAAAAATTTCCCTGGGGATGAAATATTCTTTCTGTGTCCACATTAGGATTTTTTTCAAAGGTAACCTAGCTGCTTTCCTTCTACCCTAAAAATCTGTTCTTCAGCCTACCTGATGGACAGGACGAGTGTTTCAAACAGGAAGTGGTTGAAGTGTGGTTTGCTGGGGTTACGTGCGACCAAGGTCAACTTGTCAGTCAGCTTGGGCAGTAACTGTCCGAGGAACGGAACGACTCGCTCTTGAAGAGTGGAGAACGACCGCATTATTGTCTTCATCACATACTCGTTCTCCTCAGAGCCGGGTTGGTCTAGACGGGAGAACAGTGAGGGTAGCAGCTCGGCGGCTAGAGGGGCCAGGTCCTCACTGGTCACACTGCACAAAAATACAGTTTATAGGTTTCACAACAATACAGGGAGGTTTATAGACTAAAAGTGTTTGACATCCAAATCCTATGAGTGTTATCTATAATATTAAAACGAAACATGGTTTTTTTATTTCACGATTCTGAATCAACCACTTGACGGATTTTCATGATTTTTGTGTTGAAAGAAAGATAATTTTGAGAACTAGGGAATGTCGAAGCCATAATTTTAATTAAGGGTCCCAGTTTTTTAGAAATTAAGTTTTAATTTTCAAAAAGTCTAGCAGCCGACGGACGAGTTAAAGTCGTTTTAGTGGTGGTTTAACTAACAACTGGTTTCTAACTGTCATTGAAATGTTTATGTTACAAGTTGTTTGTATACAAAAATATTGATCCAGAGTTTGCCTACACACTATTTCACTTTAAAATGCAGTTTATTACCTACCGTAAAAGATCTATGTTATCAGGAGATTGTGTAATTTCGAACTAAACATTTTAAACGTATAATCAAGTTTTGTCATACATGCAATCCGTCTAAGTATAAGTGCTTAATCCTTTAAGATATAAGTGGTTTACGTGTTGATACATCTTTTTCTAGATGTTTGAATATAAGTATGACCGCATACAGTACACATGAAAATGTCAACCGGTGTAGTAGGTCTCCAGAAAACTGACCAGTAAGCTGCAGGGTGTCAGTAGAGACCAAAATTGATTCATACCATATCATAACCATCCCAGTAGTACTGTATGATTCAGAAACTTGATAAAGGGGTACATTCCAAAAGGCTCAGATCTCGGATGGGCTGGGCAGGCTTTGCATGGCGGAGAGAAGATACTTCAACTTTTAAAAGTGTATTCCAATGAGTACTACAAGGTAGACGACCACTTGGAAGACCAAGTAATGAAAGAAATCTTCAGACCGGTATCTTCCTTAGAAATGGCAGAGGATAGAAGAGAACGGGAGGCCAGGATCATTTTAGAGGTTTCAGTGACCAAGGTGGTAAAATAAGGTACGGTAAGTGATAGTAGGCCTATGCAGTGGAAGGTGGTAGTATGTAGCTACTGTACTCAAAGCCAGTGTGTGTGAATCGGCCACCAAGTTGTAAACTAGCTGTTCTGAATAATATACAGTTTTAATGGACTACTCGATTCCCGTACGTAGGACGGGCCAAAAAGCTCGTATTATTTAATAAATTATTGGGGACATTTTCTATCGAAATTTGGTTCCATTGTGTTTGTTCCAATACTTACATTGCTTTGTCGTTTTCTTTGAGAAGCAGTATTTTATCGATTGCACAAGCGGCGTAGGTGTGAACCACTACGCTGTTGGCTTTTAAATGCAGAACGAGCAGAGGCAATGATCCAACAACGACCTCCTTTGGTAAGATGCTTCGGAAGATCATGATATACTTAATAGCATCTGCCTTTAGAACAGGAACGCTGTTCACTGGAACAGGAATAATAAACAGTTTAGTAAACAAATTGTGACAGCTAATGATTGATCTAATGTTATAATGAATTGATTAGTATCAGTTGAGGTATTACAACATAAACCTTTCAGGTTATGTAGTGACTGCATACATAGCTTAATGATACAGCATTCTCACTACTAGAAATTATTATCAGTCTAGGGGTCTGCCGGTTTCTTGATATTTTGAATCATGCTTGGCCTAAAAGATAAGTTCATGCCAGAAATAATTGTTGGACCATTTATATTAGACATTTGCAAGCAGCTGATTTTTTAGCAGAGCTTTTATCCTCCTGAGAGCAAATTATCGTACTAATATCGGAATATAATATTTTATCACAACTTTTTACATAGAGAGTTTGAAAATAAATCTTAAGGTAAATCTGTGGACACTTAACAAAAAAAAAAAAAAAAAAAACAGGATCACCCGACAATACAACACGTATAGGTTTGAAAAGCACCGTTGGGTGTGTTGCTAGCCTAGTGGTTAGTGCCACGATCTTCGGTGTGGGAGGTACGGGTTTGATTCCAGCAAATCCACAAACACTAGAGGGGTTACAACTACATCTCCTTGAAAGCGTTTGAATTACTCTCATACAAATTACCACTGGCGAAGACAATAAAGGTCAACACTTGAACCACAAAGTTTACCGTCAGGTTTCTGCAGTTCTGGCATGATGTGTTGCGAGCAGAAGTCAGGCAGAGAGACGAGTGTGGACGTCTGTGTGATGCCGTGCTTCTGAGTCTGTCCTCGGCTGGCCAGTGAGGTGACGAGGTACAGTGCTGCGTCTTTGGCCTTCCACGCATTAGGGTCGGCTGAGTATTGCTGGAGCATTGCCTGGCAAACATTCGGTAACTGTTAGTAAAATCAACTAATCCAGCTAAATATTCTTTGATATTATATTGAACACTAATTAATTGACTGGTTGCCTGAATAAGTAAGTGCTCATCATGATAAATTCACCAGGTCAATCCAAAGAGGAGAATTGATTCTAAACTCTTATTGCCATTTATAATAGAGCCACTAATCAAAGACACTTTATAAATAGTAAAGAAGATAATATTTTTTAGACCCCCAATTTGCCAGATTCACACACATTAAAAATACTTCATAAAAAAATAAAATTAGAAGTGTTAGTTTAAAAACAAATTAAATTCAACATAACAATTATTTACCTGAACATACTGGCCAAATATAGTCATCATTTTCTCCTCAAAGAAGCGAGACAGCACCTTGACCAGGTCGCAGGCTGCTCTTCGTCTTGTGTCGACGTCAGATCCTTCAATGTCCCGTCGTATGTATTCTTCTGGGTTATCTTCAAACAGCTCCTCGTCTGACGCTAAAAAACATAGTGTTAACTAAATGTTCAAGTAGTATTAAATGTAGTTATTTTCTGGGTAGTGTTGTTTTATTGACTTCTTGAATTTACAATAGTAAAAATACAAACATCATAATAATTGACAGAAAAACTCATAGGAAAAGATGGATGGGTAGGTTTACTATGTCAATACAATAGGATGCATTATAGTGAAGATGATTGAAAGATTAGTGTTAAAGTTATAACTAAATATATGATTAGTCTTGGGATTACAAATATTAACTGTTATTTTTTAGCACTCTGCAGTTCCAAACTGTTGACTAGGTGTTATATGTTTCCGCTTTTACGCTATTATCAAACACCCCTTTTCAGAAAACATAATTATTCAATATTACTTCATCGATAATCACAAACACATAATATCACATAGAATAACAATTATAATTTTTGAGGAAGTTATAGTTAAGCCTATACCTAAATTTCACTTCAGATTACAGTAGAGGGTCTAGCAAGCAAGGAAATATCTGAAATCAATTCAACTAGTGTCATCGCCAGAACTAAAAGGCTGTGTTTTTATTTTATTTTAATGTTTGCAAATCAAATAAAAGGGACTTATGTCAAATTTGTACAAGAACACATTACATTTGGGAGCACCAGCAAAGGATTTTCTAATTCCTGTAATAAGTCTACTAGTTCGCAGTTTATTTTAACTTTAAATTTTGCATAGTGTAAGTGATTGCAAAACGTCATTAATAAATCCAGTATTATACTTACATGATAATAAATTCTTTCAAAAATACTATCTCTATTTCTTCTACTCGGTGGCGTTATATGACTTTTTATGTTTCCAAAGTAGCAAATGGGTTCTTTCAATGATTTAATTTTTTAAGATTTAATTTTTGTAGAAACGCATTTCTTTGAATTGCAGCTTAAATATTAACAGCAATTAAATATCCAGCTGATCATAATGTAAACAAATATGTTCTTCATAAGGATAACATGGGAACTTTAAAAGCCACTGGGGCTTTTCAAAAATGTAAGGTCAGTTTGCAAATCTACACGACACACTCTTTCCAATGAGACGTCAATGGATAAAATCGGTTAAGAAATGGTGGAGGAGTTCAAACGGACAAATTTTGTGTTGGCGTATTAATTATATAGATTGAATCAAACTGGAGATTTTACATTGATAAATATCTGATCATTACTACAGTTGGCGATCCAGTTGAAGTACAGATATTGATTATACTATAAAAAACAGCGTGTACTACACTGTATACTGTGTGTTATTGTATACACAGTATAGCCTACTGTGTGTTATTGTATACACAGTATAGCCTACTGTGTGTTATTTTATACACAGTATACAGTGTAACACTGTTCTAGAATGTTTCTCTGTGGTTGAACATTCAACGTAGATATTTTCAAAAGGCTCACTTACTCCTGAACTCCATATTGGGTATGACGACCTTCTCGCATATATTACTGAGGACTGTCGGGTCTTCAAACAGATGTCTGTAATGGTTCCTGTCGGCCACTGTCGCCAAGAACTGTAGAGCATTGCTCACGAGCTGAAACATCCATCCAATGATAGAGAAGTAATAAACTGTAGCCATTATCATAGAGGTTCTAAAAAAACATGATTATTTAATTTTCAATAATGTTTAATTTATTTAGTAAGTTAGGGCCTAGCTTTTTTATAAGGCAACAGAAACTTGAACTTGGATATAAAAATAAATTAAAGCATAGTAATAAAAGTAATTGACGGAGTGACGGAGGTATTTAGAGGATTTAACCTCACACTAATTGCTAATAGTAATAGAATATGACAAATTATTGTATGATTACATAGGCCTAATTATTTTCCACTTCAAGACACATATATTTTTGGAAAATTCAGTGATAGCAAAATATAAAATGTTTAAAGGCGGAATGGAAAACAATGTTTTGTAGCTGGATCCGACTCAATAAAGTTTCAGCTATACATATTAACAGCGGACATTTACCTGTGGTAAAATATTGTATCTTGGCAAAATCTGAATGTGAACACACGTTTTTATTGACACCATAAGTGAATTACAAAAATTGTGATCAATACATGTATTCTAAACCGGACCTAGCTGTTACTGATCATTCGGCTTTAAATATAATGATAATGACTGATGAACCAGCTGATTAAGTAACAAAGCTACTCAACATAGATCATCTCACACCATTCTACATTCGCCCTTCACTCATTTTTGGGTTAAAATATGCACCTAGCTGTGACCCATCTCAAATAAATGATAATTGAATTGATAATTTTATATTGTAGTTATTTATTGCCGACCAACACATTGCAATATTATTTGTGGTTCTATGAAGCAATTGGAGTTAAACATCAATAATCTAAACCAGGAAGCTATTTACATTTGGTTATATATAGATATGCCTATCATAAATAAATAAAGGTTTTGAATGACATGGATAGGGGAAAATAACTAGTGGTTCAAATAATGTGTTTCTGCCATTGTTTAAATTTTCTCAGCTTTCTTTAAATATCTTAGTTCTGAGTCAGAATAATAAACACTACTAGCCTACAAGAATCATGTTATCTTATTAGTGAGCCTATTAGTTTCTAAAGGTTTTAAAACATTTAGAAAAACAAGACATTATTAACAAAAAAATCCTAACTCTGAGACAACGATTACTAACAATCAAATCACCTAATTTTTGTTATAAATAGTAGAAACAGCTTTAAGTACCACTTTGTACAAAAAATTGTGTTTTTTATATGATGGTTTGGTAAATTGATCCTGATACATACAATTCTTTTAATTCAATGAGACAGGTTGTATAGAAAGATAAACAATTTGACTTACGGCATCGAACTTTGGTTGTTGGCCAGTTGAAATCAAAAGATTCCAAACGTCTGTGACAAAGTTAGGCAGGTACTCTTTAAATTCTTCATCATACTTCTGAGCATACAACGTGATGTCATCACAAATCTGTGATTTCAACTGCTCCAGAAGACCAGCCTCTTCATCTTCCTGGAAAACACAAAAAAAGGAATAAAACATGGGAAAACAGATTTAAATATTAAAATTCATTGTTGTAGCCCCGGAACTATAATATATATGCTCAAGTACCGGCAATGTTGCTTACCCGTGATAGGCTACTAATAGGGGATCCGTGATCGACTTCTTCACAAACTAAAATTTAATTTATTTTTAAAACGTATTTATTTATATGTTGTACGTGTTGTGTGTTAAATGTGTTTGTCGTGTAATGAAAACAAAGCTATTCAAGTGGAATTTATGTATGTTCCTGTAATGAAGTGTTTGACAAAGGCAGCTTGCTGAGTCATGTAACACTGTGACAAAGGTTGCTATTTGGGGAGAATTGAATACATGGGAAATAGTTTGTTTGGTGATAAACAGTAATTCAATTTATTAATGAAATTATACAATTAGGTTAAAAATTGAGATGTGAGTAATTTGTTACTTAAACTTTTGAAAAACTGGAGACACAAAATGTTTGATAAAAAATTCAAAGTCCTTCACTTTGATGAAAATGTGTTTTTCATTTGAAAAATTCCTTAAAGCAACATTCTTTTAGACATTCCCATTTAACAGCATCAGATTTACTCCAGTAAATTATCCACAGTAGACTCCCTCTTATCCGGACACCTTTTAACCGGACAGTTTTTATCAGCACATCGGTTTATCCGAACTAGATTGGCAGGAAGTGGGCGGTACTGAAACGACTGTTCTCCTGGGAAAGATTTGAGACCGGTGATCACGTGTCTAAATACAATGCTCTTCTAAATTGAAGTCAAATACTGTATACAGTATGCATTTAAATGTTCCGTTTTAACGAGTTTTTGGGGACGTTGGTTTAACCGGAAAAACCGCTATCGGGACTGGCCTCGGTCCTGAGGAGTCTGGATAAGAGGGAGTCTACTGTATGTTACATTAACCCGTTTCATAATATAGGCTCATAACTCTTAGTAACTGAAGATAAAATAATTAAATTAATTTTAAGTAGGCCAAATAAAACTTCTTCAGGATTTGATGAAGTCCCAATGTCTTTGTTAAAATCAATCAAACATGAAATTTCAAAACCGTTAACATATCTAGTAAATTCTTCTTTAATCTGCAATATATTTTCCAAAAAATTAAAAAAATTAGTTATTCTAATTTTTAAAAAAGGTTTAGAAACCAATCCTCTCAATTGTCCAGTTTCCCTACTATCAATTTTTTCTAAAATGTTTGGAAAAGTTGTGTACGATCAATTGGTAAATTTTTTAGAGAAAAATAAATTATTTGATGAAGATCAGCATGGATGGAAGGTCAACAACCGCTAGTGTAGATTTTGTGACATCAATAATTGAAAGTATAGATAAAAAGAATAAAACTTGTTCTAGATCTTACTCGTGCTTTTGATAGTGTGATTCATTCAGAATTAATAAGAACATTACAACCCTTAGGGATAAAAAATCGCCCTAAGTGTACGGAAAATTGTAGTAGTGTGTATGGAGGGACCTCAAAATTAAACCTTAATAAAATACTTCTATTACAAAAGAAAGCTATTAGATTAATGCTAAATGTAAATTGGATTGAAAGTGTAAAGTATCATTTTTCTAATTTGGAAATCCTAACAGTATTCGGAATTTATATATATGAGAAAATAAAATATACAAAACAGCATCATTTACCAAAAATATAGTTAGAACTAAGTAGGCCTACCAGTAATAGACTAGTGCACCTCTTGCTTGGACTCGAGCAATTGCAAAGTATTTCAGGCGTTATATATATTTTAAAACAACAGTCACAATATCCGATTACTTAACCCTCCGAGTTATGTGTCGTAAAATCGACACATAACACACTTTGTGTAGAGTTTTGTGTTGATTTTTCGACTCACAAACACTGTTTACGGCGAAGGCTCTATGACTGACAAAATCGGATTGAACTGGATCGAGTTAGGTATCGTTTTATTTGGCAGATTCTAAGCTTTCTCCCGAGGTCTGTCTCTAAGCGCTTTTTTTCTCGAACCGATCATAATTGTAGCAGACAGCTGACGTGCGTATTTGTAAACAGCTTGGTTAACCTCGCACCGATGACTGATGTGTTTTATTACGTTTATCATCGTTTTAGTGTTAAAAATCAAAAGTAGTGATATACGTGGTGCATTATAAGAAGATTTAAGTGATTTTGAAGGGCTGGTTGATGATCCTGAAGAAGTAGGTAGTGATATTGATGTAAATTATCAGCCAGATTCCTAGCTATGGTTAGGCTATGCATTCTTAGCTAAACGCTATGTACCGAAATCTGTTTTATGCCCATTACTTATTTATTTGCAAATGTACTTCCTTATATTATTATATTTTTGGAATCCCCATAAAATTCAGAACAAAGTGGCTATTTTAAAATATTTGTAGACCTATAAATTATAACAATTTATTGAGCGCAAACATAAATTTTTTCATTTATTTTATAATTTTTGAGAAATGTTAACCCCACAAAAATTGTTAAACATTTTTTTTTTTTTTGTAATGTTTTATGTGTTACATTGAAGCTCATAATTTTCCAAACAAAATGATATATAAAACAGTATACTTTACATTGTTTTTAAGGTTCTAAGATACCATTTTAATAAAACCCTGCGATTGCGCAATAAATGGGCGAACATTAAGACCAAAACTAGAGACACTTGGAGGGTTAAAAAGATTCAACTCAAAGATAATGTAATCAATCACTCCACTCCAATCGAAACTGGAAACGAACTCGCTCTGAAAACAAACGCTCACTCCACTCCAGTTATCGAAACTGAAAACGAACTCACTCTGATAACGAATGAGTATTTGTGTATTGTGTGTGTTTACTACGAACAGCTGTAATGAATACAAATTATTCGTCTGTTTAAGTAAACAAAATCTTATCTTCATAAGAAATACATTGGGATTTTGATGGCCTGTGGGGCAAAGCCCGAGGACTTTTACTACAGGAATTGGCAAAAAATCTAAAATCTAAATTGGTCTACACAAAAAATAATCAATTTTGACACATCGCTTGTAAAACTACGTTCATTATTAACAGAGGAGTAGTGTTTCGTAGAAATCGCCTTCACGTATTATATATAAGGATATAATACAAGAAATACACAATACAAAAGAGACACAATTTAGAATAAAAAATAAAAAAAACACAGAGTATAGAGGCTTTAGATAAATAATTTTTTTACCAAAAGATATACAAAATGAATGTAATAGTAGGAAGTTTTACTTTAAACTAAAGACATACATAGCAATTGATTCCTTTGAGGAATTTTACAATAAAAAATATTGTGAATAGACAATAAGTTACTCACTGACTCTATTCATTGTACTTGAACATTTTTGAATAAACGAGATTTTGATTTTATTTGATTTGAAGAATGTGCTTGATGTTTTAATTTTAAAATTTAAAATTTTAGTACATTTGAATTATAATAACAGGGTGTTTAAATAATGATGCAATATAAAAGTAACCATAAACTCGGACATAGTTCCATGCCCTATAAACAGGTAAATTTCCTTCATAGAGGGATGGTTTGTTTAGACAAAGCCATTGATTAAAGCTAGTTCAATACTTACATCAGTTTTCAAACAGGCGATTTCATTGGTTAGCAGAAAGTGGAAATGGTTCATCCAAACTCCCATGTTGTCTTCAAAAAATTCAGGCAAATCCTGTTCAAAGGCATTGTAATTAGGTGAAGGATTGTCACTGTTACATACTCTATGATTATAATTGGAAATTGGATATTGTTATGGAACTATTTTGCATCACTAAAAAATGTTGTCAAAATATTGTAAAATTACCTTTCCATTTGGAGGAATATACTCTGTTAAGGCTTGGAGATTTTAAAAAAACCAAGACAATTATAAAAACGATAACTACAACCATGTACCGTATTGTAAATTAAATCCCTGAATCAAAGTAGTGAGTAATAATAGATAAATGTTGTTAACATACATTACTAGCATATTCTTGTAATTAATTTTCGAGTTTTGGAACGTACGTCCCTAATTTTGTTTACCACAGACTACTATAGTCAAATGTACATGAAATACTGACCTGGGAGTTTAAGGAGTAAAATATCTTTGCTACCAACAAAATAGAGCTATAGGTAATTTTGAACTCTGCTTCTGTTTTGGCGTGTGTTTTTGTAAATTCAACTGTTGCCTGAAAAAGAAAAAACAACTGAGTTTATGTCAATGAGTTAAAATTAAAATTAAGTAAAATTAAAATATGCTTAATTCATTAGATGCACTTGTACATTACATTGAACAGAGTCAATAATTGAACTACGATAAAATATACAATATTAATAACCAAATGTTAAGAAACAAACCCATAATAAAATATAAGTAATGTACACAACCAAAAAAGAAGGATGTTTTATAAATGTTTCTCAAGGACAGATGAAGGATGTCTAAAAACAGTGGCATATCAGACACAGACAAGGGTAGGATAAAGTTCAAGTAAAACAATTGAAATTTGCGGGTTACAAGATTCTTGAACTTTTTCTCCCCCTAAAGAACTTTTTTCTCTACCCTAAAGTAATCTGCATCACAACTAAAATAGATTAGGCAATATAAATACACAATTTAAAATATAAACGAATGTAAACAATACTTAACACTTATATCAGAGCTACATATTTTAGCTTACTTACCACAAATAAATCTGTTAGTGGTTTGGCAAATCTGTCCAAAACTAGTTTGATTTCAGTCCACAGTTGCTGTGATTTGAACTCAAACCGATAACGTTTGAACAATGAATGTGCCGTATGCAGGACTCCGTTGATTATGTGGAAGTCCTCTACAAACAAAACAACAGTTATATTACTTACCATTACCAAAGCCTATCGGTAGGCTACACACCTTCATAATGCATCTCATTCAAAATAAATTAATAAGTTGTAAGAGCCACTACTGAATCTGTCAAAAAGTTAATACGATTAAAAATCTAAAATTCCGAGACAAAGTGGAAAGTTTAAGACAAAATCAACAGTTTTCTGAGATTTTTAAAAATATTAGCAAACATATTAACCATTGTGTCGAGGCTATAGAAAGTAGCAAAATGTCTCGTTCAGGTGATCCCGAGCACTGTATTTTATGGTCTTTCCCACCAAACTTTGCCTTAAAGGAGAACTCCTTAAAAAATGCAAACCAGTCGTGGCTAAGATTAAATTCAAACCCTCAACTATGGTAATGTCTCCCGGAAATCTCTACATGGCACAAGAGACACATATAACTTAAACTCTCCCTTCTTGGTTGAAAATGCTGCCAGAGAAATATTCTAATGTTTTGTGTGTGTAGTAAAGTTTTAGATTATATAAGGTATAGTTTATAATCTATAAATTTGGTAATCTATAATTTATAAAGGTAACGTTGTATGTCTCTTGTGCAAGTTTGGATTCTTTCCCATTTAGGTAAGCCCTAATACTGCTAGGTTTTCTAATTCTGCTATCTTCACACAATAACTGAAAACCTAGACCCTTGTGCTCTATGTTACATCCTCTATCCCTGGAAATTTAATTATGTTTAGTCTTGTGCCTGATACACGTGTCGTTGGGGCTCAAAAGGTTAATTTGAATTCTGCTTTATTTTGGAAAAAGGTTTCAGCTGTGTTTCAATGATTTTAACAAATTCAATCCAAAATAAGGACAGTGCAGCAGTGGCGGTAAACAAAATATCACATTAGATAAAGCATTATCCATATAGAATCTGAGACTTACTGAAGTAGGTTAGACGCTTTGAGTTTCAATTATGGTATAGCTGGTTCCGGTATTTTGCATGCTATTCCGCATTACACTACAGCCAACATTATCAAAAATAAAAGGGTCTAGCAATTTACACATAAAAAACTGTAGGCAGACAAGAAAACCAGCTTATTTTTCACTGTAAAAATACCAAAAACCTCTTCTCAAGGTTTTTGTTGTACCGTACCTGATGCGAACTTCTCAACCATTTCGGTTATAAGGTTGGGCCACTTTTCTGGGAAATCACTTTTCCCTATGATTGACACAGCATCACTAAGCTGCTTCTGAATGGCCTCCGGGGAGACTAACATCATATTTACTATGTTCTGTTTCACAGCCTCTCTGTCTTCTTGGTGGATTCTGTCATTTCCGTCTTCATCCTTAATCAAAACACACTGTGGTTAGGTACCTATCAATTAAATTAAATTATAAATACCCCCGCCGCAGCAAATCTGCAGATCGAATTTCCATTTGTCTGATTTTATTTAAAAAAAAAATCTATTTCAATAACATCAGGTTTAACGAGTGTCTAGGTTTGCTAATACAGTGAGGGAGATAGGGTAATAAACTGTGTTTATTAGTAAAATATTAATAGCTTTGTATAAAATAAATTAATTTGCAAAGTTTGATCAAAATATATCCATAAACAAGCAAACTACAACAGTTTACTTATTCTCCATAAGAATAACATAAGTATTTTAAATTTACAATTTTTTAAATTTTCTCTGTAGGCTACTGTAACCAATAACCGTACAAAAACACTTCAATATAGGCTACTAAATTATTTGTTTTCTAAGCTCTTAAAAAATGGTTTAGAAATAAATTGAATAAATAAATATAGGATGGAGAGGACACAGCTAACTCACCTGATGAAAGGTTGCAGATGAGTCAAAGAACACATAAAATCACACACATAATTTACTTAATATTTCGCCTCTTTCAGAGGCTTCTTCAGAAGTAGGCCTAGATGGTAGTTACAAAAAACTATTTGGTTTTTTGTAACTACCATCTAGGCCTACTTCTGAAGAAGCCTCTGAAAGAGGCGAAATATTAAGTAAATTATGTGTGTGATTTTATGTGTTCTTTGACTCATCTGCAACCTTTCATCAGGTGAGTTAGCTGTGTCCTCTCCATCCTATATTTATTTATTTAATCCAAGCTAAATGCTTTTTCCTAAAAACATAACCTTAGAAATAAATTGGGGATTTTGATGTTTTGAGGGTAAAAAAGAGAAAATCCAATTTTTACCCCATAAATACCTCCTGTTCCCATGGTCCGGTCACGATGGTTCGCAAACTCGTTTTAATAAACGTAGGTTTGACATGTTTGTACCAAATTTCATCGAAATCGGACCATTTTTGCTCGAGCTATCATACTAATGGACACACACATATGTACATATGAATTTGAACGAATGGTTTTTTGGTTTCTGGAGAAATTAAAACGAATAAGTAAATCGATCCCGGGTCCAGGGGACCAAGAGACCTAGACGGTAATAGCTTATTCCCTATATGGGAAATTCGTTGAAACGGAAAATGTTTTATACCTAGGGATTGTTTCTAGACTTACCACTTTCCAATTTCTTTTCACATAGTTTTTAAATGCAACAGCACCAGCAATCCGGATGGTCATATCCATTTCAGCTTTTCCAACAAGGTGAAGTAATAAAAGAGGGTAGTTCTTATTTCCCTCCACAGTTTCAAGGAATTTCTCCGCTGAAAATTAATCGTTAAACAATGAGAGAGAGCACTTGGCAATCCTTAAACAAGATCAAATTTAATTTGTTTAACATTAATCAATTCAAACTGATGACCAATACAAAAAACAACCAAGAATTCAGATTTGATTAGTAAAATTCTCAACTTCAGTTTACTGGTAAAAAAAATTATTTGTTCTATTAGTAGGCCTATTTTATGGAATTTGTTTCAATTCAAAGTAGATCTATAATCTTCTATTTAAAAGTTAAGTTTTTTAACAATCAGTTAGTTAATCTACATCAGACATTATTTTATTATTCAAAACTTGTTCATCAAAACTTTTCTTATTTTACCTGTGCACCATCACCAAATGTCAACTTAAAATAGGCCTGTTCTAATTTTCATACACCACAATCATACTGAGTAGGATGCCTTTTTCTAGGGTTGTTTGTGATAGTGTAAATTTGAAATTTTCTACATTAGTGTACTAACCAGGACGCCGTATATCATTGTTAGGATTTAACGTCTGTTGAAGGTACTGGGACAGTGTTATTAGATTTTCATCGGAAAGCTCCATTTTCCTGAAACACAACAACAGACATGTATTTCTTTGTGAAAGTTTAGGGTTTCCTGTAACAAAAGATCACGACTTAAAAGCTGTTTGAATGAAAACCTTAGTATCCCTGCAAAAAACATTCTTTTTCAGCTTTCATTAAAATTAATAAAATTCTTAAGACTACTCCTGATTTTTTTAGAATTCACACTCTATAACAAAACTCTCTTAGGCGTATAATTAGTATTAAATTATGGCAAACAATTTTCCCTCTACGCATGTGGGCCCCTGGAGAAAATCTATTTAGAAGAGAGATATCTTTGTGTGAACTGTTTGTTTGAAAATAGTCATAACACCTTCAACACACCTCAAATGAGGTACTGTATGGTTCTTTAGGCAATGGTATTTAAAAACAAAATCTCATAAACTGCAGCCGGGAGATTGCTTTCTTATTGCTGCCTATGATTATTGCTTGTGATTTTCATTATAACTGAGGTAACCTGGTGGTTAGAATCCACTAAAGACAAGAGGGTATAGGAGCGACGGGTTCAATTCCCGGCATACCCACATATTGTATAGTTTTAGACTGCTTTCCCAAAAAGTAATTATGTACCTCTTCTATACCTCCTTCAAAATGCCACCATTGCAGACAATGACAAAAGAGGATTTTCATGGGAAAGCATTATTTGTCTTTGAGAGCCTACAGAAGGGAAGTTCTAATTCATGATTTCGTCTTGTCTAGTGCGTATGGAGGGTGTTAAGATTCAGAAAATTTTCAATATTTTCTTTAACGTAAGTTGCACATAGCAGAATGAAGTTGGCTATAGAAACCTAATGATCCTAACAGCCTTCTTTAGTTGCAGGTAGCGAACATGCCCCAAAAGAAGCTCGCTATAGCTCAGCACACTATGGAAGAGAGCATGGTAGACCACCAATAGAAAATGAGGGGTTACTAGTTTAGATAGCTTTCCCAACAGACATACGACTCTTGAAAACCTTTTACATACTACAACCTCGACATCTTCACACCTTGTGAGTTTGAGGTTGATAGTGAAACTGAGAAGATAGTCAGTGGTCTGGATTTGGCACCGTTTAGTGATATTACTTACTGCATATTTTTTAGATAGGACTTAATGGACATAAGAGCTACACGCCCCCCTCCTCCATAATGACCAAGTTTATTTATCAGAATGCTGTGGGAAATGCAGTCAAATGCTTTAAACCTAAACTACAAAAGATTAAGTTAAGTGAAATTAAATCAAATAAATGACTTTGACTTTGTATACTTTGACTTTGATCAATGGATGATGACGATGCAACCATTGATAGTGAACATCGATGGTTGACCTATCGATGCTCATCCCTACTGTAAATGGGGAACAAATATGGGAATAGCCTATTTTACTTAAAATTCAAACAGAGAAACATATACTTAACTTCTGGGCCTAACTTAGTCTGCAGGTTTGCTACAGCGTAGGTATTATAAATCTATATCCTGCTAAATTTTGAAGAGTATACTCTGCCATGTTTGGTAAGGTAGGCCTAAGTGATTTATTATTTTAAGACTTAAGTCTTTTGAAAACCCAACTCAAATGTTTAGATGGGTATCTATTGCGATAAACGTGACCATGGTGACCTATTTTAAGCTGAAAATGATGGTGCAAAAATTTCTCCGTGCTCATAAATATTAACGGAACTACAGCCGTTTAAAGTTTTGTTTACTTTTGTAAATTGACTTTTAACCTATTAACCTACTAACTGTTAGATGAAACTATAAATGACCGTAGGCTAGTTCCATTAATATTTGTGAGCACAGAGAAATTTTTGCACCAATATATTCAGCTAAAAATCTAGTATCTGGTGATACATAAATACTGTAGGCCTAATAGACTCCCATGGTCACGTAAATCACAATAAATACCTTTGGATGTTACTGTATCTTATGGTAGGCCTAAATAGTCTAGGACTCAGTTATTAACTTAGGCATGGCGCACACAGGAGATGTTGAGTCTAGCAACAGTTGCCCATGTTAGCAACAGTTAGAAAATGTTTAGCATTGTTTTAAATTGGAGTCGTGCACACCAAGGAAACAGTCGAGGGACAGTCGCGCAAATATTGCAACCGTTGTTCCCAAACCCAATTTGCCAGAGACAGCTCCGCGACTCAATTGTTGCGGGAATTATCACTCCAGGCTTTAAACATAAATATTGCACAACATCAAGCATTTCCAAATTTATTTTCCGGACAAGAAGGCATTGATGTATCTTATATATCTTATAATCTGATAAAAGTAACTAATATGATCTCATTATGAAAGACATCTTGGCTGCACTTTACTTGACTACACCTACGTATTATACGCTACGTATTATAGCTACGTATTATAGGGAGTGTAGGTGGTCCTACACTCATTCGATTGGTTTTTTCGATTCTATAGGCTATTTTCATTTGATTCTTTCATTCGATATATCGTTTGGTTAGTTAACGACGATCCTAACTAACCAAACGATATATCGAATGAAGCAATCGATTAATCGATATATCGATCGATATTTTCATTCGAATGAGTGTAGGACGCCAAGTAAAGTGCAGCTGAAGTAGTAACTCAATTCTCATTGAGCATTGGGTTCAATTGTAAACGCCAAGTTATTTTAGGCTAGGCCCTAGTTAACACTATTCAGACAGAAAAATAACTTGTGATGAACAAACAAATATTTTGATTAATCATTTTATTTACAAGAAAGAAACATCAGATGAGTTAGGGTTCAAGTCGCATACCATTCTTACTAGACCTACCTTCCTAAAAATGAAATATTTTAGGTTAGACCTAGGTCAATAATTGTACTGCCAACTAAAGTATAACACCAAAGTACTTACACTGATCAGTTGACCGCTACTATAAATAATTTAAGTTAAAATAAATTAAATAATCATTTGTACAGAAATGTGCAATTTTAAACAGCCCAAGCGAGCTAGTTAAAGATAACCAAGACAAGCACAAGAAAAACGTACTTTTACCACCAAATCAAAAACCCAAAGAAAAGAAAAATACAGCCGGTTGCCTTGCCGCAGCGCAGACTTGCAGTCACAGAGCGAAGCGAACGAAGGCGTGGGGTCGGGGTCTCATCGGTCTCATACTATATGGTGGAAGGAAAATCTGAACCTTATACCATAGATAAAACATGAGGAGTATGTTTTATCTATGCTTATACCGAAGGCAAGCCACCTTTAACTCCAGGCCTTCCGGCCTTCGAAGTGGCAACATCGCAAGTAAGGTTGTACTTGTAACAGCTGCTTTTGGAGGTGGCTAGTGGTAATTTGTGTATTTTTAAGAACACACAAGTTTGTTTACTGGGCTATGAAAATATTGACTCCAATTTAATATACAAAAATGGATTTTCAATTTAAAAATTGTTTTGGTTTTCAATTCTATATATTTTTTTCAATATTTTAATAAATTTATGTTCATAGACTTAAATTTAAATGAATAGTACGCGAATTTATGAGCTGATGTCACTTGTCTGCCATGCCTCTAGGATTCTCTGTTTATCTCCCCTCCAATTTTCTCTTTGGACCAGCCCTGGCAATGATATAATCCTTAAGAGATGTATTATAGTCAATGCTTATATATAGCATTTCAAAATTTATTGAACAATTTAAAGATTTTTTTTCTCATACATGTGACAGGTTGCCAAATGAAACTACAAACTTTGCAACAAATAATTAATTATAATAAAATAATGTAAATCTCGACTTGCTGTATTAACAAATGTATAAACACAAAATTCTAGCTTAAGAGAAAATACAATTCCGAATTAGAATCCTCGTTAATTTATAGGTTTACTCTGCTAAGATAAAGATTGTCTTGATTAATTGCATTTTAGAAAAGGGGGGAGAGCATAGCATCCCGAGGAGGCTATGGGGAAAGGCGACGCGGAATTTAGCCGACCGACCGAAATGAATATAAAATTTAGATTTAGACTAACTGACTAACTTCAGCATCAGCTGAGTGCTCTCCGTCCGTAGCCAAGTTGGCCGAGGAGGGGCATCAGCCAATCAACGTTGCGGATATGCTGCGTGACGTCAGTTCACTGCGAGTGCTGCTGCCTCGATCAAGTTTTGTATTGACTGTTAGGTTAGCGTTGAGTGACAAACAACTCCAACAGGCGGCAATGTAAAATGACGTTCCAATCTATACGCTAACATTGACGTGAAACCCCATGGAGTGCCTCAGGGATCAGTCCTTGGTCCTTTGCTATTTTCAGTGATGATTAATGATCTACATCTTAATGGTCGCACATTGCTTTTTGCAGACGACACCACTCTCATCACAAGAGGTCAAAGCTTGGTGGAGCTACGCATTGAGGCTGAATACTTACTGGAGGAAGCGAGGGCCTGGTCCATAACAAACAAGTTTAAGGTAAACGAGGATAAAACCCAATCCCTCGAATGCACTCTGAGTGCAGGGGTAGAATAGGGTGAACCGGTCAAACTACTGAGTTTCTGGGTCGACTCGAGGTGCACATGGAACCACCATATAAGCAAGGTATGTGTCAAACTTTCAAGAGTGCTGTATCTTCTAAGGAAACTTAGGGATTTAATAACTCAGCCATACCTTACAACGGTTTATCATGCTCTCTTCCATAGTCACGTGATGTATGGATTGATACTGTGGGGACATTCTCCTGCTACAGGGGGATGTTATCTTACTCCAAAATATAGCACTCAGAGTCATCACATCATCTGGGTATTATGAGCATTGCCGACACCTATCTTTAGAGAACTGAAGATCCTCACAGTGTACAGTCAGTATGTTTACAACATACTCACACTCCTGAAAGAAAATAGGGGCGACTTCATGAAAAGGGAAGACCATCATAACTACAACACTCGAAGAGCTCAGGATTTAGACCTTCCACGCTGTCGACTCGAACGGACCTTGAAGACCTACCCCCATAAGAAGAAGAACCCCCCATATGAAGACCCTAGGTCGGCCATAAAAATCTTCAACACTCTGCCGTTGCAGGTTCGAGAGATGGGCATGAAATAATTTAAAAACGTTTTACATAAGGCCCTCGTGAATAGGCCACCATATTCTCTGGGGGAGCTGAATGAGGTGCCACTTTTCCCTTCACAATAAAAACGTCCGCCATACCACCAGTTGTAAATATAAGTTTTATTAAAGTATTTAAAAAAAATAAATCAAAGTCTTTAAATTTTTAAAGACATGAAGCAATATATCTGACAGTCAGTCAAGGATTAAGAATACAATTATTCAAGTAAGTAAGATCACTTTTGGGGCTTTAGACAAACTGTAGTTGCGCAGTTACCGGGTTCATTCTCAACTGATAATAACATACCGATTGCCAACCATCGTTAGAAACGTAGGGCGTAGGGCCAACCATTTGCCAACGATTTTTGCTACTTGGGTTATTCCAACGGTAAACCCATTACATTGATTCATTACAAAAATAATAATAGTAATAAACATTGGCCTCGCGTTGAGTCATGGTCGCCGGAATATTCCATAGTGAGGCAACTGGGCTGACGCAGAATTTGGGAGGTTAAAACAGTTCAATACTACAGACCCTCCTTTTATATTTGAAATAAAGCACAGCTTTTGTGACGGTATTGCGAGAGTTTCTTGAGGGTGTAGCAAAAAAACCTCCCCAGCTGATGTGTAATGGGTCTGGGAATTTTTGGGGCCGTCACATACACGTTTCTCATAAAAGCATATAGATGTTAATGACGTACCTTTGGGTGTACCAAATAAAGAGTCAAACACAATAATTTTCTTATTCTTCTATGACTTCAAGATTCTTCTTGTATGTGTTGGTACTAAACAGCTACATTGCTAAGAAATTGCCTCAAGAAATTATCTGTCTGATTCTCTGATTCAGTCTTGGATTTTCTTTTTATTCTTCATTTTGTACTGTCCCACTGGGATAGCGCTGGGTTCACAACGATATGGTAGGCATTCGGATAAGAATCGACCTTGTTTTCTACCGGATGACAGACATCGACTTTTTAGTATCGGATCCGGCTATCTCATGGTGGGAGATCGAAGTACAAGTAAATTATTGCCAATGCGCTGGTGCCTTCTGCTGCTGCTTCTAACTCCTCTCCTATGCCTGTCGTCACAAACGTCATAATGTGCCCTTTACGGGAAGACCATAATTTAATTCACAATATTACAGTGAATGCAAATAAATAAATAAGTACATCATAATATCTGAACCTGGTAACTTATAACATTTGCCAATGAAAATGTTTAATCCTAACATTAAGTTACAGTAAGTAGCCTACGACTGATAACCAGCATGATGAATATAAGAACTTGAATAGAAGAATATCACGGAGGAATTTAAAAAAAAATATTCCAGTAAACTTACGCAATTTTGGCGTAGATTAGCCTAACTTGTCTAATTCAATAACAAATTGAGCTGTCTTGGGAATACACATTTCTCAAAAAGCCCGTTTCTAGGGCTCAGATTATTGCAAGGAAAGAAATATTTGAATTCCCAAACTGAGCAGAGGGCATATTTCATGAGTTGAGTACTGGGTTGTTGTATTTAGTCAAAAGGTAGGCCCTACTGGCTATTAAAACAAGCAAGCTTAAGCTTAATCCTCATATAAGTTATAAAACAGCTATCAGTATAGGCCTAGGCAATGTCCGGCCCAAATTTTGACAAACTGCTCAGGATTGAAAATGCGACCTCAAGATTTAAGTAGCGAGACAATTTAATTTACCACTTAGCCTACTGTAAATTGAAGATTCTATTAAATTAAATAAGTTACAAAGTTAATTATCAAGCTACCTTTTAACCCAAAAAATAATAATAATAAATAAAACACGGAACAAAGTTGAAATAAATTAAATAACTAAGTACTAAATTAAAAATAATAAAAGAAATATTATCCTATTCGAAGGCTAGTGCTAGTTCTTAGATTTTGTTGTCTCTCTGTCTGTCTTCTCTTTCTCTTCGTGTGTCGAGTCGAGTCGGCTCGGCTCTAGCGCTCTAGGAGGCAATCGATTTACGATGTTCGATAGTAGTTCATTTCATACTACGACGATCGATACTTATCCGAATGCCTACCATATCGTTGTGAACCCAGCGCTATCCGTCCCACTGCACTGTACTGGGAATGGGCACACGGGAGGGACTAAGGCTAAAGGTGTAGTGACGTCATATCTCTAGTGGCTAATGTCTACTCTTGAGGCAACACGATTACCGTAACGAAACGGCGTTCGTGGCATAGTTCGTAGCGTTTCGAGTTGATGTTCAGGAGGTCCCGGGTTCGAATCCCGCTGGTAGCCCCAACTTTTTGTCAACAAATTTTTCATATCAGCAAGTTTGGTTGGTTAGGTTAGGTTATGACAGTTTAATTTTATAATACTACATTTTAAAATTAATTTTATAATTAATTAAAAATTATAAGTAATCATTTATTATTAGATTTTTATCTTATACAGTTTTTATATTATCAGCAAGTCTGGTTGGTTAGGTTATGTTATGACAGTTTTATTTTAAAAATTAAAAATTTATTTTATAATTTTAAAACAATATTTTATAATTAAAAAGTTAATTTTATAACTAAAAATAAAAATAAATAAATTTTTTCAACTTAGCGGTTCTAGCGGCGAACGCTGACACTACAAGATATGTTAGCCTTAGTCCCTCCCGTGTGCCCCACCGCACTGTACTGTACTGTGTATTTTTTTATATTGTATCTGTTTTTTTCTGTATCTGAATAGTGAATAAGAATATCTGATACTTAGGTTATGATGCCTTGTAAGATCTGTGTATGTCATACAGATTTTTAATATAATCTGGTTTGGAATATTTTAGTTAATATCAAACTTTATTTGTATAGGTGTTTAAGATAATATAATTTGGGATGAAGTTTACGGAACATCTAGCTGCCCACATTACTCCAGAATGGAGAAAACAGTACATCAGTTACGAGGTTAGATTGCTTTGATTTTCTATGTTTTTCACACTGAAAATGAATTTAAATTAAGTGTGTATTAGAATTTTATTTTTAATCCATGCAATTAGCTTACTTCACTGTATTACAATGAGATAAATCAGGCCTATTATCCGTTTCAACAACAGGCACAATGTAGTAGCCTAGTTTGCAGGAATGATAAAATAGCACAAGGACAGTTAAAAAGGCCCACTCAATATTTTTTACTCAGTTAGCCTTTATTGCGAACGTATTCCCTACAATTTGCAAAGAATATGTCATTAATATTTTTATTTATTTTATGATAGTCAAAACTCTTAAATTTGTTGTCAAGAGAGAGAGATCTTTATTTACTCTGGTTATTCTTAGTTTCTTTTTGGCTTTTGTTAACTGGGCTTCTCCTAAAAAAGTACTGTTGACTCTGGTTCATCTTGATGGGATACAGACTCGGCGATAGTGTTGTTCTTGAAGTTATTCTTATTTAAAGCTGCATGTTTTGGAATTTGCAGTTGTTGTCGCTCAGGGTTCGCTAATATATCCGATTGACTAACTTCACCAGATGCCCTCTGGGTACGTAAGAAATTTTCAAGATTGTTGTTGAAAAATTCCTCGAAAGTTTCTCCTTCAGCCAGAATTTTAGCCGTGCATGGTGGTTTTTTGCTAACCTTTTCTTCCCTTTTACTAGTGGATTCTACATTATTTAAGGGCACAGTGAGCTCATGCATTTTCTTTGCATTTATTTCAGTCATTGTGCTTAGTTTCTTTTCGATTGAAGATATCCTGTAGTCTAGCCTGGTTTGTGAATTTGTAATTTTTGTCATGTCCTTTAAAATGCCGTCCAGTTGATTAGTATCTGTGCTAGGCTACTTCCTCTGTTATCATTGCAGACTCGAGTGGTTTCATCAAGCTGATTAACAATCTCCTCAAACTTGGCTGTTTTACGTTGAAGATTATGAAGTTCCTCTTCTCTGTCACATATCACCTTCATTTGCTCTTGATCATGTTCTTCAAAGAATTCCTAGAGCTTAGCCTTCTCTTCTTTTAATTTGATAATTTGTCCCTGGCCTTCTTCAAGAAAATGAGAAAGCTCGTCAATTCTAGTGCGAAGATTATCAACAACGTTTAAAAGATTTTCAATTTCCAGGTCTTTGATCGCTACATCGTTTTTACAATGAAGAAGTTCAGTCTTCAATTGAATAATTCTCATCTAGCAGTGCGTTACCAATTTCTCCCGCCAGTCTAAGGACATTATCATTCTCAATGGTATCTACAATGTCCACATTTGATTGGGTCAACTCGTGAGTTAGTTCTAAGGTTAATCTAAGGTTTTGTCGTGTGTGGCTCTAGAAGGTGTTTTACTTGTCGCTGCAGCGTCCTTATGATTATTAGATATATCTGGTTCATCGCAGAAAGGACAGAACCAGGTTGTATCCTCTTGCTTTCTTTGAAATCTTGATATAATGGTCTTCCATCATCCTAAGACACACCCTGTGATACCAGATATTACAGTTGCCGTCGCATAAAACTCCATCTGCACTTTCCAAGACAACATCGTCACAAAGTGGGAAGTTAACTGTTTAATTTTATTGTACTTTAGTGTATTGGTTAACTTTAGTCATCAAAACCATGTTTAATTGTGAAAAGTCAATTAAATAATTGGATTGGTTTTCATATAGTAACAAAACTAGTTACTCAAGACAATATCATAAAGGCTGTGGATTTCGCTTGGTCAGAATTTCCTCATTAGGTTGTCTGTAATATGTTGTTATTGACAGATGAGACAAGGGGAACTGAAACGATGGAACAGGGACTGGACTGTTTGTTGCTATGCTAGCTTGTTATATTGCAGGTTATGTTCGATCAACAAACAAATAGGGATGACAAATAATATCAGTTAGAGAATTAATCAAGTTTATAGGCAGCTGGGGGTTAACATTTATACATTTAGAAACTCACGGATCAATAACTTATGCAAAGTCCTCATCAAACTATATAAAAAAATCCACAGTATATAGTAAAAATTCCGATAGCCTATTTGTCAGAGGTAGCCGCGCGACGATGAAGCAGACTGATCAAGACTTGGCAAAGTGTGTTTCCAAATTAGCCTAACTTAGTTGGTGAGTGTGGTGTGTGGAGGATGGCCTCCTCCTAGTCCTGGCTTATCCACAAAACATCTAATGGGTTTGGACTGTTTGCCGTTAAAGTCTTTATGCTATTGTATAGTTGGCTTGCCTTCTTTCAAAATTATACCTAGGTAGGCGTAAACAATAAAAAGAAAATCCAAAAGATTTTCAATCTTTTGTTTAGCCTACTTTGTTGTCTGGTTATTGTTTGCTTTATTAAGTTAGTGAATTTTCCTTTTTGCATGCGGTATGAAATGATATTATTTTAACATTAGCAAAGACCTACTGTACTGTAATCATTAATGAACTTAACTAACTTAATCCCAGTGGGTGCCTATACATTTTAGGCATAGGACTACCGGTACTCTAAATTTTGCGGCCATGTATTGCTACATCTTTAAGTTTAACTTAGGGAGTTTAAACATTTGTTTTGTAGCTAATCATCTTAATCCCTTTCATTGCTATGCAACGATATATTGTTGTTTACTAAAATCTCTAAAGGATATAGAGAGGGAGGTTATTTTAACAAAAAGTAGCAAAGCGGCCATTGGTGACCTGCATATTCACAGGATACACTATCAACCACTTAGCTAAAAGATTCGCCCACTCCAATGATTCGAGGTGTATGTCTAAACCAAGGATTATGAACACCTCACTATGTCCACAGAAAACGTACTACTATAACCCAGAATGCCAACCGCATGGTAAAAAGCATTAAGCGTTTTGAGAGAGCTTTGCCTGTCAATCCATTATAATCCATTGCCTGTAGGCAGCGCCACCAGATTGACAAGGCAATTGCCTACGGATTGACAGGCAAAGCACTCTCAAAACGCTTAATGCTTTTTACCATGCGGTTGGCATTCTGGGTTATAGTAGTTAGTACGTTTTCTGTGCTATGTCCCAGTGGTTGTAGTATAGGCTATCGAAACAAACACACAGGTCACAAATTATTTGCCCCACAGGACGGGAATCGAACCCGAGCAAACGAATGCCACTGGCCAAGTGACACACACCCTAGCCTTCTCGGCTATCTGTGCTTGAAGACTGAGGAGTCAAAAACCGGTATTTAAGCTGATAACAATTGCAAATAGATAGTGCTACAGCAGGTTTTTCAATTTGTTAAAGTCAAAGTCCTTTATTCAGCCAGATTAACAATACATTGCATTGGCCAAGTCAAGAGATTACATTTATTATGAAATTAATTACTTACTAAATAGGCCTACATTAAATTGATTTTTGGTTGTGACACACAACCCCTTGTGATGTTCAAAGACTACCAGCAAATTCCCGGACACTGTAGCAGACCTTGTTTATCAACATGGACTTAACACATTTCCTGAATTTTCCGATGTCCTGTTCATCTTTCAAAGGGAGAGGGAGGTCATTAAAAAGTCTTAGCCTACTGCATTGAAGTGGAAATTTTTCTGAAAGAAAGTGGTTGAGTGGTAGCAGTACCGGTACTATTAGGTCACGGACTATTTGGATATTTTTCAGTTGAATCACAACAGTGATCATAAATTAAGTGTTAGGCTACTGAGGCTTTGCTGCAAAAAAACTATTTTCCCTTAAATGGCTACCTATATTATGATAATCTTATCCAACTAAATCAAGGTTAAATTCAATATTACATTGTAGCCTAAACTAGATGTCTTTTGATTTTATGAGATTTTGTTTTCAACAGGGCTATCAGAACAATTTATACAAAACTTCATTTAAAAAAATCATTACAACTTATAAGAAAACTTGGAAATTTACAGCAAAAACTAAGTTTTATTTCATGTTTACTACAAATACCGGGACTTTTCTTTGTTATATATTGTCTTTTTATTCAAAATTAGACTAATTAATAAAATAGTCACAACAATACAGTTAAAATTCAACAACAGGTAATGGAATTGAAAGGCAAACAAGAAAGTCGTACAAAATACGAATAATTATTGGCTTAGCACTGAAAGGGTTAATACATTCAATTATTTATCGCATACAGGTTTGTTGATAATGAATAGAGCACCTAAAAAATTACCTATTCAGCCTATTTTTGTATTACTAGAGTACATGTTGCTCAAATTCAAGCAATTGCAAAGTATTACAGGAGTTAAAAAGTTTAAAAAGGAATTACAGTCCTAATTTCCAGTGATTTAAAAAGAGTCAACTCAATGAGTAGGTTTATGCCTAATAGAAATACTCACGATGTCCATAATAGTTTGATATAAGTTAATCAATATTTCTTGTAAAAGTTTGATCATTTTTCAAAAAATGATCTTGTTTTTTAGTGTTTTCTACAAATATTTAATGACTTAAGTTACTCAACTGCATAAGGCTGTCCACGTTTGTCATTGATAATGTCTGGTACCGCCATTGTCGCCAGTAACTTAACTTGTGTGTACAAATTTCAGTTTTTAGCGAACTTCCCATTAGACATAAGCTAAGCTGTTTCCGTAGGTCTCATGATAAGACCTGGACCCATGACCGATTTACAATTTCGTTTTGATGTCCCCAGAGGCTAAAAACACCATCCGTTCAAATTCATATATATAAGTTCTATGTGTCCGTTAGCACGATAACACGAGCAAAAATGATCCGATTTTGATGAAATTTGGTTCAAACGTGTAAACCTACTTTTATTTGAACGAGTTTGTGAAACAGCATGATCAGGCAATGGAAACGAGGTTTTACTGGGAATTTATGGGGCAAAAATTGGTTTTTCTAATTTTTGACAGTCTTCAAAACATAAAATTTCCCAATTTCTCTGTAAACCATTTTGAAGAGCTTAAAAAACAAATAATTTAGTACCTATATTGAATTGTTTTTGTACGGTTATTTGTTATGAAGGAAATTCTACAAATTTTAAATTGAAAATTCCTAGGCCTATGTTAAGTTATTCCTAAGGAGAATATAAGTAAATTGTTGAAGTTTGCTTGTTTATGGATGTGTTTTGATCAAACTTGGCAAATTTATTCATTTTATACCGTAGGCTACTAAGATATTAATATTTTACAAAAAAACACAGTTTATTACACTCCCTGTAGCAGAAAACCTAGGTTACTCATTAAATTCAACGTTATTGAAATAGATTTAATTGCAAATTGAATCAGACAAATGGAAATTCCCTTAGTTTGCGGGTTTGAATTGCTGATTTGTTCACTTTACCTACTGTACTTAAGAACTTCTGTACCTTATTTCCTGTATAACCTGTCTGTCACAATTATTATTATTTGCTTTAAGCTAATTGGCATTCTTTTGGTTGGTTGCTGTAATAATGTCAATTATATTAGAAAATGCAGGGTTAAAAGGCTTGATGTTGTTCAGATGGTTTTTGTTTTCCTTAACTGTGAATACCTAATAATTTTGAATCCTTCAGTGAAAGTTTTAGTAAAGGTTTTTTGGATGTATTAATACTCTTCTAAACCACTTGACTTTTATGGAAATAAAAATTTAATAAATTTCCTTGTCGTACCAGTGTTGTTTAGCCTTTTAATGGGATTTAAGTTACTCTGTAATTATCACAAAGATAAGTCCATGTTTCCTACTAAAAATGGTAGGACTATGGGTAACATCCTCGTTCCTCGTTTGTAGGTGTTGTCACTATTCATTATATAGGATAATAACGATAAATAAATTCTTAAAAAACATGATCTCTATTTCTTATACCTACTTGGTGGCGTTCAATGACTTTCCAATGTTTCCATAGCTTACAAATCAGTTCTTTCAATGATTGCTCAAGAAATATAGTAGCCTACTATGTCAATTCATTTTTCTTATTTGGTGAAATACATCAAATTGTCCAGGCTTTCTCGCTTTTTTTTCATTGTAATATGTACGCAAACCCAAATTCAAATAGTAAATATTTAATTTTAACCAAATCAGAAAAATATGCGTTTCCTTGAATTGCGTATTAAATATTAACAGCAATTAAAGTATCCAGCTGATCATAATGTAAACAAAAATGTTCCTCAGAAGCATAACATGGGAATTTTAAAAGCCACTGGGCAGAGCCCAAGGTACTTTTTCAAAAAATTAAGTTTAGATTGTAAATCTACGCGACAAGCTCTTTCCAATGAGAGACAAATGGTCAAAATCGATTATGAAATGGTGAAGGTGTTCAACAGGCAAAGTTTGTGTCAGCGTATTAATTATATAGATTTTCAAGAGTTTGTTATGATATTTTTGTCTTAAAGACATCAAGACGATGGACTTGTTCATAGTTTTCTCTTAGTCCCTAGAGGCCAACAACAACATTTGTAGAAGATAAAGCCCCTTCACGTGTATATTTACCAATTCAATAGCTACTAGTAGGTTGACGATACTTTATTAGGTAGAAAGAAAATGGTTATTGTTTTAATAAAAGGTCACTAACTTCTATTTTTATTGTTACAGGAAATGAAATGTATGCTCTATGCCGCAGTGGAACAATCACCATCCGCAGAACTTGTTGAACCAGATGTTTTAACCAGATATTTTGCCAAGTTTGACGAGCAGTTCTTCCATTACTGTGACAAAGAATTAGCAAAAATAAATACTTTTTATTCAGGTAATTCCCTGTACAAAACTATTTTACAGTACAGTTATGAGTTTTATGTATTCTATTTTTAAACAGATGTTATTTAAATTTCACGAATGGTAAAAACTCATGATTTCCAATCTCTAGTAATAATTTTCATCTGATTATGTAGCCCTGCTACCATTACCTCCCTAACTAGAGTTATTTTACTTTACCAGCTACACATTTTACACATTACTAGGTAGTACATTTTTACTAATTTTTCCTCATACTGTACACAACGTACTTTAATCCATCTGTATGTTTTGCAGGGAAAGATTTTTTTTTTCTTGCGAGTATGCTGGTAAGAAATTTTAAACTGTCAAACCTTTTTTATCATTACTGAAGCTTATTTAAGTGATGGTCGATTTCTAGAAAAACTTGCTGAAGCCACAAGGAAATTTTGCAGCTTGAGAAGTGAACTGAGTGAAGCTCAAGAAGATGAGTTTAGATCCAAGGAAGGATTTTTTAGTAACCGTCCAAAAATCTTGCGGAAGAGAGATGTGCCTGCTCGGAAAATTCAAGAGTTAAAACTGGCCTTCAGCGAGTTTTATCTCAGCCTTATTCTGTTACAAAATTACCAAAACCTAAACTTTACTGGATTTAGAAAAATTCTTAAAAAACACGATAAGGTAACTTAGTTTACTATGAAATATTTCTTAGTTAATTCTAACTAGTACAACACTTTAATTTGTTTGGATTGTGACGCAAAATTCTAGGGGGGGAATAAACTAGTATTCACCAAGTCAGGCTAGGCCTACCCCTAGAACCGGCCACACTCAAATTTCTTCCCCGGAGTGCTCAGAAGGAGCCGAGAAAAATCCAGGGGTCGATACGAAGTTGTCACGGCTTTGACTGATCAATTCATTTAAATTTAATCGAAGGCTCAGAGCTCTAGAAGCGCTCAGGAAATCCTGCAGACGCCCAGTTGGAGCTATATCATCCCAGCCTTCGTAAAAGTGTTTTGGAGAATTTTTCCTAACTTTTAGAATGACTCTGTAGGGCCGACGAGTATCCAATCATAAGCCAATTTGATTTAAATACTCGTAATAAACTGTGAACTGTCCGGCTAAAGTCGTTGGTAAATAATATAAAATCGAATATAAGATAAAAATAATTCTTACAGGGTCGTCGGGCCTAATTAATATAATCGAATGGAGAATTTATCGTGGGGTGATTTAAAATAAATTCAATATCAATATTCGTAGCTGTTTGATTGTTCAAATCAGCTGCTCCCAAGACTTGATTCTTTCACCCGCCAAAGACGGGGTTTAGAACTTAGACGACAAGTCTCGGGGTATTAAAACGGTGAAAACGAGATATAATTTAGACGTGATAATTATTTGCTAAGCGAACGGAGAAATCGTAATTTCGAAACTAATTAATTAAAATTAAATAAAACGATAGCCACCGCTAGTCACTGACAGGCAGGAGCTGGCGGGTCAAAAGTTAAGATATTAAATTTAGATAATTCGAAACGGAATATTAAGAAAACGAAAAGGTATAATATGTTAAGTATGCGTAAGATAAAACAGAAATAACGTAAAACGTAAAAAGGGGCCTAACTAGTATGGTAGCTAACCTTCGTAATAATATCGTAGTGTCGTTGTATTCGTAAGACGTGCGAGCTAGTCGGTGGTCAAACAGCGAATAATTCTTGTCCGGCTCAAATCCCGATTTCCTCGGCCGCGGCTCAAGCGCTGCGGTGGCGATTTCGGAAACTAGCCAACAGCTGATCGGGGATTCGCCTGTTGAGCCGGTCTAGTTGTCGTCTGTCGTTGGTCAACAAATAAACACCAGTTTGGGGTTATGTCGTCGTCGGCGTTAAATATCTGTAAAATCGGCTGGTTTAACTTTATTATGTGAAGTGAAGTGCTATTATGAATAAATATGTAGTTGTGGATGTGTTTGTGTACTTCACTGTGAATAAAAATAGGCCTACGTTCTTTGGCCCATAGCCCAAGCTATGGCCAACACATAGGCCTAGGAGTAGGCTATTGTGGTTAAAAATCGGGTAAGTTCTGATGTTCATTTATTCGTAGTACGTTTTTACCCCCCTTAAAATTTGGTACCTTACAGGATAAATTTGCAATTTTCATAGATTACTTTTTAAGGGGTATGGAATTACAATGAATTTTTGATATTTTTAAAGATATTATTCTTGATTTTGACTACATATTTTGATCGCTAGGCAGATGAAACTGAGCTTAAAAGTGAGTTGAATTGCCTTAAAAATAACTTTATAAATTCAATCTCAAATAGGCCTACCTATAAATTATCTATTAATTAGTAAATCCTTTAATCAATATCATTTTACTTTTATCTATTGTTTAGTTGGAAACGTCCAGCATAAGGCAAGTTTTATTTCTAGCTGCTAAGTGTCGATATCGGAGCAAGATGGCGTACAGATCACGTGGAGACCTCTCACTTCTACACCAACAAAGACATCGACCGACTGATACAGGAGACGGAGGCGACAGTGACACAGGAGTTGGAGGGGGGCGATCGGCAGCGTGCGATGAAGCGGCTCAGAGTACCACCCTTGGGCGAACAACAAAGCCCCTGGACTACGTTCAAGGTCGGACTCTTCAGCGGATCATTTGTTGTTCTCATGATTGCCGTAGCGCTCTCAGGTGAGTTCCAACAATCAAACTTTGTGTCGTTGCTATTTATTATAATTGTAGACTTTTCAAGTATGGATATCTATTTGCTTGAACGAGAGTTTCGCTTAAATTGTAGAAGGCGAGAAATATGGATTGAACTGTTTATGTAAATTAAATCTTATCATCAGTTGGATTATAAATAAAAAAATATATATATACGAGGTGTTAGCCCGTCCTACGTACGGGAATTCAGTAGTCAGTTAAAACCGTGTACAATTCAGATCAGCTAGTTTACACATTTAAAGACAAAGTTTCTTGCAGTTTTAATGTGAAAAATCATCTTGTAAACAAATGATGTGTGACCAAATATGTTTTGATTCCATCAAAAGCCTATACGATATGCATTTTAAATCCGATAAGTTTACAATAATAACTTATTCCCTATAGAGGAAATTCGCTAAAACAGCAATTCTGCAATTTTAACGATGTGAAAAGCGTTGAAGTGACATTTGCAGCCGATTCACACAGACGCACACTGATTATAAGTAGGCTACAGTAGAGAGAGTAATAGTCAATTGAGAAGTGTATAGACCTAGTCCACGATACCACCTTCCATAATATACCTCCCTCTTTCATAATTATTATCACCACAATTACAACTACTATACACAATTTCCAGTACCGGTAGTATTAATAGAAACGACCTAAAATAAAACGATAGTATCCAATAAAATTCACAGTACACATAATTTAACTTTGGTGTCCTAACATGAAAACTAATCGTCACACCTATCCTTTATATCAATTTCACTGCATTAATTGCTAAATAAATAAGCGTAAACAAAGAAAAGTAAAAACAATAACAGTTTGTTTTGAAACAGCTGTTTGGTTCAAATAAAATTCATTTGAAAAAAAAAGAACTGGTCACATGTAGCAGGAATATAAAAAGTAAACACGCTACGCTAGTAAAGCTAATGACGTAATTGTCAATGTTTATTATCCATACCGTTATCAGATCTCTCCTTGATAATCACCCACCCTCATTGAATAAATTGACATCGTAATTTCCCATATTACGATAGTTAGTTTAATAAAAGTGATATTTTTACTAAACGGGCCCCCAAACGTAACCACAACTGAACACGATTTCATAAAAGGATGGTTTGTCTAATTGCAGTATCCTAGGTCAATGTTGATGTTGTGTTCAATCTATGTCATCCATCTGTTTATCTTTGTATAAAACCCGGCTGAGGTTGTGGTGGTAATTTAAAATCGTGATTCCTGATTATTCTTGATCTTCTTTTTATGACATCAGTATTTCCGGGCCTAATCCAAACAAAGTTAGAGCAGACAAACATTAATTGTAAAGAAAAAGCTACCATGAAGAATTAAAACATGTAAACTTCTAATCTTTCCTTGAAAAGTGGAGCAGTACAATAATTTGCATTTATCCTTTTTTATTAAGACTCGTGTACAGAGCCTCGATTTGTACTGTGGTTTAAACTGTGGTCTAATTATCTCTTCTAATCTTACTTATTTCCTATAATTAATGACAAAAATAAAATAACCTCATAGTTCCATAGTTTATATTTAACCAGCTGTTAGTTAAAACAAATTATATTGCTCTAAAACAAATCGAAGATTACAAAGATTGCTTTAAAAAATAATTTGAACATCCTAGTATTCTACTATGTATATTTAATTAATCGGTCATCCTCTTACAGAAGAATTGAACGTATCAATGATAAGCATTACACATAGTATAAATAAGTCAACCCCAAGTATGTCTTTACATTTTTAACCAAATGCTGAATTTGTGACACAAACGCTGAATGTTTACAGCTGTTATGTTAAGCAAATTATTTTATGCCAAAAGCTAGTTTAGAATCTTAGCGTCGGCTGCTAGACTTTTTAAAAATTAAAACTTAATTTCTAAAAAACTGGGACCCTAAATTAAAAAATTATGGCTTCGTCATTCCCTAGTTCTCAAAATTATCTTTCTTTCAACACAAAAATCATGACAATCCGTCGAGTGGTTGATTCAGAATCGTGAAATAAAAAAACACTGTTTCGTTTTAATATTATAGATAGTTTGTAGGCTGTTTTCAATTTGTTTTCCATAAAAATTCACACATTTGTCCACCGATTCTACCAAAGTTCATGTAGTCTATGATAGGTAAGTTACAAACAATTTCACTATGCAGCTATTCTACTTCAGTGATAATGCAACAGAAACCCTTAAGAGAATTATAACTACTTCTGCTAAACACATTTTGTTTGTGTTAAATCTAATACTGAATACAATGTAGTCAAACATTGTATCAGTGTCAAAAACAAACATTCACTGAATCATAAAAACTGAACCTGGCAAGATAACAATGGAATGGATGGCTAATCAGCTGATTATAAAATACAGTTAAAAAAAACGACAGTATTTCAACCCCCTCCCCTCTCATGAAGTTTCTGATTGGAGTGTCTGGTTCACATCAGTCCATTGTCCATTTTTATTATTTTACATGACGTTGTTCCCTCTAACGATTATCTCTCCTAATCACCACTATTCCTTGGATGCATAGTTTTGATTATCGACAGACAATTTTATATTTTGTAATGTGAGCTCAAATTTCCAGCATTTTTCCACTCCAGCCGAGACGACTGGAGGGTGATGGTCCGTCTCTACCGAGGACCGTTGTTGCTGGTGTTGTTCCTGTTTCTGATGGGCATCAACGTTTACGGTTGGCGATCATCGGGTGTCAACCATGTGCTTATCTTTGAGCTGGATCCTCGCAATCATCTCTCCGAGCAGCACATCATGGAGGTAGTCATCTTCAGTACTATCCAAATCTGATCAACAGCAAAAGTACTTGTAATTTTAAATGAACGCTAACTTTTCTGTTTGAATTGACTAAAAGGAATGAAGAGGAAAAAGAATTTAAAGGAAACGACCGGTGTTAAAATAAATTGAAATGAGAACATGTTTACGGGAAAACATTTAATTGAAGATTTAAAATGTATTTTTGTTCTTTGACATCTAAAATTACTGCTAAAGACATTTAAAAATATAAGCTATGCGTTGTAGTTTTTAAACAAGGTTATATAATTTGTTGTTTATATGATGGATTAGGGTGCGTAGGGTGTCATAGGGTAATAAGATGCCTGTCGTGGACTTTCTAGAAACAATACATACTGACTGTAGTACAGTGGGGCAAAAATGATTGGGAACAACAGTCCTACTCTGTTTTTTTTTCCAAAAAACTTAAATACATTGACATGCGATCCATATTTTTTTGTGAGAATGGCGAACGTTCCAGCGATCTAGAATTTTACAGCTACAACACTGACAGATGTTGGCACCACTTTAAATCCATCAAACCAGTTTGAGGAAGAAATGCACGTGGAAATTAGCAATGATTAAATTTTTACTTGTATTGTTGCCTTTTGTTGGCCATATGGGGTTTGTGCAAACTTTTCTCTTCGCTACTTTAATCAGCTGGACTGAACATTAAGTCTATTGTCTACATATGTTGTCTAGATGGCCGCCATCTTCGGCGTTGTCTGGTCCCTCAGTGTTCTCAGTTTCCTGTACAGCTCGTCTCTTAGCATCCCTCCCTATGTCAACCCCCTGGCTCTCATCACCATCATGGTGCTGTTCCTCTTCAACCCCACCAAGACATTCCGCCACGAGGCTCGCTACTGGGTGCTGCGGGTTCTGGTGAGTTAACCTGATAAATAATCAAGAATTCTAAATTTTTCGCAGCCAAATTTGTTAATATTATATCCTAGTTGCCAAAGTCAAATAGCAAATTCTCAAAATCAGAATGTTCCAAGCTAGCATTAAAATTTGACGTTAGATTTAAGTTTTTGAGTATTATTGCATGGACTGTAAAAGAGTCAACTCGATTTTTATAAGCACTTAAAAAACAAAGAGTAATAATTACATGAGTCAGTAGTACAGCGGACTCCGGGCCCAAGACAGTGATGTCGTGGGTTAAAATCCTGGTACCTGTCACTACTTTTAATCAGCACACTTTACCCTAGTTCTCTACCGGCTCACCCCCTGCTTTGCTATGTTCCACACACAGGTCTGTAGCTTACGTGGATTGGCAAATGCAAAGTTAATAGAGGCCGCCAACCTCTTAAAAAATGTGTTAATCAAACCAAATCACAACCAATTTGTGATTTGTTTTGTGTCAGCCAAATCTAATATTTACTGAAACTCTAAAATAAAATTAATTCAGGGGATTTGAGGATAGAACTTACAATTTTATTTAGTTACACTCCCAATTTGTAGGTGTTAACACTTTTAATCAATTGAAACAATTTCCTTATTTATGAACAGCAATAGACAGATTTATCCTTTTACGTAGACGATACAAATATCCACTTTTGTCAATAACTTTCTCATCCATTCTGTAGATTTTTTCCACAATAAAAAATGTCTGTAGATTGTTTCAAATGAACTCTTCTATACACTGTGTCCTTGATTTAACTTTAAACTGTGAAACTATTTCCATACTTAAAAACAGTGATTTTGTGACTTTAATGTACCTGTTATTTTCTCTTAGACGAGGATTGTTGCTTCCCCATTCTTCTACGTTGGTTTTGCAGACTTCTGGCTGGCAGATCAGCTGACCAGTTTGGTCCCGGTGCTTCTCGACTTTCAATTCTTCATCTGTTTTTACATCACCAACGATTCATGGATGAAAGCAGATAGTATGTTAACACTTTTTTATAATTTTTAAGTGTCTACAATGCGTTATTTAGATTATTTTTTATTTATTTGCTTACGTTGGTTGGTTGGAGATGTAAAGATTAGCTTTATCATTTTTATATTTGTGAAAATATCCACTATGACTTTGACATTTTTGGAGATTTGAAAAACGTAGGTTTTATTATGAATTATTTAGAGAAAGTCAGTACTCAAATATAGATAACTTATGTTTACGATTGAAAATGTATCCATTCATTATTTGTTTGCAACGTTTTTAATAAAAAATATTTATGGAGGGTTTAAATTTGAATTTCAGTGACATACATTTCGATAACATTCAAATAGGCTGTAGGCCTACTAAAATATTGTTTCAAGGTAATTTTTAAAATATAATTCCTCATACAATAGATAATACAATTTTTTAAAACTAAAACAACCTTTTTTTGTTAAAAATATCATAAAAAATAATAGGTATACGGTAACTATTATTTATTCAGTCCTACTTGAAGGAATCTTTGTAATTTTCCACGATAGTTCGTGAAAACCATAGTAAAATCTCTATATCAAATTCTAAGATTTCCATGATAACCGTACCTAGTTTTTCTTCTAACTTTAAATTTGTATTCTGAATACAGGCAAATGATTTAAATATAAGGATTGAATGTCCATTTAAACATTGTGGTAACTAAGTCCAGTAGGTTGAAGGCCCAGATGCACAAAGCAAAAAATGTAAGTGTTACTTTTAAAATAACATCCTAAAGATTTTCATGTAAAATTTAAACTTTGAGTAGAAGCTTTTGCTTGGTTAAATTACACAGGACTTCATAGTTTGTAAATATTATTATAATTTGTAGTTGTTGGATTTGTTGGCTTTATTTAGGCCTATGCTGTAGCGATATAGCCTACAAAATACTAACATTTTTGATTAAACATTGCTCCAAGGCTTAGTTCTGAGACTAGAAAACTACTTGAAAGCTTGAGAAATTAAGTTCAACACCAGTCATATCATATTTCATTATTAGTCAACTAAATAGCCTACTAACAACAATCAAGTGTCGGATTATCGAGTTTCATCTGTTTTTTGTCTCGTTTATTAGTTTGTCTATTTTTTTTATGATTTTTATTTGTTTGTGTGATTGCCGCATGCTAATACCAGCTGGCTCCTGTGAGCAGGATCTGCGTTATTTACAGATGACGCCAACAAGTGTGTAGACCGAGTGACGACGCTGCGGCCCGTCGTCGCGTGTCTGCCATGCTGGTTCCGCTTCGCGCAATGTCTCCGACGTTATCGTGACACCAAAGAGGCCTTTCCACATCTCGCCAACGCTGCCAAATACTCCACGACGTTCTTCGTCCTCTTATTTTCATCTCTTCATTTTACTTATAAAAGTGAGTGGGTTTTGTTTCTGTGGTTTACCATCCTTATTAATATTTGTTCCAACAACATGGCAACTGGTTGATGATAAATTGTGGTACTTAATGTTGTCTTTTTCACCTGTTGCAAATTGTCTTTTTGGTTTTTGTACAGTATGTTGCCTGAAGGAAGCTTTGGCGTAGCAAGTAGCCGCCAGTCAGTTCTTTGTGTTTTGGCTGGTGACCAATAGCATTGAAACAATTGATCACAGTAGCTCAGTCATCTACATTGCTGGTTCAAGACCGGGCTATCTGTACAGTACTAGGTCTTCTGTATCTTCACTTTGATACTATTTGCCTGTTCGTCTGACTTATCTCGTAATGGTACTTTGCTGTCTTTAGATCACTGCACTAGGTTAGTGGAGTCAGCCAGTTGAAGTTTTAAAAGTAAAAAGTAATGACACATTTAGACTTTAGGTTAGTTCAAGGAAAGGCTCTATGCCTGCATTTTGAATTGTAGAATAAGAGGTATAGAAGCTAGTAGGGGTGTGCGATGCATCGAAAATGCATCGAAATTTCGATTCGATTCGATTCGATGCATCGAATCGCGATTCGATTCAGTGGTGGTCAAAAAACGATTCGATTCACGAGGGAGTCAGTATCCATATACGAAAAACGCCTGCAGAAAGTCAATGCAATACCCGCAATACAGGAGCGCGTTGCTGTTGCGTTTCCTTTACGAAGGCGTTCTTATTTAATACATTCTTTGCATTAAATATAGCTTTAATTGTTTTATATTTTTTTGTTTTGACATTGCAAATGATTAGAGGTTTTGTTTTTTGTCTTGATGTAAGCAGTGTGTGAAATATTTTACTACTGTGACAAAACAACAAAACAAGGTAGGTTACTCCAAAATCATTTTTAAAATAAGTCTGAAAAATTGTTACTTAATACTTAACTAGTAAGATCAATGTTATAGACTGATACATTTGGTATTTTTGTTAGGTGTCTGTCGGTCCCCGTCCCCGAATTTTTGTTGGGGCAAAAGAAAAAAAAGAATAATTTATTTCCAAAGAAACACTCTTATATTATTATATCTATTACAGAGGAATTAAAATGTTCAAATGAGAATTAAAAATTAAGTTGGCTCACGACCTTTAAGAATAAAGACACAACAGAGCAATTGCCGCACTGCCACTAGCCAGAGCCAGGTCTAGTCGTCTACTGATAAGAGTAACAAGACAAAAGCCGTGACGCAACACTAACAGTGCAAAGAAAACAAAGTCAAAAGAATAGAAAGACTATTTATCCAGACATACTAGTATAATCATTTATTGTTCATTCAATACCTAATTAAAAATATATTTTAGTATTTTACATAATAAATTATAAACAAAAGAAATATCTGATATAGTGAACAGATCTGTATCTTGGTTAAATAGGGTTAAAAAAATATATTTCTAAGATCCAATACAATATTTACAACTCACAAATTACATTGAATTAATTTCTTTGAAAATAATCTCTAACAGTTTTGTGTTTTTGAATAAAGAAATATATTTCTTTGTCTCTACTTCCTTGTTTCATCACTTGCATTTTGTCAGCAATTGAAGCAACTGGGTAGCAACCGGGTGGTGTAAGAGGGGAGGGGGAGGGTCTATGACCTTGAATTCACACATCGTTGCCCGGGCCTGGCTGGTGAGACTGATTCATTGTTTTTGTTGACACACTACTACCCTTCCTTAAGAGAAAAGGCCATGCTGTTCCAAAAACATTGAGGGTAGTTTAAAAACATTGACCTGTGTTGCCAAGGGCACTAGAAGATAGCATTTAACTTTCTTGTCTCTTGATTTAATATTATTTTAATCTTCTATATATTATTTAAGAGTTACTTTTCGGGTACCTAATTAGTTGTGATATTGTTTAGCTTTATTTTATGGATTTTTAATTCTTTTCATTCATTAGCTATCAAAATCAGTTGTTTTAGGATTTTAATCTCTTGCAGTACCGGTAGGTCTATACTACTGTATGACATGATATGCATTTTTTAGTCCTTATTAATTATACCATAAACAATGTTTGTATGTTATTTACTGTTTTTGAGTTTTATAGGAAATTAGTTTACACAATATCTTTTCTTCAATGAGTTCTCCACTTGACATGTTGCTTCTAGCCTATTACTATTTTAGGCCCTATAAAAATAATGCCTACGTAAAGCTGTAGGCCTACTGATGCCAATAATAATTCTTTATTTATGATGATGTAACAAATAATGTAAGTGTGAGGTTATTATACTAAGGAGGTTAGGAGGCAGGGAATGAATGATACATGTTGCATGGTGGAAACATATTATTTTTATTTTCTTCTTGCTTGCAGTCCTGAAGCCGGTCCACAGGCCCTAAACTTGTGATATGTAAATTTATTTCTTAATGGTCTTTTTAGCGAATTTCCCATATAGGGAATAAGCTATTACCGTAGTACTCATGGTAAGACCTGGACGCGGGACCGATTTTTTTTTTCATTTTGAGGTCCCTAGAGGCCAAAAACACCATCCGTTCAAATTCATATATATATATATATATATTTATATATTTATATATATATATATATATATATATATATATATATATGTGTCCGTCAGCACGATAACTCGAGCAAAAATGATCTGATTTTGATGAAATTTGGTACAAACGTGTAAACCTACGTCTATTCGAACGAGTTCGCGATCCAGCATGATCGGACCATGGGAACGGGTGTTTACGGGGGGTTTTATGGGGTAAAAATAGGTTTTTCCCAATTTTGACCCAAAAAACATAAAATTTAGCAATTAATTTCCAAACCATTTTGTAGAGCTTCAAAAAACAAATAATTTAGTATATTGAAGCGTTATTATGCGCCTAATGGTTACGGAGAAAATACAAAAAAATTTTAAATTTAAAATTCCCATGTTATTATTCTTATGGAGAATGAGTAAACTGTTGTAGTTTGCTTGTTTATGAACATATTTTGATCAAATTTGGAAAATGTTTTTATTTCTTACTAACTATTAACATTTTACAAAAAAAAAACAGTTTTACCCTCCCTGATGCAGCAAACCTAAGTACTTGTTAAACTAATTCTATTTAAATCGGGAATAAATGTTATATTTTTAAGTAGACATTTCAGTGTAAATCCAATCAGTCAAATGGAAATTCGCTTAGTCTGCAGGTTTGCTGCGGAGGGGGTATTATATTAAGTTCCATTCAAATTTGTTGTAATTTAGCTACCGGTACCTATTTAGTTATTTAAACAGTTATTAAAATGAGAATGAATGTCTTGATAAAAAAAATATTTTCTTCTTTCTTGCAGTTGAGCCAATTCCAAGTAAAAATTATGAAATAGGCAAGTAATACTCACTGGTATTTCCAGCAGTTATTCTAATATATGATTGAAAATAAATATTTTTTCACCTAAAATTCATATGTAAGTATGAATAGGCCTAATACCACATCAACAAAAATTTGTATTACACAAATGTGATAAATTTTAATTATTGTTAATCCACTCAATTGACAATTATGAATAGAAAAATACCGTATTGCTTCGAATCGAGTTGCATCGAATCGAATCGAAAATCTTTTGAATCGAATCGTTGCTTCGAATCGAAAATTTTTTGCTGCTTCGCACACCCCTAGAAGCTAGCTTACCTTAGTAGAAGTGCAGGCAGGCCTTAGATCACACAAAAGACCTCAAAGAAAAGAAACACAATATTTCATCTGCTGGGGGACTTTGTCGGTGTAGAGAAAGAGGAAAATCCCCTTTCTATAGAAAGAAAACTGGATCCTTTTTCTCTGCACTTGACAAAGTCGCCCAGAGGACGAAATAAATATTATTATATTATATCTTTCATTTCTACAATTAAAAACAATTTTGATTTGATCAGCTGTTAATTGAGCTTGCTGATGATCAGGATGAGTGGTAATTAAAATTTTCCATCCTTTAGATATATTTTTACCTTCTTGTTAACGTTGACCAGTGTGGGTATACATGGAAGGATTGGAAAACATATTTTATTCTATTAATATTATAGTGCCAACAAAATGCTTATCAAGAAGCTATCACTTACCAGACTTGTGACGGTTTGTCTGTTGATCAGGTCAATACAAGAACCACAGTGACAACCCTTACTTCTACCTGTGGATCGGGGCGTCTGTGGTGAGCTCCATATACTCCTACACCTGGGACATCAAGATGGACTGGGGACTGTTTGACAGCAAAGCAGGAGACAACAAGTTTCTCAGAGAAGAGATTGTCTACCCCTCTGCAGTAAGTGCTGTCAATATATAGTTGTAGCTAAGTAATCTTTGTATGTCATGAAGTTATCTGGGAAAGGTCCCATAAAAAAAAGAATTTCAAACCAAAGTAAGATGTTAATGTTAATATCTGATCATTATTCAGTATTAATATTTAATGTTCATTAAAGATAGAGATCTCATGGTCACCATATTTTCTCTAGAGGTCTTGCTGTGCAGTGTCAGAACTGAGTGTTGTGTGCTTGTTTTGCAGGGTTACTACTACACAGCCATCATAGAGGACCTGTTTCTCAGGTTTGGCTGGGTATTGTCCATGTCCCTCACGGAGATGGGCTACGCTCATGGAGATCTCATGGTCACCATACTCTCTCCCCTGGAAGTTTTTAGGTGAGGTTTAAATAATAATACACAGAATATTTTTTAAATATTTTTGTGGATGCAGGATAATACAGTCCAACCTCGGTATAACGAATCTGAAGGGACCGAATTGAATATTCGTTATATCAAGGATTTCGTTAAAACGAGGTTCGTTATATTGAGGTTAGGTTTGCAGGAATTTCGCTAAGTCGAGGTTCAGAACCAGTATCAGTCAATAAATAGGTCGTGATTTGACCTCATTAAAACACAATTAAAGTAGCATAGGCTACAATACTTTACAGTACAGTGTTTACATTGTAAAGTAGAACCTCGATTATCTGGGGTACTAAAGGGTAGGAATCTTTAATATTGCGCAATCATGACATTTCTAGTCATTGACCTTGGTACATGTTATAAACTGTTTAAAATCACAGCTTTCTCTAACCCACATAAAACCTAGCCAAACACTGTATTCTATAGCAATAAACCACGTAAAGAACAAAACAAAACAGTAGAGAGTTTTGTAAGCTACTGCTCGTGATAGGCCTGTAGACTACAGTGCTACAGTACTGCTTTAAATCACAACAGAGGAATGTCAATTATGTAATAATCATCAACTATGGAATTGGTGTTGCCTTAGTTTAAACAAATCGTATTGAAAATAATAAAACTTATTAGATAAGTCGTTATAAAAGTGTATAATCATAGCCAACTTAATCATAATAAAAACACTCGTAAAAGGAATGTTAAGATAACGATATTTCTATTATTTTTCTTTGCTTTGTTCTTCTATTTTTTTCTTTCTTAGGTTTTTCTTCATCCAAAAATTGACCAATTCACCATATTTACTTATCACCCAATCACAGCTTACTACACATTACGTCATCATCAGTCCTCAGTGAATGCAATCAGTTCTCAGTTGTAACATAGTGCGCATGCAGCGACGACAGCAGACGGCAGACAGCGATGTGTTAAAATGGAGCAGACGAATGTTAGCGCGAGCAATGACGTCACCTTTCCATTTCATTTGATGAAGAAACTGATTTTTCAAAAACAATAATGGGGGTGGGGGGTTCGTTGTATCGAGGGAGAGACGCAGACAATTCGTTAAGTAGAGGTTAAATTCGCTATGTAGAGGTTCTGACAATGACAAATTCGTTATATTGAGGTGTCTTATTTTAGCCGGGATCATGAAAAATTTGTTAAATCAAGGTCGTTGATATGGTTTGTTCATTATGTAGAGGTAAAACATACATTGTGTCTTATGGAGAGTTCTAGGGGATTCAAAAAAATTTGTTATATCAAGGAATTCGTTATATCGAGGTTCGTTATATCGAGGTTCGTTATATCAAGGTTAGACTGTACAATCATAGCCATTATTTTGTTCCTATTATATAGAACATCATTTTTTTCTTTCTTTCCAACCAAATACAGTTTTGTAAAACAAATGTTTAAAAGTAATTTAGAATAGACATTTAATTTAATATATTTTTTCACAATCATGTTTGTAAGTACTGCACAGGAGTATGTTTTTTGCATTATAGACTTAGCATATATAAGATTTTTAGGGTCCTTCTAGCTACACTTGCCTTGAATTGTTAAAGCTGTCAATAAACCCACATACTTAAAAGTTTAGCAGAGGTAATGGCTCAGTCAGTAATGCAATGGACTCTGAACCCATTGCAGCAATGTTGTGGGTTTGCCTTCTTAAGTATCAAAGCATTTGTAAGTGCAATTCAATTTTTGACTAATCGCTCATCCTTCCCTAACGTTTGATAGTTTTATACACAGACCAGAGGCCTATGAGGACAGTAAATACCAAATTAAAATGGGATTACTACCTTTTTTATGTAACAAAAAACAAAAAAACCAAGACATATGCGTAAGGGTAGTCATCCTGGATCAATTATAAAACTTGTAATTAAACGTGGTCTTTTAATTTTACTTTATAAATATAAAAACATTCAATTCTGCAGGAGGTTTGTGTGGAACTTTTTCCGACTTGAGAACGAGCATTTGAACAACTGTGGTAAGTTCAGAGCCGTCAGGGACATCTCAGTAGCGCCGATGGACTCTAGCGATCAAACACAGATCCTGCGTATGATGGACGATCAAGACGGTGTTACCAACCGTCACAAGAAGAAACAAAGTGTTGCCATCTTGAAGAAGAAAAGTGGCGGTGACACGTTAGCGGTGGAAGTCAACGAGTCTACTGACGACCCGGACACCTAGTTACCACGACCTCGCTGCAACTCCAAAGCTGTAACAACTGTGAGACTCGGCTGTATCTAGTAACTAGACGTGACATAATGTCACACGTGTATTTGTATTGTATTTGGATACAATGTAAATTGATCTCTGTATCTGTAGAACTTGTAGAACATCTCTAATGGGAGTTAAGTTCTTATCCCGGTGTTGTAGGGATGGAAGTTGAGATACAAATTTTAGTATGTGCCTACAGGCAAAGATATATTTTACATAAGATAAGTTATGTACCTTTTACACATCTTTGTAACCCTTTGATTCCCAAAGGTTGATAAATCCGTCGTTACGAGTAATTTCAAAGTTTTAGCTAAAGTCTCTCAGCAAAACTCAACTCGGCTGTAAGCTATACCTGGCATATAATGCAACTTGAAAGTCAAGGTTTTGTGAAGTTATCAATATAATTATTGCGGTAGACAGATCAATGACAAGTCTTTCTGGTTAGAAGATGGCACCATTTGAGGGTTCGAGTCCCGTCTTGTATCAGGTCTAGTGTGCAATTCCTCAGGAGTTCAGCTGTCTGTAGCAAAGCAAAATTTTTCATTCAGAAAACTAAAATCAAACCTAAAAAAATACCCTTTTAAAATAAACGGACAACTCAGATGGATATTAATGGAAATATGGATACTTTAGATGCATCTAAGTTTAAAGAATTTGTCTACATTGTAGTTGTTAGCCTCCGGTTTGCCAAATAATGTTAAAAAAGGTTTAAATACCTACTAGGCAATCTATTCAAATCACAAACGCAACTAGTTTTAGTTCCTACATGGAGCCATCACCAGGAAGCAACCTGTGGTGATATACTGCACCGACTCAAATTCCGTCGAGTTACCGTCGTCTGTAATCATAACTGATCAGTTACCGTAAATGTGTCGTATACGTGTGTGTATCGTCTTCAAATGTTTATTTTTATATTTTTTTAATGTGACGCTCTTCTTATGAAAAGAGAAATCGTCTTGTAACACCTGATAATGGTTCCATGTAGGAGTTAAAACTACTGGTTTGCCATTTGAATGGATTTTCTAGTTTTTACTCATCCTTGCTGTGTGTGTTTGTGTGTCCATCAAAACTTGTTAAAGGCGTTAAAATTCTTTTTATTTTCACTTAGAAGAAGTTAGATTTCCAATGAATCGTAAAAATTCAACTCAATGAACAACACTTGGGGCTCAAAGGAATAAGTGATTCAGGCACATCACATTAGAACCACAAACATTGAAGCGCTTGTGTTGTATAATATAGAACATGTTTTGTTCATGTTTATAGATGCTAATGTTTAAGTTTTGAACACATCCCACCTATATCTTGATAATAGTATAATCTAAGCTATGTTTACCTAAGTTGCTGATATATTGGCAGCCTTGTGATTGCTTACCTTTTACAAGCTAATAAATATTATATTATCGTAGCAACTTTCAATCTAGTTTCAATGTATCGATTTTATACATTACGTAAATAAGTATTCATCAATTTGTTACAGTAAATTCCTTATCAAATATGTGTTGAAAACTATCATAGGAAGAAAAAATGCATTGCTTTATTAGTTTGTTTTAAAATGACTCTTATCAAGTCTATTGGCAAAATGTAAAAGTTGTATTAGTATTATCTAGGTATTTAAACTGCTTAAGGCGGGCTTTAAAATAATTTCAAAATTATATATTTATGATTAATTAAAAATTTCTACACCTATTAGTTGTAATGAAATCAAATTCTGCATCTCCTAAGTCATAGCTTATGTCCGGCAATGCATTATTTTATTGCATCTTGAAATTTTTATTGTACAGTTTTTAGTCATATCATCTGACCGATGTTACGTTTTGAACACTATATGACATACAGTCTTTTGGCATTGGTGTATGGAATGAAATCCTTAATTTCCAGTTAGAGTAGATCCTCGATAACAAGACTCTCCTGGGGATTATTAAATAAGGGGAATGTTGCTGAAAGTCAACAGTCCCGGAAGATCAAATAATTTATACCTGTGCCGCTAGGTCAAAAACTACAATTTTTGCAGTGTCTGTAGATCAAAAATCCCAGAAAGTCAAATAGTACAGTCCGGGCTAAAAGTTTAGTCTATGTTAAAGCAATTGACTTATTGGGAATTTGACCTAATGCAACAGCAGGTTTAATATAACGAAATACGGTAAAATACAAGTTCAGTTTCGCTGAGTCAAAAGTGCCGGAAGATCAAAAGCAATAAAAGTGAACGTCGATTCAGTGTAAAGTAGACCTCCTGCAACGCTTACTACACCAACAAAACTCGCTTTTAGTTACTTCGTGTTTTGTCATAATTAGAATAGAGCTAAAATTATCATATTTGGTACATAGCTTATTTATTAATGCTTCTTGCCAACTGTTTGGTCAACACTGTAAATAGGTATAGTTTATGTAATGAAAACCTTTCGTCAAAATTTGTGGCATAAAATACACGCAAGGACGATCTGAACATTTCTGGTTATTATATACGTTTGTAAAAGGAGATCCGTTTAATTGTAGAACTATTTTATGAGTTATAATGTAGTCTACATATAAACTGTGTAATGTATTACGCCACGGAAGGGTTGAATCCTGTCCAAACTATCATATATATTATTATAACGTAAATGGGGGTTTTTCACGATTCTGAATCAACCAGTCGATGGATTTTCATTATCATTAGTTTTGTGTTGAAAGAAAGACAATTTTGAGAACTAGATAATTTCAAAGCCATAATTTAAAATTAATGTCCCAGTTTTTTATAAATTAAGTTTTAGTTTTTAAAAAGTCTAGCAGCCGATGCTAACCTTCTCCAATAAGTCAATGCTTCTAGCTAGCTTTTAGTACAATATAATTTGCTTAACATAACAGCTGTAACATTCAGTATTTGTGACACAAATTCAGCATTTGGAAGAAAATTCAAATACATACTTATGGTTGACTTATTTATACTATGTATGTGTAATGCTGACCATTGATACATTTAATTCTTCGGTACGAGGATGGCAGTTTAATTAAATGTGCATAGTAAAATAGGTACAGTAGTAGGATGTTCAAATTATTTTTTAAAGTATTCTTTGTAATCATCGATTTGTTTTAGTCCAATATAATTTGTTTTAACTAACAGCTGGTTGAATGTGCTATGTATACTTATAAAAGGCAAAGCCCTCACTGACACACTCACTCTCACTCACGCATCATCACTAATTCTCCCACTTCCCATTTACCTAGGAGGTTGAAATTCGATTCACCGATTCTTTGGGCATTAAATAGGAAAACTAAGTAGTTTTTATTATGATCGGGCATTCGGGCTCCGCCCCAGTGGCTCTGGAGTTTCCCATCTGAACCTTATGATTTTTCATATTTAAAAGGAATTAATGAATCATAACAGCTGTGTCAATTCAACAATTTATGACAACAGCTAATTTGCAACCAAAAGCTGAGTGAGCGTTTCGAACGAACTTCAACCTGGAGGTGAGTTAACCCCAAGGCAAGTGAGCTCAGCGAACGAGCTCCAACCTAAAGGTGAGAGAGCGTAGCGAACGAACTTCAACCAGGACTTGATTGAGCCATGCGAACGAGCTAATCTTGAAAATTAATTAGTTTAACGGGGCAAAGCCAGCGGGTACAGCTTGTTATTCTATAGAATTATTAGGTTTTTAGCGAATTTCGCATATAGGGAATAAGCTATTACCGTATAACTCATGGGAACACCTGGACCCGGGACCGATGTAATTTTTCGTTTTGAGTCCCTAGAGGCCAAAAACACCATCCGTTCAAATTCATATATATATAAGTGTATAAAACATTTTGGGGACTTGACTTTTTCGGGACTCGAGAATTTAGTACTTTTCGAGGACCTGTGCAATTTATTCCATTCCAAATGCAGCGCGTTATCGATCTTCACCCTTGTGTGGGCCTCCCATTCACTGACGGAATGTCTCGTGGCGTATGACGACCGGATATAAATAGTCACTTTAACACTCACTTATCTCGTTATTTTTTTCAGCATTTTCGTTGACCCGTCTGCAGGTCTTATGTTAATGGGCTGTCAGAGCGTCTGTTGTAATAACTGGAATTCCTTATGTATGTTTGCTGCTGATTACGGTGAAGTATTGTTAGAAATTCCACCTAATCTTTTAAAGTTACCCATTAAATTCATAGAAATAATAATATTTAACTGTTTGACGAGTACCCCTATTGTATTCAAAATACTCAACGGCCCAATCCAATGTCACGTTTCGTATTTTGTATACTACCGTTAATTACTAGACTTAATTACTAGCTTCATTCCCACTGTTCTTGTGAACTTAACTCTAGATCAGACTGTTGCTTCATCCGCTTCTTCATCAGTTAATTTTTCATCTTAAAATCTAAAAAATATCTTTTTGGTACCTATGTTATCACCCACGGGATCTTTGAATAATTTTAGGCTTAACTGAATCTGAAGTATGTGTTTTGGTGGTTGATCATTGTAATGAATTATATAAGATTAACCTGCATTACACTATCGACAAATTAACTATCAAATATTTATTAAAACACTGAAGCATACTGCAAACGCTGAGTCATACTGCAGCAAAAACAGCCGTATTTAGTGAGCTTAAAGTAGGTATTTTCACTATTTTCTCCCTAGGAAGTGAAAGTCAGCTGATTTAAACTCAGTTGTGAGCTTCGATTGTATGCAATCGCATGTATCGAAAGTATGTATAATTTTTTTCACCACACTATGATGTTTTAGTTAATTTACAGTCTGTTTCAAAAGTAGAAAAATAAGCAAATACATTAACAATAATACAACGTTAAAAGTATAGTGATTTACCACTCTCAACACTAGCTAACAAAGATAATTTTGATAACACAGCCGAATCTGAATGGGAGGTTTAATGTCGTAAATGGTGTTGTGATTGTCCAATAAATTTAGTGCAAGATGAGAGCTCGCCTTGTGGTCGGAAACTTGACCAAAAGTATGTATTTTTCCAACTTATCTATATTTACGCTATGCTATAAATAAGACATGTAAATGGAATTTCTTCTATTTGGTTTTATTTTCTGTTTACATTTAGTTGTTATTTCGTTACCTACATGGCAACCCATACGGCCCAAGTTATTTTTTTAATTTTAAATTCGTTTCTTGTGTTTATTTTTGAGCCTATTTTAATTTATAAAGGGATTCATCACATCTACAGGAAAATATCTTTCATTTGGTACCAACCGCGTGTAATTCGTTCCAGTAGTATGGTCAGGCTAGCTGTCATAAGTTTTGCAAAAGTTGTTTTGTATAAGACGATTTTGAATGATTTTCCAATTTGATTATCTTTTTTCACTAGATTTTGTAATTTCTTCTTTGACTTTTCAAATTCTAAGATTATTATGAAGTGTTCTGTTAGTAACAAACCAAGGTGCGTTGACAATTTTACGTAGCAATTTTGATTGGTATCGTTGAAAAATTTCAATGTTTGATGTACTTGATGATCCCCAAAGTTGGATCCCATAAGTCCAAATTGGTTTTATAACTTTTCTGCAAAGTAACATTATTTTGTGTACTAAGTTTTGATTTAGATCCAAGAAGACAATTAAGCTTAGTTATTTTAAAATTTAGATATTGTCTTTTAGTCCAGATATGTGCCTTCCAATTAAGCTTTGCATCTAAGTGCATGCCCAAGTATTTTATTTCTGTTACTTTAGGGTGGTGAATATTGTTCATGGATACTGGAGGACATGTAGCCAGATTTAGGGTAAAAGTAATGTTTTCTGATTTATTTTCACTAATTTTGAACCTCCATGTTTTAAACCAATGTGAAATTTCATCCAAGTTTAACTGTAAATTTGCTGTAGTTTGAACCGGTTTGTCGTGGACAGATAAAATGGTCATATCATCCGCAAATGTGGCAACCATAGTGTTTACAATTTCTGGTAGGTCCGATGTATAGGGAATATACAAGTATGGTTCAAGTACGCTTCCTTTGGGGATTCCTGATTCTATAGGGTAAAGGTCAGTTAAATAATTTTGATGTTTAATTTGGAAAGTTCTGTTTGTAAGATATGATTTTTAAATTTGAAAAACTGAATGGGGTAGCTAAATGTGGCATTCTTGTCAATAGTTCGATATATCGATAGTAATATACACTAACACAATCGTAATAAACGAAATAATTTTATTATATTTACTAAACAGATGCTTGTTTGCATTAGCAAAATAAATAACAATTTAGAAGTCATTTTGAGAAGTTATCTTAGTATTTCTGTTAAAGAAATGACATTTCTTCATAATCTTAACATCTCAAATTACTTTAATACTTTCTTCTGAAATGGCTACCATACTAAATTCAAACTCACATAACAAGAAATTAAATAACATCTAAACATAAATTAAAAAGTTTTACACCACAATTAAAAAAACAAATGTACGATTGCTCTTGCTCATTCTTCGTCAGATTAGGCATAGGCACGAGACCCTCCTTCATTGCGCAGTCTGTAGTCTTGGAGATAAGAGAGATATGCGGTAAAGATAAGGAAGAACTGGAAAGGTCCGTTGTGGGTTTGCAATATTTATCTCAAAATCCAGCGCAAGGTTAACTAAATTTTGGAATTAAGGTCTGAATACGTG